AAATTATATTATATTATACTAGACACAGAAGGAGAACTAACATCAGAACCAACACCAGAACCTACACCAGAGCCAACACGAATTGCAGAACCCTGTTTGCGAGAAGTTGAACTTTGCAATGAAAAAGACTTTAAAATTTGCACTGAACTTTATAGATTTTCAAAGGCAGGCTGTGCTGAATTAACGCAGGATAAGCACTTGTCAGCAAGGACAAAAGGACCATATATGTGTGAAGTACATTCGGGTACAGATTGCCTTGGTGAATCTGCTTTTGTAACTCAGTCTGGTGCTAATTATCCATTCGAAATACAATCAGTATCTTGTAAATGTGATTATCCCGGTGTCGCGTAATCTTCAGGATTAAGTTCTTTTCGCATAACCCGCCGGGGTTCGGAATTTAATCTCTTGTGAATAGGGAAAATTTTTTATTTGAAATTATTTAAAGTGGTTTCGGACAGCTATTTTCATGAAAAATAAAAATTATAATTGCTCTCCAACTCTTGTGAATGCTTTAATGACGATTTTTTTTTCTTGTCTCCTGCGACATTAGAAATATTCAATTTGTTTTATATTGATTTTCATTATATTTAAACAAATTGGATCTGCTGATGTTCGAAAAAAAATCCGCGTGAAAATAAAAGACATATGAATGAGAAGAGAAATCTTTTCAATAAAATTTTCAAAAACGCAAAAGAAAATATTGAAATATTATTTTGTCAAACGTTTGAGGTTGAAAGAATAAAACTTCGAAATCGTTTTGAATAAAAACATTTAAAAAGTATTTTAACTTTGTGACAAATTTTTTATTTTCTTTCAGTTTTTTAGTAAATTTAACAATAATCGAGTTGTTCAGTTAACCGAAGCTAAATTCTGACGAATTTCCCTTAAATCTGCTGTTAATTGTTGCATTTCATTTCCTTGCGTTTTGTAAAGAACATTCAACGTTGCCGACACTAATTCCTCTATTTTTGCGATTGTTCGACGACTGTGGATTAAAATTAAAGACAATAAAACAAAATAAAGTTTAAACATTTCACAACACTCACCGATTTTTACTCGAAGACAAATTATTCTGCAAAATAAGTTGTAAAAGTCGTTTGACTGATCGAATCAAGAAGAAATCAACAGAAATGATCGACGTAACAATCTTCACATAACTGTCAAGTATTTGATCGATTTCCAGATTCATTTGGAGAAGCATTTCGGGTACTGGTGAGTTTGGCAAGTTGAGATCAAAGCAACGTTTCTCTAGTTCATCGATAAGGAAACCTGAACAAAGAATTGTGATTAAAAAAGGAAATCTTTGGTGAAATTAAAATTAATTACTTAATGGAAAACAAGGCCCAACTCCATAATCATTGGATAAACTTTGAACTTTCGACAAAAGTCGTTTGGCTTTCTCTGCTGGACTTCCAGGTTCGTTCTGTTCATTGTCGAGAATTCGACTCCACACAGAACTAATGAGAAGTGGCTCGTTATGATGTGAACAATTAAGAATCATTAATTGTGACTCCCACAAGTTGAACTTCTCAGCAAAATCAGAATAAAGTTGACTCATATTTAACAAGCGCATGTCTAGAGTTTTAATTGCATCGCGAGCTTGTAATGCGTCGATGTTCCGCGGTCTTGCACTTGTCATCGTGTCGTAGATTTGCTTTTGAACTTGAGAAATGTCCAATTTATCTTCCAAATCACGAAGGAATTCACCATGATGTGCTGCATAACCAACTGTTGCACTTCTCATACACATCACAGCCCTAGCCAAATATTCAATTCGTTTCGATAAATTGACATTCTCACTTGGCATCGTTGCAAGTTTGTCGAGAATCTTCGCAGCTGATTGATGTTGTCCATTACGTTCGTAATATTTCCATAACAAATCAGCAAGCTCAAGATTCACTGGCATTTGATTAACTGAACGTGCTAAGAAATCACCAAGCGAACTGTTGCTAATGTCAAGGATTTGATTGTAAAGACCATTGTAAAGCATCCATTCATAAACAGCGACATGAAGAAGTTGATCTTGACTTTGAAGTGCAATATTTAAGACATTATGCAGTTGCGGTGTAATTATTCGACTGCCACTCGCTTGTCCTTCATTTCCATTCACGAACAGATATTGAAACATGTTTTTAACTTCTTCATAACATTTCATTCTTGTCGTAAACGCAATAAATCCATCTTGATCTTTCTGTTGAATTTGATTCATATCAAATGGATAATTATTCTTGTAGAAATGTAATCCGCTTTCATTTGGATCAAATTTATTAGCGAAAGTGAGGCAAAGTTTGATTACACCTTCATAGAATCCGGCAGCTGTAAATTGTTGACAAATATTTGGCAGTGGAAGTTTCGGAGCTGCTTGACAACATAAATTGAGTGCTCTTGATAATCCTTCCATTCTTTCATCATCATTTGTACATGTTCGTGAAAGTTTCAGAATTTCTGTTGCTTTATGTGACACGGCGTCTTCATTACGATAAAGCGATGGACAAACATCACGAAGCTTCTCAGATATTAATTTAACACTTGCATTATCATTCAAATAAGTGTTAATCAAAGTAACAATTAACAATGCACACAACTCATTACGATATAAAATAATTTCACGAAAGTTGCAACTGTCAAGAACTTGACGTTGTTCGACAGTTAATTGTGTGACAAGAACATGAAGTTGATGTTCACAAAGAATCTTCCACAATCCAACAACTTCACAAACATATCTTATAAAGCCAGCAAGAGCATCCAAGGATTTCTTCTCTTCACCATAAGCTTCATCTCGTTTCTGTAAATGTTGATGATTCATTTGATGATTTCCATTCAATTGATGATGATGATGACTAGTCATGAATGATGATTGACTCATAATCATGTTATCACTTGTTGACGACATTTTCATCAAACCAATCACTGAATTTGATTCAATAAACGATCGAATACCGAACAAATCGTTTAAGATCTGATTGCAATCATGAATTGTTATTGTGCTTGTGAGATTTTTTGTGTCAATACATTTTCGATTCCATATTGGACGAAGAATTCTTGCAATATGTAAATAAAGTCCACCATGTTTTGCTGAATATTTCAGATTGCAAATATCCATTTGTTGTGGCTGTTGCTGTTGAGATGAAGATTGAAATGTTGTGTTGTTACCACCACCGAATTGTGTTTGATGCATTAAACTTTGTTGGATTTGTGAAGCGGCTCTCGATTGTGCGTATGGTGTTGACATGAAGATTCTTGGCGATTCAGCAGCACCACTTTGCATTTGTTGTAACATTTGTTGTTGTGTGAAGAACAATGGTTCGCCGCCATACCGGAAGAAAGCTTGTTTCGCCCACGCACTTAATTCAGTTCCAATCATCGATTCCATACAGGCAAGCATCAAGCTTGTTGCACAAGCTTCAGGTTCGGTGTGAATATCAAAGAAAGCTTTAACAGCATCATGATGCGCGCCATGACAAGAAACGAGAACTTGTTGAAGAAAATCGACAGATTTAAGTAATTCAACAATGTGTGCGCCTTGAGTGGTCAAAAGAATTAACTTCCTCGCTTTTCTCGATTCTCGAAGAGGAAATTTCATTGTCATTGATGATTTATCTCTCATTTCAGCAACTGCCCAAACTTGTCCATCGAGATTTGCTGTTGTTGATGATTCAGCAAGTGATCGTCGCATTGTTTCTGTGAGTGGCGTTAATTCTGTGTGTAAGAATGGCTCGGAGCTTAATGACCAGAGAATATCTAAATCTTGTTGTGGTGTTGAAATCATCAAAGTTGAACCACCACAACAAAAAGCTGAGTGAATATTTCGAGGCTTTCCACACGTCGCATTTGGAGTGTAACCGGGCGGCAATCGAACATGTTGTAAAGAAAGATTTTGAATTCGATATTGTTGTATTTGTAGATCAATCATTGATTGAACATTAGAGTGATAAGCACTCATATACATTCGAACACCACTTTGTGTAACTGCAATTAAATGAAGTGCTGAATATTCACCCAACATCAACACACAAATGTCAACAACTGGCTTGAAAACTGAAGAGTCGACAGTTTTAATAATATTGGCAGCAGCATTTGCAAGGTCGTTTTGCGACAGTCTTGTAATTCGTCGTGCTGAATTATCAGACAAATCCCAAGCTTCAATGGCACCATTTTCCGACAAAGTATACAACAAGTTTCGTTCATTATCAATTTCAATTTTTGCAATCGCATCACTTTCAGAAAACACTTTCAAGAATCCGGGGACAACAAGAGAAATTAAGCCTTGCGAATGATTCACTTTCTTGCATCGTTTTCCAAACCAATTGGATTCTGCTTGGTACGTGACTTCATATAAACAACCGTCACGTCCTCCAAGGAATATTCGACCATCAGATGATCCTTTAATACAAGTCATTGAGATATTATCGGTATTTATGACGAATATCGGTTTGTTCATTAATTGCATCTCCTCGTATGTTGACGAAATGAAAGAACGTGAAGGCGATGAAATCGTTTTTGTGGTGTCGCCGAAAGTCACACCGAGAATAATTATTTCGATTGGCGTTGTTAGTACCAACAGATATTTAACATCATTAATGAAGACATTTTTCTTTGGCTCAATTAATCCTACGCTCACGATTAAATGACTTAAGCCGTCGAAGTAAGCGACATCCCGTGAGTGCTCATAAGTCCAAATGTAAATGTCGCTGTCAATTGTTAGCCATGCTCTTCCTATCTCAGGAAATAATCCCATACGACAATGACATTTAATATCTGAAAATAATGTGTTTAATTTAATTCTTATTTAAATAGATCTTTCGCTTACTTTTGAAATGATCCATTATTTCATTAGGAATTGGAATTTTATTGAGTGTTCTAAGTTGAGATAAATCTTTAAGTCTTCCTTCTGTTAAATTTGCTAAATCTTGATAATCGAAGTCGTTGAGACCACTGTACGATCCTTGATTTGTGAGGGCGCTCTGAATATAAAAATTGTTGTTAAAATTAATTTCATTTGAGGTTAAAAAAATAAATTGAGAAATTCACAATATTGCTATATTTGCTAGAATTTATAAATTGGATAAGTTCTACTCATTCAATTAGTTGACAATGTGTCACAGAAATTATTATTTTTTCTTATTATACAAATATTCTTCTCTATCGGCATTTTTTTCATTTAAATTTACCTCAACAGAAATTTGCAGGTCTTTCTTATCATATTCCTCAAGCATTTTACCAGCAACTTCACAATCTCCATAAGCTCCTGTTTCTAGATTCATTTTTATATTTATTTAATCACTGGATAAAGCTCAAACTTAATATTTTTAAACAATTTCAATTGTTATTTTTTGAAATGTTTATAAAATTTTATATGGCGTAGGAAGTTCCCTCGAAAGTTTTGGCGGGCCCCCGGATTTGAAATTAAACGTTTCTTCTCATGTGCGTAACTTGGATTAGGTGTTGAGATTATCGGATTACTTATTTTGTTACACAATAAGTTTAAGAAATATGACTCTTGCCTGCTAAGTATAACAAAGACATTTTTATACTTATCATTAATGATTACTGTGTAGTAAGTGGAATGTAATCAAAGGTCATTGTACCTCGTAATACAAAAGTATTTAAGTAAAATTCATTTAGGTAATTTTTTGATAATAAAAAATGCGACACAAACAAAATTATAACACGCACGGGTTAAGCGATAGGGGCTTATCTTCGACATAAAAATTAATATTTCTAAATACGAAAAGAAAAAGAAGTATGAAAAGTTTCAAACTGAGTCTGTAATAAAAAATCATTTTTCTTCTTTTTGGAATCTACATAATGTATTTAATTGCATCTAAATATATATTTTTATTGGAAACAAATAAGTTTTATTTCTTTGCGAAAAAATGTTTTGAGAGTCAAATAACTACTTTTAACTTCTTGAAGGTACTTCATCATTTGCATCAACATTTTATGAGTGCTTATTTATTTAATACTTTTAAACATAAATTTTTCTCCCAGCCGATTGCTATCAAATAAAACATTGTCTCAATTTTACGTCAAATTCTTTTTTTAACATCAACTTTTTGTATCTATGACACAATGTACTGGAAATAGGCAACAAAAACAATAACTTGGGATTATCAAATAGTCTCAATTTCAAAAATATCATAAGAAACATAATAATTAATTAATAAAGATGAAAAAAAAAATGATGAACTTATTTATCGTTCTATCACTACTAAATATATCATAAAGATGGAAGATTTCCTTCAATCTTTTCATTTTCAATAATAGAAACTTAAATGAATTCTTTTTTTATTTCTTCTGTTAGAATGTGGATAAAATTGTTGGCAAATGTTGCGCTATAATTAAGTTTTACTTTGTATTATATGTAGGTAGGTAGCAATCATTGTATTGCCCACAAAAATATATACTTTGGAAGTACGATAAAAATTCTATTCTTAAAAATAAATAAATGTTTTTGTTTTCTTCTTTTGTTTCTTTGAATAATCATTTGTCTGGTCTAGAAAGCGAAATTGTTTGCAAGTAGGTAAGTAGATTTGCCTCTAAGGAAGTTGCAGGTATTTAATTATTAAATCTTTATATAATGTACTTCGACCCATAAGTACATCGTTTTCATTTATTGTTTGTTTTCTTCAATTTATGGGAGTCAAATCATGATTCATGCATCAAATACATAAATAATTTTCCTTCAACGATGTTTTCTTCTTTAATTCTTTGGTTCCCATGCAGATGACATTTATTGATAAACAACTCCTTCATTTCCATTAAAGTTATTAATTTTATACGAAGAAAAGTTTAACTTTCTTTTATAACATTTAACATACTTATTGATCGTTTTGTAATTTCTAACAAAAAAAAAGAACTTTGATTGACAATTAATGGATGGAAAAAAGAAATGTAGAAAGATAATCATGCGGAAATGTTTTAAAAAATACACATATGGTAAAAATAGATATTTGTTGTTATGAATTTGTCGAGCGATTCAAAAGCGGCTGCTCAACTTCAAGCTCAGTTCCATCGTTTAATTCAACAGACGCTTTCTGTGAATTGGACATAGATGCAATATGATTGCCGCTTAGATTTCCTTGACTATAAGTGATAACTTTCGCGTCACCGTCAGTTTCAATCTGCAACTGGTGGTTGCTGTCAGATTGAGTCATTAAACCTTGATTTAAGACTGGAGAAGCTGGTTTACTGATTCTCGGTGAATTCACGTTAGTGTGAACGTTACTGTCGTCTTCGTCAAGTGAATAAAGAAGCTAGGTAATTTAAAGAGGAAATAAAATGAAATTGAAAAACTTTCATTAAAAATTCTTTCGTCACCTTTTCAACTTCGTCATCGAATGGTTCGTTGCTGTGTTCACCCATACGTCTTGATTGCTCCATTAAAGTAGCACGTTTTGCAGCAAGATAAAGAGATCTCTTTACCACCAAATAAATAACTTCCGTCAGCGCTTTCACTGAATAATCAGGAACGAACGTGTGTCGTAATATCGCATCCATGTTCAATGACTGTAACGATCCCATGACGTTACCTTGTGCCGAGCCTTGAGCTGTAAGTTGTTGAGATGGTGAATCAAAACCAACGTTTGGTGCAAGCGCTTGAATTCCAAATTGTGTAAAAGGTCCACCTTCAAATACAAGATTCTCTTTTCCAACCGTCACTTCAACGCGTCCTTCAAGAATCAATACAAAAAAGTCGACACCTTTTCCTTGCTGGAAGATGTACATGTTCGGATCGTTTTTGTTCTTCGACTTGATTTTAATATGACGAACAATGTCTTGGTTCAATAAACGTCGAAGAATATTCTCAGAAATATGTTCGCGTTTGAAAGGTTCGAGAGCTAAATTTTTAATTAAAAAAGCAAAGAATGCGTCAGATTTTATGAGCGATCAAATCATGTAAATATTTATTTAGATATTTATTTAAAATTAAATTTGTGACACAATAACAACAAAAACAAAATTCAACTTACTTGTGCTCATAAATTGGAAAGCAGCCAATGTCAATTGTGGCGAAATTCGAACTTTTTGTGTGTCTGGTCGTCGTTCAACGAAGAATGAGAAGTCGTTCAATCTTTGGGGTCTTGAACGACGATTCTTTGTGCGATTGTCAGTGATGCGATCAGTTTCGTCCTGATAAAAATTTCGTCTTGATTAAATTAATTTCTTATTAATTAAGTAAAAGTTTTTGAATCTCACCATAATTTCAGCTTGAATTAATTCTTCTATAACATCTTCAAGTGTAACTAATCCAATTGTCTCATAAAACGGATCACCGTCGCCATCATTATTCACACGATGAACAAATGCCAACTTTAATAATGAACATAAATCATTGAAAGACTTCTAAATATTATAATTCAACTTACATGTCCCTTGTTTCCTTCCTTAAACTGTTTAAACCTTTTTGTCCATGAAAAAGAAAAATTAATTAACGAAATTGACGAAAAAGTTTATTAATTATTTCCATCACTTACATCACATCTAAAGTTACGTCATCAAATACGAAGTGACACGGATTTTGATAGAATTCGCAAAGCATACGAAGTTGAGTGTTGTCGTCAGTGTCTACAAAAGCCAAGTCCTTGATATAAAGTAACGAGAGAATATTTGTCCGTTGACCTTCGTAAACGGGAATTCGAGAATATCCTAAAGAAATATTAAAAAAATTGAAACAAAAATTCTTTAAATATCTCAAAAATCTTTTCACCTGAATTCATAATTTTAGAAATCGTTTCGAAATCTAAAACTGAATCAATTGGAAGCATGTATGCGTCATCAATCGGTGTCATTATATCACCAACAGTCTTTTTACGCATTTCAAGAACACCAGATATGATGTTAACTTCATCCTTGTCTAAGTCATTATGATCTTTCGTAACTTTAACCAGTTCGTTTAATCTCTAATGATTGATGTGAGAAATAAATCAGAATCTAATTAATTATTATGTCATCGAAGTAAAGTCTCTTTAAATCAATAATAAAACAATAATTTATTGATACAAGACTTTAAGTGATAAGGAGAGTTGGATTAGCAAAGCTTATGAAGTTTTTTTTCCTACTTTTGGCAATTGCCAACCACGACTTACCTCCCGATTGTAATAAGTTCCGATTTCTTCACCAAGTAAATAATCCAGGATTTTTGATGTCGGATATGAGAGTGGAAAAGTGAGCAGCATAATGAATTTTGTTACCATTATAGTCTTTGCACCAACAGCAAGTCCATGACGAGAACATATCGCCTGATGTGCAGAAGCACAAAAAATTATTTACAAGAGAACAAGAAAGTTAGTTAGTTAACATTGAACATTTTATTTCGACGTTGATGTAAACCTGAGGTGTGATCTCGCCAAAAATGACAATCAGCAGTGTTGAACAAATAACAGCAACTAAACCGCTGGTTAAGCTGTCTAAAAGAATGGTGAACGTGGAGTTAACCAGTACATTACCCAAAAGAATGCTGCACAAGAGAAAGTTTCCGTGATCACGAACTGGCTGAATAGCATTCGCGTAACGCTTTTCGCTCTCCGATCCAGTGTTGCATAAAATCTGTGAAAACGAAATGAATATGATCGAAAATAGAATGGAGATGTCTATTTATAGAAGCATAAATATAAATTTCTCACTTTAAGATCAGTTCGGTCGAGTGACATCAATCCCAAATTAAGACCCGAGAAAAGTGCCGAGAAACACAAACAAGTCAAAATGATGATGATTTGAATCCATAATGGAAGTAGCGGCTCTTGACTTTTAATGCTCATCCATTCATCTGTTCCTTGGTGGAAGAACATCTAATGCGAAAAATTTTCATTGATTCAAAAGAATTATTTGTGAACTTTCGTCACACTCACGTTCGGTTCATTTGCAGCACAAAAATAAAGCATCATCGTGCTTTCTGGAAGAAGAATTTCAACTTTTGCATTCGTTGTCGATTCCAATTTATTTATTTTAAATTCATAATTTGGAATCATCGTGTTGCATTGCGCTCCAAACTCAGGTGTTCCCGATGTAAGACCAATCGTTGTGTTTTCTTTAAATCCAAATCCAAATAAGCGCAAAGTAACTTTGGAACCTGATCTGATGACAGGGACGCCATCTTCATTCTCAGGCTCTTTATCAGAATGTTCAACACGAAATCCAACGATTCTCAAATCATCATCATTCGTTACTTCTCGTTTTACAATTTCACGCGGTTTTGTGCTGTAGAGATAAAAAATTTATGTCAACAAAATAAATTAAGAAGTTTCAACTTTTTTTCTCGTAAAATTGCTTCATAGGTTATTAAAATTACTGGATATTTCCGGTGATGTTTCGTTCAAATCGCGCAACAATCTGTCTCTATTTTTTCAATATTAATCGTCTAAATTAATTGATTGTTTATCACATATTTAAACATTCACTTTGGAGTAGATGTAGTAAGTGTTTAATATTATCATTCATAACAAACGAAATTCAGAATTGTTTCCTCTTTAATTGTATAAATAAAGTTGAAATGGTATTAAGTATCAAAAATTCGTCATCAAATTCCTCAATGAATGAAAATAATTTAGTTAAATTTAAAGTCGAGCCCTCAAAGCGTTTCTTCTTTCAAAATTCTTATTATATCAAATTTTATCCACCTATGTAGTGTGAAACTTTCTAATATTTCCTGCGTTTTGTCATATGATTATTATTTGTTACTTAACACCAGCAAATTTCTTTATAAAAACATTAAATTTCATCGTAACATTGGAAACAATTAGTGTCGTAGGTGGCTAATAGTCATATTCATGTTAATTTCAATGATTAAAAGCTTCTAAGATCTTTTCTTGTGGAATTTAAAATATGAAGAAATCCATCTGATGTTTGTTTACTTTTAAAGTTTTTTCATCAGCGCGAAACGCACGTTTTTTTATATTTTCAATGAAGAATGAAAGCCTGAGTAAAAAACACAATGTTGACTCATTGAACATTTTCTTTTTTTGACAACATACAATGAAGGAAGGAAAATTGCATTCAAGGAGAAAGAAAAATCGACAATTTTATCTTACCTTTCGATACGAAAGCGAGAATAATCGCCTAAATGTTGGAAATTATCAAGCTTTTCATTATAATAGCAAAGGTAGAATATTTCTCCAGTGTATTGAGTTGCGTGATTGATTTTTAGAAGAAACTTCCCTTTACTAATATTTTCATCGATTTTCCATGCGGGAAGTGTTGACGACGACTCGGAACATGCAGACCTTGATTTAGTTGACCTCAGATAAATGGAATTTTGATTTATATCATGGAAACCTTCGATGGATATTTCAAATAATCTCCAGTCGTCATCGTTTACTTCGTAGCTTGAAATATCATTTTTCACATGATCGATTGACTGATAAGTTATCAGCGATGAATCACTGTAAGCGTTTGAAATCTCCGTAATATCTTTTATGTGCACATTTCGCGTTTGTCGAATTCTATCTTTAAGATAAATAGCACTGTTATCAATTTTCAGAGACGTGACGACAACTGGTGCAGCAATAAAGAATGCAACAAACATCAACAGTAAATGCGCTTTAGTTCTTAATCCTTTCATTGTATAAAGTTTAATTAAGTAAGTCAATTTTTTTATAGCATTCACCAATCACTTAACACTTCAATACCAGACTTTTTTATAAGACGAATTAATAAATTTTTATTAATTAATCACTATTTTTTTTATAGAGACTTGAAAAACAAATTTATAAAAAAATCACAAAAAAAAATTCACGAATTTTCGCGAAAGCAAACAGTATCATAAAACCAACATTTTTGAAAGTCAGGTGTGTGATCCCCCGTCAACACATGAAATTGTTTTTGATTAATCTATTTATTTAAACAATTACTTCAATCAGAAAATATTTGAAAACGTCCTGAATCAATCAAATTTTCTCAGTGAACAAGTTCAGAATTAAAAGAAAATGATGAACTAACAATAAATTGACTGACTGTCAAATGTGCTTTTCACCGGCTCGTTGTAATTTCGATAAAAAGCTTTTGATTTTATGCCTTTCCAAGTTCACTTCGCATCATTTATTTGATATAAATTATTTCTTATAACAGTAAAATAAATCAGCATGGCATTTATGAATTATAATGAAATATGGTCAAAAATAATTTTCATGTCTAATATTCGTACGCAACTTGCACTAGTTTAGGGGCGTAAAGTTGCGCTTTAGGATTGAAACTATTTTGCGAAAAAAAATCTGTTTACAAATCATTTAAAATTTTAAAACTTTATTCGTGGAAAATTTTAAATGTTCGATCATATGATGTTGAACAGATATATTGAGAGTTTTCTGAAATATCTAAGCTCATAACTTTACTGTCCGAAGAGATGGTCTTAAGGGGTTGCCAGGTTTTGCTCCAAAACTGTAACGAATAAATAAAACATTTAAATTAACAATAACAAATCGTAGTTTCATATCCTTATTTATTGCACGTTTCTACGTGAGGAATAAAAATATATTTTTGATATCATGCATAAAGCCAAAAATCATTACATTAAGTACACTCGTGGAGAATTAGAAAGTTATTGTAATGATCCAGAGACATGCATAAAAAAGGTGCACAGCATAGAACCAATCACATTCTCTCCTATTATGATCGCAGATTTTCGAAGCACAATCAACAAATTATTGAGTAGCAGAATAGGAAAATACGATGCAAAATTAGAAGGTGTTGTGCTTGATTTTAGAAACACGAAAATATTACAGGCAACAAGTGCCATTCGTCAAGATAGCGCTTTTTCTGTGATAAATATTGAAACATGTTTTTATATATTTTCACCTCGTAAAGGCGCAATTGTCACTGGTACTGTGAAGTACATTAATAGAATGAGTATGGAAACAATCGTTTCTGTAATCATTTATCGAGTGTTCAATGTTAAAGTTACTGTCAAAGGAAGAATAAAACAAGAAATAGATATTAATCAAGAAATTAAAATACGAGTTAAAGATTTTCATTTTGATAATGTTATTCCTTTCATAGAAGGTGAGGCTTTTCATATATTTAGAATGTTTAAATTAATAATCATAAACCATGAATTCTACTTTAATTTCAGGGGAAGTCTTTAAGTCTGAAATTGTTCAATTATCGCAAAGAAAAATTTTCGATGACGCTATCGACAGTGGAATTAGTGACGGGATGGGTGAAAGCAGTTCACAAATTGAAGTCTCTAAAGAACTATATGAAATGGAACCTGCACAGCTTATAAGAGTTAAACATCTGAATGAATTAAATGATGAAGTAGGAAACAGTTCGCAGAAAGAAGTGAAGAAAAGCAGAAAACGAAGAATATCAAAAGATTTCAATGATTCGACGACAATTTCTCCTATAAAGAAAATCAAAACGGAACCAGTAACTGACGATAACAACGTTGATACAATTATTAAACAAGAGTTTGATAGCGAACAAACTTTATCTCAGATATTGAATGAATCACATAATGCAACCGAAAGCTTCATTAATGGATTAGAAAATAATATCATGCAAACAGAATCATCATCCAAAAAGAAGAAAAAGAAAGACAAAAAAGAAAAACGACGCAACAGAGAAGATGATTTCGAAACATCGATTCAAATGCTTTTAAGTTCAGCACCATTTACAAAAGAATAATTAATAAAACATGAATTAAAAGAAAATATTTCTCAACTTACTTTGATTGATCCATCATACGATGAAGAAACGATGAAATGTCCAACTTCTTTTTGGTACTTAACATCAGTCACAATATTTGTGTGTGCTGGAATTGTGTATAATGTTTGTCGTCTTCTCAAGTCCCAAACCTGAATGAAAGATTCAATTTAAAAATAATCCTTGAATTTAAGTTTTATACTTTTACCTTGCAAGTATTATCTTCACTTCCAGTAATCATATGAAAACCATTTGGTGAGAAATCCACAGCATAAATGTTACCCAAATGTCCATCGAGGAACATTATGCATCTGCCAGTTCTCAAGTCCCAAACTCTTCCAAAAGCATCGAGACCACCAGTGAGAGCAACACTTCCATCGATTTGGAAAGCAATTGAATGTACTGCCTTTGAATGTCCTTCCTGATGTAAAACTTCCTGTTTTTGTTCAAGATCCCAAAGACGCCATGAGGAGTCATAGCAAGCTGTTCCCAAGAATCTTCCTGAAGGATGAAACGAAAGTTTCGAGACACGATGCGGAACATGTCCAGAAATGTCTGCAATTGATTCTTCACTATTGAACCCCCAAAGCTTAACCATTCCGTCAGCAGAACACGAAGCCATTGTAACTTCATTAAAGCAATCTGTTGAAATATTGTTACGAAAAGCAACTCCACCAACATGATGTGTGTGACCTCGAAGTGTTTGAATGAGTTCACAATTTGGCAATGACCAGACTTTGCATAGTCCAGACCAACTTGAAGTCATGAGCAAAGATGAATCTTTGTTGAAGCAACAAGCACTTATAGGTCGAGTGTCTCCAACTTGGGAACATTGTGGCACCAATGCTTGAACTTTTTTTTGCAACTCTACAATTCTACTAGCTTTTGTCGCTGAAGGAATTTCTTGAAGCTTTTTTGCTTGATCCAAACGATCTTTTGCTCTTGGTAGTGAATAATCTGCAATCCATAATCGAGCGATTCTTAAAGCTTCACTTCCTTCATGATACCATGTTTGAGAATTGTCTTGTTGATCTTTTGCTGTCACTTTTTTGTTATCTTCTTCGTCTAACTTTTTATTGATTGCATTCTCTCCTAGCATCGACAATAATTCTCTTAAACGAATACGTCTTTCAGCCGGTCCTTCACCAAACAGACAAATAGGTTCGTTAAGCTGTCTTAAGCTCTTCTTAATCTCGGAATCATCAGTACTAACGTTGATTTGACGAGCTTTCTTTTTCCTCTCAAACTCTTCTAATAATGCTGTTTTGTCTCGTTCTCTGAAATGAGAAAATAAATAAATTATTTTATTTAGTTATTATAAACATTTTCACTTACATTTCACTGTCTATATCGAAATATTCAGGAATTTGTGAAGATGTAACAGTTGCAACCGGCACAGTATTTTCTGCCTCACTTCTAATCTGTTTCATCCGATTTTCCATGGTTTCTTCAAGTGATCCATAGTGAATGGTCTTTTGTTTCTTCACATAAACAACTTCTTCTTCATCAGACATGTCTTAAGCTTTACTTTTTTAAGATTTTTATTGAAAAATTATCTAAACGTTTGTTTTGTTTATGTTCGGATAAAACTTGAAGGAATTTCGCCATCCGATCATACAAGTTCGAATCAATTATCCGACATTCGATTCACATGCGTTTTGTTTTCATTTTTTCTTCAAGTGAAATTTTTGAAAATTAAAATTATTAACAAATCTAAGAAATGAGCGACAGCAGTGACAGTGAATTTGATGATTTAGCAAAAGCAATCAAAACATTTGATAGCGATAATGAAAGTGAAAAAGAAGAAAGTGGTCAAAGTGAAGACGAATCCGATGATCATGTTGAAGAAAATGCAAATTCTGCAAATATAAAACGAAAACGTAGAAAAGTTGACGAATTGAATTCCGAAGAGCAGAAAGAATTGGAAAAGTTTCTATTTGGTGACAAAGAAAGTTTAATTAAGAACTTAGAAGGAAACAAAAACATTTTTACTGATGTCGATGGCTCTCATAGTGATGATCAAACAAATACTCGAAACCCTGTTTGGGAAGATCCTGATGATGAAGATTTCAAGAAAAAATCTTTACATGGAGAGTCACAATTGAAAAGAAAATTTGAAAGAATCACTGGAAGTAATCCATCATGGGCACAATTAGATAAGAAGAAAGAAGTTTCAGATGATGATGACAGTGATGACGATTTCTCGAAAACTGTTGGAAGTCTCGCAAAGAAAACAACTTCGAAATCTCTTCCAAAAGGAGAATTAGAATTCAAACGTCTTTCTAACATTAACAGAGCCTCTGCAAAAGAAGGTAGAATAACATCAATTGAGTTCCATCCAAAGTCTACTGTCGGAATTGTTGCTGGAACTAAAGGAATGGTCAGCATGTTTTCAATTGATGGACGTGAAAATAAGAAGTAAGTTTATTAATTTTACTTAAAAAAAAATTATAGTTAATTATTTTTCTTTCTAGAATTCACAGTATAGAGTATGAAAAATATCCAATATATTCTTGTAAACTGAATAAGGATGGCGATGAGATGACTCTTGGATCAACTGATCCATTCTTTCACACATATAATCTTCTCACTGGATATAAACAACGAACACGTCTACCAAAAGATATCAAAAACTTCAAGAGCTTTGAGATCAGTCCATGTGGAAAGTACATGGCATCGATTGGTGAATTCGGTGAAGTTCATCTCTTGCACGCTTTGACAAAAGAACTTCTTTGTACTTTAAAGCAAGAATATCAAAGCACTTCATTAAGCTTTTCGATGGATTCCAACAAGCTCTTCTCACACAGCGATGATAATGAAATAAATATTTTTGATCTTCGAGCACAGCGAGTTGAACATCGTTTCGTTGATGAAGGATGTGTGAATGGGACGACGTTATCGATCAGTCCAAATGGAAGATTTATTGCGACAGGAAGCAGACAAGGATTTGTTAATTTATACAACTATGAAGATGTATTCAAGAATAAAAATCCGAAACCTGAGAAAGCCCTTTCCAATTTGACGACAGAGATAACTGAACTAAAATTCAATCCGATGTCGGAAATTTTGGCTATTTGTTCTGTTGATAAGAACAATGCTGTGAAGCTTGTTCATTTACCTTCAGCTACTGTTTTTAAGAACTTCCCAGTACAGCGTGATGAGTTGGGAAAAGTAACAACTCTTGCTTTCACACCAGCCAGCGGATATTTTGGAATTGGGACTCTCAGTGGACCCGCTCCCCTTTATCGTTTGAGACATTACAGCAATTATTAATTACTTTTAACAAATAATAAAACTATTTTGAATTTATTTCATTTAAATACATAATCATTGTTTTGTTTCTTCTTCAACACCTTTTGCAGTTTTATAAAGCTCATGTAATTGTTGAACTTGTTCATCTCTAAACGTATCTAAGGCTTGTAGATCGAGATCTTTACCAATTCTGCGTTCTTGCTGAACACTTTTGACTCCAAGTTGATTGGCTAAGTTTATTGCATATTCTGTCCATTCAAACATAAAGACAGTGACTTCAGGAGAATCTGTTGTTAGATTTTTATGTCTTTTGAACTCATCTGAAAGAAATATTTATTTACCTAATTTCATTAAAATTTTCCGTTCATGTATAACAAACCTTTTGCATAATTGTTTCCTAATTCTGAGAGTTCCTGAGGTAGTCCTCTGTGCAGTCGAAGTATGGATTTGTACAACGTTTTCACTCTTCTGACATGACTTGAAATACACATTGTTATGATTCAAACTTTTTTGTTTTGAATTAAATTTTCCTTCTCAATTTTAACCCGGATTAATCATTAATCTTAACTTCATCATCATCATCATCATCAGATCAAGGACAGGCACCTATAGGCCAATCCTGGCCATATATAGGAACCACCATCAAAAGCCGAAGGATTTGAGGGCAATGGTCGCATAAGGTACGTGAAAAATGACAACATTACTCAATTTCATTGAAATTGTTTTTGTGCTGACTATTCACTACCGACCGTTTTGCATCCACCCAAGGTCTTTTAATCTTAACTTTAATCTATTTAAAAATTATGACAATTTTCCCACGCCCTGTTTTTAAATTTTATTCTTCCGTTACATTTGAAATTATGAAATTTATTTGCATCTTCCCATACTTTGCTTTAATTTTACCTGTGAAGATTATAGTGCCCTTTTCTGAATTTATGAATACTGTTCAGTTGAGTGTTTAAAAGTCACAAACAACAATGGAGCGATCAAGCGTTCAATCAACATTTTGCGAGTCTGGTAAAAGAAATATCATTTAAAGTTTGTAAACATCAAAATCACTTCAATTTTCTAAAATTTCTAGAGAACTTTCAACATGCTGGACAAGTTAGCACATCAATCACCGATAATTTAAAGAATTTAAAGAAAAATTTGGTTAAAATCTCAACAAATGTTACACAAGTCACTTATCTCAATATGCGATGTATACGCAAAGAATATTTTCGAATTTGTCAATCAAAAAACTTCTTTACAAAATTAGATTTAAACGAGTGCACTGAAATTCGAAAACTTCTCACAAAGGTTAAGCTGACGCATCCCGAATTATTTTCAAAGGAAGAATTTTTAAAGACACGAAATTCAAATACGAAAAGTTTCTCAGAAACGCAAGAAACAACTTTCGATCGTCCATCATCAGATACAATGTTATCGGAAAATGTTCTTGATGTAAATTCAGAAGTTTTCAAGGTTCCTGAGATTCCTCAACAAAAGAGAGTCACAAGAAGCACTGTCAAAAAACAGACAATCGAGAAAGAAACACTTCAAAATTCTGTTCAAGATAGTTTGACAACTAAGTACATGCGCAACTCACAGCAACCTGTTGCTGCTGACATCAGTGACACACATGATAACTTAACACTTTCAGAGAAAATTAAGCTATACAAAAAGTGGGCGGTAGAATTAAGAGAATTTATGAAAAAGGAGCAGAAACAACAACAACAACAACAACAAGAGAAGCATAACAACGAATTAATAGAAACACGATAAATGTAAATAAATGAATGAACGTAGCGAGTCGCTACGCAAATACAAATTTAAATTTATATTTGATATATTCATTAACAACGAAATTTTCCGCATAGTTTATGCACAATAAAAGCAAACACATCGTAAATGTGTTCATATAAACAAAAGGAAAGAAAAACTGTTTGTTCAATAAACGCGCTGCTCGAAGAGCATATTTAGAAGATGAGAATTGTAAATTTTCCCTGAGAGAGATTTTTCTCGGGACTTGGGGAAAATGATTTTTTTCTACGTTCGCTTTTCTTCTTTCAGTAGTCTGCGGAGATCATCAGTTTCAATCGGACGAAAGAGAAGAAAGGCTCCCTATGAAAGAGATTTTATAGCGTAGGATTTTCACCACAAAATATAGGCGGAGAATATTTTTCAAAGTTCGGTTTTAAGCAATCTGATAAAGTTTTAACTAGTGCAATAGGCTGCTTAGGGTCATATTTTAACAGTAGCTGATGTGGTGGAACGTGAAGATAACTTAGCAATTTTAAAGAATTTTACGAGACCAAGTTTGAAGCTTAAAAATAGATTTTAAAGAGAATAGAAAAAGAAAAGAAAAATAAAATTGTGCATATAAAAAAAGAACAAAAAATAAAATAAAATAAAAAATCTTTTAAAAGTCTCAAAGGAAGGAAAAGTGAAAGGAAGAAAAATATAAATTAAAGTTAATTAACCAATTCAAATTTATTGTAAAAGTGAAGGAAGATACAAAATGTCCTCTCGTGCGACAGCATCGACACATCAGTCGAGAAGGCACAGATCAAGGTAATGAACGAAGACCAAATCGTGACTGAAAGCAAAGCTATTTTAATTGATTTTATTTTATCATTTTTTTATTTTTACTACTCTAACATTTACATATGTGTGTGGGATTTGATTTCACTTGAAAAGCTTTAACCGTATTTTTTCATTTATTTTCTCATTCTCTTGTGAAAACAAAAGAAATCTGGAATGTTATTTTGTGGTAAATAATCTCCTTCTCCCAAATGATCCGAATTTTACACGAATCTACTTGCTTTCGTCAGCAAAATCCATTTGTGAAATGTTTGATGAAAACAGCTGCCACTGACGAAAGATGGAAGTGCGAATATTGAAAAGAGCGGGAGGGGGAGACAGAAAAAAAGAAGGAAAATAAATGAAAAATAATTTTCACTAATGAACGGAAGCGTTTTTATTTCATTTATCAAGATTTTTTTATGCACCAATCAAGTTCATGTTGATTTAAAATGTTTTTAACTTTATGTGTCATCTCGTGAGAAATATTTGTGTCATCATGTTTTTTTCCCTTCTGCTGTTGCTAACACATTGCAATCTGAATTCAAATGAATTCTTATGAGTTTCGTAATAGCCAAGCATGAGAGAAATAAAATAATCTCGTCTGCTTTTCGGCGAACTTGATAGTTAAGCGTTGAATTGATATCAAATTTTTTTCCCATCTTGTTTCGCTCTCAAGTGTTTTTTATATCGCTCTCATCCTTCATTATATTCAATTATATTTTAATTATCTTCTCGGCTGTTGTTGCCAAAAAAAACCTTTTTAATTTTTTGTTTGTTTCGACACGAAATTTTCTTTTTCTTTCCTGAGAAACGCGCGGACATTTCGTTCTCTTACAAAGTTGAAAGAGTTTTATGTTCACATCTAAACACACGAAAATTATGAATGTAAATAGTTTTCTGCTGATGAACGTTTGAAGACGAACCAGCTCATTTAATCATATAGAAAAGCCAACATCATCATCATCATCATACTTCTCCCTGTATGATCATTGCGCATGACATTAGCGACACCGCTGAGAATCGTATGAGAGAAGAAGAAAAGAAGATTGAGCGCGCAAATCTGCTCTGTGTATCTTTTTCATTTTCTTTTTTGAAAAATATAATAAAAAGCTTTCTTCGAAGATATCCAAACAGCAACAACATATGAAAGGAAGGCATTTCATTCGAATCACACGTTGCCGTGTCTGAGTAGAGGAGAGAGAAAGAAGCGCTTAAAACATCATGATTAATGTACATATTTCCGTCCGATTATAGCTTGTTTACATTCTCTCTAAGTTTTCTCCTAAACGAAAAAAATCTACACAAGCTTTGCGTCATGTCACGTCATGAAAAAGGAATGTTTCGTGTTACGCTGAATTATTCAATTACTTTCCAAAACCCTCTCACAAGTCATTCATTTGAGTACTTAATGAACTCCACTTCATCAATGTTTTGTCTACACAATATCTTCTCCTAAGAAAAATAATAATAAATTATTCATGTTAAGGAAATATTGAAGCGAGAAACCTTCCTTACAAGGCCTTGTAAGCAAAGGCAATTAATTTGTTTAATGAACTGATTGGCTTGCGTCCTATCCGTGGTTTTTTCTCTTCCTATCTATTAGTCTTCTATTTAACAACATGCTTTCATGTCATTTAATAAATGGTTCCTTTCTTTCTTAACAACAACTGAACCGAACAGCAATTATTGATAAAAGTCAATTAAACCTCATAATGCAGATGAAAAATGATAAGAATAATCTTCATTCTAAACCGCGATATTCTTTTACCGAAAATCATGATTAAGCGTTTCTCGTAAAATTGATTGATTGGCAGCTCAAGATTTAATGCGATCTCAATTCATTACATTGCCGTTTTTTGCCATCAGTCGCCCCTTTTTTACTTTACCTGCGACCTTCATCAAATGAAAAGCAATTTTCTAAAGGAAAGAGGTTTCTGTGAGACAAGCAAAAAAGTTTAACTCGTCTATTGATGAATGGTTAGATTTTTATAATCTATGAAAGTATTCTAAACCATGTTAAACTTTCTTTGATGTATTGCTGTGGGTGGGAGAAGAAAGTTGTTGTTGTTTGAGTTTTGAAGATGGGGTTGAATGTGAGGTTCAACATGCCTTGTTTATCGATGAATCTACGCTTTTGGTTAATGAAGGGACTTTTCATTTTATATCATCGCTATACCCACATAACACAGCATATATCTATGTCACCTACACAGACTACGGAAGATAATATTGATTTAAGTTTAGGAGTTTCTTGATTGAATGTTTCATTATCTTACTTCATTATTAATTCATTAATGCAAAAGACGTGGTTTTTAAAGGATATTTAACTTGAACATATTTGCACAGCTTGTTTGAACAACTCAAAGCTGTTGCTTTCTTTATTATCTTCTTTCTTCAACTCTGAAATTATTATTAGATGAAGCTTAGAAAGGATTTTAATATTAAATATTCTTGAAGCATTCATAATTTAATTTGAAATATAAAATGAAATCAAGTCAATCAGAGAAGTTTTAATGGCTTATTTGAAGAATCTTGCATCTCAATTATCTGATGACTTTTACTACAAAAACCATTTTCATGAATATTTCATGATGTTGTTTATTTAAAAATAGTTTGACACGAACTTGTCATGATAATCTAATTTGATGTGCTTATGCTTATGCTTTCAGCTTTTTCCCTCATATTTGATATGCCAGTGTTTATTTATGTAAAAAGTTGACTCATGTTACATTGCTTCTTTATTTGTTCATTTCACTCATTTATGTTGCTTTTGTTTCTCTGCTGAACATAAATTACTAAACATTCTGAGGAAAAATCACAAATTTGCTTCCTTCTTGATTCTTATTTTCATGATATTGTTTCGAGATACATTAGGAAGAAATTAATGTTTAATTGGCGAAACATAAAAGTAGTTCATTATTTGTATATTAAGTCTGTTCCGTCTGATGAAGATTTTCCTGAGAAATTAATTAACTCACCATTACAGATTTTGATCTGATTGTTTTTGATAACTTTTAGTTCTTTTTTTTCTTAGTTTATGCTTCATTTGATTAAATTGCTTTTTTTCTTTCTTTTTTTTGCTTTATATCTTTATGATTCGAATATTTAGATTTACTTGTTGCCTTTGTAGATCACAGTCTCGTTATGTGGATGTTGAAAAGCCCAAAAAGAAGAAAGCACTCAGCGCCACAACGAGTTTGGTGTCGATACCAAATACATTTAACACAATTAAGCTTAGTATGCTCAATAGTGGACTTTTATCCTTTGGTAAGCTCTGTTTTGAAAATTTATTTCCATGTTTTGAATTTGAAGTTTTATCGTGATGTGAACACATTAGATGATACATAGTTTGATAGATAGAAACATAAAAAGAAAGAAAAACAAGGAAAAGCTTTTTTCTCTCTCTTATGAAAACGATTTATGAATTTTTATCTCAATTTCTTTGTTACAATTTGAAATTCATTTCTGTATTCTTTTCATGCTACTATAGATAAGGTTAAACTGTCTGTAAAGGGTAAGTTGAACATATCATAAAATAAAATGAATATTCATCTCTTCCATCAAGGAATTTTACATTGTCAAGAATGATTCAGTTTGCTTCGTTTCATATCATTGATCATCATCATAACTCATACCAAAAAAGAACAGTCTGTTATAAATTAAATTAAAGTGAATTAAAGTAAGCTTCTGATAATCAACTCTTGTGACAGAGAATTCAAGCGTCACATATTTAAATTATGACATAAAAAGAGTACAATGAATGTTATGTATTTCATTTCAGATGAGAATAATCCGCTTTCACAAACAATACCCGATGCCCCAACAGAGCTAAAGTTTTTCATTAAACTTTGTGAGCAGCGACGCAAATTTCCAGTTTTGTACAAAATAGAATTTACTGTAAGTTGTTGATGATGCGATTCAATTAAGAGCACCCGAAAATGAAAAAAAAATTCTCATTCTCATGCATATTTAATATTTAATATAAAAATGACAATGATAACATCTTGATTATAATTTTTTCCGACTTCAACTTAGACTGCTGTTGAAACACATTCATGTCGACATGCAACGAAAAGAAATAATGTAGAGAAAAATCAGAATCAGAAGACAATTCCGTACGACTTTAATCGGGTGGTGTTGGAGAAGATTCAAGGAATAGCCGACTCCGACTACATCAATGCTTCTTATGTCGATGTAATTGAAAATTATTCAAATTACTTTCCATTTTGACTACTTGAATTAATGTTGTTTACTTTCCCTCCCTTCATCGTTTCTTAATGTTATCACAGAGCCTTTTAAAGCCGAATGCTTACATTGTAACTCAAGGACCAACCGAGGAGACTGTTTTCGATTTTTGGCGCATGGTTTGGCAGGAAAATGTTAGCTGTATCGTGATGCTGACAAAAACATTTGATTTCACGAAAATCATGTGCGTACAATATTGGCCGGCGTCAAAAGAGAAAGACGAATGCTATGGTGACACGCCAGAACATCAAATTTATATCGGAGTGGCGAAAGAAGAAGAACTGGCAAACTTCCACATTCGAACATTTCGTCTTTACAAAATGCACAACAATGTATGTCGTTTCTATTTTATTGACATTCATATTTATATTTAATCTAACATCCAAAACGGAAGCAATAAGAAATAATTTGAATTTTCTCTTCGCTTTTCTTTTCTTTATAAATAATTTTCTTCAATGACACAAACGGAAAATATTCGCGCAGGTGAAAGTCGAGGAAAGGATGTTGTTGCAATTTCATTACACGGTAGGTTTCAATTAAAACAGCCCACGAGGATATTAAAGTAGCTGTTAATTATAATCTGAACAGGAGTGGCATTCACACACGTGTCCCTTCTCTAATGCGATTCTCGAGTTTCGTCGACGGGTACGCTCAGTAGTAGGCAGCACGTTGAAGTCGGATAGACCGATGTTGGTGCATTGTAATGATGGAGGTTTGTTTCAACCTTTCTTTCCCACATCAACATAAATTAAATCTCGGTCATTATCGTCCACTAGGTGGCCGAAGTGGTGTTTATCTGGCAATTGATTCAAACATTGAATTGGCAGAAGAAGAAGATTCATTTTATGTTTTTGGATATTTGAAGAAGGTAAATCGTTGACAGTAAATTGTTTTGATCTCGATAAAGCAGTTTTATGTCCATTCGTTTTGATTTAAAGCTTCGTCAATCACGAAAGGGTTTGATTGAGAATGTCGAGCAGTATAAGTTCGTGTACGACACACTTGAAGAGTACGTGGTTTGTGGAAATTCATTTTTCCCAGTTAAGGATTTATCCGTGAAATTAAAACAAAAGAGTGCAAAGGATCCAACCACAAAATTAAACGAATATCAGAAAGAATACGCTCAAATTTGCAAGCAAACACCTCGATTTTCCATTGGTGATTGTGCTGGGGGACATCGAGGTGACAATCGAGAGAAGAACCGAGACGTGCTTTGTGTTCCTCGTAAGTTTTTCTCATAAAAAATTCATTTGATGTCATGGTTCATTCGTGTGACTTTCAGCTGATAATTTCCGTCCATATCTGACGTCGTTTCAAGGCAATGCCTTCACTGATTACATTAATGCAGTCTTTGTAGACGTGAGTTATTATTTTCTATCGAGATTACAGTTTTTATCAAAATTTTCACTAAACTTTTCTGTTTTGTTTTCGTATTTTCCCAGGGCTATACAAAACCTCGAGGTAAAAAAAACTTTTCACAACTAACTCTTCTTCATCATCATAACTCAAATGTCACACTGATATTTAATTTTCTTTTCTCTTCCATGCCCTACATATAAACACACAGAGTATATCGTAACTGAATGGCCATTGAAAGCTGTAAGTCGCCATATGGCGTAAAAGCTTTTCTATTAAAACTGTTCATCTAAAAAAATGTTTTTTCAACTTTATTTTTTGCAGACATGCGGCGAGTTCTGGAGTTTAGTTTATGATCATGAATGTTCAGCCGTCGTTGTGCTTTGTCAGCCACCACACAACTCTGTAAGTTTAACTTTAACCATATTTTAGTCTGATATTGTTTAATTGGGCTCTATTTTGTTTAGCAAACTTATCCAGCATGTTGGCCAGAAGGTCGTCACTCGAAAAAATACGGACCAGTATTCACAATCGATCACATTTCTCACAATCATTATACAAACATTAAAACATGGATATTTCGAATTAACAAGAAAGTGATTTCTCTAACAGAGTTAATGGCAGGCGTTAAAGCGGTGTAAGATTTTAATTAGCATAATTAAAATTCGTTCACAATTTTTTTTCCTTTCTTTCTGTTTGGCAGTCCACGAACTGTTCAATTATTTCAATTAACATGTTGGCCTTTGGGACATAAAGTACCGACAAGTACCAACAGTTTAGTTGAGTTGATGAACATGGTTGAGAGATGGCGTCAGAAAGCTAATGGACCAGTTTGTGTGGTATCACCGGATGGTCGAAGTCGTGCTGGTGTTTATTGTGCTGCTAATGCTTGCATTGAGTAAGAAACTTTCATGTTTATTATTGGCATTTGAATAAATATGTATGTAAGTAACACTCACTTCTTATTTAGGCAAGTCATTCAACATTCAGAAGTTGATGTTTTTCAAGCCGTCAAGACAGTTCGTCGTCATCGTCCACAATTGGTTGATAACATGGTAATGATGCCCTTTCTAGGTCGAAACGATTTCTTACATTACCTAAACTTTTATTTTTCTTTTTTCGCTTTTCTTTCAGACGGAATACAAATATTGTTACGATTTGGTGTTACACTACGTGCTCCATTACTTAAATAAGGAAAACGAAAAGAAGTGAGAACATGAGATCCGCGATCAATGGTAGGTAAATGGTTCGATAAAACGAAAAAAAAATGCTGAAATGAAGCCATGAAATTAAAGCTTTTTAATGATTTTGACACGAATTTCATTCGTTTGTTGTTGATTCTTCTTTCTTCTTTCTCTTTCCCAGGTTCATTGATTTTGGTCGCGGAAAAAACATCCCACTCACCCCAGATGACAGTAATTTGGAGAAAATTAGAATTAAATCGAACACGGGTCGTATTGTTATAGACAAGACGATAACCGGGTTGGGATTGAAGAATAATTTGTATAACAATTTGAATGAGACGCAAGACAGCCGCTATGTTATCGATAAGAATGGAAAGATTTTGGAACGAAAGAAGAAAGGTCGTTTGTATAGTTTAGGTGGCAATGAGCCGAAAAGAGAAAGACAAAGTCAGTTGGTTCGTATGAAGACAGTTGGAACATTTGATTTGTGTAAAGATGTGACAGCGTTAGCTTGTGGATTTAATCAAAATATCGAACCAATCTTAGAGCCACAGGAAAACGAAGTCATCGATGATGCAAGTGTAAAGTTGGAAGATGAAATTGCATCAAACGCTGGTTCAATTAGCATTTCGCCAAAAAGACAAAGACACATATCCACATCGGAAAATTCATTAGCTGTTGATGATAGTTCAATTAACTCAAATATTAAGAAAAAATTTAGGAGTTTAAGTTCAAGTTCATATTTAATGGATCATGATCCGAATGAGTTTCGCAGTAAGTCAGCGGATTTATTGGATGCCGCTGAGAAATTTGAAGAAATTTTAACAACAACTGTGAGTGCATCTAACATTGCCAATAAATCAGTTGAAAACATCTGTGAAAGTTATAAAAACGAGACAGACGTTGAGAATTTAAATTTAATTAAAACAATAAATTGTGAAGAAAATTTAAATGATCAATCGGAGAATTCATCACAAATTCCAGTTCAAATTCGAAGAAGAACATTCAAGAAGAGTAAGAAGATTGTGCGAACTGATTCAGAATTATTGAAAGATAAAATAATTGCGGTGACAGCTGAAATTAGCCCAAGTCCCTTTAAGACCCCACCAAGTCCAACAATTCAAATGTCCATGGCAAATTCAAGGGAAGGAAGTCACGACAATTCATCGAGAAACATTTCAACCGACACTGTCTTTTCCGATATGGCCGAGGAAGATGACGAGAATATTGATTTGGAAAAATTGGAGCTCGAATACAAAGAACATGTGAAATCGAATCTTCAACGTGAATATAAAAGCGACGGCGATTCATTAGATGAAGTTGGAAAAGAACGTTACATGCCTGATGAATGGAAGAATAAAAGCATTGATTTTGAGTTCCTTGAAGATGATCAACTACATGAGTTGAGACGACAAAGCTTAGTCAATTCAACGCGTAAAAGTTTAAAGAAGATTCGCAATGATTCTGATATTCGAACGAAATCTGAAGGCGATAAAGACACTCTCTACATGAAAGCCGACAGCACAGAAACTCAATCAACTGAAGACGAGAATCGAATTGAAAGTGAGCCTCAAATTGAAAAGAAGAAACTCGAAAAGCAGCCAAGTTTATTTGAGAAGCGTTTTGGGAAATTGAAGAAAATGAATAAGTTGTTAAAAGTTAAAAGGTTCAGCACGTCGGCTTTATACGATCAGAAGAAAGCGAATGAATCAAGCACGGTAAAAGGAAAAGAAGTGCAACCTCCCGCATTGTCTGCACTGTCACAAATCAGTGATTTTGCTTCTTCGAAGACATCACTCGCATCACCTAAATCACTGAAAGGAAAACGTTTTCTTCTTAAGAAGCGAAAGTTTTCATTTTTTGGAAAATCTCAATCGAACAATGATTTAAATATCAACTTGAAGTCTCTCGCTTCGAAACTTTCACTGCTTTCAAAGTCGAACTTTGACTTAAGTAAGAACAACAGTAATCTTCGACTTAACGCTGTTGGGATTTATGGAAAATATGGAGCATCAAATGAGTATCGTAGCGATATAATAACAAAGCAACATGGATGCACATCGCCACTTTCAGAAGCATTTTACAACGCCACAGGATCTTACCAACTCACCCCAATGGAACTATTTGAGAAGTTTTGTTCACAAGACTTCACCGGACTTTACAAACATGAACCGATTAGTGATGGCGATGAAAAGATAACTATCGACACAGGAAATCATTCTTATAAAGGTGCTATCAAGAAATCAAGTAGTTTAAGAAAGGCAACGCTCCTCAAACAGAACAGTGAACCGAAGTTTAGTATGAAAAGTTATCCACTTGATAATTATTTTACAAATCCGCAAGAAGTTGTTGAAGAAGAAGAGATTGAAAGTGGTGAGAACGACGAGAATGATGAATTTTCTTCTTATAATGTGATGAATCGAAGATCTTCATATGGTCGACAATTGGAATTTGATCAGAATGATCAATATTTTGAAGACCCTGATGACCAATATTACATTTCAGAAGATCCCGAAGAACTTTATCAAAATCAAGAAGAAGATGTTGACGAAATTTATTTGATGCCAAATCAAAGATACGATGGCAGTGGATATCTTAGAAATTCTGACGAGATTTTAGCTATTGATGAAACAGATGAAGAAATTTTAGAAGATTCTGAAGAGTTACTTAAAGAATTTGAAGGAAGTAAAGAATCGAAAGTTCATTTTGAAGATGAGAAAGATAAACTTCGTGCGATTTACGAAATTTGTCCAAAGGATGGCGAATTGAATGAAACAGAAAATATTGAAGATGAAGATAACAATTTAAAGACAATTATCAGCGAGTATGTTAAGAATGCTTGCACTTCAATCACTGATGACAGCATTGGAAGATCAAATTCAATGGATTTATTGAGTAACTCAAGTGATACAATGAAATCAAATAGTAATTCAGAATACGCATTTGATACAGTCAAACAAATAAACTTAGACAGTTGTAGCACATCAAAACTTAGCTTATCCCTCAATAGCGATATATTTGATGATATAACATTAGCTCCCCCCCTTGATCAAGCTATTAAAACAATAAAGATTTGTGAAATGGATGATTTTACACTTACACCCGATGGGTCGATGTCAGAGAACAATAATGAAGCGAAAGCTGCGAAGCAATTAAGCGAACAGGATAAAATAAGAAATGAACTTCACAGTGAGTACACAATAATTGATTGTGATGAGTTGGAGCATGATGGGGATTTTGAAGTTATGAGATTTAACGATGAAAAGTCATCGTTTGCTGAAGCATTAAACAAGGAATTTGATAAACTTTTCACACGAGCTAAGAACGACAGCGATACTGATATTACGACAACGCCATCAGTCGCGACTGTTTTAACAGCGATTAAAATGCCATCCCGATGTTCCATGGAAAAATTGGAAGCTTTACCGTTCGAATATGATCAAGAAACACTCATTGGTAGTGTGAAGGAAGAGAAGGAGAAACCTTCAGTTCCACTCTTATCACAATCAATGACATCAACAACCCTTCATCAATCGATGTCTACAAAAAAGCAAGAGTCAGCAAAAAATAAATCCAAACGGAGCGTGTCGCTTGGAGCGATTCATAAGAGAAAATCAAATAAGTGCACTCCGCTGTAGATGCTTTTATGGATGTTTTCATGTAATGGAAAGGAAGAAATTAATTTGTTCGTAGTGCAATATTTAATGGTTGAAAATGTTTTGTAACATCAGCAAGAGAAGAAAGAAAAAAAGAGAATTGAAAATTGCATTTAACCAAAAAGTGTACTAACAGAAAGTCAGTAGCTTTAACCACAGACTATTATCGTGGAACATTTAGTGGTGAAAAATTTTTACTTATACGTTTTAAGTTCAAACGGACGTCACATGGATAGCGATGGCGGATAGAACTTTTTAAAATTCATTCGGAATTCGTAATTAAAATTGAAATGAAAAGATATTAAACATTTTAAATGTTGATGATACTTAGATGGAATGGATAAGAAAAAAAATATTAAAATCGTGTTAATTATATTAATACATATGACATTTTTCCAATTTAATAAAAACTTACAGTCACGGAGCTTTGGCTTTTGGACAGAACATTAATTTGTTGTCTTTGTGATGATTAAAAATGATTTTAAGATTCATAAGAAGCATTTTGCTTAGTTTTGCTTGGAATCAGCTCGATTTTTAGTGCTTGTATTTGTTTATACTTATTAGATATTTGAGATAATTTAAAAGAAAACAAAAATATTTATGGTTTGTTTAATCAAATTTGAAAAAAAGAAAATAAATTATAATAAAATTGGTCATGGAGCTGTTCTAATTAAAGTGAAACCGATCTGATTTTTCCTAAAGCGAAGATTTAGGTAGTTTCGCGAATAAGCCTTAATATTAAGTCCTGAAAGTCTGTCAATGATACTGGATAATGTCAGTCATGTTAACTCAAGTTAACGTTAATTAAAATTTACATTTGTCTGTCCTTTATCCTTCTTGTCTATTATCATGCATATTCTTATTTACTTAATTATTTTCTTTGGTAAACAGCTCTACTTTAATTACCTTCCATCTACTTTAAGATCACAGTAGAAAAGGTGAAGGAAATATTCATATAAAAGAAATGTTTTTATACCTTTTTAACGGAATATATGCGCAAAAATATTTGTGGTAAAATAATATGTTGATGTTAATTTTTTTGTGTAGTAAAAACAAACATGTAAACATACCGTGAAACAAAAAATTGTTATTGTAATTTGAAGTTGTCTGTTTTTTGAAAAGCTGCGGGTGTTGTCAAATATATTTACCTATTAAACAGATTTGTTTTCTAACAAAAAAAAAATCGTCCATACAATTAGAAGAAAAAAAAGGAAAATATCATCCAATTATAAATGTTGTTGACCGCACGCGATCATTAAATGAATTAAAAGATGAAAATAAAATTTTTGGATGTCGCAACGTGCAATTGTTTGATTCTTCTATTTTTGAATGAAAAAAGATAAAAAATGATGAAAGCAAAAGGAAATTGAAACTTCATTGAATGAAATAAAATATAAAATATGAAAATTGTAAAATGTGTATCTAATTGAAAGAATTTAATAAAGAAATGAATTTAATCAGCGAAGTTTCTTCTTTGAATCTCTTTAATCTTAATTAACTTTTATAATAATTTGAAATAAATTAACATTCCATTTACAGAAATGTTTAAATTTTCTCAGATCTTCGTTGAAGTTCTCTTTATTTACATATCTAAATGAATATCTAGGATGAGGTGATTACATAAAATTCAATCCCATGTCAACTAAATTCTGATTATTTTCATCCAATTGGCGGATTTTTCTTTCTTGCATAATTATAAACATTTTAATTCACTTTTATGATATCTAACACTTGTTTATGTTGTTTATGGGAGAAATTAAATGAAATCTCGTTCAACAAATGAGATAATGGGATTCAAACTTATGATTTATGATTGAAACTTTTCGCCACAAATTATTACTTAAATAATGCTACCTAGCATTAGCAGCTCCAACTATCATCATCTATCACTTATGTAAGCAAACTAATGATTTTTAACTGCTTTAAGTACAAGTGTAAGCAGTGCTTACAAGAAGAAAATCAAATATTATAATGTCTCAAAAAAAAATTATCAACATTAACAACTTCACTTAGCGGCGCGCGAGTAAGTTGTTATATGAAATTGTTCATCTGACTTCTTTCTTTCATTATTTTTTCTTCTTTAACTTTCTTCAACGATGTGCTATTTAATGCTTTAATTCTTCAGTTGAAGTCGAGCTGCGGAACAAGTCGGTCGAGAAAAATAACGAGAAATAAAATACGCCAAAGAAAACTGCATTCCTTTGAATTGGAAAATTAAATATTAAAAAGAAAAAAGAAAAGAAAAATTAATTAGTGACGAATAAATTTTCTCAGCAGAATTTGATTAAGAAATATTGAAAATCTGATGAAAATTTTCTGTACAAAGAGAAAGAAGAATGAAAGAAAGAATTTCAAGTGAACAAGCAGCTTTCAGAGACAAAATGTATTGAAAAAATGCAATCAGAATAATTCAAGTGATAAAAAGAAAAAGCATAGAGAGAGACAGTTAGATTTAGCAGTAAAATGCTGCCGCTCATCAAAATGAATCATTTTCGGTTGGATTACTTTGTGTCTTTAGGTAATGGTTCTCAGTTTCTCACGTTTTGCGAATTAAATAAAAAATTTTCAACCGCATGGGTCTGGGAGAAAACATCATCAGGTTTTTCGGGGCTAGTAGATTAAGATATTATAATCATCGCTGGAATGAGCTCGATTCTGTTTTAGAGCAGAAGAGAAAAAGAGGAATTTTCTTTTCTTTTCTTTCTTAATTCCACGCACCTAATAGTTAGATCATTTCTCTTAAATTGAATGAGTGATGATGGAATAAAAGCAGATATAAAACTCCGGAAACAACGTGAGAATAGAGAAATATTCTCGTACGAGAAGCTGAAAGAAGAAAAACAAACTTTATTGTAGCCAAATTGAAATAATGGCTTTTATAAAGGTGCTGTGGGATGTCGCTTTGTTAATTCCGGTGATTCGGAAGTTGATTATTAGCAAGCAGTTTACAACTAAGCTTCATCATGAAGAAGATATCTGTAACTTTAAATTGGTGTCAAACTTAATCTTGATTGTGATTCACAATTATGTTTTGTGTTTGAAAATAGGTAGTTTCATCTTCCTTTAGTCATCTTCGTTGTTAATTAAACTACTGTATGAAAAAAGAATTGCAAATTAAAAAATGTTGAACTCAAAGGCTTTGCAACAATCTAGGAAGAAATTATCATTGACTGCATTGACGGTTATTTTACTTTTACTTCTTGTAATACTTCCAGTTCTGGTTCTTCTACAGTAATAACTACATACATTTGACATCTTCTGTTGCATTCAATGTGTTACACAAATGCGACAGAGCCATTGATAGTGTTGTGGTATAAAATATGAAACATTTTCAATGGCCTCTTATCAAATATAGTCCAAAGCGTATTTTTCTGTTCTTGTTTCTTGATTCGCTATATCATGAAAGGCAACCTATAAATTGCGAAAGAAACAGCAAAGATGTTTCATCTTAACTCAAGCATTGATTTTTCTTTCTATTTATCTTTATGTGCATGTGCTGTGCTGTGGTTAACCACTTGAGTTGTTAGTTTATGTATTTTCTTATTTCATGGTCTTCAAACGTTACAGCCACACGAGATTAATCTCTTCTTACGAGTAAGTGAGAGCATCGTTTAGGCATATGTTAAATGCTGATATTTTCATTACTCTTGATTACATTATAAGCGAAAAGTGTTAACGAGGGCTTAGATCATTGAATGCGATTTGAAAAATTTCACTTTTCTTTTATTTTATGTCTTTGCTCGCAATTATGATTTATGAATAAGAAGCTAGTCAAGTGAATCCGTGCTGAAAGATGATGATCCTTTTTCAAACGTTGCTAGATACAAAGCTTTTCAATGTTGAAGCGTTTTTTTTATTACAGAAAAAAGAAAATTTCACGGTAATATGAACTGATGAGAAATGAAGGAAAGAAATGATAAATTTTATGAAATTTATGTGTGTACTTTAGTAAATTGATTTGTCTACACAAAGTGATTTGATCTTAATGTTCATTTTACGCAATTTGGCTTTTCATCAAGTCTTGCTTTTGTCTATTAATCAAGACATTATTTTGGGAACAAATTACTTAAGATCCGGCTTGAATGTCATGTTTACTTATGAAAATTTGTTTTTGAAGTTGACATCACGAATAAAAGCTAAAATGTAAATCGATGAGCTTTGAAATGTTAATCGAGATTATGGTTGGAAACTTCACGTGTTGTTATTTTAAATAAATTATTCGTTTCTAAAATTTGAATTCATAAATAGGAAAATTCTATAAATATTTATTCAGAAATTAAATTGAAGAAGTTTTGAAAGTGCTGAACTATCTGCGAATTAATTCAATGTCGAAGACATTCTTTCTGAAAATTTCATCAAACTTTCTTCGCATAATGATGATAGAAATATGTTGAGCATTAACAAGAATGTTAATGTTGTCCCACTAATGTTATAATGACCCCCTCATAGAAACCTCATCAAAAAATCTACAACAAATCATTTAAATGACGATTGCTTATGGCGTTTGAAAATCACGTTTAAGTAATTTCGATTTCATTGCTTTTGTTGTGTTTCGAAAGAAAGAAGATTATAGTAAGTGAAGGAAAGAGAGAAAGACTACTTACTGCTAATAAAAAGAAAGTGAATTGAAATTGGCTAACAAGACAGACAGAACAGAAGAAAAAAAAATGTTAATTTGGTTTAAAACTCAATGAAGAAAGCATTCATGCATGTGTAGTCCAAAAAAAGAAGAAAAGATTGACTTAAACCAACATGAAAAATAATGAAATGAAATTAACTTGGTAATCGATATTTCATATCACGTTTAGGCAAAAAATGAAATTTGATATTTAAAAGAAAGTGATAGATATCTGGTAAACACGTGATAAGAAATTATTTTGAAACATTTCGGGGTCGGCGAAAACAGCATAATTTTCTTTATTTTATTGAATTTGTAAAGGAGAAATTCTTGCATATTATGGCATGCAACATGTCCAATCAATTTTCTAATTGCATTTCATTTCCATCCACCATGTTGATAAATAATTTATTTTATTTAGTTATGATGCTAACAAGCAACATTGTGCAGATTTCTTCAAACGATGAAGTTCAATCCCGCTCTTTAGATTTGTCGTGGAGACCTCTGAGCCATAATCCGTATCACAAACAACTCTTCCAGACTCCACCAGCAGCACTTATTAGTTATTCACATTTTGACAAAGCAAATAAAGATGAGATTGTTGAAGCTGCCAAACATAATGCACAGCTATTGAAGAAGTTGAAAGAGATTAATCATCAGCCGATTACAAGTTACAGCGATCCATACCAGATGTACACGAATACAGAAGCTTCAACAAGATTCCCTTCAACAACTCAATTATTCACAACAAAACCACTTAAACATCAACATCAGTCAGCAGCTTCTGCACATGTTTTGTCACGAATCCCTTTTCCTGGAAAATCTGTATCACTTTATCAAACAAAGCTTAACTATTTAGGAAAGCCTGACTCTAATGCCGTTTATCATCAAAACAGCATACATCAAACTATACCAACGACACCCAAAATTGCTGGCTATACAAAAGAACATGGTCGTGTTAACTTTCATTTTCATCATCCATCATATGCAATGACGCAAATTTCCACCACAACAAAAAGAGTTCCAATCTTCAGGTGAGTGAAAAATTGTCTTTTAAATATTTTATTGATGTAGAAAATAATTTAATTTTCTCAGTTCTTCGGCTACGCCACATCCACATCCAGTCATGAATAAATATCAAGCACATATGGCACTGGCAGCTGCATCACAAAAGCAACACCATCAGCTGAAGCAACAACAGAATGTTGTCTTCTCTCCTCCAAGTCAGATTATGTCGAGTTATGCAAACCTTGCACAGTTTCCCGTAAATCATCCCTTTTGGCATATGGGAGTTAAGAGTGCACCTTATCACATAATTCATGAGAACAGAGAATTTCCTTTCCATTTTCATAAGTTGCCCGAACCACAACATCATCAGCAAATCATTCAATATCAACAAAAACACCCACAACCACCACCACAACAATATCAGCAGCCACAAGTGGATGAACAACCTTTCATGCCAAGTATTCATCCTTCGATTCTCACACCGTTCTTAGAACAAGTTCAGTTAAAACAAAAAGAAGCTGCAGAACAAAAAACTCATTTGAAACAAAGTCATGAAGTTAACAGTCAAGAGAATGATGGTTCATTTGAGATTATCAACGATGTTTTCAGCAAACATTTAGTTCCACCCCCACCTTCCAATCCATCTCCATTGAAAATTAAATCGAAACCTGAGAAGCCTGATAAAGTGAAGAAATATAATTTGTCGATGCCTTCACCACTTCAAGATGCATCAAGATTCAATTATGAAAATGTCATATCAACAGCAACACCAGCAGCAATACCAACTGAACACCCTAGTCGTGCTAAACCAACCGTATATGAACACATAAATGCATCAACTGAAAAACCAAACGTTTTTATTCATCTTAACAACAGAACAAAAGAAAATGTTTACAAGCATCATAAACTTTTACATCCGAGTTATACTGGAGGGTTCAAGAAGCGACCATCACACTTCCTTCCAACTCCTTACGAACCAACAACAAAAGAAGAAGAAGGGGAAGAAGCAGAAAAACAATTGCAAAAAGCTTTTGAACCTCAACATAGTTTCTTCACAATTGAAGATGCAGTGACGCCACATTTGAGATACGAGGTCATCAAGGGGCCAATTCCAGTTAAAGAAGAACAAGAAATTTATACTCGTGCACCAGCCCTTGGTGGTAGTTTTGAATATTCTTTAACAACTGATCCATTTATATCGACATCAACATCTCCACCAACTGAAGCTACAACGACACATAAACCAAAACAAAAATTGAGGAGAAGAAAGCCGAAACCTCATCATAAAAAGAATAATAATGCTGAGAACACGAGCACAGGCGAGGGAGAAAAACGAATAAAGGAAAGCGTCAAATCAAGTCGTGTCCGAGAAAATGTAAAACCATCTGAAAGGCCAATCAATCAAAAAGATTTGAGAACAAGAAATCGTACAAATCATCCGAGTCGTGTTAGAAATCGTGTAAGTTTGACCTCACCAGCGGCAATTTTCTCAACGGTTGATTATGAAACGATGAAATCATCAACGGAGGAACAAAAATCGATTGAAGTCACTTCCACACAACACGAGACAACTGAGACAACAACAAATTCTAAATCAGAAGAAACTTCTGGTGCTGAGAATGTTAAGCGGCGTGTTAGAGTACGATATAGGAATAAACTTCGTGCTGGTGCTGTTACAAAAGTTAATGAACCAACTGAATTAAAACAAAAAATTAGCGATAATCAAATCTCTGATAATGAACATGAAAATATAATTTTTAAGCATCAAGATGATTCGACGGAGTCCAATAGTGCAACTGAAGCTGTTGTTAATGAGATTAAGACGAGTTTGAGACTTCCAAATCTTAAGCTACGTAATGAAGCTTTTACCACTTTACCGACAACTCAAGAAACTTTAACAACTTTAAGTCATTCGAGCTCTTCGAAGAGTAGTGAAACAGATGATAATAATATTTTGAATCGGGTTGCAAATCGTCCAAGATTTAGTATTAAGGAAATCAAGAGGAAACAATTATCAGCTCTTACAACGCACTCAACAACACTCACAACATCATCGACACCAGCTCCATCAACAAAATCTGACAATCAAAGATTCAACAGAATTCGTTATCACATAAGACGAAGAAATGAAACGACAGAGTCTACTGAAGATCCAGAACCAACAAGAAAAAGATATTCAACTTATCGTACGACAACTTCAACAACAGAAAGTTCAGTGGAACCTTCAACAACTTCGAAACGTGCGAATTTGCCTAAGCGAACATTTCCATCACGAACTTTTATGAAGCCAACAGCAAGTGTCACCGAAAGTGAAACTTCGACAAGTTATAAACCCTTTAAAAGTGTGAGTCGACCGACAACACCAAATCTTCGAACGAGACTCCAAAGTTCTTATAAAAAGAAAGAAGAAGTAAGTGACGATGTCACTGAATCGTCACAAGATACAATTACAAATGTTAACTTTAACTTAGAAACTGCTGTTACGCAAGAACAGCCATCAACAGTTTCAACTGAATCGCCCTATAAGCATGAAACAAGTATAATGAAAATAGCTAAAACACCATCATCAGTGAACAATGTCGAGAGAACAGCAAGCACGAATTCAATCAATGTGATACCTGGTGTTACAGATAGCGATTACGACATGACAGGTTTACCTTCTGAACATTCGCAGCGTGTCGCTGAGCTTACAATTTCAGGAAATGAAAATTACTCATTTAAATCAGCAAATATTGGTCCGCTTTCAAGACGCATTCCCAGCTATTTTACCATCTCAACAGATGATCCAATTCTTCCTATTCAAGCGTTCTTCCCTCAAATAAAAACAAACGAAACTGTAAGTTACGATTAGATTGATTTTTCATGTAATCTTATTAATGAAATTTCTTTTTCAATTTTCACAGAATTGAAGGTTTTTATCTCATCTTCTCGCTTCTTATTGCATTTCCGCAACAAAACTTTAAGTCAATGATTAATGCTCATTGAAAGGGAAAGAAGAAAAATAAAATAAAAACAAATGTTTCCGACTTTCTACAAGTGATTAAAGCGATCAAGCAAGGAGTTGCTGCTTGCTATACATTACAATAATTTATTTATTTATCTTAATTTAATTAGTGTTTATTAAAGCTTAATCGATTTTCCACAAAGCATTGAAAGCTTCCCAATGAGCGTGAAGCTTTCTTTTGTAAAGTGAAAATAATCAACAAAATATTTTACATCGATTTGATTTTCTTCTTTTTGAAGTTGAAAAATGATTTTGATTGTTTTAATAATTTATTTCAAAATGATGAACAGATATGTACAGGAGCTTAATAAACTTTATTCGATGATAGTGGAATGAGTTTGATGTCTATATTAAGAATTTCTCATGTTCATGTCTTTCCTTTTTTTTTGTCTCTTCAATGACCATCAATTTTAAACGCAATCGACAGCTGTCTGATGTCTGAAAAGGATGCATTTATAAATTACTTCACATTGATTTATTTTCTCCATTATTTCCTATCCTAATTTATTTATGTTTTTAAGAGGATATTTATAAAATATTATTTATGTTCCGTAATTTATAAATCCTTACCCATCATGAAAGAAAAGAAAAAACGAAAACAATAATTTTTCAAAGTAAATAATCTATCAAAACTTACCTTGAATCTATGTTGTCGCTAGCTTTTGAAAATATATTTTAGTAAAGGTCAAGTGTAAGAAGACAATAAATAGTCAATGAATAGAGGAATGAATCAATAAAGAAAAAAGTATTTAAGTTTTGTTTAAATCTTTATTTTAATATATTAATTTTAAAATTTGAATTTATTTCAAAAGAAAATTATTTTTGCCTTTTTTTACAGCTTAACTAACTTTGACTTTCTATAAAGTTTAGAAAAAGAATCTTCTCGGTTTTTCATTTGTTAAGTCTAGAAGATAAAATTTGTCGATTTCTTCTAAAAATCTCTTTTATAAGCATTTATTCTAAATACACTTAAAATCTAATGATGAATGCGGTAATGCGATTGTTATCAATTCACAAATGAATGAAATAATTGCTTTATTAGTTTGAAGATTTCTTTGTGCGGTGAACTGAATTGAAAAGTAAAAACTGTCGACATGACCACATGATGCTTATGATAAGTCAAACAAATTGAGGTTTGATGAATAAAACATGCATGAAACTGTTAAATATCAAATAGCACTTTGGCAACAAAACTTATTATTAGTTTCAATTGTCAAACACATCGAATGTAGAAAATATATGAGAAAAATATTTTTTTGTATTATATGTAAAGGAGTAGGAAGTAAAAAAAGCTCTAGAAAAGCTTTGTCATGAAAATAAATCAGCTCTTAGTTATCGAAGAAGCTAAAATTCTATTTCTTTTTATTCTTTCCCAATGTTAAAGTGTGGGAAGTTGCCAGTTGAGATTTACGTCGATTAAATTCAACAAACTCTTCCTCAAGTTTCTTGCGAGCTTCCTCCAACTTTCTTTTATCCTCAGCATGATCTTTCTTCAATTTCTCGAATTTCGCATGGAGCTATTGTGCAATCAATCAAATGATAAAAAAAGTCAGAAAAACGTTTGAAAACAACAAATTTCATTGTCAAAATCACCTCTTTTTCACTTTCTTTCAACTCAGATTCCTTCTCTTTCACACGAACCACAAACATTTGACGCACTTCATCTTCTTTTGCCTGCAATTCAGCAACATGATTTGTGCGTTTTGCTTCAAATGTCTGTTGGAATGACACGGGCTTGTTTTCACTGTCAACGTCAGTGAAACCCATTTGCTCTAATCGCTTTTGACGGTATAGTTCGTAATGACGTGTGTGTGTTTTCTCGCGCATATCTTCCATGTTGGTACGAATCAACATTTCTCGTAACTTCACAAAGTCACAATGAGCTTCATTTTCGACTTGTACGATTCCCTACATAAGAGTTAGATCAAATATTTAATCGAGATTAGGTAAATCGGGATTGAGATGAATTTCTCACCCAAGGATATTGACGAGCTCGAATCATTTTGCTACCCAACTTTATGAATTCTGTGCTTCCGACGACAGCGAAGGGAACATGAGCATTCATCGAATTATTGATATCTTGAACTGTTTCGTCATCGGTCGGGAAATGATAAACTTGAACGCCATTAGCTTGCAATTCTTCATTAATTTTCGCCTAAAATGATTTCAAAATCAATAAAATTCAAATAAAATATTCTTAAAATAAGTTTGTATAAATATGTCACCTTAAATTTCTGCAATTCTGTCTTCGAAATGGTGTCAGCTTTGGCAATTATCGGAATGATATTTACTTTGGTGTCCAATTTCTTCATGCAAACCAGATCCAAAGATTTCAAACCGTGACCGGTGGGACAAATGAAGTACAAACAAATGTGAATACGACTGTCATGGTACATTGAGAGCGAACGTTTAATCTTCAACTCTTCTTGTAAGTAAGCTTCGAATTGAGCATCAAGATGATCAACAACTGCTTTAAATGAATCATCTTTGTTTATTTGATCACCATAGCCGATGGTGTCGCAGATTGTCAGCTTTAATCTGACATTACTTTCTTGTAATTCGTAAGTTTGAGCCTTCAATTTAACCATTGGCAGTGAGTGAGGACTTGGTGTTGCTTCAAAGTTGGTGTTGAACAATGAATCCATCAAAGTACTTTTGCCCAAACCAGTCTCGCCAACGCAAAGTATATTGAAGACGAATCCATTTTGAACACTTTTGTTTACCAACTGGTCAGGGAGACTATCAAACCCGACGTGACCAGAAAGCTTCAGGTTACGCAAGTGACTCTCGTGCTATATTTAAATGAAGAATAAAAGAAATTTATATTGTTAGTATTCTGTTTACGTCTTGAAATATCCAATTTTTGAAGAGTTATTGAATAAAATGTGGGTTGGATTGCTTTTCTAAAGATGTCACAAATTTTATTCTTTGATTCGCTTTAATAGAAACAAGAACAAGCATTGTTCATTTCACGTTATTTATTATCATCCCAAACACAAACAAAAAATCGTTTCATTTCATGAAGGGATAGCATAACAAGAGGCTGTTTTGTGTAGTTAAAATTAGAACATGAATCGCTGGAGAAGAAAATATTTTATTAAAGAAATGAGAAGAAGAAGTTTTAGTTTCTTTATGTTTTGTATGCACAGAGTGTAACATGAAGCGAATGCTTGTCACGAATTTTTAAACAATTTTCTTTACTGTCACGGTTTCTTGGCCTTTTTATTTTCAAAAGAGAGAATAAAAACTAAGTGTTTTAATTCACGGAAAAAGAAAATATTTCGTCATTAAGTAAATATAATGTGAATGTCCGAAAATCCAGTTAGGTTGAATTGCCATCGCAATGCGATTGAATTGACTTTGAGACCGATTTTAAGTAGAATCAGCAAGAATTGTTAATTGACGAAAAACATGCAAAGCAATGAACGGGAGCTCGACGTTTTATATTGTTTTTGATAAAATCGTTTTGATTAATGGTTACATATCATTGACATAATTAATTAATTTCACTTTGAATGCTTGCATTTAGTGTGTCAATAGTTTGGTTTTCCATTTATGGTTTATAGCATTGTTTTCACTGCACTAGGTAGAACAAAAACATTTTAAATGGTCAGCGTGACCATTTCCGGCAAGTGTTTATGGTACAAACATAAATGCTTAAGTTCAACTTTCTAATTCGCAACTATCCATTTCATTGAATTTACAGTCGAATATTTTCACTTTGATTTATAATGCAATCGACTGAATAAGCGAAATATCCAAACCGTCACAATTTAGTGAGCATGCGATTTTTCAAGAAAACTGATTCATCTCAATGAAAATGACTAAATAACATTTTTATAGCTTTTTCAAAACGTTCGACGCCCAAAGAAATCGTTTTCGTAATATTTTCACCGAAATTCATACTACACGACTTAAACTTCAATCAATTTCAGCACTCACTTTTTCAGGGATACCGATTTCAGTCATTTTAGATCTTGAAAGCTGCTAAATACAATAAGAAATGACAATTATTTAATAATTTTCCTCAGTTTTTAAACAGCGATTGAAGCGACTTCTTCAGAATAATTGAGGAGTTGATGCAGAAAATTCATTCGAATGTTCAATGTTTTTAAACTCGGACGTTTTCTGTCCGGGATACTTATTGCTAAATTCGCCAATACGGCGACATCTGGTGATGGAAGTTTGAAACATAGAGGGGTGAAAAGTTTTAAATTTTGTTTTCCTGGACATAACATAATAAATATTTTTCTAATTTAGGCTTCTTACAGGTATGTTAATGAGTTAATCGTAGCATCAGTTATTGACATAAAACCATGTTCACAAGAAAGCGTGAAATTAAATTACGAAACCTTTATTTGTGTCATAAAAAATGAAATATTCATAAAATTTGTTGTTTCATTGTTTTCATTTATCTTAAAGAATTAAAAAATAAACAGCAACAAAATGGAACAAGGACAAACTGGATATGGAGGTGTTGAAGGACCTGATGCCATGTATGTAAAGTTAATTTCTTCAGATGGTCATGAGTTTATTGTTAAACGTGAGCACGCATTGACATCAGGAACGATCAAAGGTGAGAATTTTTTCATCCGATAATGTCGATGACCTAACACTAAAAATATTCTGATTGCAGCTATGTTAAGTGGACCAGGACAATTCGCCGAAAATGAAGCAAATGAAGTAAATTTTAGAGAAATACCGTAAGTGTTTCTAATTTCATTAGATTTGAGATCATTCACAACATTTATTTACAATTTCACAGATCCCATGTTCTTCAAAAAGTTTGTATGTACTTCACTTATAAAGTTCGATATACAAATAGCTCAACTGAAATTCCTGAGTTTCCAATTGCTCCTGAAATAGCGTAAGTTTAAAGCCATTCTAGTATTTTCAACATTTTCATGCTTAAATATTTTAGATTGGAGCTCTTGATGGCTGCAAACTTCTTAGACTGTTAAATCGAATAGACTTTGTCACTTCAATTCTTCTAAGCTTAGCCTTCTTCAACACTTTGTTTGATGTTTCGCTGCTTTCTCAATAATCAACTCAACAAAATAATGGTTTTCTTCATTTGATTATGTATTTAATGTTGTAAAGCAAAATTGTCAAAGATTATAATTTATTAATTTTGATTTTACATTATTAAAATGAAATTTTTAAAAACATTGTTTCAATAAATTAAATCATCCTTTGATATAAATTAACGAATTTAAAGCTTAAACGCGTGATAATTGTAATAACATTGATAAAGTTTCAGAGAGTTTCCTAATAGTCCACATTGAGCAACACATCGAATCCGGTAAGCAGTGTTGCTCGCTTTTTATTCCACGATACTTCTCCCTGTGATTGAAATATCATGAGAGGTTTTGAAGCACTGTCGTGTAGTATTTCTTCATTTCGCTCAACATTCAGTCAGTAGATTTTCGACCATTGTCGAGTCCTGAGCTCGCTTTTAGAAGAAATCTTCAATCGAGTCTTGGAGAAAAAATATGGAAAACATTTAAAAGAGAAAAATATTGACGTGTTGTGTTGTAAGTATAGAAATTGAGGGTGGCAAAGGAAATAAATTTTCTCAGCTATTTATGGAAAAATCACGTAAAATAAGAATTTGATTTGGAAGAAATATAAAAAAAGTGGAAAAAATCTGAAAATTCTCTGTGGAATAAAAATGTTGAAGACAAAAATATTGTTGGGGGAGAATAAATTAGTGATTAGTGATAATACAACATATTCAAAATACTTTAATGTTGCGATGACACGAGAAACTAAAACAATTTCTATGTAAATATCCACAAATCAATTTTCACATTATCGCATTGATTTGTGATAAGAAAAAGCAAAAATAGAAAAAAAATTGCTACACATTATGAAAAATTCGTGTTAAGTACCTACAAAGATACCGCAAATCAAAATGAAATTACTGTCAAATTGCAAAGCCTGCTGATAAGATTTGGTTTGCTACCGGTTTGCAATAAAATGACAAAATATCTGACAGAGAGAGGCAAGTCATTTTACGACCTTCAATATATTGAAGAAAACAAAATCCACACAGGTTTTGGAATTCGATTTTTTGTTGCTCGCGAATAAATATTACAATAGAAAGATACAAAACATTAGACGAAACTTTGTCCTCCATTTATTATTAATAAATCATCGTCATAGTATGAAGAAGATTCTTCATTCATATCCTGATTAGAAACATTTTTTGTTTGTTTTGAGTAAATATTTGTGCGACTCAACAAAACACTTTAAAAAGTCTTCTTGGCTAAGTTAGCGTAGGAGATAAGACATTTAATCCATGATTAATAATAGCATTCTTATGTCATTTCTACTCTTTTTATCAATCTAGAATATTTAAAGAAGTTTTCAATAAAAATAAATTCGTTTCGATTCGATGATTTTTTATTCACACATTGCAAACTTCAGAGAAAGAATTTTTTTATATATAAAACGTAAACTATTGAAATGTGCGTGATGAGATCACAAAAACTAAAGTCCGTGAGACAGCTTGAAAGTATTTCAGATTATTTATAACGAAACGTCAGATCGTGTTAATCATGATGAATTTTTTCGCTTTCATCTATTCAGATATTGAAGCCAACTAAACAATGACATCACCATATAATTATAACCAATATCGATCGGCATATGATAACCAAGCTCATGATAGAAACAGTCAAATGTACTGGGATGCTGTATCGATGACCAGTAGTGACCGAAATTCTATTGCCTTGTCAATCTATCATTCCGTCCCTGAACTTCATCAAGAAGAAGCCGCCGCATCAATGCACAGTCAAAGCAATAGGAATGATAAGGTAATAAAAAAGAAAATTCCCTTTCAACCCCTTTAGAAAGTGAAAGTTATAACTATAAACTATAACAAACCTTTCCATTTCATTCACTTCCTAAAACATAGAATTGGCATGAACACAAATCTGTTGATTTCGTTCTCGCTTACAACCCCAATGAGAGACAAAAAATCAAGCGACAAATCTTTGAGAAAAATCTTTTAAGTGAAGGATTATTGTTGCATCATGATGAAGCACAGAATATTCACTTTGTTAAAATTCATGTTACGCATGAAGTTCTTTGTCGCTATGCTGAAATATTAAAGTTCAAATTTCCCATAAAGTTGGATGAGAATGAAAGTGACTTTGCTTTAGAAGACGAGATTGGTGAAGTATCTCGGAGTATAAAATCGATATTCGACAGCATTTACAAGTACATTCGACTCGACAAGAGACTCTTTCCATCACGAAAGTATGAACTTTATCATGAGTTTTCGCGCGACAAAAGTTACCTGTTTGATGTCAACGATCCCGATTTCTTTCCATGCTACGTTCGACTAGCGGTTGTGAGTTTCATTCTTGAACGCACAGCATTTGCTGACAATCCTGGTGACAATCTAAATTGTGTTGGAATTGATAAACTTCTTGCTGACAAAGTTTACATGACTGCTTATCCATTGCATGATGGACATCACATGGATAGAGGAACGCAACGAGCGCTTTTATTCAACGAATGGGCCAAGATGAAGAATTGGTTGAAACATCAACCATTGGATGCAATCAAAAATTATTTTGGTGTCAAAATTGCTCTCTACTTCTCATGGCTTGGATTCTACACAAACATGTTGATCATTCCGTCTATACTTGGATTGTTGTGCTTCATTTATGGTCTCTTTACCATGTTCTCGAATCCGGTTGTGTGAGTTTCCATTACATTCATGTACGTTTCATATAAATCTTTAATGATTTAATTTCAGTGACAAAATTTGTAATGCAAATGATTCAGTCGTTCTCTGTCCGAAATGTGACGGTTGTGACTACACCTTGTTATCAGACACATGCACATATAGTCGAATCAATCACATTCTTGATAACAACGTGTCGGTGTTTTTTGCTGTGTGCATGGCAATTTGGGCGGCGATTTATCTTGAACTTTGGAAAAGATATTCAGCGAAAATTGTACATCGATGGGGAATGTCAGATTATTGTCGACAATCAGAACATCCACGACCGGCTTATTTAGCGAGAATCAAACATAAGAAGAAAGTCAAGAATCGAATAAATCCTGTGACGAGACAAACGGAACCGACACTGAGCTTTAGTAAAAAGTTACCAAGTTATTTATTGAGCTACTCGATTATTCTGCTATACGTGAGATTGAGAATAAACTAAATAATGAATTGAATGATTAATCTTTGATATTCTTTAGATTTGTATCAGCATAGCCGTTGTCGTCGCACTTATAATCTATCGAATGGCAACAATGGGATCAAAGAAAGTCACAGCGATTGTCGATCACATCGATCCAGTGTCTTATCGATATTTAATCATTCTTCCTGTCACAACAGGAATCATAAATTTAATTGCAATTACAATCCTTAATTACCTCTACGATTATCTTGCCGTCATTTTGACTAATCTTGAATACCGTCGAACACAAACCGAATACGACAACAGTTTGTCTTTGAAGATTTACTTGTTCCAATTCATCAATTATTATTCATCACTTTTCTACATCGCATTTATCAAAGGTAAATGGCCGGGAACGCCAGCAAAATATAATCGAGTGTTTGGACTTCGACAGGAAGAATGTTCACCAGGCGGTTGTTTGATGGAACTTTTCATCCAACTTGCGATTATAATGATTGGTAAACAAGCACTTAATGCACTCATCGAGATGGCTTTACCTTTGATGATGAAGAAGTACAACAAATTTATGTTTGGCTATCGACAAAAGGATGAAGAAGAAGCTGAATTGAAAGCTTGCAATCAATGGACAAAAGATTTTAAACTCATGGAATGGGATTCAATGGGATTGTTTCACGAGTATCTTGAAATGATTCTTCAATTCGGTTTTTGCACATTATTTGTCATTGCATTTCCACTTGGACCATTCTTTGCTCTTGTCAACAACATTTTTGAATTACGACTTGATGCAAGAAAGTTTTTAATGTATTTTCGACGTCCGGTACCGAGAAGAGTCTCAGACATTGGCATATGGTTGGGTGTGATGAATGTTTTGGGTCGCTTAAGTGTCATCACAACTGCATTCATTAGTAAGTTTGAAAATGTTTCTTCAAAGTGTGATTAAAAATAAATTTTTATGTTTTCAGTTGCATTCTCATCGGGATTTATTCCACGATTAGTTCATCACTTTTCGGAAGATTTGAATAAATTAGATTATCTTGAATTCACGTTGGCTTACTTCGACACGAGTCACTTTGAGGAGAAGAAAGGTGATGAGAAATACAGCGTTTGTCGTTATCCTGAGTTTAGGAATCCGCCTGATCATCCAAATCCTTACAAGAGACCGTTTTACTATTGGAAGATTCTTGCAGCTAGACTGGCATTTATTATCGTCTTCCAAAATATCGTCGCATGGTTGCAGCAAATTATTGACTGGGCCATTCCCGATAAGCCAACAAAGCTCAACAGCCAAATCAAGCGTGAAAATTATTTAGTCAGCAACAAAATCATTCGTGAAGAGAAGTTCAGAATTCTTCAAAGTGCAAGAGCAAAAGCTGAAGATATTGACTATGTCAATGGTGCTGTTTACTTTGAAGCAAAAAGTTAAATTAACTAAACTTTCTTATCGTCGTCTTTTCGTGCAATCAATCATCTTAAATTTTAAATGCTTTAATATTCTCTGAGATAATTTTGTTTTGCTAACAAAATAATAATTTTTAGATAAATTTTAAAAGTTTTCTTCTATTTTTCTTCCCATTTGGATGTTGAAAGTCGTCCATAAGTAAATTGTAACTGTAACCGAATAAAATAAATTATTTGAGCAATAAAAAGTAATTTTTTGATTCATACATAAATAAATAAATTTATTTTGATTAAAAATACTTTTTACATTTATAAAACTCACTTCAGAAAAGCTTTTGAAAGTTTGACTTGTCTTTGTCTTCAAATGATTTAATTTTCTCTTTAAGAGAATTTATTTCTTTTGTGATTGCTGACTTTAACGAAGGATCTAATGATATGCAACGATTCAAATCTTCTTGTGCTTGATTAGGATTCCATGCACCAATGTGACCCTTTCCACGACGATAAAGTGCTTTCAAGTTGTCAGGCTCGTAAGTCAAAACCTCCGTGCAACATTCAATAACACGATAAAAATCTTTCTCAAGTAACTTACATTGTGCAAAGTTTAGAAGCAATGGAACTTTAATCTTGGCTAAAGCAAGCCATTCTTCATCTTTGGGTTTCTCTTTCAACATTAATTGTTCTAAAACTCCAAGTGCCAACGAATATAATTCTTCAGCTTCTTTTAATTTACTTTCCTTGAATTTCTGATTACCTCGTATGCGATAATCTTCAATCGATTTCAATTTTTCATCTTCATTCAACTGCCAAGTCTCTTTCTCGTACTCTTCAGGTAGTTCAATTGATAAAACTTCAATGGTAAAGATGAGATCACAAGGACTGTGGAAAAGTTCATCTAAATCATGATATCCAATGCCTTCATTCTGCAATGTCATTCCACAACAATGTTTACGCTCTTCAGGTTTCTTATAAGCATCTCTGATAGTTTTTGATACAAAAGGATATTGTTGCACAAGCTGGGAAAATAATCAAAATTAAATTTGAAACATTAATTCAAACACAATTTTCATACCGATTTATCGACTGTAAATTTAGCAACTTCATTTAATGACATCTTCTGGACAATCACTTCCCATACTTCTAGTTTAAATTTCTTTCCTAACACCAACTCCTGAAATAGATTTGTAGTTCATTAGGTCAATGACATTCTCGTCAGACTTTTCCTACCATTGGTTTATTGATTTTCCGTGAATCGTCAACAACTTTAAGATTATCTGCACGTTTTGTTTCAAAATGAAACTTGATTTTTGTTCCTGGTGTGAGGCTGACATATTTTGTTCCAGCATACAAAGTTTCCTTTTTAATTAAAGCATTATCAACACTTGGATCCATTTTCATCACGAGAAATAATTTTTGTTTTGGTTTTTTATCGCAATCGGTTCTCAATCGGTTATGTGAAAGGATTGATTAGTCAATGATGTAATAGATTTGGCTGTTTCCGGGGAAAACATTGACAAGCGAAACTTCTAAATGCATTTAACGTCATTTGCAAAGTTCTCCCTCATAAAACTCTTCGGTTTACATAATTTTACTTAAATTACCATCGCGCATTGCAAAATTCTTTGCTTATCCTGCTTAGTTGCGACATGTAAATTAAGAGTAAACTAATTAAACGACTTGTTCAACGTGCAGACAATAATTAATTTTGTGTAACTTATAAATTTTTTGTTGTTGATCACAAGAAAATAAATTGAAATTGTGAGTGAAAGGAAAGAAAAGAAAAAGAGAGAAAAATGTTTTTGATTAAAAAAGTCACCGCAAGAAATCTGCCATTAACAAGGTAAGGACATGAAAAAGAAGAAGACGAATGGAAGATAACAAATTCAATCAATAAATTGTTGTATTGATTCTTTCCAGATTACGATTCATCTCGTCAGTGGTTCCAGACTTTCGATATCCCGATTTCAAAGTCGAAAATGAACCAATTCTTGGATATAAAAAGGGATCAGCAGAGAGAGAACAACTTATTGAAGCTTTGGAGAAAGCAAGCAACACAATTGAAGATATTCCCATTGTTATTGGTGGTGAAGAGTTCAGGACATCGGAAGTTCGTCATCAAGTTATGCCACATGATCACCAACATAAAATTGCTCAGTTTTATTATGCCGATAACAAGTTGATTCAAAAAGCTATCAATAAATCTGTGGAAGTGCAAGCAAAATGGGATCGCACACCAATGGGTGAACGTCTTGAAATTTGGAATCGCGCAGCTGATTTAATGGCTGGAAAATATCGACAAAAGCTCAACGCAGCTACAATGTTGGGTCAATCAAAGACAACTATTCAAGCTGAAATTGATTCAGCTTGTGAACTTATCGACTTTATTCGATTCAATGCTTTCTTTTTGAAAGAAAATTCCAAATATCAGCCAATAAGTGAGAATCCTTGCGTGACTAAGAATTCAGTTCGATTCCGTGGATTTGATGGCTTCTTTGCTGCAGTCAGTCCTTTCAACTTCACAGCTATCGGTGGAAATTTAAGCTATACACCGGCATTAATGGTTTGTTTCAATTGCTTTCTGATAAGATAAGCGAGTGTTTCAAATGATAAAGTCTTACAGGGTAATTCGGTGTTGTGGAAACCATCAGACACTGCTGTCTTATCTAATTGGGTTGTTTACCAAATTATGCGCGAAGCTGGCGTTCCTGAAGGTGTTGTGGTAATTTCAAATTATTTTTGATTATTTATATATAAAAATTTTCATGAATTTTACTTTCTTTAAGAACTTTCTTCCTTCTGACGGTCCCGTTTTTGGTGACGCAATAACATCATCGCCATACTTGAGTGGAATTAATTTCACTGGTTCGGTTCCGTAAGTTTAATTAGCATTTAAATTAACAAAAAGGAAATAACATAAGTTTCATCTTGAAGAACTTTCAATCGTTTATGGCAACAAGTTGGACAGAACATCAACAATTACATAAACTACCCGAAACTCATCGGTGAATGTGGTGGTAAAAATTATCACTTTGTTCATCCATCAGCTGATCCACAGTCTGTCATCACTTCAACAATTCGTTCTGCATTTGAGTACTGTGGTCAGAAATGTTCGGCTTGTTCTCGTGCATATATTCCTGAATCATTATGGACTGAAATTCGTGACGGTATGATTAAGGAGCAAGGAAAGCTTAAGGTTGGTGATGTCACAGATTTCTCGACTTTCATGGGTGCTGTCATTGATGAACGCGCTTTCAATCGCATTAAATCTTACATCGATCATGCGCGAAGCTCTGATAAACTTGACATTATCGTTGGTGGAAAATACGACAACAGCAAAGGATTTTTCATTCAGCCAACAATTGTTAAGACAACAGATCCAAAGGACAAGATTATGGTCGAAGAAATCTTTGGCCCAGTGTTGAGCATTTACGTTTATCCTGATAGGGAACTCGATGCGACAATGGAACTCGTTGGAAGTTCAACACAATTCGCTTTGACTGGTGCTGTTTTTGCAAATGATGAAGCATTCTTGCGACGTGCATTTGAAGAGTTTAAGATGACTGCTGGTAATTTCTACATCAATGATAAGAGCACAGGGTCAGTTGTTGGCCAACAACCGTTTGGTGGTGGACGAATGTCTGGAACAAATGATAAAGCTGGCGGTCCTTACTACACCACTCGGTTCACGACGATTCAGGCGATAAAGGAAACTTTTGTGCCATTGCGTGATGTTGATTATCCATACATGAGAGAATAATTAAACACTTTTGGGTATGAAGAGTAATTATGAATGTTAATTACTCACACACACACACACACACACACACACACACACACACAAACATCTCACAAATATTATCAGAACAAAATGAAAAAAAAATTAAACTTTATGTACTTAAAAGCCAGGATTGTATTTGGCCACTCAATGGCTTATTTATTGTCACATACGAGACTATTATCTACTTAAATGAAAAATCAGTATCCTTAAATTTTTGGAAAGCCAAAAAAAAATATTTTGAGTTCCTTTAAAAAAAAGAAAAACTTTTGAGAAAATTTTCTTTGATTATTTTAATGACAAAAGTATTAAAAGCAAAAGTCAAAAAATGTACTTATTGAAGCATTAAAATTTTATTTAAAAAAGGAAGAACAAATTAAGTTCCTTGTTCGTCAGAATGCTGATTAGCAAGCGACTGTAACCACGTTTCAAATAATGTTGAAACGTCGACACTTGCACATTCAGCTAAATAATTTATTATTGTGTTTCTTATAAAGATTGATTTCAATTGGCTGTGGCGATTTCAAGGTGTTGTTTGATAAGCAAAAAAAAACTGAAAGATTAACTATATTTAGACGCATTTTGATTTTATTTTGCCTGAAACTCATGTCTTCAGTTTCTCAAAATTTTCTTAAATGTCACATTAAATAGTTTGCGCAAAACGATTCCGAATTTAGACGATGCGTAGAGAAGTCATTAGTGATGACTTTGATTGAATGTATCATAAAACAAAAATATTAATGAAAAAGAAAAAAAAATCATTGTGAATGGAATCCCCAAAGCGAACACAGTAACGGAAGAAGAAACAAAAAAAAAAAACTCTGATTGTCAATAAAAACTTGAATGTAAACAAGATTTTTGTGTTTGCGTAATAACCAAAATAATAAAAGGAAAAAAAGTTGATCTTAGAGCTCATCTTTAAGTAAAAATATTTTACTTTGTTTTGCTGTAGTGATAAGTTGAAGAATCAACGTAATTAAATATTTTTTTGGTTTAAGAAGATGAACAGGAAATTTCCAGAAAGGGTCAAAGGCCTCATGAAAGCTGAACTAAGATAGGGTCAACAACAACAACACCAACAACAACATCGAACAATTATGACGTACATTTGACGTAAATAACAAAACGATTGGAAGTTTCATTTACACCACTTTATGTATTTTTGCTTTGCATAATAATAATAATAATAATAATAGTAATTATACTGCATACTTAAAGTATTTATCATCATATTTTCTTTAAATCTTAAATAGATATTCAATATCTAATAAAAAATCAAATTAGTACAGTTGGTCAACATGATTCACTGTTGTCTCATGCTTTGAATGTTTAAAATAGCTGAGCAGATTTTTTGTGGATTCGCTTCATCGGGAAACATGTTCATCGCATTCTCAACATCTTTCTTGGGAAAAATATTGCACAAGTGATAATGTAAGCGACGACGTTGATCAGCGATTGGCCAATTTATTTGTGGCTCTGATGCTGACGAGGACGGGAGGTGATTATTGGCACTACTGGCTGTCCAATTATTCGATGAATTGGGAGCTGATGCGATTCGCATGACATTCTACATGAAATTATTAATTAAAAGAATTTTCTAACAATTTCTGTATTTGTTTAAAAGCAAACCTGATGTTCATACAAATATTGTGGTTGACTTTGTCCCGGTCCTCCGCTTGTCAATGAGTGTGACGATGAAAGTGGCTTATGTGATGGAGGTGAGTTTGGATTTCCTTGCACCATATGTGCAGCATTCGGTGCATTCGGATATCGTTGCATTGGGAAAAGTCGTGGATCAAATGGATTTAGAAGTGATAATTGCCTTTGAAGTTTCTTATGAAGATTAAGTGACATGTCTTGAGCGTCATGTTGATTTGATGGATCTGATTGTTGTTGCTGATTCCATAAGTTACTCGATCCAAAGTTGACTGGCGGATAAATTTCACGAGGTAGATTATCAATGCTATGCGATTTAGGGAATTGTTGCTGTTGTTGCTGCTGCTGCTGCTGCTGTTGTTGTTGTTGATGTTGTTGAAGTAAATGCGGCATCATATTGTTCGTTGGCGAAGTACTTGCTGAAAGTGTTTGTTGGCCAGGCGAAAGGCGATATTGTTGTGAAGGATGATGTTGTGCAAGCGGTAAATTTGATGGAACTAAATGTTGTTGTGATGACATCGAATTTGGAACGTTTGAAGTTGTGCGGCAAAGCGTTTGTTTCCGATGAAAATTTTCTCCATTCGATGAACCGGATGGAAAGTTTGCATTACTATTGTTGTTATTATTAACATTATTGTTGTTGTTATTATTTAATGGTACACTCAGAGATTTCCCTTGTACTTGCTTTTTACTTGCATCATTATTTCTTGCTTGGAGATGATAATTCGCGAAATCCGATAGTCGTTCAGTGACTGATTTATGCGGTTGAAGTCCACGTTCAGGATGAAAGAATTTACATTTATTACCATACGTACATTTCTTTTTAGCGCCATAAGGACAGATCTGTTGATCACTTTTCCTGCAATTCATGAAATTTCATTGAATAATTTCTTACATTTAATTTATTTATTTAAATAAAAGTCATACTTAGGTTGAAATTTGAGAAAATTGTCGAGTGTTGGTCCCAATTTTCCCAATGGATCATCAGGTGGCATGAAACGATCATTCACAAATGAATACATTAAAATTCTCTCCTCGACGACTTTTTTAAACTCGTTACTCTCGGGAAGTAAATCACGATAATTATCATTTGATACAACAATCCCATCATTGTCAACTGCTAGTTTTAAAATGTATCGATCATCGTAACAAACCATTCGCTTGCCATTTGTAAGACTTCTTGACGGCGTGTAAACCAAAATTCGTTCCTTTTCGAGTTCGTGAAGGATTTCTTGATCTTTTATCGGATTATCTGGTCGTGCACTTTCTTTTCGCCACTTTGGCACAAACACTGTTATATCCTTGTGACCCCGTTGCTTAAACCAATCGACACAAATTGCAATGCCACGACAACTGAATATTTCTTTATTTCCATGACCCATCGCAACATTACTGCCGTCAATAATTATCGGCCTCAATAGATCTTCACCATTCACTAAAGTCTCTTCGTTGAGCTCATTTCCTTTAATATCAGCACCGAAATCACATGCTAATGTTGATCGTTTTGCAACGAGTGTAAAAAAACATTGTAAAGAGAAGAGAGAGAGAGAAGAAAAAAATATAAATAAAATAAACAACACATGAGAAACAAGGCGAACGTAGAAACATAAAAAAATAAAGAAGTGCTGAGAAGAAAAAAAAAAAGAAAACGAGTTCGAAGTGCACCATTTTCATTCAATGCTTACCATTAGATCCGGGTTGTGCGCCCAATTTAATTAATTCCGCTAACAGTTCATTGTTGGTTGGATTGCCCAATCGGCCTAAAGCCAATTGCACCAGTCTTTCTGAATATCCCAGTTTCAGTGCAAACTCTAGATACTGTCGATAACTTGGCTGTTGAGCACACGTTTTAAGAAACAAGCAAGATATGAAATCGCGACGCAAAGTGTGCGAGAAGAGAAGAAAAAAAAGAAGAAATAACAACAACAATTCCAATATTTTGTTGGAGATCCGGTATTGGATGATGATGACGGAATGTAATAAAAAATACTCACCGAACTGAAATCCTCGAGCAGTTCTTGAGCCAAAGTTTCACTGACATTACGACTGACGTTCTGATGTGGCGACCGTACAATCTCCGTATCTGAGTCATAACTTGAGTCTTCATCCAGTTGTTCTACCTTTTTTTGTGTAGTTTGTTATTATGCGAAAAGATGCAACACAATAGCGAGAAAGAGAAGGAGAGTGAGAGAGAGACAAGAAAAAAAAGTGAAAAGAAAATAATGATCCGAATTTTAGTTCCGGGATAATTTCTAAACTTTTTCAGCAAATGTCATGTTCTTATGGGTGAAGTGAATTCAGATATTGTCTTGAGTCAATATCCGGTTTTCGCTTCACCCATTGTCATGTTTTGAACAAGTATTAGATTTTCTAAAAGCTTCATTTTTTAATTTTTAAATACCTCTTTTGATATTGAGGAATTTTTTAACACACTCGATTTCTCTGTCATAGGAATTGATTTAATAAATTTCTACACTAATAAACTATACACCAATAACTTATTAAATTTAATACTAGGCTTGATGACTATTTTTTGGATGTTTCCTTGGACAAACTACGATTGATTGAAGTCACGGAACATCTATTTGTGAGAGAAACTTTACCATACTAGCATGAAATCCCTTCATTAATAAATTGAAAATCGTAAAAAATTAAACATCTTCTAACTTCTGAATAGACATCAAGATAGTTTAATAATCTATGAAAAAGAAATAATTATCTTTCATTCCTTTGCCATTGATTCATTCAAAAATCATGAAACTGACTGGGAAAACGCTTAAACCATAAAAGAACAAGGTCGAATGTTTATATGCTGGCATAATGTGTAGACACCTGAACAAAAGTTTTGCAATAAACAGTCAAGTAAGGTTGCGTTTAAAATCGCGTTAAATTTTCTACTTGTCGCAAACGTCTACTTAAATCAATCAAACTCCTAAGACAAAAATACACAAATCATGGCAGAAGAAGAGCAGGTAAGTTATTTATATGTATAAACTTATCATTGTTTTATCGCTGATTTGCAAAAAAATTAATATAAATCAAAAACGCTTGAAAACGCGAACATCACGAAAATGTCAACAAACATAATTTAGTCAAAAATTCTTATCTTTTTAGCACTCAATGATTACACCCGTAAAGGAGCCATTAGATCTTATTAGATTAAGCTTAGATGAGAAGATTTATGTCAAATTAAGAAATGATCGTGAACTTCGAGGAGTTCTTCATGTAAGTTGCAACTTTCTGATCCTTTCATATTTATTATCAGATTGATTTGTCTTTAGGCATTTGACCAGCATCTTAACATGGTTCTTTCTGAAGCTGAGGAAACAATCACAACTGTTGAAATTGATGAAGAGACTTATGAAGAGGTCTACAAGACAACAAAACGAACGATTCCTTTCCTCTTCATCCGTGGTGATGGAGTGATTCTCGTCTCACCTCCTATGAGAATCAACTAAGTTTAATTTCTACTGTAATTCTGTGTTTTAAGGTATTCAAAAATAAACTCTTTTCATTTCTTAAATAGACATTTTTATTAATTAAATATCTTATTTTAATTGAAATTAAAACTTTTTATCTCAATTTATCTCAATAAAAGTGTTTATCATAGTAACACTTTCATTGTCGTCACCTTTTTCATCAAACAAAGAGAAATTTACAAGATAAAATATTTTATGACAAAACATCGTCTGTCAGATTTTTGTAGTAGAAAACAAGCAAGTTGACTCTTGAAGAAAGCGGTTTTATCTGATTAAAAGCTGTGACTGAATAATTAGAGTCAGAAGTTTTGAGTTGAGTTACTTTTTCTTGGCATTAAAAAAAGAAGCTGTCTTGTTATTCAAATTTCAATTTCTGATTGGAACACTCATTGACTAAACGTGCTTTTTCTCAATGTCCTTTCAACTCTCTGATAAGATTAGCTTCAATTATAATAAACAATAATGGCTCAAGATGACTCGACAGTCATCATAAAGGTTGATATTTTCCGGAAAGTTATATAACATTCACACACGAGCTAATCACGAGAGATAAAATGCATTTGTCAAATATTTCAGCTTCCTTCCTGTTGTGTCAATCTCACGAAAAATGCGAAATTTCCAAATGTCCAACAATGGATAAATGCATTAACTTGAACATTCAAATAGAGTAACGAATCTTGAAATGGGTAACGCTTCGAAATTTTGATTTTGCGAGTCAATAACTTCTTTCTGCATTACGTTTTATTTATTTTTAAGGTTTTAAAAGATCAATCAACTTATCAAGAGTTGATTTGTCTTTAGAGAAAAAATCTACAACATATACTTTCGTAACACGAGAATGAAATGTAGACACTCTAATGTGGTCATACAAAATCGATTGTGGACACATTGCTCGATCGTTTGTGGGTAGTGTTTGAACCGGGCAACAACGTTATAAAAAAATGTCATATGTATTGAAATAATTCGAAATACTAGATAATTAATAAAAGTTATGTCGATGGTACATTTAATTGATTGTAATTTATGTTTATGATGTAATTCCGACGCTTTAAATCGATAATTAGAATAACTCTAGAGAATGCTCACTTTTTGAAAATCATCTCACCGTTAAATCTTCAAACATTCTTCCATATAAAAATGTTATGACCACATTTGATCGCGAAAATTTGTGAGCAAATGTTTTTATAGTTTAATTAATAAAAACTATTGTGAAATTATGTAACATCAATTCTTTTCTGCACATAATTTCTTATCTTTTTGTATATTTTGAATAGTAAAATAAGTTAAAGTAATGCCATTTTTCGCTTCTTAAAAATTCGAAGCGGGAACAAAAAATGGCTGTTTCGAAAAAGATTTTTTTATGTTGAAATGAAATAATTTATTTTGGCAAATTAAACTTATTTAAAGACCCAGTGAGTAGCCTAAAATGGAATTTATTAACAAAACTTTCAACACGTTTTTTTTTTCGGTGAAAAATATAATTTTAAAGGCCTAAAAATTAGTAAATTGGGNAAAAAGAAGCTGTCTTGTTATTCAAATTTCAATTTCTGATTGGAACACTCATTGACTAAACGTGCTTTTTCTCAATGTCCTTTCAACTCTCTGATAAGATTAGCTTCAATTATAATAAACAATAATGGCTCAAGATGACTCGACAGTCATCATAAAGGTTGATATTTTCCGGAAAGTTATATAACATTCACACACGAGCTAATCACGAGAGATAAAATGCATTTGTCAAATATTTCAGCTTCCTTCCTGTTGTGTCAATCTCACGAAAAATGCGAAATTTCCAAATGTCCAACAATGGATAAATGCATTAACTTGAACATTCAAATAATGATACTTAATAATAATTGTATCTGTAATTCAACAGATGCATTTGTTAAACTGAACAGTTGACAAATAAAATTTCTAGTTAATGTTGTGAAGATGTAAAGTGTAAGAGTAAATCTCGTGAAGTTTAATAACAATGACATGAAGGAAAATTTCAAACTTCCACATATTTATAGCTCTCAAATATTTAAGAAAAGATAAAAAAAGATCGTGAAAGAATTAATTGTGCAGGTGAACATAGAATTTAAATGTATTGCAGGGAAAAATAGAAGCTTCGTTGCGAGTATAAATTATGAGAAGCGACACAATCAAACAAATCATTTTTCAAGTTTACTCGTCCCCAAGCTTCCAGACAAAAATATGAAAATTCTCGCTTTCTGTCTCATTAAACACTCACAACTCGAGCAGTCAAGTCAAGTTATTTTGCGAAGTTCATTGAAAGCTTTTGATCGTGGAAAATTGTGAGGCGATGTAAAAAGTGAAAACTGAATTTTCTGTACCAAAGAAAACAAGAATTAATTAAATGAATTAAAGAGAATTAACAATTAAAATCGAAGAAAAAAGAAAAACTGTTGAGGAAATTTCCCGAGAGAACAAAAAAAAATTAAAGAAATTTTCAAGGTGAGTTTTCACGATACGGAAATTTGTGCATTTAAATTTTCTTTTATCTGATGACGGAACCAAAAGATAGGAACTGTTTCAAGGACTTTAGATGAAAAGAAACTAAATTGAGAGCGAAAGTTACATTTTCTTTTCAATCTCCTTTTTCTATGTGCCTACACATGTAATTTTCATTAGACGACTGACGTCTTCTTATTCATTTTCCTTATCATTACAACATTCCAAAAGTCAATTGAAAGAAAATTATTTTGACTTTTCCCGGAATTTGAGGCATCGATTTCATAAAAAAAAAGTAAAACTTTTCAAGATAATTTATTGTCGTTTGTGCTTAAAGCTTTTGTGCACGTTGCACACGATGCTAATAAATGAAGTTAAAATGAAACAATTTTGTTCATTTCATTTAAACTTTCCATGTGATTAAAGATTTTCTTTTAAATTTAAAGAAGGAAAAGCTATAAAGTTTCACAAAAATCTTAATTAAATTCAATGATTGACATCAGCGATTAATTTTTCAAATAAAATTCTTAGCAGCTTTTGAAATTTCCACGAGCACATGAAAAGTGAAGAAAACTAGAAATTAAATGATTGTCACTTCCTATTGTTCTTAAAACAGTTAAAAGTGTAATGAAACACTTTTTGAGAATTCCTCGCTTTGTCAATCTATTGTTCTAAAACTTTTCATGGGATTTTCAGCTCAACTGACTTCCGGTGCGCTTTTGCATTGTTAATTTCATAAAGTACATTTAGAGATAGGTACATGTAAGTTTTTAATGAAAATTCATATTAATTTCTATAGAATGACTTCAAATGGAGATTTAAACGCTAAAAATGAATGAAAAATTCTGGTCAAATGACTTCTTAATGCAATATTATTAAATTTTTGAATCAAAGTCTCAGTCGTCGTCATAAATTATCATCATTTAATTTGATTTTTATTATTCTCGGACAATATTAATGACTGAAGATGACAGTACAACAGAGATAATCAAGTTCAATGCTACACGATTTTATTTTTCATTGTATCTAATGTTTAATCTATTTCAGAACTACACGTGATTATAAAAAGCAGGTGACAAAATGCTCGGAGGCTCAAGTAAAGACGATAAGCTGGAAAAACGAAACCAAGTTGATACTGCATCGATTCGAGAAAAAGTTAAATTAGCTCGTTCAGAAAAATGGAGAATCTTGAAAAATATTGTGACGGTGTCATTTGCATTCATGGTGCAATTTACTGCATTTCAAGTAAGCTTTTCATTAATAATTTTATTCACAGCTTTAAAGATTGGAAATGCCGTACATTCTTCTAGTCAATTAACATAGAGACGTTAAAAGTTAAACAAATTATATCAAATCAAATTTATTTTATAGGGAACAGCAAATCTTCAGTCATCAATCAACGCTAAAGATTCGTTGGGAACAATTTCACTGAGTGCAATTTATGGCGCACTTGTTGTGTCTTGCATCTTCTTACCAACATTGATCATTAGAAAGTTGACAGTGAAGTGGGCACTCTTCTTCAGTATGATGTGTTATGCTCCTTATATCGCTGCACAGTTTCATCCACGATTTTATACGCTTATTCCGGTAAGTAATTAACAAGAAACTTTTTTTATTTAATATCTAAAATTAATTTTTTTTCGTATCTTTTTTAACAAAGGCTGGAATTTTGGTTGGTCTCGGAGCAGCACCAATGTGGGCTGCAAAAGTAAGTTTCAATTTAATAAAGAAGTATGATAATGGTAATAATAATATTTATTGTGTTAACAGGCGACTTATTTAACGCAACTTGGACAAGTTTATGCGAAACTTGCTGATCAGCCCGTGGAAGCAATGATCGTGAGATTCTTTGGATTCTTCTTTCTTGGTGAATATAAAAATTATTATTTTATTATAGAACGATTTTAATACAAATTCACTTTTTATAGCATGGCAGAGTGCTGAACTTTGGGGTAATTTGATCTCAAGTTTGGTGCTCTCATCTGGTCATCATGGTGTAACAAGTGGTCACTTTGGAAATTACTCTGATGAGTCACTTGAACTTTGTGGGGCAAATTTTTGTGTTGTTGACACAAGTGACAATGAAAATTTGCAGCGACCACCAGATTGGGAAATTTTTGAAATTTCAGCGATATATTTGACTTGCATTGTTGTAGCTGTCATTATCATAGCTTTGTTCATGGATCCATTGTCGCGATATGGTGAGAGAAGACGTGGATCAATAACAGCTCAGCAATTATCTGGAGTTGAACTTCTTACTGCCACTTTCAAACAATTAAAGAAACCAAATCAGCAGCTTTTGATTCCATTAACTATTTTCATTGGTATGCAACAAGCTTTCATTGGTGCTGACTTTACACAGGTTTGATCGGAGGTATAAGACAAGAAAGATTTTAAACTTAATTTTAATTCATTTTATAGGCTTATGTTTCGTGTGCTTTGGGAATTCATCAAATTGGATATGTCATGATATGCTTTGGTGTCGTTAATGCATTTTGTTCGGTTATTTTTGGTTCGCTTATGAAATATGTCGGTCGATTTGCAATTATCATGTTTGGAACTGTCGTTCACATGTCAATCTTCACTTACTTGCTAATCTGGAGACCACATCCAGATCATTTTTACAACTTTTTCATCATTTCGGGGTTGTGGGGAGTCGGCGATGCTGTTTGGCAAACTCAGATTAATGGTAAGGAATTTAATCCTAATCTGGATTTTAATCTAATCTAATCTTTATTCAAGGATTATATGGAACACTCTTCAGACGAAACAAAGAAGCTGCTTTTTCCAATTACCGACTTTGGGAGTCTCTTGGATTCGTTATTGCTTACGCATACTCAACAGCTCTTTGTGCTAGAATGAAACTTTATTCGGTGATGATTGTGCTTGGTTTTGGAGCTTTCTGTTATATTTTAGTCGAGATTAGACATTTGAGAAAGGTGAAAAAGTTTTTCTGATATTCATTTTAAGCGAAAAGTTTACAAAATTTATTTTAAATATTTTCTTCATAGGAACGAAGACAAAGAGAACTCGAAAAAAAACTCGATGAGGAACCAAAAGAACTTCCAAGTCGAATCGATGATGAAACTGACGACGAGCATGATGAATTGGATGAAGACATTGTCGTTACTAAATTGTAATTAATTAGCTATAAAAACACAAACATTATTTCATAAACTTTAAAATTGAAAAGAAAAACTCTTAAAAGAACAAAATTTGTTTGAAAGGATAACAGATGAATAAAAATTTAACTTTGCACTTTAATTTTATTATTTTATTGAAAGTTTAAAGATTAAATTAATTAATTAAAATTTCAACTTACATTCTATTAATTTTAACTGATTGTAAAACATTCGTTTGAAGTTTTACTGCTTTCGGTTCGACATTCTTTTCCGCTTTAATTTCCTCAACACTCAACCGTGTTATGAATCTTAATCGAAGTCTTAAAGGACTTGACAATCGTTTTATGATTGGTTCGAGATCTGTTTTCATAGAATCACCGACGAACATGTACTTGATATGATAAAGCATGTCGCAAAGAGAGTCTTGATATCTCATCGTCTCTTCTGTCAGTGAATTCTTCTTATCAACCAACTCAAGAAGTTCATAATAAATCTTAGTAATTTCAATAACATCCTTTGGATCGAGACGTTGTAAGAATGGGCCAAGAACGTGATGCAAATAAATTAATTGATGTTCTGTTTTAATATGTGGAACTAATCGTTCTTTCACATATTGAACGATTTTCGATGTTTGACCAATCGAGAAATGATGAAAAATTGAATGAGTCAAAGCGAGAATCATCACAAATTTCGTCTCAAGCAGAGCGTATTGAACTGTCTTGAAGCTGAACATGTCGAATGGCGATTGTCGGTAAGTCCATTCAATCATTTGTGGATGTTTTAAGATTTCTTCCAAACGATCATAAATGACGCTCCAATAAGGTTCGGGCAATGCTGATATGATGAGTCCAATCGCATTAATCCAACTATGAATGTTTGCATAGTTTTGTTGCGTTATCACGATGTAACCTTTGATTGCCACATCGATGATGTTATTAGCGACAACCTTCGGTATCGTTGGTAATCCAAGAAGTTCAACACAAGTCACATAAAGTGCATGTGTGGGTGGATTAGGAAATTCATTGAAACGCCAATCAACATTAGGAAAAACATTTCGGCCATCAATTGCTGTTGATAAAATCATAAAAATAAATTTGTTATTAAAAATATTTCATAAATCTTACTTTCGATCAATCTCTTAACAAGTCCTCGATAATAACTCAAGTCGGGATTCCATTTTATTGGTTGATCATCGGGCGACAGTTGATTTTTGATGTATAATTGATACTGTTCAGTTAATGCCCAATTTTTCTCTCGAACATCCTTCAATGAAGTGATGATTGCGCCAACAAGTAAACGTTTCAATGCCGGTCGATCTCGAAGTTTCATCTCGTAATAGAAAAGTGTGTTGTAAAGATAAGTAATTGGACGATCATGAAATTTATACAATAATCCCAACGTCTTCAGCACAGATTCAAGTGAATTCGAAACTGCTTCAATCGATGACATCTCCAAATAGCGATGAATGACAATGTCGAGTACTGGCAGAAATCTCAAACAAACATTACCAAAGAATGTCGAATAATGTTCGTCAGATGGAACGAATTTCTCTGGAAATTCCTTATGGAATGCAAGATGTTTCTCATTATAATTTGACTGTTTCCAATATTCCGGTGAATTCTTCTCAACAAACTTCATGACACGGTCACGAAATTGCGACGTTTTTATCAACAAAAGTTGAATGACGAATACTTGAGCTGTTGGCATATCTTGTTGGTTTGGTTCTTGAGTTCTCAAAGCAAGACATAAAACTAAACGATCAATTGTGACAATGTTGAATTTCCAAATCATGTCACTGATCGTGTCAACAAGTTTCGGAATTTGCTTGGAAATTGTCACTTCATATAACAAAAAGTCGCAAAGTTTCCTCAACTGCGCTGAGAATGTTCGAGCTCCGATTCTTTCAAGAATTTTAAAAGCCACCGGACTCATTTCACCGGTTTCCGAAATGATCTTAAACAGCAAACACAAGAACGAAGAAGTTTGACTGAAGTAGGAAATTATGTCATTCTCATTTGTCATCGACAGCCAATTTCGATATTCTTCTTCAATCGCTTTCTTCACTTGCTGCTTGTCTTCAACCGGCAAATTGTGATTGGCATAAAAATCAGAAAGAACTTTTGGGAAGCTTTGCTTTGTATGTGACGACCAATTGTGTGGCGTGTTCTTCATTATCACGCCAAGCAAGTCCATTAAACAAACAATGTTACTGTTGCCACTATTTGTCTCATTTTCCATTCCCGTTATGATCATTGAACGTGCTAAAGTCAACACCAAAACTCTATTCAACTCTTCTGAATCAGCTGACACCATTGACGCAAGATTTTTCGGTTCCGTTAAGAAACGAGAAAGTTGGAATTGAAATTCAGCTGATCCAAGTCCGGTTAATAATCGCAATGCAGTTGATTCAAAGCATAAATGAAGTTGAGTTTGATTGACATGAGCATTTTGTGAGAGTGTGTGAAGTTGTGTCAATAATTGTGCACGATAATGAGCCTTAATTTAAGTTTATTAATTAATTAATCTCAACTGAAAAATTCTTCAACTCACCTGAATATGAAAAAGACGATAAGAAAACATTTCCAACAATGTATAAAGAATACTCCAAGCATTTGATTTACAAACTGTCGGCAAAAGACGACTTAAAAATCCTTTAATTCCCAAAGATTCAATTTCAGTGTACACGAGAAGTCTTGAATAAGTTTCAACCAAAGCTGGTGATATATTTGGTGACAGATTAGGCATCGTTGTCTTTGTTTCCGCTTGTTTCATCATGTTATTCACGATACAATGGATAACACTCATCTTACTATGAACAGTCAATGAATCCAAAACAATCATTGATAATGGCGATTGAGTTGGAAGTGACTGTTGCGATACAACTTGCGTTGGTGGTTTACTCGTTGAAAGAATTGTGTCGATGAGTGCGCTCATTGGACGTGAGAAATATTCTTGATTCGTCGAATAAGCGTTGCACAAAAGAGTCACAACGTAATCATCGCCAATGCTTAAGCTTGAGTTTTGAGCTGATGACAAATGCTGAAGAAATTCGTAATGCTTCTTCAAAGCAATTGGAATTGGTCGCAGTGCAACATTTTCAAGTTGAGCTTTCTTTAAGAGATGAATGTAAATGCATGTGGCAGCAATTTTCTTTGTACTTGATGGAAGTTTCACATCCGGAACTGCAAGAGGTTCCTTTTCATTGTACAATATGTCGTAAAGTTTTAAAACTGGGAGAAAGTTCGACAAAGCATTCCTTTGAATACTTCCACTGATGTATTGTAAAAGAGCCCACATTAAGTCGTCTCGTCCTTTTCTTAACGTCATTGTTGATAGTTTCTCATGAAGAGTGTTGACGATGTTAGGAAAAGCTGCACATTGAAATAAAACAAAGTAAATGAGTTGCGATGAGAGATGAAGCCACAACCATTGATTGTGTGTTGGAGTTGAGTCATTAGGATCTGCTTTAGCATCACTTAATGATGAGTCTTGTTCACTTTTCTCCATTGCTAAGATAACAAGCCAAACAATTTGTTCTTCGAGAACTGCTGAACGCTGCTTCTGAAGATTCAACATAGAACAGACCATTTCTTTGCTGTAAAGTTGTTGGAGAACGTAACGAAGAAGTCCAACTTGTGGTTGAGTTAATTGTGAGTCATAAGGTAAGTTTCCCTTTAAAGTTGTGAATTTTAATGTGTTTGGATCCAAACGCCATGGATTTGTTGCTTCACCGTAACCGGCAGCAGATGCTGGTTCAAGTATTGGATAAAGAGTTGAATGACCAATAATTGAAAGCATTTGAGCAAGGTTGACGAATTCTTCAATGAATGTTGCAGTCAAATTCGAAATTTTCTATATAAATAAAACTTTAATTAAAATTTCTTTTAAATTTTGATTTTCTTTTACTCACCCAATGAACTTCAGCATTTTCTTGTTTTTGAAGTTCAGTTATGATAAAATACGCTGGAAGAAGGCAAGCATTCCTATCAAAAATGTACTTCAATACATCGTTAACACTCAAAAGTTGCGGCAAAAGACTGCTTGGCATTTCATTTGGGAAACTGTTTGCCTTTTCACGACATCCTTTCATTATTTCTCTTACGCCTTTATAATCAACTCCTCCAATCAACTTTTTTATCATTTTGAAGCATTCCGTAAAGAACAGTTCATTCTTATAGTCTAATTTCTCACTTGTGAGGATTTGTTCACATACGACACGAGCCGTCAAAACATTATTTTTCACCAAAAGATCCAACGTATCGAAAAGAATTTTCAGCTGTGAAAGATTTGCCTTTTCACACTTTGTGATGTAAATTAACAAAGCAGCTTCTTTAGATTCACTTGTAAGAGAGTTAAAGAAACTTTCCATTTGTTCACTAAATTTCTTTACTTTCATTTCTTCTTGGTCTTGCCGGTATACCGATATATCCGAAAATGACAGCTCAATAAAGTCCATTTTAAGGACATTGTCTATTATTTTACCCACTCGTTCCATTTTAATTCAATTTATCAAGTCAAAAGCCGTCTTTATCAAGATTATTTTATTTAAACTTTTAGAAAATTATTCCGGCTTGTTTTCAAAACAAGGGGCCTGTTACAAAGGTTACGATATTTCAGTTTTCAAATTTCAAATGTACGTTAAATCATAAGAGAAAAAAGTTATTTAGTGACATGAGTTAATGTTGCTGTTAGATATTTATGATGATTTTGACCATCCTATTTAGAAAGGAGTAGCTATTTTGGCAAAATAAGTATCGCCATCTGCTGCTGCATTATCATTTTGATTGCGCTTTAGTGCACTTTCAATCCACATTGTATCATTTTCTTCATTGATGTGATTAGCGACGAATTGTTCAGGATTTTTATCAGGAAGATTTACGATGTAACATGTTTGAACAACGATATCATGAAGTAATTCCTTTGTTAATGGCATCATGTGTGCTTCAGAAACACTGTCACAATTGCCGAAGTCAATGAAATGAACCTGAAATTTGTTTCCAATCTTTTCATTGACAACAGCACGATAATAACATCCTTCGAACAATGCCAAAACTACTTCTCCCACTTCTGCTTCGTAGCTTGCAGTTTTACCTCGTTTTTCAATGTAATTGCTGATTGATTTCTCAATTTCGAGCAAATATTCAGCATTTTCGTAAGCAAGAAGATACAAAACTTTTTCTTGAACCGTTGCATAGTTTAATTTAGCCAAGAACTTTGTACTTGGTAATGGAATTGATTTCAAATCGCTCAAATAAAATCGAGTCTTAGGCTTTGGTTGTAAGAATTTTGACAACGATTTTCCCAAGAGTGATCCTTGACTTACTGTGCTTTCTTTAGAAGTAATTTGAGCAAATTTCGAAATTATTGGAACATGTTTTTCTACATTTGTTGGAGCTCCATTTTCGATACTTTCTAAGTTTTCGTCAGGTATTTTGACAAGTGGTTGTGGTTTAGCGGAAAGCTTTTCGGGTCTGTCAAATTGTGTTGATAATGAGTTTTCTGCCAAATGAGATGGAGTAGGAGAAGGAGTTTTTGATTGTACACAATACTTCTCAATGTTTTCTCGTAATGCTTCTTTATCATCGTTTTTTAAGTCAGCTTGAGTTGAAATTGGAATTTTGACAGAAGAAGCAAAATCATCATTTTCAGTTGCAAGAACAAGTGATCTAATGAAGTGAATATTTATGGCAATTTCAGGATAATGTGTGAATTGACATTGATGACGAACTTACGGTAGTTTAAAACAAACGAATCGATGCTGAGGAAATGCTTGTAATTGACAACGTTTGCTGCAATATCGCTCGCAATCACATCTATCGCATATAAACTTCCCAACCTCATAACAGTTTTTGTTGGAACAGAAATTATTCATCGTTACTTATAATGACAAAAGTATCTATTAAAACAAAAGATATGAAAGGATATTAAGTTAAATTTAAGACACGTGCTGGTTGAGAAATGCATATGAAGGTTAATTTTATGAATGGAAAAGAAAAATATTGCATCACACATCATATAATCATTTTGACTTACGTTTTGAGTTAAAATTGAATTACTTTTTATATTTAGTTCTTTTGTTTTTATATATTTAATAAAAACGATTTATTCTTTTCTAATGGCTTATTCCGCGCGAAGCTTTTAAGTCTTTCGATTTTTGTCATGAGCGGGAATTTTTGAAGAGCAAGCCCCTTTCATACGAAATTATAACGTGCGTCATATTTCAAAGTTATAAGCCCCGTTCAGTTTAAATTGTTTTTGTGTAAAAAATATCTTTTGAAATACGCAAAAAATTAGCAAAAAAGTCCACAAATGGAAGTAGCTCAAAGCATTCAACAAACTTCATTCGATCAGTTTCATAAGCTGATAAAAGAGAAATCAGCTAATAAAGCAGAAATAACAAAAATTATTGAAGATATTTTGGAATCACCGTCATTGAATACTTTTTCTGAATTCTTACATTTAAAAGAAATCGATGAGGTAAATTAACTACCTATATGATAGTGTTCAACATTTTTTCACACTGTTTCTTTTCATGAAAGCTTAAATCCGGCGAGTACGAAAAACATTATAATACATTGAATTTATTTGCTTTTGGAACTTACCGTCAGTTCTTGGAAAAGAAACAAAAAATTATATCATTAAGTCCAATCATGGATAAAAAGCTTAAGCATCTCACAATACTTACACTTGCAACTCAAAAGAAGACACTGCCCTATGATGATCTCATGGTTGAGTTGGATATAGCAAATGTTCGTCATTTGGAAGACATCATTATCGAAGCAATTTATGCAGGTAAATTCGTGCTTAATCTTGCTTTGATATAGGTAGTTTACCTATGAAAATATTCTTTTAGAATTAATCAATGGAAAATTGGATCAAAAAAATCGGCAATTGGAGATTGATTATGCTGTGGCTCCAGATATTCAAACTGAAAACATCCAGGACATTGTGAATATTCTAACTGATTGGCTTAAATCATGTGAAAGCTGTTCAAGTTGTCTTCAAGAACAAATTGAGAATGCCAATGCTGAAAAAGTCAAGAGAGCCAAGCATAAAGAACATTTAGAGGAGAAAGTAAGATGAACTTGCAGTTTATAAAACAGTTCAATCTTAATTTTTGGTTTTGTCATTGCAGTTGGCAGAAGTTAAAAAGAACATAAAGAAACAATCATCAAACACTCAACAACAGAATTTTGAGGGTGAAGACGGAGATTTCTTGATGGGGCCAGAGAAAAATCTCAATACAAAAGAAAAACGAGGACGTCCAAAGCAGGGAACATCGAAAGCTCCTTGGTTTAAGACGTTCAATTAAGAGTGCTTGAAAAACATCTCTTAAATGTGTTACATCTTGAAATAATATTCAAACTTACCAATTTCCACATGATTCAATTAAATAAATATTTCTATTAGTTTTCGATGGAAAGTTATTTTATTTTTATTCTTATAAGTAAATTGAAAGAATTAAATTTGAATATAACCTCGGAAATTTTGATGAGATTTATTAACGAGCATCAAATACAATTAAACGCTTTGTTCGCTTTTTATACATAATACGATTTCCACATTCTCGGCATCTTATAGGATCGCGCGGCTTCATTTCATTATCATTATGACATTCTGAAAATAAAAAGTTAGAAAATTTTAATGAAATTGAGTTCTTTCTCTCAAATCTCTATCAGATTACCTGCACAAACATAAACCATTGAAGTCTTTGTAGCTGATTCCTTACTACTGCTTGCAGTTGGTTCCGACATGTTTCAAATTTATTTTAAAGCGATTTATAAATTATTTCAAGCTTGTGTTGTTTTGTTTATTTTTTAAATTGTTAGTGGCTAATTCGATGGTGATGTCACAAGAATATTCTGCTCGTTTTCGAAAACCTTCGATACATTTTCGAAAATTAAGCCGTCTGCACATTGGATTTAAGAAGTAAACAAAGATATCTAAAATATTCTCAAGAAAATAGATAGTATCATAGGTGAGATGGCTCAAGGAAAAAATAAAATTAAAACAAAACTTCCAGCAAATGTAAAACACAAAGCAAACAAAACAAATAAGAAGAATTCAGCTTTCCAGCAAAGAAAAAGTGAGATTTACAATTAACTAGGTACCTAAATGTGCGTTTGTCAAATTACTTTTTAATTTTTTTAGGTGTCCCAGTACAGAAAAAGATGTTAGGTAAACTAAAAATTCAAGCAGCTATCACAAAATCAGTAAACCAAAAGAATGAAGAAGAAATGAGAAGTCGAGCAATCAGCAATAATCAAAAGTTAAGTTCAGCGCAACAGGCAGTTAAAAAACATCATGAGAAGAAGACTCCATCAAATGAAGAACCCGAAACTATGGAGTAAAATTTGAAAACGCTGTTGTGTTAATTAAAATTTAATTACCTATATTTATTATCTTGAACATAACAAATATTTTGTAGATAAATATAAAAACCTAGCAAGAAAATAAATAAATGTGAAGACGACTGAACGTTTCCATAACCTTTGCGATCGTCTCACAAATTTTGAATTGGTTTCTAATTATTAATTCGTTTGATAAATTAGTAGTTAATACTCAAATATTCTTTTCAAATTACATTAATAACTATCAAGAGATGGCATTCAAACTAGTTTGTGGCGATATTTTATTATTTCAGGTAGGCTTTTATAGATTTTTATATCATTTAAACTTTATTTACAAATTGATGTTTTCAGGAACAATTAAAACAAATGCGTGACTTAGATGACAAAGTAATTTACGCACTTAATAATTCACTGCCAACTGCTTCTATTAAAGCAAGAACTGATTCTAATCCAAAGGAGAACTGCAAAGAACTGTATGAGAAATTAAAATCATCTTATGCAAACAGAGAGAAAGTGATTCAAGAATGCATAATATTAACAGCTGAACAAGTAAGCCAACTAAAGAAGCAACGAGAAACAAATGATGATACACAGCTTGATAAAAATTTCAAAAATGAACAGAGGAAGGTTTGTTGACAGTAAATATCAAACAAAAATAATTTTTGCCTAAATATTTTTCTTAATTATAGTTGAGGGTTCTGAAACAAGAATTGGGAGTTGAGGAAATTGTCAAGGAAAGATCGCTGAAGACATTCAATGAACGTTGCCGATCATACTTCCGTGCGGATTCCTTTTAGTTATAAGCTCAATCTACTTTATTTCTAATTGAGCCATTAGGAATTTATATTTGCATTTTAGCAGTGAAGTTTTTTTTTCATAGAGAAATAAATAATTGAAAAAAGTTAAACATAATGTAATTTTAGAAACTTATAAACTTAAAGAAATCGATGAAGTGAGCTGTAACATTTTTTTCAGTCTACCTATTTGAATAATTTTTCATGGCCGAGAACATTATCAAGGCTGCATACCACATAAAAGAATGTATGCAATATTGATTAAAATGAAATTATGCAGCAAAATACAATAAACTGAATGAGGAAATGAAAAGCAAATCCTAATTTCAAAGACAACTTTATTTAATTTAGATTATCAGCAAGGAAAATCTGAAAAACAAATCTCATGATGATATTCTTGAATTTGCCGGTTAATTACAAGGGGTAGGTGGAGCTCAATTAATTTTCGAATCTAAAATTTTAGTTCCCATCTTCCCTTCGGCCTCTTGACTTGTAAATTTTCGACTTTAATGTTTTTATCGTTTTTTGTTGCCTATGGACAATTGTGCTTAAGTAATTAGTGATAAAGTGTCATTAGCATTTAGGTAATTGAGAATGTATGTAAACAATATCATTTACGTTTGTGTGGTGGTGGAAATACTTGAGATTTGATTTTGCAACAGTGATTGAATCGATTGAGTCTTTTGTATTGGAAAATCAAAGCAAATCTATATAGATTTTTATAGCTCTTTGCTAGGATTTATGCTGACAAATAATAACTTTAAGTTTTCAAAGGTTTGAAACTATCTAAAGGATTTAGCACTTCATCATATCCATGACATATACTTAAAAAGTTAATAACATTTAAAGCCCTTTATGATGTGTCATAGGAATGGAATGTTTTCTTGATTGACGTTTCGTTCTCTAGACGTTCTCGCTTGTTCTTTATACATTTATTTTTGTTACATCACTGCAACAACCATAAAAATTATCGATCCACATTTTCTCTTGGTTCGTTGAAATAACAAAAAGTCAATTTGAGAATGTTCTATGAAGAAACAGAATAAAACATAAAATGAACCCCAATTAACTTTATTTTAGCATACAAGATCATATTCACTTCTCAATTATTTTCAAATCGATTTTCATTGATATCAAGTTGAGGAAATTTGGAACATTAAGTGAATTATCACAACATCGTTGACGGGTTGGAAAATTATTCGGTGAAGCCCCATTAATCATAAAGTTAACATTTAATTGAAAGTTTTGCGCAATAAAAACTGTTCTCTGTCATTGAGTGTAAATAGCAGCAAAATATTTTTTTCCAAGTGTTTGTGGCATATTCTTTTTTTCTTTTTGCTATATCTGTAGTTTGTTCATCATATCTATGGTTGACTCAATTCTCATGTTCAATGCTCTTTTTATTCCTATATTCACATAGTTCCAATCACTTGTTGGAATCGACTGGTTGTGGTGACACAAACACAGCACGAAAGCATTAAATTTTGAAAGTTTTATCGGTCGTTTTGTTTCGTATACGCAAACGAGTGCAGTACAATAATTAACAATGTCAAGTGAAAATCTCCAAATGCATCAGATCAATTCCAGTGGCGACTCAAGCTTAGCTCATAGTCAAAACAGCCAAAGCAGCGCGTCAATGCAGAAATCAGCGAACATTCAATTTGTCAGCGACCTTCCTATCACCGATCCAGGACAATCGAGCAAGGTAAGAAACACATACAATTGAGTTTGCAATGCCTGAAGTTTGTGACATGTTTACGACCCATTTTTATGATGTTTTAATTATCTTCAAATCACCTTTTTTTCTATTTTTTCTCTTTTTTTTTTCGTTGAATGTTTATAAAGCATGTGACTCAAGCGACAAGCGTCAACTTGTTTTCATTGATAATCGCAATCACTTTGTTGACGGCCCCTAAGTACTGCAACTTGTGACTCTTTCTCATTTGCGTTGAGCCTAATTTAAATTTTCTGGATGCTTCTAATTATTTATTTCTCCAATGGAATGAGAAGTGAAGTGGAAAATCAATTTTCTCTTGCTTGATTAAAATGAGAAAAGCTCTTGCGATTATTAGAAAAAAGCTTCTAATTTCAAGCAAAAACCATTATTCAAATTTTCATAACGTGTAGGCGTTGCTCATCATTGAAAACTGATGCTCATCATTTTCATAAATAATTTTTCCTCTTCACTTCTTCTAATTTTTTTTATATTTTTCAATGAGTTTTTAAATTCCCTTTCCAATAAATATCTAAATAAAAGTAGACAATGAAACATTCAATTCTGTTTGTTCAAAGTCAATAATCGTTCTTTTTTTCATCATCTATCTGTGATGATCTACGACTACAATTCTCCTTAAAAATTCCGATGATAAAAATCTTTCTTTTATTTATGCTTCATTCGTCTCCAATTTAGTTTAATTGAGTCGCTTTCACAACTTCGTTCAGATGACAAAAGCATGATAATTTATGTTCTGACAATTAACTTGATCAACCCCTTCTAACTTCCCACTCTTTCTCATGTTCACAAAGCGAGGCATGTTAAGAAACAAAACTCTATTTCCATTCTCCCCATTCCAATAAATAGGAAAAGGACAAAGATACAAAAATCTCGAGTGCCCTTAAAAAGTCAAGTCGCTATCGAAGTCGAAGCTTATCAGCATCATCAACAGATTCATATAGCTCTGGTAAGTCAATCATATCTGTCGCCTTCTTTAGCCTCGTGTTCAATCTTTTGTGTACTTCTTACCTTGTTTTTTTTATTACTACTTTATCTCTTCGCGCATTTAAAAAAATTACATCTAAGTTGTTGAGTTTTGAGATGATGTCGCGAGATTAATTTTCATCACACATGCAATCATTTATTTTCCTTAAGTTTCAATAGAAAAATAAAAAAGAAATCTTATCACACCTTTTCAACGACACACTTTTAATTGGTCTGTTAATGAAATTGTTCGATGTGAACTGATAAAATTTATTCGTTGTCAACATTTCATATGAGTTAAAGAGAAAAAAAGAATATTAAAGTAACTTATCAAAAAGCACTTCAATGATTTATAAAGTTTGTTAACACACATTCTCTGTGACTCTCATGTTTGAGAGTAAATAAACGAATAGAACAAGAAACAGAAGCACAGAAAGTAAAACAGCCCCCTACACAATGATGTTCAACCTGAGGCGACGGTGTCAGTTTGTGTCGAACGTTATATGATGAAACATCGTCGTCGTAGCAGTGCTTTCTGTAATACTTTTTTTAAAAAACTTTAGTTTTCCCAAATCGCTTAATTTTTTTGTTCGTGTTTCATTTAAATATTTTGATTTATTTCATTTTTATTAGCTTCTTACACGGGTAGTTCCAGTGAGGATGATGACGTGTCACCAAGAGAGAAAATTCAAAGTAACACTAAAGGATTTAATGATTTTTGTGTAAGAAATATTCACCAACATGCATTTGGTCGACGCGAAATTGAAATTGCGGAGCAAGGTGAATTCACATTGATTTTTTTGTGCTTTTCTCCTTCTTAAGAGAAATATTTTTTATTGATTATTTTATCATAAAATAACATTTCGTTCTGTCAAAAACTAAACTAGAAATGCCTGGCATCATGGCTCTACGTAAACGTGCTTCCGACGATAAACCATTAAAGAACGCCAAAATCGTTGGCTGTACACATATCAACGCACAAACAGCGATTTTAATCGAAACGCTCGCCCACTTAGGTGCTTCAATTCGATGGGCTGCATGTAACATTTATTCAACGCAAAATGAAGTAGCAGCAGCTCTTGCTGAATCAGGATTTTCGATTTTTGCGTGGCGTGGAGAAACAGAAGAAGATTTCTGGTGGTGTATTGATAAATGTGTAAATGCTGAGAATTGGCAACCAAATATGATTCTTGATGATGGTGGCGATGCAACACATTTGATGTTGAAGAAATATCCAGCAATGTTTAAAATGATTAAAGGAATTGTTGAAGAGAGTGTTACGGGAGTTCATCGATTGTATCAGTTGTCGAAAAGTGGAAAACTTAGTGTTCCGGCAATGAATGTTCACGATTCTGTTATAAAAACAAAATTCGATAATTTGTACAGCTGCAAAGAGTCCATCATTGACAGTCTGAAACGTTCCACTGACATAATGTTTGGAGGAAAGCAAGTGGCATTATGTGGATATGGAGAAGTAGGCAAAGGCTGTTCACAAGCACTTAAAGCACTCGGATGTATAGTTTATGTCACCGAAATCGATCCGATTTGTGCCCTTCAAGCGAGTGTCGATGGCTTTCGTGTCGTAAAATTGAATGAAATTGTTCGTAATGTTGACATCGTGATTACAACAACTGGCAATAAAAGTGTTGTGACACGAGAACATATGGAGAAGATGAAGAATGGATGCATAGTATGCAATATGGGTCACTCGAATACAGAAATTGATGTGGTGAGTTAATTTGTTTTATTTTAATTGAAAATCATTCATCAGAGTTAGATTAACCCATGCAGTGAGAATAAAAAGATTAGATTAATGAATATTAATCCAAGATTTTTATTTATTAAACTTACAGAAAGATCTACGCACACCTGACTTAACATGGGAGAAGGTGCGATCGCAAGTTGATCATATTGTGTTTCCCGACGGAAAACGTATAATATTGTTAGCTGAAGGACGTTTAGTTAATTTATCATGTTCAAGTGTCCCGTCTTTCATTGCCAGTATAACTGCTGCCACGCAAGCTTTAGCCCTAATTGAGCTTTATAATGCACAGCCAGGACGCTACAAGTGTGACGTGTATTTGCTATCAAGGAAAATGGGTAATGAATAAAATAAAAGCATGAATTATTTAGAATACTCATGATCAAATTATTTATTACTTAGATGAATACGTCGCGATTCTTCACTTGCCAACCTTTGATGCGCATTTAACGGAACTCTCCGATGAACAAGCAAAATACATGGGACTTAGTAAAGCTGGTCCATTTAAACCCAACTACTATCGTTACTGAAAGCTTTCGTCTTCTTTCCTTGTCAACAATCAAAAAAGTTCAAGTTTTCTTCGCAGCGATTTAATGAACTTTTAATTTAAGTTTTAACTTTTTGACCTTTTGCATGTTCTTAACATTTTCCTTGACGATATCTTTATTTTTGCAAAACAAAAAGAAAATAAGTGAAAGGAAAGTGAATTTTATGAATTAAAAGAGGAGAATGTAAAGTAGGTAATTGAGAAAAACTCAATGAATCAAATACAACACTACAATAGATTTGTGAGATGCGGTATTTATTAATGTCAATTTAAACACAAAGAATGCTACTAACTATTGATGATAATAGATGAACAAGGTGAATAAATTAATAAAAATCGAATTTAATTAAGTTTTCTTCTTCTTTTTCAATGTTATCTTCTTACAACTTAATGTGACTTTAACAATCATACAATGTTAAGAATTGAAAATATGTTGTTAACTATTTATTTACTACTTACAGTCACGCGACGTCGCCTAAATATTTAGATGGCCAGATAAACTTGATATAACTGTCGCAACTTTATTTGTGCAATCAATCACGTCGAAAAGTTGTAGATATAAATTATCATATTAATAACCCTGATTACCAGTGTAAACAATTTTTTTTAAGTTTTTAACTTTTAACACATACTCAAGTATAATATTTTTATTGAAATTTTAATGTCGATTGAATGAAGAGTTCGTAATAAAAGATTCTACGAGAGCTCAAATGTTAAATATTCAAAGCTTCGAAAGCTTTCAGAAAAAGCTTTTAAATTTGAAAAAACCGTTATTTTATTATCACATCATTTTCATAACTTCTCATAAATATCAGAAACAAAGAAAATGCAAGTAATACTTCATAATTGATCGGTAATTATTATTGTTTCATCTGTCCATCGAATAATCACTTTACAGCCGTAAGAATTGATGTATCATATATTTATTGAGAGATCAGATGTTTTGTATTAACACTGACTAAGCGATCGTCGATCTTCCTTGTTACAAAAATAATAACGCCGCACAATTTCTAGAACTCTAACCAGTCTCTTTAATGTCTTCAATCTGTTAGTTTGTTTACTCTCAACTTGAAATGTTTACAATGATTTGTTTAGAGACATTGAACATTTATGATCCGCACAACAAATTTCGTGTTGTGATGCTGTGAAGAAGAAAATCGCGAGTGAAAACGAATTTTAACAAGAGAAAACCTCTCGCGAGTATTGATTTAGATTGCGGTTTCTTTCACCTTTAAAACGAAATCCAACAAGTGTTCGTTTTGTGTTTTGTTTACGTTTAGCGGAAAGGGAGAATCCGTAGTCATAAGACACTAAAAATAATACAAAAGAGTTCAACAATGTAAGCAAAACATTTGAAGAAAAAAGAAAACGAATACGATTACTCACGATTAGGCGCCGAGAGTTGTTTTTTCTAAGATCTTCTGAAGTGCTCACAAAATGATCACGTGCTATGCGCTCAAGTGTTGATCAATGAAAAAGTTCTCTCATAAGTGAATACATTAATTTGTAAAGCAAATTGTTGAATATATATGCAAAATTGGCGAAAATTTGATTTCTTCTTAAAAGGTTTTTGGAAAAGTTCATCAATGATGGAATATTTTGTGTTTACTATCAACTCGTAATCACATGTTTTTAATTAAAAACAGAGTTTTGATTACAAAGCAATGATCATTAAAGTTAATTAAATATGAATGACGACCTTGACAATTTTCCCTTCATATCTTTTTCTAAATAGCTTCGTTATCATTCCCTCTATTTGAACTGAAATCATTTAGCATACATGAAGTTGAATCACTCAACATTTTTCTCTCACAGCACCACGCTTAACAATAACGAAAAACATTTATATTTGATTTTCTCGAATCGTTTTTCCCTCGGCTTTTCTCGAAGAGAATCTTCTTCTAACGAGAAAACATTTTCAGCACGCAGAAAAGTTTCCCTTTCAGTTTCAATCGGGTCTAAGACGGTGTCGGATCAAAAATAAAAAGACTAAAAGTGAACAAATCCTTTTCTTTTAGGTATAAGAAGAGTGCTTTCTTTTTCTTCTCTACGTATTGTGTTATTTTTATTGAAAATTTAGAATTTTTCTAGATGATGTGAAAGTGTTTGAGTGCAAAAGGCGATCCGAAAATTATTGAAGAAATTTGAATAGAAAAAATTAAGAAAAATATCAAGGAAAAGTTTGATGATCATTGACTTTTGATTTAGTGGAAAATTCTGTCGATTGCTTAAGATTGCCTCAAAATTTGTGCTTGTGAAAGGCAAAAATAAGCAGGTTAAAAGTGTGAAAAGTGTTACATAACCAATTCCGCGTTTCATGGGATTATCCACAAATGTGGTCACGCGATCATTGATTGATTAAATGGTAAGAAAGTTGAAATATTCTCAAAATCGATCTTTCATCATTTCTTTAAATAAAAAAATCGTCTTAAGATCCACCGAATTTTCCAACTTTCAAGATCTTTTCTTCTCTCATCACGCGAAAATAACTCATACTGTACACATCATTCTCTCACAAGCGGCTGCTTTATCTTCTTTCCATTCGGTCTAATTATAAAGGAAAAAAAAGATTTAGAGCGAAATAAACAGTGGCACAGCTATTTTTAAAGTGAAACATATATACAAGCAATGATCTCCCCCTAAATGCAGACCCGATCCGGATATTTGTCTTCTGACGACAAGGAAAAAGAAATGCTTTTGTGGTTTATTCTCTGATGCTTCTCAACAAGTTCAAAAAAGTCAATCATGGAATTTTAAAATGTCGATTTTTCTTCTTATCGAATTTCTGGTTTAAAAATTTCTTCTTCCAATTAATCATCTTGACCAGATGCCGCAGAAAATTCCAAATGAATTGAATCAGCATTCCCTAAAAACCATCAAGAATTAAGTTAGAATTCACTAAGACCTCTCAAGATGAATGAAAATTTTCAAAGTTCATCGCCTTATCGTCGGAAAATTTTCATGATTGTCGAAGAAAATTTCACATTTGACTTCGAAACAGCAATGATCACGTAGAAGAAGTAGAGAATAAGTCATTACGGCTGTTTCACAGTTGTTCTCAGCATATATGTAATTTCTTCTCGATGAAGTCTTAAGAAAAACGACTTGGCTGAAAGTAGCAAAAAGTCACGATGACATGAGGAGAGATTAAATAAATTTTTACTGTGATTTCCCGGGAGTTGATTTAACGATGCGGTTTCAGAAGAAATCATGGTTTCAATTTTAATAAATCTTCAAGTTACATTCAGTATAACGAACCCCATTCAACACTCGCCAACTCTAAAAATAATTTTTTTTCGTCAACTGATGCCCACAATCACTTTAACATAAAACTTTTTTCTTCGCGAAAAATTCTTTACTTGCTCATAACCGTTAAGTTTAATGACTTTGACTGTTCATTAATTTAGTCGCTTGGTATTATTTCTGCTGTCGGCTATGAATGTAAAGCTGCATTTGATGCTTGACAAATGAACAATGCTTCACGCGATTTTCATGTACATGTGCGAGATGGCATTAGACGCCTTTACCAACTGTTTATGACAAACATTTAAAAGAAAATTACAGTCTCGACTTCCTATTTGGCAGCTCACACTGACAAGTAACTGATTGTCAACATTTAATGAAATCAATCTCTAACTTAATTCATTTGATCCACGCTTAGTTTTCATCAAATCTTTAAAAGTCCAAATAAACATTCAACATAACTTAAGCGTGCTAACAAGAATCCAATTAATTTTTCTTCCCTCCCTCCAATTGGCGCTTAGAGATTTTGACTAAAACGATGAAAAACAAATCACTTCACGAGTTTAATAACTAGAAACAAACAACACATGTACATAAATTGAGTGACGAAGATTTTTTATGAGATCATTTAAATACAATGATTCGTATCGACGGGAAAACTTTTCTGTTGATGAAAGTTAAATGAAGGAATTTTCAGCGCAGTCTGAAATCTTTATGATTCCCACGGGAGAAAGTAAAAAATAAATTGCGTAGGTAGAACTGACTGTTTATTTGTTAAATTATTCAGAATTTTCGTTCCAACCTACAGGCATTGTATCAATTTCCGATTTATGTCATTGCAGAATTTAAACTTTAAAGAGTCATAAATATTATTTTTAGAAAGTCGTCAACTTTTGTTGTGATATTTATCGACATCTCATTGAAACTTATTAGTTTTGTTTCTCTTATGTTAATATTTGCATAAGAGATAAAAAGAGCAAAGCTACAGTTTTTTATTTCAACTTCAATGAACAATGTTTTTCTTTTTTCCACTTTGAAATAGAAAAAAGTTTACGTGTCGGTGCCATATGTCAGAAAGATCATTTTAAAATAAATGTGGGTGGTCATGGCATCATTTTCTAATTGCTATCGTATTTATAACTCGTTTGAGATGCTGGATAGAAAGCTAGATTTAATCTTACTGGATTTTCCATAATGTCCTTGAAATCATGAGAAAATTTTTTTTTATTCAACTTTGTCGGTAAACACCTGAGATTTCCTTTTATTTTTCTACTTACTTCATGAATGATTTTCAAACTTCCGTTATAACTTAATTGAATATTTTCCCTTCGAATAAATGAATGTTTAAACATTGTATTGAAATTGATCATTCGCTTGATTTTCGTTTGAAATTGTTTTCATTTGTATGCGACCTCTAATGATCTATCCATTCATCATTCAATTCAAGAAAAGCTATTAGTGGCTAGACGAATTAGTAAGCTGCTGAATATTGTTAGCTCTTGGCATAGTGAAATCTCACGTCATTTCTGACCTAAATAACAAATCTGACGCCAGATCAGAGCAAGCTTGAAAATATTTTCTAGAATTTAAATTTAAAGTTTAGAACTTCTGGATGATGTCATCAATTTTTGCAAGCTGCTTTTTGCAATGTGCATTTGTTCACATTACAATTAAATAATCACATAACAAAGCTCTTTAGATGCTTGATATTGATGCCCTGAAGTTTCATTTCGTTTTGAAAATTTTGTAATAACCGCACCTTGGTCAGAAAATTAAGAAAAAATGACAATTGCTGGTACTGTAAAAAATCTTCTGATAATAAATATTTCCATACGAAGCTTCACCACAAGTCATACCCGCTTATTTATTTATAGATTCTCATTTTGTTTTGAATGGAATATTATTTTGAAACAGTTTTTCCGAGAAAAGTCTGGAAGAAACGTGCGGGATCCGTTCATGAATAATCAGTAAAAATCAAAATTTTATATGAGTGGCACGAAGTTGAAATTTCACGGATCTTAAAGCGTTGAATTTCAATTAAATTTATACATCAACTAACGTGTTTATTATTCAATTTCAGTTACTTATGTGTGAAGTGAAGAAGTGAAATGTCAGATCAACATAATAAACAGCCGCCTAAAGGCTGGATGCGAGCGTCAGCATCGCCAATGAGAGCAAATGCGTCGAGATTAATGTCACCAACACCGAATTCAGTGCCTAGACAGAGATCTCCAACACCAACATTTAATGCTCGTTCATTAGCTGACGCTTCAACGTTCAATCCAAATCAACAGCAATCGCCACATCCACCATTGCGACGATTGCCACCAACACCAACTGGATTTACAACGGTTTATGATTCGCAGCGATTTTCTCCTGCTCATCCACCGCCACCACTTTATCAACAACCGAAACCTACTACTTCATTTAATCAACCGAAAGTTCCAATGTCGCCTTTGAATTTTCCTAGTGATGCTTCTGTAGCAAAACCTTTTCGAAACACCTTTTCACCAACACCTTCTGCACCAACTCCTAGTAGTATTCCACCATTTTCTCCACCTCCAACTCCCCAGTATATGTACATGGACAATGATCGTCAAATGAAAACGGTGAACGACTTTTATGTTGTTCCATTGGAACCAGCAAATCTATCCAAGGATATTTCAGTTTATGAACAAGACGAAGCACGTCCATCAACTGCAGACATTATTGCACAACAATCGCAAGATTATGTCGATGAAAAACTGGCAGAATATCAAGCTACAATCAGTCTGCTTCAGGGTAAGAAAACATAATAAGAAAAATTCTCGTCAGTTGATTTCTAAAGAATTTTTAAGACGCAAGCCAAACATTCTGTGAATTATATCGACATTCATTTAAAAATAGCAACTTGAGAATATTTTCCGTAGACGGCAATAAATTAACAGCCGGCTACATTCTCGAATGCCATAAAATAAAATACGGAACGTCCTACAAGCACGTCTCGTTTAACATTTTAATTTCAATTTAATGATCGCTTTAATTAAATGCAGTGATTTTCACATAAGTAAAGATCATGTAAAGTGTGAATGAAATTATCTATTTTTAGCACTAATTGCATCAAAAGTGAAAGTTTTGCTTTTGTTCATGTTTTGCGTGGGTGGTAATGTTGATTGCGGCGTTTTCGCAAGATTAAAATGTAAACAAAAAGAATTGAGAGAATTTAAATTATGAGAGAAGTCAAGAGAGAGACCAAAGAGAGTAAAACTGTTTATTCAATAAATTTTTTGGAAGGTTTTTTGCGCAACCGCCGCGTAAAAAGCATCGTGTGTGTGACGTTTTCTTTTCTATTCATTCAGTCTTTTCTAGAAACTACGCAGTAAACCAGTGTTTTTAAATGATTAATTTGAAAGACTTTTAAAAATAGATCGCGGGTAAAATAAGTGTGTAAAGTATGTTAAGAAGTTATTTCGGAACAACATCAAAGTGAACGTAAACAAGAATTCCCCGAGATATTCGGCATCAGCTGTTTGTTTTGTCTTATAAAATCATTTCTTCTTCTTCTCGCGTTAATGCTTTGGACAATGATATCTCTTCTCAAGCATACATTCGTTCCTCGTAAATCATTTACTAACACGATTGCATTCGCACGTGATTTTATTACGACACGCAATTTTTTAATTCGCGACAAGCATGAGATCAGGAGAGGAACGAGTTTATGCTCTGGAAAAACATCTCACGCACACAATTAAGGATTCTTCAATTTAATTGCGGTTGCCGAAGAAACATTCAGTTTTCGTTGATTTTTAATGAGTTGTAAAGAGACATTGCGATAGACAAAATTATGTTGTTTTTATTTACTTATTTACATTCTATCAGTGTCAATTTGGCCTCAATTCAATTTCCCTTTCGCCATATTTTTGTTTGTTTGTAACGAAGGGTGAATTTCTATGATAATTTGTGGTATTTTAAAAATGAATTCCAAGACAGAAACAAATACCAGTAGATAAGATATTTATTAGATCGATAGAAAAGATATTTATGAGTGCTTTGCAGGCGATTTCATTGAACTTTATCCGTCTCCGTTTTTAATAAAGCAAAAACATTTTTAATCTTTGGTAGAATTGATTTAAAAGTTGAAGACTGGTTTAATAATTCTTTTATACTTCATATGAGATGAAGTTCATGTTTGAGGTATTTTCATACTCGTTCAACATTAACGTTATTTTATGAGCTTTGCCCAAGGTTTACCAAGAAGTCACAAACATAACTATCTCAACTCTTTTGCCAAATAAAATAATAAGAAGTCAACATCTTGATGTGAAGTTTGAAAGATTGTTTACGTTTCTCTCCTTTTCCTCAATTCTCTCTTGTTTGTTCCTTATGCTCGATTTTTTTATATGAAAACAGCTAGGAAAACAGCGTGCTTTGAAACAAACCACAAAAACTAAGCTGAATAAGTTGATGTATTTACTGACATGCGAAGATATTCTCCTTCCTCACAACCACTACGATAATAATGAAAAAAAAGAGCCACAATTTTGCAGCTTTTCTTATTCAGTTATAAACCGGCTTCCATTTATTCCAGACGTGAAATCAAGACTACTTGTTAAAGCGCTTTAACGACTGAGAAGAAGAAGACAGAAAATTATTTTTTATATCAAAAAACATCAATTTTAGTATTTGTTGGGCGGTTTTGTTGTTGATAAAATTACACAATCAACAATCTACCAGCCCTCAAATCACGTGTGAAAACTCTTGAAGTGATATTTAATGTGAAATTATATTATTATCTTACCAAGAGAGAGAAAAAAAAATTCTTCTTTACCTTCAGAGTGAATGTCGGAAAAATTGATTTTTCCAGCTCGTTTTCTGTGACGTTTTAAATTGAAGTTAAGAAAAGCGAAATATTATCGCTTGAAAAGTGGAAATAAATCAAATAAAAGAAAAAGTTATTTTTGTTAATAAAATATTATCAAACAATGTTGCAATATGGAACACGGAAATAACCGAAAATATGATAATAAGAAACATGACGAAGGTCAAGGCCACGATCAAACAGATCGAGCCGAAAGTTATCCGCGAACTTTACCTCGTAAGACGGTGAAAACTTATCTTTATCATGAGACTAGTCCTGGCTTTGAGCGAGTAGATTCGCCAAGTCGAGATGATTCCGCATATTTTACATTCCCCCATCACGGATCTACATCACGATCCTTTTCAAAGTCATCTTCAGCTGCATCAAGTGATCGTTTTCCATCGGAGGAAAGTCTCCGATCACCAACATCACCCGACTCGTCATCGAGTAAGAAAGTCCATTCCACGCTTATAAGAATTCATTTGGGTGGCGACGAAAAAAAGTTGCACCATGAATGGTACTCCGAATACACTCACCAGTCGCATCAACATAAGCAAGCTTTTAGTTCGCCTCTTGCAAACAGATCAGCGAACTCGAGTAGTCAGTTTGAATATGATTCGCATATTGCACAAATGAGAGGTAAATTAATTAGTAAGCTTCAATCAGTAGGTTAAGCGAAAAGTAAATTTATGAGAAAGTCTCGTAATGCGTTAGACTTAAATCGAGGTTTACTTCAATAACTTTTTAGCTGTAATTGCCAAGCACAATTTATGATAGAAATTTTTACAACACACCTTTAGATATTTTTACAACTTTGTAGCTAAGACAGCACTGAAATATTAATACTTTTTCCTTCAATTTCAATGATTTACATCGAGAATTGTTAAAGTTGCTTTTAGCTGCTTTTTGATTTATAGTTGAGCCGCAAGTTTCTCTCCGTCGTAAACAGATAATTTTCCATAAACAGTTAAAAGTTGCAAATCACAAGCTTCTAATTAAAAATTCTCAAGATTTTTACCCTTTTGTCAATCAACGCCGATGCTTTTAAGTCACTTAACTTAAATGAAGAGATTTTTTGAAGTTTCTTTATTTTCGATTTTTATCAGCGTTTCTTTTAACTTTTTTCATCATTCACGGCGTTTCTTCCTATGTCCGAAATATCGTGTGCTTTGTTTTTTACAATCGCTATTCATTCATTCATACATATTCAGTCGTTTCTGTATTTTTTTTTGGTTATTTTGGGTTGGGATGGCTCGCGCGCGCGTAACATTCTGACCAAGGTCAACCGAGGCTACGGAGAAGTCCACTTTAACACAAATTGTATTAGAATGTAAATAAAGCGAATGACATAATCGCTAAATATTCTCCAATGGTTCTTTTTTCGAGTAGCGCTTCCCTACTGTTTTCAACACTTTTTTTCACGATCGATGTAAAAGAGTTTCTGAATTTTCGTCTTAAATTTAACAAAATTCATCGCGGTAGTTCGAAAGGAATCTAATAAAAATTTTATGGTAATTGACTTTGACGAGGTGTTGTGATCGATTAAATCACTATTTTTAAACCACATCAAGTCAACCATTAAAAGCTTTTGAATAAGACATTTTTTATTTCATTCAAATAATTTAAACCACAGACAAATTGCTTGTTATTTAAATTACGTCAAAAGGTCGAATTCTTAACATTTGATAAGCTCTATTATGAAATGCTTAAAAGAGATTTATTTTTATGAAACTGATTAGCACATTCAAATGATAGAATCATTTTATGAATAAATTCTATACGTGAATTAGCTTTCAGTATTTACTTTTTGAGATTTCACGTTGTTGAAAGCTTCTTTAAAGGGTTTCTAAAAATATTTTCTGTCGATACTGAATGATGTAAAAATAATATTTAATTAAATATTCATTTTCAAAGGATTATCTCATCGGAATAGCAACAACTTCACAAACTTTTGTTAATAAATATTATTTCCAATTTTGCATCAAAACATTACGCAATTCTCAACACAATCGATCCATTTTTAATTCAAGTTTATATGGTAAATTATTTAACAATGACAAAAGTTTTTAAATTTCCAAGAAAGATGCAAAGTTGTAGTCAATTTTATTGCCAGCATTGCTTAATGAATAAATGAGCAACGAAGTTTTAAATTAATTAACACCGTCTGGCATGATGGAATAAGTCTATTAATACTATCAATAAATATCTACTTCGTTTAAACAATACACCTATTTCTTCAATATTCCCAATTATAACATACCCAAAGGTCACACCCAAAGCTGACAAAAAGGCCTCTGCGTCGATAAATTTCATAAAAATTTCCTTTCGTGAATTTGATAATCAATAACTTTTGCATGTGATCTCTCATTTAATTCCTGCTACCGGCAATCCACCAACAACAAAAGAAACATAAAACAGAAAAACTTTCAATAAACTGTGCGTTTGAAGTAAGAAGGAAACTTCATAAAATTTATAAATTCCACCGGTTACAATTTCTTTCCCCTATTTTAATAAAAATTTTCGATCAAGTCAACGAAACATGAAAAGCACGTGACTGAACGTACCAGGAAGATTTAGAAAAACTCGAATGCTTAGGGTGAAGACACTTTTGACTTCTTTTCCTGACTTTTATAAATGCTTAAACTTATGAATCAGAAGAAGTTGAGCTTGAAGGATTATTTAGAAATTAAATTTTTCTACGACAATTCCTTCATTGATCTTAAATAAAATGTTACAATTTGTAACTCAATTTTATTGCAATTTTATACGAAATTACTTGAAATTTTTTATAGACAAACTTATCGATTTTGAAGAAATAAAAAATTTAAGTGTTGATATAAATTTTATTTCTGTCTAGAAAGAATTTTTCTAAGCTTGACGAGATTTAAGTAAAATTTTTTAATATTGAGTTTCTCAGACTAAATAAAATAAACCAAGACATAGACAAAATCAACAACATCCAATAAAGCTTCAACATAAGTATTTCTTATTGTTGAAAATCTTTCAACTTAACTTCATCCAAGGTTGCTTTATAACTTTACGATTCACGTCTACTGAATATAATTTATGGACTTTTTATGAATCACCAATTAAAGTATGGAAAATATGAAAAGTTGCTTTAATAATTCACCATTAGTAGCTTTTATCGCTGCAGTATTTATGAATAGCTTCATGATTAGCTTAAGTTGAACCTTTTTCTATCATAGATATCATTCGCCTATCAGTTGGCACTTAAGTCGTGATTATTATTATTAATTGATAAATGAAATAAAAGTAGGAGTAGCGTGCATATTTACCGATCGTCGATACACATTAATTAACAACAATTTAAGTTTTACAACTTTGCTATTCGTTTCATGTCAAAGTTTAAAAACAAAAGAAATTTTTAATATGTCGATACATCAAAGCAGGTGTTTAAATAAGCAAGAAATATTTGACATTGATTGGCAAACTGAAGGTTGTGGCTTTCGTCTTGAAAATATATTCTTGACATAAACGACGTTATAACATATTCTTCTTCTTTTTCTTTCCCATCTCATCGTCATGTTAACTTTCGCTTTCAAGATGAACAAGAACGAGTTCAGAAGAAGACTTTTGTCAATTGGATCAACTCATATCTCGCTAAACGTCATCCACCAATGCGCATCGAGGAATTATTTTATGATTTGCGTGATGGAACCAAGCTTCTTGCCTTATTAGAAATCTTATCAGGTGACCGACTTCCTGTTGAAAAGGGAAAGAATATGAAACGTCCACATTTTCTTAGCAATGCTAACACTGCATTGCAGTTTTTAGCAAGCAAAAGAATAAAGTTGGTTAACATTAATTCAGCTGATTTAGTTGATGGAAAACCAGCTGTCGTCTTGGGCCTTATTTGGACAATCATCTTGTACTTCCAAGTAAGAAACATTTTATAGTTTCGGTTCAGTTTTGTATTTACAAGAATTTTTTTTTCCCAGATTGAAGAAAATAGTCGAATCTTGGATTACATGTCACCCGAACCGAGGGCTTCATCTAGTCGTCAGACACCTTCGGAAGCTTCACGTGAAGGACCCAAGAAATCACTTTTATCTTGGGTTTCCAAAACAATTCCCAGCAACTTGGGAATTGAAGTGAAAGATTTTGGTCCAAGTTGGAGAGATGGTTTCGCATTCATGGGCTTAATCAACGCAATAAATGAGAATCTTATTGACATCGATAATTATCGCAATGCCACAAACAAAAATCGTTTGCACACAAGTTTCAATGTTGCTGAAAGTGAGTTGGGAATACCAAAACTTTTGGATCCTGACGATGTTGATTTGCCCAAGCCAGATGAGAGAAGTGTCATGACTTATGTTGCTCAGTTCCTTCATAAATATCCAGAACCAAGAGTAAGTTGATCATTTGTTGATATTTCATATGTTAATTATTTTTTTCTATCATTTTCACAGTCCTATCAATCATCATCGTCAACAGATAATCTTCAGAGCATTCAAAACATTCTTCAATGGATGCGCGAACAGATAATCAAATATGATAACATGAATGGTCAATATCCTTTAGATGTTGAGATGTATCAACAAGCTATAGCGATGAATAATCAAAAATTCAATGCTTATGATAAACTTAAACTTGTATCCAAAGTGCCAGATCAAACATTGATTGAAGTGAACGATTCGAAGAAACGTTTGATTCAATTGATGGACGAGTGGAAGAAGTATATTGATTACAATCTTCCAGGGGAATTGAAGACTATTGGAGTGTGGCTTAATCAAGCTGAGAAAATTCTCGCTGACAACGAACTGCCAACAGCGATGAATGAAGAAACTGCCGCTTTTATAAGTAAGAAAATTGAACAGCATAAGAAATATTTTGCTGCCTATCCCGATGTTCTCGACAAGTTCAACAGCATTAAAATCAGCTCACAATATCAAAACATATCACCGAAGATTTTTGAATTTGTCGAACGTCGTTTGCTCGATGTTGAACCAAAAGCTCGCCAAAGACGCATCAAACTTAAATACACCGAACACAAATGTTGTCTTATTGCGTTTCTTAATCTTTTGGAAAATAAAATCTCAAGTGTCCGTTATGGTGATGAAGATGTCGTCAAACATTCATTGGATCAAATCAGAAGCTTTTTGACACGAAATAAAATCGTTGAAGAGTTTGAGAAAGCTTTGATTGACATGCATCAAGTGATTGAAGAATACAAAGTTGATGGTGATTTATCACGTAAAGATTTGTTCGATATTGAAACGTTCATCAATGAAACTGAAAATCGATGGAAGAGCGTTTCAACTGGTCTCAAATGCACGGAGACTATGTTGGAAGAGACTCTTAATCATTGGAAGAAATACAATGCAACATCGAGAAGTCTTAACTCATGGATGGATGCAGCTGAAAATGCACTCGGCTATCCTGAAATGGAACGTTTAGAGTTCTTCCAAGACATCGCTCTAGTCAAGAAAAACTTCGATTCAGTTCAAGATTATTATAATTTCTTGAAAGCAACATGCGATAAGGAAACTGTTCATGCTTTGGATCATGACTATAATGCGCTTTGCCAACGATGGGATGGAATTTATCGATTTGCCAAGCAATACACGCATGCTGGTGATATTCTTAAGAATCGTCAGACATACGAAAAAGGAATTCAACAACTTTGCAGTTGGTTGCGCAATGCTGAAAATGTTCTTAACCGGCAAAACTTAAACACTGCAGACCAAATCAAAGAACAACAAGAACAATTGAAACAAATCAGTGGAGAATTGGAAGATATGGAAGATCTTTTCAGAAATATTAGTAAATCTTTCCAAACTCTCATTCCTGATATTTCACGTGATGAAGTTGATCGCATCATGAAACTTTTAAAGAAAGAAAAAGAATCGCTCGTAAGAGTGCGAGCTCAAGTGCCTTTGAAGATGCAATTATATCATCAATTGTTGTCACAAAAAGAATCTATCGAATTGGGACAACAAGAGATCACACAGTGGCTTGACGATGCTGAAAATCTTTTGAGTACTTACAGTCTGGCAACAAGAAAGAGTCAAACAATATCGCAACTTGAAAAGCATAAACAATTCTTTGCGAAAACTTTGTACTATAAGTCAATGTTGGAAAGTAAAAATGCTGTTCTACAAAATCTTTTAAGAGCAGCCGATGTTGAGAAGAATATCGACACAGAATCGGCACAAAACCAAATGGCAAGTATCAATGAACGATACAATTATGTTGTCAGCAATGCTGTTCAATGGGAGCGTAAATTGAATGAAATTATCAGTTGTTGGAATAATTTCGAGGAGAATGAGAAGCAACTTGCTGATTATTTGAAGAAAGCAAATCATTGGCTTACTCAACCATTGACCGACAACCGTGAAGATCTTGAAGCGCAAATGAACTTTTTCGAAAGTATTAGTGACAAGCCTGTAAGAGATTTCATTGAAGCAGCCAATGAATTGTCACAATATTTGCCAAATGCTGGTAAACACGATGTTGTTGAGATCGTGGATAAACTTCAATTGAAATGGAACAACCTCATCACGATTGTGCCTTTGCACCTTATGAAAATTCATTTTCATACTGAAAATATAAAATTCACTCATTTGGTGCGCGACATTGAAAAGGAATTAAATTATGAAGAGCAAGCTTTTCATCGCAATGAAAATTTGGATGATTTACTCTCGCAACATATTCAGTTCTTCCAAGAAAGTCCCGTCATGAAGACAGCTGAACTTTCATTATCAAACATGCACAACATTTTGCATCATTACAACACAGAACTTCCAAACGACAAGGAATTAACCAACGCTTATCAAAATAAGTCAATTGTTTGGCAGAATCTATGCAAACGTGTTGCGATCATACTTAACGATCTTCAACAAATTCCCGATCAATGGAAAAATTATCGACAAAAGTTTTCGCAAATTGAACGATGGATGGACAATGTTGAAGTTTCTTTGGAAAGTCTAACGAAAGAATTAAATTCTTTAGAAGAGTTTGAACAAGAAAAACTCGCTTTCCAGGTGAGTGTTTTGAAACTTTATTAAAAATTTTCCGGAGTTAATAAAAAATTCCAATTTCCCCTTTAACAAGCATCTCGATAAGGCTTTGGTAATTTAATTTGATTGCTAGAAAAACTAATTAAAATGTTAATTCTAACTGTATTCATAAATTTCCTTTTCATTTCTTTGGAAATCTTTTAGAATATTTGTACCGAAGCTGATTCAAAGCGTGAAGACATGAAATGGCTTCTGAAGACTTTAGATTTTCTTGTTTCACATGCCCCTGAAGATGTTGTTCATGCTGAACAAAAGAAACTTGAAGAACTCGTTGCAAGATATAAAGTTTTGATACCGACAATCGAACTCACAATGATAAAGACAGAAGTCTTCTCAAAATGTTACACATATCGACAAGATGTCAGCACAATTGTTGCCTTACTTGAGAAAATCTCAGATCAAGCTGCTAGTCAAACAGAAGTTCAACCGGAAAGTTTGAACAATGTTAAGCAAATGATTAAAGCTCAAGAGTTTGCCATGAATCAATTGGATAATCAACGTGGGCATGTTATGACGATGCTTCAACGTGGTAAAGATTTGAGTAAAGATGTTCACGCTCCAAGCTTCATAACTGAAGAAGTTAAGAGTCTTGAAGATGGTTGGAATCAAACCTATGCTACTACTCAAGAAAAGCTCAACACATTGAAGAATGTAGAAAATATTTGGCAACAATTCGATAATCAAAAACGTGAAATTGTCAATTTGATTAATCTTGCTGAAACTGAATTACGGTCAGTTACGCCTTTGCAGACGAATCCAACAAATTGCATCACTGATCTTCAGAATAAACAACAACTTCAAATGCACTTACAAAAGTCAGCTTTTCCTATTTTCTCGAAACTTGGTGAACATTACGAAGCTTTAGTTGCAGAAACTCCAGTTAAGGAACAAGCTTTTGTGAAAGAAGTCAACGATTTAAATCAAAGATTTGCTATGACTTTGGATCATTTGAAAGATCGTGTTGATTATTTAGAGAATTATAATTCACGATGGAATGACTACAAGAAACGTCTTGCAGATTTACATGCCTGGGCAACACAATTTGCGCCACAAGTTATCGATGCACTGAAATCAGCAGATTTACCACCAGAAGAAAGAAAGCAACGTCTTGAGAAGCTTGAAGCCGATTTTAATGAAAAAATGAAAACTTTCGAGCTTCTGTCAAGTGATGCATTTGATTTAGCACCTAAAGAAGGCAACATTATGGAAGCGAAAAAATTAAAGAACGAAGTTAGAAGCCTTCATGCTACTATGAATGCGATCAACAACGCAATTCAAAGCAACGCTCAAGTCATTAATCAAGATTTATCTCATTGGGAGAAATATCAATCGCAAATCAACGAAATTAAACCATGGGTTGACGACACACCAAAATCTATGTCTATAGAAGATTATCAACCAACAGTGTTAAACGACGCTAAACAATTTCATAATGAAATTGAACTTTACAAACAACAATGTCAAAAGAAAATTGCAAAGCTCGATGAAATCGCTAAAATTGGTGAAGAAATTCAACTCAATGATTTCTTACCCAACGACATTGAGTTCTATCAAGCAAAATGGAAAAAAGTACAAGATAATTCGAATATTTTGGCTGGCAAGATGGGAACATTAATAAATAATTGGCAACAATTTAACAATCAAGCTGAAGATTTAGATGCTTGGATAAATGAGAGCAATAATTACTTGAAAGAGTTCGATGGAGTTTCTGAAACAGGCATTGATGAGCTTGAGAAACATCTCAATACCATGAAATTCTTTGAAAATGAGATATCCGAAAAACAATCAAATCTCATCGCTTTGAATCATTTAGGGGAGAAGCTTTACGGCCACTTGACACCAGATGGCGCTTCACTCATTAAAGAGAAGCTTAAGATCATGAAGGAACAAATGGATGCGATTTCAAAGAAAGTTGGTGATCAAATCAATGGAATTGGAAATAAGATTCAAGCGAATCAAGAGATTACATCAAAGCTTACCAATTTTAATAATTGGATGGAGAATTTAAGAAAGAATGCGTTTGATGTTGACGATGTTTCTATAAGAAATATTGAACCATCTTTGCAAGTCATTCATTCATTACTCGAGCAGCACAACGAGCGTGAAGCAGCTTTTAATGAAATTTATTCGGAAATTAAGAAGTTGACAGAAACAGCTACACCAAGCGAAGCTAAAGTTCTAAATGATACTTACAGTGCCTTATCGAAAGGCTATCAAAATCTTAACAATGATTTGTACGATAAACGTGAATATTTAGACAAGTGGGTGGAATTTTTGCATTGGATTGATGACACTAAAGATTTTGTGAAGCATCATGGAAAACAGATATCTGATGCTTCAACATTCTCACCAGGTGAAATTGAACAAATTTCTTCAAGCATCACAGAAAATCTGAAACAAATTCCACAATGGAAAACAGTTGCAACTGAATTAGATGCGAAACCAATTGTATGTGTCAAGAATGATTATGATAAACAAGAACATGCTATGCCAATCATTAACAGTCTTGAAACTGAATTGGAAAATCTTAAAGAGAAATGCGATGCAAAACTCAACAAGAACAAACAAATTGATGAGAAGAAAATTTTGTTTAAGAATCTTGAAAAGGAAATCATCAGCAATCTTAATGGATTCACGACAGACATTAACAATCTTCATCAAAAAGTTGATGATAGAGATATTACATTTGATGAAGCTCTTGGAGGGTTCAATAATTTAAAAGATAATTTATCAAAGTGCCATGGATTAATTAATAAAATTCATCAAGAAGGAAATGCATTGATCAAAGACGACTTCAATGACATGATAAATGTTCAAGAGATCTTGATGGTTCTCGATAGAGAATACAATAACTTGAACGATAATTGTGATGAGTCAATTCAAAACTACGCTTTATTGAGTAAGGCTACAAATGATCACAAGAAAATGATTGAAAAAGCAAAGAATGATATCAAGAACATCCCAGTTATAAACGATCATGAAATTCTAACAAATGACACTGCAAAGTCAATTCTTGACGCCAATCTTGATACATTTAAACGACAATTGGATCAACTTAAGAAAATCAAACTTCAAGTTGATGATGTTGATCGCAAGGGAAATGAAATTGTAAAATTCTGCGAAAATATTCGACGTACACCTCCAAATGTACAAGAACCAGCTCAAGAACTCAAAAATTTGTGGAATGATGCAAATGAGAGAATTTCATCACATGTTATGTTATTCGACAATGTTTCATCACTTTGGCAGCAAGTTGATGGTGCTGCGAATGAAATTAACAATTGGCTAGATGACATTGATGAAATAATAACTGAATCAACTGAAAATAAGAAAGAAGTTGAAAGTGGATTCATGCGAATGAATAAATATAAAATTGAACTTCCATCATACACAAATCTCAAAGGAGAAATGGAAAATAAAGTTGAAGAAATCAAAAAGATTCAAAACCTCAACTTGGAACCAAAACAAATCAAACACACGATGCAGATAATCAATGATCGCTTTGCTGAAGTTGATGATCGTGTCAAGAACTTGGAAAATATCGCGTCGACTTTTTCACAAGAAGAAAAAGATTTCAAACTCAAATTGAAAGGAATTAATGAAAATATTAATAAAACACGCGATAAAATCATTGAATGCGATGATACATCAGGAGAAATTGAGAAAAATGTTGATAACTTAAACAAATGTTATTTGGTTGATAAAAGTTTGGATGATAACAAGAAAGAACTTGCAAGCCTAACAACATCCTTGCAAAGCTTATATGAAAAGTTCCCAAGCGTTAAAGAATCAGCTTTGCCAAAGGAACTCGAAAACATTAAGAAACGCCACGACGTTTTAGTGAAGAATAATGAGAAGAACAAGAAAAATCTTTCCAATCATATTGAGAAGAGTATCAAGGATAGAATTGTTGGATGTTCGAAATTGATTCAACAGCAAAATGAGAAAGTCAAATGGTGTAAGCCAGACGCAGCTAGTGACAAATATAACTTGGAAGTTAAGTTAAGCTCTTTAGCTGAAGTTGAGAAGTTCAATGGTGAATGTCAGGAAAAGCTTCAAGGAATCGACAAATCTCTCGCAACAGCTCAAAAGATTCCAAAATTAAACATCGAAGATTTAGAAGATTTAAGGAATCAAGCGCAGGATAGCTTTGATCAGCTTGTGTCGGAACATGATGATGTTAAACAAGCTTTAGAAGATAACATCGCATTGTGGAGTCAATACGAAACATTATCAGATTCTCTTTTAGCAAATATCAAAGAAATTGAAGATAAAACAAAATCTGAAACTGCTTACCAAATCGATCTTTTCACTATTGATGATAAGCTGAGTAATCTTCAAAACTACAAGAAACAAATTGATGCTTTGAAGCCGAAACTTCAACAGTTAGTTAAACTTGGAAATGCAATCAATGATAAGAATAAAGAAGCTCACATCACTCAAGTCGTTAATCAAACATCTGCCAGATACAACACAGTGTCAAATCTCATTAATACAATTTGTGATCGCTTAGTCGATTATAAAGAGAAATTTGCAATTTACAACGACGAGAATGCAAAGTTCACTTCATGGTTGAATGAAACAAAAGCAAATACTGACAACTTGAGTAAACTTGCCGAACCTGGAGCTGCATCTTCAAAAGTTCAACTTCAAGATTTGAGAGTTTTACTTAATCAAATTGTAGCAAGATTCGATGAATTAAAAGCTTTGAATGAAAAAGGCGAAGCTTTGTATACTGGCGTAACACTCGAAAGCCGTGAAGGCATCAGAAAGAATTTAAAACAATTAAGAAACACTTACGAAACTATGCACAAGAAGCTCAATTCATTGATTAAGAAATTGGATTCGAATATTTCACAAAAAGCTTCAATTGAGGAAAATCACGATCAGATCAAACAATGGTTGACAGAAATGTCGCCGAAAGTTATCACAAATGAACTTTATCCGACACTTCCTGAAAAGAAAGCAGCGTTACACAACAACAAAACTTTTCTTCAAGATGTGGCTTTACATAAAGGTTTACTTCAACAACTTGAAAGTAAAGCTTCAAATATTTCCGACAAAGATTCTTTGCAAAGAATTAAAGCAACAGCAAAAGAATACGACAACTTGATGGAAACGATTGAGGGAAGAGTTGCAACATGCGATGATTACATTAACAATCATGAGCTTTATGACAGTAACATTGAAGCTTTTCGTGATGAAATTCTCGGCTTGAAGAACAGTTGGGAAGATGCAATTGTTGAGTCTGTTGAGCCAAAAGTTATCAGCGAGAATATCGTTTTTACTCAAAACCTCATCAACAAGAAGAAACCGATTGACGACAAACTCGATCAATGTTACAAACAATTGAATGTTGTTATAAATCAAACACACGAGAAAGGTCATCCAGATTTGTTCAATGCTTTCAAAGAGCAGAAAGACGATTGGATGAAATTCATTTCGTTGTGTGAAGAGACAAAGAAGAAGTATGAAATCATGAAAGGTCAATGTGACAAATTTAATGACGTTTTTAGTGATCTTTTGAAATTCTTGAAAGAAAAAGAAGCGATCATCAAAGATCAGAATCTAAAGAGCGGTGCAGAAACGAAATTGGAACACTTAAATATGCTTAAAAATCTTTTACAAGAAATTAAGACGAAGGCAACAAAATTGTCAAAGATTCATGACGATATCCGTGAACTTCCCACTGACAATGACTACAATGTGAAGTTATCACAAATCAACACACGCTTCCAGACATTGGAGAATGCTTGTAAAGATTCTATAAATCGTTATGAGATGTTCTCAAATGATCACATGATCTTCAATGATAATTACGAAGAGTTCAAACAGGAATTAGTTCAAGATTGCAAGAATCTTAAATTCAACTGCGACATTATTGGTAATCTTGATGGTCTTCAAGAAGTTCAACGTCAGGTTAAAGAACTTCAAGATAAACAAAACAATGATAATGTCACTTTTGAGCAGTTGATAACACAAGGAGAAAATTTGTACTCCCACACAAATCCAGACGGTCGGGAACATGTGAGACAGCAATTGAAATCTCTTAAAACTGATTGGGATAATTATTCAGAGGATTTATTGACACTTGCACAAAAAGTTGATCAATGCGTTCAACAATTTGCTGAATTCACAGAATCACAAGAACAGCTTTCAAACTGGCTGAAAGAAGTTGAAAAATCGATTCAATCTCACACTGAACTTCGATCAACATTGCAAGAAAAGAATCTTCAACTTCAGAATCATAAATTGATGCATCAAGAAATTTTATCACAGTCAAGTCTTGTCGATAACGTTTGTGACAAAGCACAACAGTTAATTAATGAAACAAAAGATGAAAATATCACGAAATATTTAGATTCGATAAAAGATTTGTTTAAGAATATTGTAACCAAATCTGCAGATCTTCTCAATAAACTCGACGAGTCAGTTTCTAGTCATAAAGCTTACAACACACAATTATCAGCAACAAAAGCTTGGATAAATGATGAGATTGAGAAACTTTTACTTTGCGAAACTATTCAAGGAGAAAAGAATGAAATTGGAAAGAAAATTGAGAAACTTGAAGCAATCAAAGACAACAAACCGAATGGAGAAATTTTAATGAAGAATCTTTCGGACATTTTCGAGAAAGTTTCCATTAACACATCGCCGAAAGGCAACGAAGCTTTACTCAAAGAGCTCAGTGATCTTCGTGACAAATTTACAAATATTTATGACGTTGCTGATAGTTTGTTGAAGAAACAGAAAACTACTCTTGAGAATTGGCAACAGTTTGATGAACAAAATGATGAACTCAAGAAGTGGTGCAAGAGTTACGAAACAATCTTTAAAGAATTGCCACAAAAGAATAATTTGCAAGAGAAAGAAACTTTATTGAAGCAATTTAAAGATCATCAAGATAGCATCGCTCAAAAAGAATCTAAAATTGACGAATTCGTTGATTTCTCAAATCTTTTACTTGCTAAAACTGGCGTTGAGAAAATTAAAATCATGAGCAATCAGCTTTTGAATCGCTACAAATTGTTGACAGTTTTGAGCAAAGAAGTTGTGAATCGTCTTCAGAATATCTTCAACGATCATCAACAATATCAGGAGAAATTCAAAGAAGCTGATGCAGAAATTGCAAATTTAGAGAAGCAACTCATCGATGCAACACAAAACGTCGATTTTAGAAATGTCAACAAAGAATTTGTACAAATGTTGACAATTGAAAAAGATAAAGTGAATTCAATGATTGATGAACTTACGGGAATAAGTGAGAAAGTTTTACCTGAAACTGGAGCTGTTGGTCGTGAAAATATTCGTGACGGTTTGCGTGCAATACGTGATCGATTCGATAAGCTCGTTGTTGACTTGAAGAATTTACAAAAATCGATTGACACGAAATCGAATCAATGGTCATCTTATCAAGAAATTCATCAACAACTTTTGAAGTGGCTCCATGTGATTGAAGTTGCAATTAAAGACGAAGAAACTAATCAAGCTGAAACTCCACAGGAACTCCGAACAAAGATTTTGAAGTTGAAATCAATTTCTCATGAAATTATTTCAAGAAATCGTCTCATTGAAACTTTGAATGAAAAGTCGGCGGTACTTGAAGGCAATCCACAAGAGAAAGAATCTGTTGCTAATATCAATAAACGTTACAACGACGTGAAACAGAAATCAAACGAACTTTTGAAAAATATTGAAGCCATCATGGAAGTTCTTAACAACTTCTCAGAACTTCATAAAGCTCAAATTGCACACCAGAAGATGCTTTGGGATAAACTCACAATATATTCTGATTTCATGGGAACAAAGAGTGAACTTGCTTCAAAACTTGAGAAATTAAATGACATGGAAAAGCACATCATGCCAGATGAGATAAAATTGAATGAGATCAAGAAAGTCAGTGAAACTAATACCGCAATCTTGCCCAAGCCAATTGCTGAGTCAATCAACAAAGATGTGACAAAAATGTTTGGCGAATATCAAAAGTTCAAGAATGCTTTAGAGAAGATCAAGAAAGACATTGACGACCGCATGGAACTTTGGAGATTATATCAAGAAAGCTGTGACAAACTTCAACAGCTTCTTGAAGAAACAGAAGCAAATCTCAAGAATTTCACTTTGAAATCTTCGTTGGAAGATAAACAAGAAGCTTTGAAGAATTATCAAGGCGTGCTAGCCAACATGAAGGAGAATGAGAATGAACTTTATTTGTTGTCTGATAGAGCTTCCGAGTTGATACAATCATGTGGAGAGTCCAAGACGACTGTCTTTGTTCAACAAATAAAATCAAGATTCTTGTCCGATGAAAATGCTGCAAAAGAAGTTGTCAAGAAATATGAACAAATCGTGAATGATCACAAACTTTATAGAGATCGTTACAAGCAATGCTTTGATGAATACTTGAAGGCAAAGAAAGATTTGGAATCTTTCGATAATGCCGCGACAATTTCTGATCGAAAGGAACTTGAAAATGTTTTCGCGAAAGTCAATTCATTAGCTGATCATCATACTGCGATGAATAAAATGCTGAACACTGTCGTTGAGCTTGGTGAGAATTTGTACTCAACAACAGACTCAACTGGCGGTGAAATCATTCGATTAGACATTCAAGACCTTCAACAGAAGATTGAAGATCTTTTCGATAAGATTATTAATCTCAAGACGAAATTAGAATTCAAATTATCGAACATTACTGGAGTTGAAAGCTTAATTGAAAAGCTTGAAAATTGGTTGAAGCAAATCGAACCAGATTGCACTGGAGACATACGAAAGAAGACGACATTAGATGAGAAAATTAATCAGCAACAATATTACGAAGCATTGTTGACTGATATCAACAGCCATCAGAAGGACATAACTTTATTAAAAGATTTGATCGCCAGCCCTGACACCGATGAAGCAGTGACAAAGAAAGCAAAAGAAATAATAAATCGATATGAGGATTATCAAAACAAAATCAAAAGTTTTGTTGATCTTTACGAGGGAATCGTTCAAGATCATCAGCAATATTCTGTTGCTGTTATGGAAGCTCAAAACTTCATTCAAGCAACTCAAAGCACTGCTGAACTCTGGGGTGACATTGATTTGGAACGGGTTTCATTGATATCCAATTTAGATCGACTTAAGAACTTAAACGCTACATTGACTGATGAATATCATCGTGTTGACTCGGTTTGTGAGTTAGGCAAGAAAGTTATTCCCAACACTGTTGACAGTGGTCAAATAAATATTCAACAACAAATCGATTCGTCAAAACAAGATTGGGAACATCTCAATGGGACAATTCAAACAATAATTGAAAGTATCAACAACAAACTCGATCAATGGAATGATTTTGAAACATTACGTGACTCATGCATGGAATGGGTGAGAGCAATTGAAAATAAATTACATTCAATTGATTTGAAGCCAACATTGGTTGAAAAGAAAAATCAATTTGATAAGTTGAAAGATCTTCAAGGAGAAATTAGAGCAAAAGAATTGGAGATTGACAATGTCACTGAAAAAGCTCAAATTTTGTTACGAAGTTTACCAAATTGCAACAGTAAACATTCAGTCAATGAGCTTGTTCAGAAATATCAACAATTGTCGCATAAGATTAAAGATTTGACAGCAAGATGGCAACAATATTTCATTAATCATCAAGAATTTGATCGTCAAGTGTCTGATTATAGTTCCTGGTTGGGTGATCTTGCATCAAAGATTTCTTATTGCTCTGACTTATCTGGAAACACTCAAAAGGAAATGGAAAATAAATTGACAACTATTCAAGAGCTTATTTTATTGAAGGAAGATGGATCTAATAAGTTACAAGAAATTGTTGAAGCTGCACAAAATGTTTTAGCAAACACTTCAACACCTGGTCATGAACCAATCAACAATACAGTCGCGAAACTTCACGACGAATGGTCACAATATACAATGAAGATGATTGACATTAGATCATCACTCGATGATTCCATTAATCAGTGGTCGGGACTGTCAGATGAAATTCAAAATATTAAAAAATCAACAGATGCAATTGAAGCTTTACTTGATGATCTTTCAGAGTTCCAAACAACAATGCCAGAGAAAAGAACTCAACTTGAACTTATTCGTAATGTTGAAGAAAGAGTTCGTGTTGAAAAGATTGAAGTTGATAATCTGAAATCAAAAACTTTGGAATTCATTGTGAAAAGCAAAAACACGCCAACAGCACAACTTGCACAAGAAGTTTTACAAAACTTTGAGAATGTTTTTGAACGCGTGAAGAAACTTCTTTCAGATCGTGAAGAACATTTCAGAGATCATCGTGTATACAAAGAAGCTTATGATAACTTGAACAATTACATCAATCGAGCACGAGAGAAGATTCCGATGATTCAACAAAATACTTTTAATGAAAAGATTTCAATCGAACAATCGATTGCACCTTTGGAGTCGTTGTTGAATAAACAAGCGCAAGGTGAACTTTTACTTGAACATTTACAAAGTACAAGCGAAGTTGTTTTAGCCAGCACATCACCAAATGGCCAACAAATCATTAAAAATGATATTCGCGAAATGAAAGAAAACTTTGAGAATTTGTTCAAAGAAATTCGATTACAGAAAGATAAATTGCATGACACGATGATGCGTTGGCGTGATTATAAAGATGAATACGAGAAGCTTTCAGAATGGTTGACACAAATCGATATTCTCGTTAAGAATAATAAACTTGCACTTCACCCATCATTGGAACTGAAGCAGAAACAAGTCGCTGACATGAAAGAAATTATCAACAAAATCGAGAAACAACAAGAAGAGTTTGACAAATTCAACGTATTTGCAGCACCATTGCTGAAGTCGCATCTCGATTCTGTCGTTTCCAATCAACTTCGTCAATTGAATTCTCGTTATCAAGTCTTGTCAAATATTGCTAAAGACGTGATGAAGAAAGTTGAGGCTAATCACACTCAACATCGTGAGTTTGAAGATTATGACAAACGTGCCCGTAATTGGTTGAATTCAGCGAAAGAAATTATTCAATCTTGCAGTGAAGGCAACATGACCAGCAGAGATTCATTGTTAGCTAAACTAAGTAACATTCAGAATCTTATTGATCGTCGTGAAGAAGGGCAAAATCTGATTCAAAACACTGTGAACAGTGGCGAGAAAACTCTCAAGAACACAAAATCTGACGGTAAAGAAATCATTAACAATGAAATCAAGCAAATTCAAAGTGAATGGGATCGATTGGCGAAGAAGATGGCTGGAGCCAAAGTGTCATTGGAGACTCAGTTACTTCAATGGGCTGATTACTCTTCGAGTTACAATCAATTGCAACAGTGGATCAATGATCGTGAAGCAAAACTTCAACAAGTTCAAGAATTGAAAGCTGCCAAGAGTCGAAAAGGTCAACCAGCTTTGGTAGAACGTAAAGCAAATCTTCGACAAACCAATGACATCGTTCAAGATATTGTTTCATTTGAACCTATGATTCAGTCAGTTACATCGAAAGCATCTGGTTTGCAACAAGGTGCACCAGCAACTGAAATAAGCACGAAATATGAAACACTCACGAAAACTGCCAAAGAGCTTTTTGCTAAACAGAAAGATGCTGTTGAAAAGATGCAAGCATTCTTAGATGTTGGCAATGATTTCGCTCAATGGATTCGAAATGCCAAAGAAGGAATCAATAAATGTTCTGAATCGACAGGAGATAAAGAAAGTTTGATTTCAAAACTTGCACAATTAAAAGCTTTGGAAAATGATATTCCAACTGGTCAAGAGAAACTTCAACGTGCACTTGAACAAGCAAATGTCGCTATTCGTGATGCCAGCGAAGAAGATCGTGAACAAATAGAAGAAGAAGTTGCATTAATGCAAGGAGAGTTCGACAATTATGTAGATGTTGTTAAACACTCAAAGAAACAACTTGAACTTGGCATCACGAAGTGGACAGAGTTTGATCGAAAACAAGCTGAAGCTTTCAAATGGTTGAATGAAAATGAAGCTGTTGTACAATCATTCAACAAGTTGCAAACAAATCTTGAACAGAAGCGTGTCGCACTTGAGAAATTCCAAACATTGTTACAGACTTTGTTCGATTGGCAACGCGATCTTGATAATTTAAATATTGCTGCACAAACTTTACTTGATATTTGCGCTGATACAAGAATCAGTAACACAGTCACGCAGTTAACAACCAAATACAACACGATCTTGTCAATGTCTAAGGAAATCATGAAGCGATTGGAAGTTCATTATCAAGAGCATCAACAACACAATGCACTCATGCAAGAGTTATGTGACGATTGGCTTGATCGTTTACGTGAAAAGTTCAGTCAATGTCAAGAAATTCCCAGCACAATGTCAGAGTTGCAATCGAAATTGAATATCGTTAAAGGAATAAGACAGTCATTGGAACAAGGTCAGAATAAATTGCGTTATGCACTTGAATTGAAGGAGAAAGTCATTGTGAGCACTGAATCGAGTGGCGTTGCAAAGATTGAAGAAGACGCTGAAAACTTGAAGCAAGATTTTGATAAACTCATGGCTGATGTTGCTGATGTTCGTCAGAAATTGACAACGCGATTGAATTTGTTCGAAGAAATGAATAAGCAATATAAGATTCTTAAAGAATGGTTAGTGGAAACTGAAGCTCAACTTCCACCAGACGACAAGATTTACAACGAACTTAGCGATAAGAAAGCAACTCTTGAAAAGCTTCGAGTTCTTCAAAGAGAAGCTCAAAATTATGGCGACATTGGCGATAAAATTAAAGCGAAACTTGAACAAGAAAACATCAACTCGTCAGAATTCGAAGAAGGTTTGAAAGCATTTAACGATCTTCAAGAAGTTCTCGTCAAGAAAATTGAAATGCTTGAAAATCAAGCAAATGATCATGAAAAATATCGACAGTCATACAATGCAACTTTCAATTGGTTTAAGAACACAGTTAAAAATGTTGAAGAATGTTCCGATCCACATGGTGAGAAGGATTTGACTTTGAATAAACTTTCAAAGATTCAAGAGATAGAAAAATCATTGCCGGAAGGAAAAATTCTTTTGGGTCATACGATCGATCTCAGCAACAGTTTATTGAAAACTTGCGACGTAGAAGGACAAGATCGAATCAAAGAAGAACTCAAACAATTGGAAAATGAAAGAATTAAAGTTGAAAATCTTATTAAGTCGATCACTGACAATCTTGAAGATTGCATTAAGACTTGGACTTCATTTACAAACAAATCAAATGAAATTGACACCGCACTTAACAAATTCCAAAATCGTTTGTCTGCTTTCGATAATGTCAGCAATTTACCTTCAGATGAACTTCTCGAGAGTGCTAAGGTAAATTATTTTGCATTATAATTTTATTATAATGTTTGAGTGACTAAAAAATATTTCCTGAATTTTTGTTTAGAAATTGTCACAAGACATTGAAGGCTACAAAGACGTAATGGAAGAATTGAATGAAATTTGTGAAGTTTTAATGGAAAAGTGTGCATGTTCATGGGTTCGTGATCGAACAAATGAAATGCAAGATAAATATTCTGTTTTAAGAACTCAAATTCAAGGTAAGAAATGTTCGAATAAATTTTTTGTTTGTGTAAATATAATAAAAGCTTCTTTGAAAGCTTTCCGAAAGCTCTACGAAAGCTTTTTTTGAAAAACAATAACTTATTGATAATTTTTTTTAATAACTTGCCTCAGGAACATTATCAACAATGAATAAAAATATTATGGATCAAAACGAGTATGCTACTTACAAGATCGAAGCTGAGAAGTGGTTGGAGAACGCGAACAACATCATTGAAAAGGCAAATAATATTAAAAACTTAGACGACATCAACTCAAGTCTTAACGAAATAAATGTGAGTGAATTTTTTTTATCATTTTTTTAGTTGATCTTGCATAAAATTTTATCATGAAACCATAAAAAAAATAAACTTAATCAAATTCCTACTAGATTTTATCAAGCCGCATACCTGAAGGTGAAAAGATTATAAGTTTGATGCAAGAATCATTCACCAAGTCATCAAATTATTTGCCCAAAAATAAGCAAGATGAAGTTATGAATGAAATAACAAACATTCGTGGTGAATGGGATTTAGTTGCTGTGAAGATCGGTGGATCCTTGAATAATCTCAAGGCCATTGTTAATCGTTGGAACGTTTTGCTGGAAAATAAAAATCGCCTGAATAACTGGCTTCAAGAAAAGGAAGCAACATTGCAGTCAATTCCACAAGGCAATGGCGAGATAAGTGAAATGAAAACTCTGCTTGAGCGGTTGAAATATTTAGACTCAGAAATAGCCCAAAAAGATTCTGAAGTTAATAATTTAGTTGATGAATTGAAATATTTTGAGCCGCTTGGTGCTCCAGAAGAAGATAAAGAAAAACTGAAGGCGATTGTTGAAAGATTCAACTCTTTGAAACTCGTCTGTGCTGAAAGAATTGTCGACTTTGAAAGTGAAATCGGTGACTATGTTGCATATCAACATCAAATGCAGGAAATCGAAAAATGGCTTTTGCAAATTTCTTTCCAACTCATGGCTCACAACTCACTTTACATATCAAATTACGATCAGACAAAGGAACAAATCGTTCAACATGAAGCACTTCTCGAATATATTCAGAAATATCAATCAAACATCGATGACTTAGACGCGAAAGGACAACAACAAATCAAACGTTATGAGCCATATTCAAACACGATCAGAGACAGAATTGAGAGTCAGATCAAGAACATTCAAGACAGTTACAATTCACTGCTTCACACTTCAATTCAAATCAAAAACCGTCTTTATGATTCTTTGAATAAGTTCAAGGAATATGAAGACACTCTTGACAGTATCATGAAGAATCTTGAAGGTTTCGAGAAAGTTATTGATGTTGAGATGGAGAAACCACTGAACACTCTCAATGAAGCTAAAATACAATTGCAATTGATGACAAATCTTCAGGATAAACTTCAGCAAGAGAAACAACGTTTGACGCTCGCTTGTCAAGCGTGTGAAGCTGCGACTGCAAGTATCAGTCGTCCAAGTTCGCCCGTTTTCAATCAAAGCCCACAAATTCCTGAAAAGGAACTTTTGGTTCGTGTGAAACTTGATGATCTGGTTGACAAGCTTTTACCTTGCATTGATTTGTTGGTTGACAAAGTGAAAGGATTCGATCAAGTTTTAACAAAACGAGATCAAATTAATGCTTGGATTGAACAACAAACAATTTTTGCAAACGACATTGCATCAAAACCTTCAAAGTTGAGAGCGGAAGCAGCAGCACAAGATTTGCAAGCAATCAATGATGTTGTTGAAGGAATCAATCAGAAACGAAATATTATTGTAACTGAATTAACAAATCAATTGCCAGACGAAGAAATCAGCGATCTTGAGAAACGTTTAGATGATTTGGAATCAACTTTATTCACACAAATTGAAAGGAAACGTAAAAATCAAGGAATCATCACTGATTATCTTACAACAATAAGTGATTCTAAAAATTATTTCGATGGTCTTATTCACCGTTTAGAAGACATGGATGGACCATGCGGAAAAAGTTGCGAACAAAAGCTCAATGAAATTAATGCGATTAAAAACGAATTTGAAACGAAATCTCCGCAGTTGAAGGAACAAATGCAGGCCAAAGGCGCTAAAGTATTTGAAGTCATTAGCAACCTTGACGCGCAACAAGTTGATGATCATTTAAAAGCCTTCACACGACGCGAGAATGACATTAAAAAGCGAATTGAAAGGAAGATTCAAGTAATGGATTTGACTAACAAAAATCTCGACAAACTACAATCTGAAATTGATCAAATAAAATTCTTCTTTGATGAAAACATTGAGAAGATGAATGGAGAGTTTATATTGGGCTATCTACCAAAAGTGATTGAGAGTCATTTACAACATTTAAAGAATCTCAATAAGGATATCGAAAATAAACAAGCATTGATTGAGTCATTGAATAAAAGAATTTCGAATATGCAAACTGAACTTGATGTTGGTGAGCAACAAAAGCTGAAGCAAGCAATCAATGAGTTGCATAACAAAGAAAGAAAACTCGTTGGTTTAATTAAAGCACGTAACACTCGTGCTTTAGACGGCTTGAATCATGCAAAAGCACTTGAAAATAATTTCGATCATGTTCGTAGTTGGATTTCCGATCAAAAAGCTCAAAACGAAAGTAAAGCTTTGATGATTCCTTTCGCATCATCGGCGATTGATTATGAAATTCAAGAATACAAAACACGTCTTCAGAACATCAAAGAGTTTTCAGATGGCGTTTTAAGTGACACAATTGATCAAGTGTCACGAATTAAGGAACAATGCGACGACAACGGGAAAAATGAATTGCAAAAAATTTTAGACACATTTTTGGACGACATCCAAACATTGACCTTCAGTTACAATCAACAACTTGAAACGATACAAAAAGTCATGCAGAAGAAGAAAGAATATGAACAAGATTCCGACGGCTTGCTTAATTGGATCAAGGAAATTGAAGCTGTTATGTCGTCAAATGTCAAAACATCAAGCATTCAAATTCTTGAGGAACAAATTCGTAAATACGAAGGATTTTTACGTGAAGCTGAATCAAAGGATTATGTTTTGAATGCAATTCAAGAAAAAGCTGATCAATTGATGGAAAATCTTTCTGAAGTTGATCGATTGAATTTGTCTTGTCAAGTGAAAAATCTTTCCGATAAATTTAATTTGCTTTTGCTTAAGATTAAAGAAAGACTTAATGGAATTGTCGATAACATCAGACAACTCAAAGAGGCACAACAACAAATTGCCGAGTACACTCAATTTATTTTATCGATTCAACAACAAATTAAAGAGCTTAATAAGCCAATTGGAAGTAAAACTGATGACGTTCAAAATCTCTTAAAAGAATACGAAAACATACTCAACAAGCTCAAGGCTAAGAAGGCTGAAATGAGCTTGCAGAAAATTAGCTCATTGCCACAGATTAAAGAGCTGCTTTCGACACATGATGACATCATTGACGCCATTGAGAATCAGCTACGCCGATTAAAACAATTGTTAATGTTAAGAGAACAGTTCATCGCTTTGGTCAACGAGATTGTTAACTTCAACATGAAATACACAGAAATTGTTGCGCATGTGGAGAAATCTGACGATAAGATTGAGAATAAAATTAAGCAATATGACAAAATTATGATGAAGATTCAAGAATGCGAAGGCGTATTTGCACAAGCTAATGACAAAGGAATGCAAATTGCTTCTGAAGGCACAGTTGAAGATCGCAACAATATAATTGATCAACTTCAAACGTTAAAGCAACAATTGCAGAATCTTAAACAAACTGTCGAAAATCTACGACAACAACATGAAAAAGCAGCAAGTGCTTACAAGAATTTTGAAAACGACGCTACTAAAACGATCAATGCCCTGCTTGAGAAAGAAGCCGCCATTAAAATTCTTCCCATTTTGGATGTGAACACAGAATCGGTCGAGCAAGAATTACGTAAGCACGACGTTCTTGCAAACGACATTCAAAAGCTTCTTGTTAAATTGCAAACAACACTTGACGGAGTTGAGAAAGAAGAAGCATTACCTCCATCAGTGTCTGCAACCGTCGCTACTGGTCGCTCACTCCTGAAAAGTCTTCCAAAAGAAATCGATGAACGTAAGAAATATTTGGACAACAACAAAGATTATCGATTGAATTATATTCAACTTGTTTCCGAGTTTAACAATTGGGTCGATTCAGTTGAGAATGAGTTTGTGAATGACAACGACGATATTGATTTTGAAAACATTAATTCAATCATGGAAAAGCATATTAACTGTGTTGATAATAAATTGCCTGAAATTAAGCAACTGTTGGAGAAAATCAATGACATCGCGAAAAATATTCTCCCATCATTGAATAACATAAATAAAGAAGAATTATTACGCGACTTGCAAAAGTATGGCGCAACACTGAAGAACATAACTGAACGCGCTGATCAATCGAAAGCAAACATTCAAAAGAACCACGACTTATGGAAAAGCTATTGTTCACTTTTGGAATCTGTTGGTGGACTTTTAACTAAAGTGCCGAAAGAAGATTCGATCAGCTCAATCGACAAATTGAAAGGATTCCTTCAAAAACTCAACAATAAGTTGGAAGGCATTCAGGTGAATTATAATCTTATAGCCATGACATTATTTGTTGATTTTTCAACTTCATCACGCATGCCTGAGACTTAAAAATCACTGTAAAAATACTTCTGAACTCTTCCGAATGAATGTGTTGAAAATGTTTTATTCTAAGCCACTGATAAGTGACTTTACTACTGACTTAGTATTGTATTTATTTTTAAAGAGCTGGAAAATATTTGACATTCCTTTAAATGTGTGAAAAACAACGTCTTCGCTTGGAAGCTTATCAAAACAAGCCATAAAGTCACCATAACTTCAAAAATATTTCTTACGGAAGTTCCACACTTAAATTGCACAATAGCTTTTATTTTTTCGTAGTTGTATATGGTTTCTCTCTCATTCCTTTATTTTATGTGTTCGTCTCTCTTGCGAATAAGTTATTCAGTGAGTATAATCTAAAGCCATTCGAATTTTAAAAAAGCGTGCAGGTGATTGAACCACTTGAGTTTAAAATTAAATATGCAAACCTTGGACTTTTAGGAATAAAACCTTTTTTTATGAATATCAGAAGATGACAACTTGATTCCAAGAAGCAGAAAAATTTTAAGATTCTTAATTTGGACTTAATTAAAATTTAAATTAACGTTTTCTAATTTTTAATTTTCCGCCTTCATATCGCGATTTTTACGGAAATTATAAGAAAAAAGTTGAATATTTAATTGGAGTCTCCCCCTCATAAATTGCAATCAATTTATGCCAAGATGATTTTTTTTATTAGCTTGAGCTATTTTCTTTTCATTCATAAACGTTGACAAAATGACTACAAAGTTTGAGAATCTAAATATTAAACAATAAAAAGCACATTTGTTTTGCAAAATGATATTGTAAGAAACTCATTGATTCCTTCTTCTTCGCAAAATTACGTAATAAATTTGATTGTGTTGTGCTTTGCTCGATTATTATTCCTAAACGTTGTATGAAAAAGAGAGAATGATGTCATCGTACTGACACATATTTACTAAATATCGATGCGTTGCCTGATCTTGGCCTCATAAACCTTGAAAAGCAAAATAAAAAAATGTGTGTGAGAATATTAGGCAGCATTATTAAAACAAGTTTATTACGATGAGAGGGAGAGTGAAATCCATGTGGCAATCGATGAGATAATCTCGTAAAGAACTTTTGGCATCCCAACAATGAATGAAAATGTCTTCATGTTTTATAACATGACATCGAAGAATTAAAAATAATGTCATCGGAAAGATATTTTCAATTTGTCTATGAACTCTCACTATCTACTCCACACAAATGTCTATACACGCTCATGAGATTCGTGAGAAAGAAAAACAGAAAAAAGTTTCAGTTTTCGGTATTCTCTGATTGTCTCCTACGAACAGACATGAAGCGCATTGCGTTAAGAGCAGTTAAGATAGAAGGATTTGCAAACCAAGTTGTTATTTTTTAAAGTGTGTAAGTAAACTTCTTTCGCATGTTGTCTTGTCAGCGAGAAGCCGGTGTGTATCTTTCTTATTCTCAAATACATATTTTTAACGCGATGATGGCATGAAAAAGCAAACGTTTTTGTGTTGTTTTTTCTCTTGAATTTTTTTCCTCCGAAAAGTATATTTTTGTGTATTTTTTTTTCGAGAATAATTTGCATGCTTCGTTCAGTTTAAATCGTGAGCTTGACAAAGGCTAGTCGCAAGAGAAAAGTCTCTGATTTTATTCATTTTTTATTATTACACTATAAAGTCTTCATTTCCTTTCGGCAAAACAAATATAAACTTGATAAAATTCTTATTGCGGCTCCAATTCGATTACATTTTTTATAGCCCAGTACTAATTACGAGAACCACAAAAATATATTTTTCCGATAATCTTCGTTGTTCTCTCTTTATTCACAGTTTTCAAGGAGAAAAATAATTTTTAAAATATTTTCATCTCTCGACAGGCCCAGCAAGATCAACTTGATTCATTAAACCAACTGGCTGAAAAATTATTACACGTTGCCGACCAAGCTAATCGAGAGAAAATTCAACGTCAAATAACTGATTTAAACCTCAAGTGGACAAATACTATCAATTCTATTGATAATCAAATTGAAACTCTATCGCAAATCGCACAAAATTGGTCGGATTTAGAACGTGACATCATCACGGTGGAAAAAAGTTTATCAAGCTTAGCTGACAAAGTCAAAGATATTGAATTCGGACAGAAAACTCAGCCTTTGCTGGAGGACGTTAAAAATAATATATTGGTAAGTTAATTACATTATGTCGCCGTAGATGATACATCGGATTTATTAGCTTTTGATATTTCCACGCGAAATTCATTTGCATTTACCACTGTGACAATCTAAAACTTCTTGTCTCATTTTCATTAGCAATACATTGACGAGATAAAAAATATTGAGAAATTTAAGCAGCATTTGAAGAGTCTAGCCAAACCAGTTATCGGATTCTTGAAAGAGGAACAACCCGAAGCAGTTGAACCTATCAAGATCAAACTCGAAACATTAGGCGAGCAAATATTTAGGTAAGTCGCGCGATCGTCAACAGACAACCTTCGCCCTATTCATTCATCTTTCATTTGCACATGTGCTGCTCAATAATAACTTACTAAATACAAATTATCCAACCAAACAATGTTCTTCTCCCTTTATTTTTGTTAAATGAATAAGACACGTAAAATCTGTGTCTGAAAATAAAAAATCCGCGTTTTAAACTGTTACTAATTCAGTTGGCTATATGCCAATTATGCTATTTTGCGTCGAACAAGAACAACGCAGAAAATGAAAGCTAAAGTCTAAAAATATTCTCAAGATTTTCCTTTCACCGCACAGCAGAAGAAGTTTCGTTTTTTTTTTGTCTTCTCTTCTTCTCTTTCATTACCGCACACACATATCACGTTGTTTGTTCTAACGAATAACAAAAATAATTTTTTTATTATTCCAAAGTCTCTCGAACACGTTGAACGGCAAATATATCCAAGTGAAGAAGATTTTAGAGCTGATCAGAGATCTGTCAACAAATTGCGCACAGATCGATAACGAATTGCAGAAGATCGAACATCAAATAGCAACATTTGATCCATACTCAAAGGATCTTGATTTAAATCAACAGACGATCGAAGAGATCACAAGTAAATTGAATAATTATAAAAGCGAGATACAAAAGCTCGCCAAATCATTGGACGAATTTGAAGAATTCATTGCGCCGGAAATTACAACACATTTGAAGGATTTGGAATTGAAGGTGGAAAAATTATTGGACACAATGGAAGAACACAACCGAGCATTTAAAATGGCAAAAACAATCAGAAGTGATTACCTCTACAACACAGAAAAAGTTCAATGTTGGATAAACGACACAGAAGAAAAGCTTAAGAGTCACTACACAGAACCATTGGAATACAAAGTATCTATTCACAATAGTTGTCAGGAGAGACCTTTTGTTACTGAATGGTTTGAAACAGCAAAACGAAGTGGACAAAGTCTCATTGAATCAACACATGACGAACGAGAAGCACCGCATATCAGACAAAATCTTGAACAAACACATGAAAGACTTGATCAGACATTCGTCCTCTTAGATAATCAGAAACTTATCATTGATAACGTCGTTGACGCTTGGTCTAAGTTTATGGAACTTTATCAAGTTATTATTAATTGGGCGAGTGAGAAGAAAATATTCGTAGGACAGGAACTGAAATTAAATAACCAACAAGAAGCTCAAACCAAACTGCAAGAGTATTCGGTATGTTTATCGATGCTTTTAGATACTTTTTGATATGTCAAGAAGATTAAATATCGAATGAAACATTCACAAAATATCACTAAAAGTTTTGTATTTTCATTCGATGATTTAATGTTCGACAAGTTGCGTTGTTCATTTTAGTTTTCAAAGACTTTTATGACTTAACGTGTCTGTATTTATTTTTTTATTTGCTTTGCTTTTCTTGTTCTCTCACTCAACGCTCGTTTTTCAACATTTCGCAAAACACACCACTGACCAACAATGTGTATTTATAGACGTCATTGAACAGCATTAAATCGATTACTCAGAATCTTAGCGACATGAATAAGTTTTTGGATGATATTTCGGAATATAAAATCGTAGATAGGTTGAAGGAGAAGTTACAAGAGTCAGAGAATCTAAAGATGGAAATCGAAGCGATATTAATCAAACGGGTATTAATCTATTTATAGATTTGCTGAATTTTTAAACAAGAGATCGCCTACGAATAATAATTTAATTTCCATGACTTCACAGAATGCTTTACTACTGGAATTAACTGAAGAATGGGATCAATATGAGAGAAAAATTAAAGATGTTTATAGTTGGATGAAACAATCAAGAACGACATTCGAATCACCGCAATATAGGAATCGACCACTACGCGATCAACTCGTTTTCTTAGAGAAAACCTTGGCTGACATCACATCACAGAAAACCAAAATAACAATCTCGTTTGAGAAGCTACAAGTAACATAACTTCTTTTATTTTGATTTTTTATTATTATTCTTCATCTCTCTCAACATTTTTTCTCTTCACCTTCACCTTCATCGTGGAGGTGTGTCAAATTGCAAAATAAAAAAAATATTGAACTTTTCTTCTCTTCCCAATTCATTTATTATTTTCAACTTAGGTGCATTTCCGAACTGAGTTATCGTGTGAAAAGGACTTGAATGATGAATATCGAGATGTTGTTGAGAGTTTAGATCAATTTTATCAAGACGTTAATCGACAGATTAATGATCTCGAGAAAGCTCTCCAACAGATTGATAAATATCAACATGATATTCAACTCCTGAAACAAAAGCTTGTCCAAGAAGAACAGCTGCTGAAGACAATGTCACCAGATCAGTCAGCTGACAACGTCCAGGTAAGGGTTTGCTTACTGTTCATTCTTTTCTTCCCTTCCCCCGCTTTTATTCCATTTCATATCGCACCGATAAGAAGCAATTTCTACTTCAATCTACACTCCACTCGTATTTGTATTTAATTTATCATTCTCTCTCTCTCTCTCTGTTCCATACTCTTCTGTCTCTCTCTGTCTCGATTTATTTTGGCATTGAGTATTTCAACTGTTGTTTTATTATCTCTATCGACATGAAAGCAAGTCGATGTTCATTTATCATGAGAACGAAGACACAACTTTACTGCCGAAACAAACAATAAAAATTTTTGTGAAATGGGAAAATTATTTATGAAAGAAAATGTCGTCATCGATAAAACATGAGAGCGCGAAAGTTTCTCGGTAATCGATTATCGGCATTTTCTTCTAAATATTTAGCAAACTTGACTATACAGAAACTGAGAAATTCGAGATTGTTTTACTTTTTTTTTTTCTTTTAACTTAACGACCGAATGATTTTTGTGTCCACATTATTCACAATACAAAGCACGGTGGTTGCGACTAATGAGAATGAAAATGGATTTTTTTTGTTATGAGAATTAGTCGCTAATATTTAATAATTCAAAGATTTCCTAATTATGCAATCAGATTTTTATAAGCTGATGAATTCACTACATTCATGCACATTTGGCAGTTTATTTACACTTTCTTAATTTCTTTCTTTTTTTAACTTGATTATGTTTCTGTTTTAAGTAAGATGACTTTTCTAGAACGCGAATAATTCATTTGTTTGTCCTTCTTTTTCACATTCTTGAGTTATTAAACTTAAACTCACATTCTCGCACGCACGTTAAATGAAGCAAAAGAGAAAAAAGCATTCAAAGTTATGGTAATAATCATCATCACAAACCATGTGATGACTTTGCTTTTCAAATACTTCAAATCTTATATTTTTAGACGGCATCTTGAACAATATTTTTCATCGCAAACAAACCGCAGCGAAGAAAATACTTTAGCAAAAATTTATTTTTTCTTTTATTTATTGATATTTGCACAAGCAATCTTCATCGCAAGTTTCTTTAATTTTCGTAGAAGTTGTTGAATCAGCGATTAGATCATCGCAAAAATTCTTTTATTATTCAAGAGAAAAGTAAAATAAAAAGTCGATCTAATCCATAGCTTTGAAATTGCTGATATAATTTCGAGGAATATTTCCCATTATCACACAAATTATATTTTTAGAAAATATTTTTCGTTTTAGTTGTTCTTCATGTCATAAAAATTAGTTAGCTTTGAAAGTGTGAGCGAATGATCGTCACACATCAAGACAATTTAGAACGCAAAAACTTTTTTTATTCATTATCATTTAATTTGCATTTTAATTTTCCTATGCTGCGTATACAAAAAATTCTGGTTGGTAAAAAGTCAAAGTTGAAATTTATTTTTCTAACAAATTGGTGATTGGTGTATACGCAGCGAAACATTTTCGTACAATTTAATTTACTTTGGTTTTTCTTACATTTATTATCGTCATCACCTTCTTGATCCTGTTATCTATATAAAAAAAAAATCCTATTGAATGAAACCTTTAAACCTTTTTATTTATCCCACGACTTTACCTCAAATATTGTTTTTCGTATGTTTGGTGCTGTGTTGTTTCTATCGTCATCATAATAGTCATCACGAGAACGAATCAAACACATTCAAAATAACATAAAAATGCGCAATGAACGAATTAAAGCAATTGTTAAACGCGGAACTCCTGACGTAGATGTTTTAAATATTTAAACTTTTCTTTACGTTTGTTTTCAATTCTTTATTATATTTTGTTTGAAAACATATTTAATTAATATTTTCTATTTTTTAATTTTCAAAATTTGAATTGAATGTTTTTGAATTGATATGAGAATATATAAAAAAATAAAGAAATAATGCAATTAGCGCAGCCACTTATCAGACAAATACAAAGACGCTTCTTGACTTTCTTTCTTGTTTCTTTATTATGACGATGCTTGTGTCTCTAAGGAAACTTGAGAAATTATTTAAACCACTTTCAGCTACAATTTCTACGGTTAAGTCTTTTCTACGCTTAATTATCTACTTCACTTTCGACTGAATTCTCTTAAACTGTTATCCTATCATCAAAAAAAAAAATCAATTTCCACCACCCATCAAAACGCCATTTCAAAAATTTATTTTTATTTTGCTTTTCTTAAAAATTAAACAAAAAATATTTCTTATGAAATTTCGAAAACAGGCACAGCGTAATAATTTGGCGGCACTGGTGCATCAAATAAATTTGATGATATCCAAAGTAGTCGAATTGGATCCACAAAATCCAGAGCATTATGCAATTGTCAATGTTAATCGAGACAGTAATTCATCGCCAATCAATTGGACATATGCTGATGTTGTGATGGGTCGCATAAGATTCCATCAAGGTCGATCACAAGTTGGTAATGTTTGGGGTAATTTACAACAACCACAGTCGGTTGCAAATGCTCGACAAACTCAACCTGTTGATACAAAAACAAATGGAAATGAGACAATTAAAAAGATTTCTGAAGTGACAATCACTAGAAATGAGAATGAAAATAAGCCGCCGAAAGATGTAAAAGGAAGAAAGAAAGAAAAACATGTTAAAGTTACAAAACATCGAGATGAACAACAACAACCCCAAGAAGAAGTTGTTGAGCAAATTCAAACAACAGTCATCTATGCTGATGAAGCTCGTGGTAATCCAATTACAACTGAAACAATTGAAGTTCAAGGTGCGGGAAGTGTCGATGATGAAGGGAAAACTTATGCAGAGATCCTGAAAGGAATGCGAGAAGCTTCAGGAGGTTTCTACGTTATGCAGCCAAACCCTGCTTTAAAACCAGAACCTTCGAAGGCTAATATTGAACGAACTCAACATTTCCTGGCAAATGAGAAAGCAATGATTGCACCAAAAGCACCACTAAGAAAACAAAAGCAAACATCGCATGTAATTGTTGATTCACAGCCAATAGTCAAGACAACAAGTCAAATAATTGAAACTACTTCTAGTCGCCTTGATAATGAACCTAAAAAGAAGTCAAAACGAGTCAATACCAAGAGACGTCATCCTGAGTCAGCTCCTAGCGATGGCAGTGAAGGGTCAAAAATGCAACAAGATCCACAATCTGAAACGTCAAGCAACAGCGGCGAAGATAATTATGAAAGACCTGAAAAGCCAAAAAGAAAACATGAAAAGAAAAAAACTGATTCAAATGACGAGCAAAGTGCTAAAGACAATAAAGAAACAAAAGATTTAAATTTTGATAGAAATATTGAAACGAAACGAATAATTATGATCACTCATGAAGCGGTGAACAAAGTTCCCGTCCAACAAATTCACATGTCTTTACCTCAAACTTATGCAGTGAAAGTTGAGAAACCAAATGAGAAAAATGTTCAAGGAGTTTCTGTCGAAAATTTTGCAACATCTGTTGAGACAGTTAAACTTGGACCAGAACATGTTGAAGACAATTATCAAAAGTCAGAAGCTGATTGGGAATCAATTTCAACAGCAACTCTTGACACTGTTATTGAAAGAACTTTAGACTTTCCAATGGAGAAAGAAGTTGTTTTAACGCAAGAGTCGTTGATTGAAAAAGTTGAGAGTGACAAACATTTAGAGAATATTCAAGAGTATACAGACACGTCGGAAGATGAAACTGTAACACTTCAAGGTAAACTTGAAATATCGTTTATTGTGGAAGAAGATACGCCGAAGATTGAACATGATATTTCAACTGTCACATCAATTGTCAGTAAGAAATCAAAGAAACAACATGAAATTGAAGAAGATGGAAGCAGCTTTGAAATAATTGATGACGCTTTGGTCTCACTTGAAAGTGACAAAACTCCTGAACAAGAAAGTTCGACTGCTAATGTTCCAAGCATAACTGAAGAAGATCATGAAAAAACACCTGAACAAGAAATTATCGTTACAGAATCAGAACCACAAACAATAACAGAAATTGTTGAAAAAGTTACAACTGTTGTTACACATTTTGATGAAATTGAAATTGCTGATGAAGCACTTGAGAAAGGAAGAACTTCTGAAGTATTTGCTCAACTTGAATCAGAGAAGGTTCATGATGATGTTTTTGATATTCCACAGGCAACTGAAGAAGATCTTTTTGAAGATGCAAGTGACGAAGCAATAATTTCAGATGTAAAAATTGAATCACCAGATAAATCATTCGGTGATGAAGCACGCGAAAGAATTCGTGACATAACAACAACAATTATTCAGAAAATTGAAACCGCTCAAGCACATGCTGAAGAATTATCTTCAAATGACGTTGTAGCTAAAGAAGAAAAAAGTGAAGACGTGAGTGATCGAATTCGTGGCATTGCTTCAAAAATTATTGAAAAAATTGAAAATGCTCAAGCTCGTGTTGAAGAACTTCCCGAAGAAGTTTCTTCGGTCATAAAGGAAGTGAAAAAAGAAACAAACGACGAATCACTTTCAAAGGAACCAAGCGAACGTGTTCGCGAAATCACAAACACGATCATAATGAAAATCGAAGATGCACAGTCACATGCATCGGAATTATCGCCCGAAGAAATCGAAAAACAATTCGAAAGCATTTCTAACGAAGTTGAAACGAATTTTTCTATTCAAGCTGTTGAGTCGTCACCTTATGACGTTGGCAAACCGAAAATTCAAGAAATTTTCAATGAAATGATGAAAACAATTGTTATGGAACCTGAAATTGTTGACAATAGAAATATTAGCGTCAGTGATGATTGGGAAGTAATCACTGAAGAGACTGCTGAAGAGTTGAAGGCTGAGTTTGATAATCAAGTAATTTCAGAACAAAATATTATTTCCCTATCAAAAGAACCTCATACTAATATCGAGGAATTGGTTACTAACTCACCCTTTAATGTGCCCGATAATGAAATCATTGTCCAGGCACCACTAACTACACCACCTGTAGTAGATTTGATTGAAACTCATCAAGCTAATTTCATTATACCAATTGGATCGGGTACACAAATTCAACCGCAATCATCTGCACAAATAACACATTCATCTGATGATGATTTCCTTGTTCATCTCTGGCATGATAAACCTCGATATAATTATCAAGAATTAAACGATGCTGAAAAATACGCGACATTGTGTAAAATATTTTTACCTGAAGTTGAAAGCGTTAAAGTCATGATTGATGAGAAAACTGAAATTGAAACGCAACCCATTCAATCGGAATTCATTCCTTTCATTCATGAAATACCTCGATACGATTACATGAGTTTGAAACGTGCTGAAACTCAATACCATCTTTTGAATGTACCAACAATATCAATAACTGACACATCAGATGAACTTGAAACAATCATTGAAGATTTAAAACACGAAGACACTCATGAAACACATGCCGGAAGTGAAATTATTGTACAAGATCAAGAACAAGCACCACAAGAATTTGTCAGTGACAATGTTATTCAAGATCAAGCACAAACAACTGATGGCAATCAAGGAGAAAACTTTGAAGATGAATCGACTTCCATAGAATATGTTTTGATGAAAACAGTCGTCATTACAACAACCAAAATCGACGATGATGTTGATGAAGTCGTTGAGAGTGTAACTTTTGATGTTGTTGAGAAAGAAGTTCGTTCAACTCCTACATCACCTCGTATATTGCCTGATAATGAAGAAAAGATGCTTGTTCCCGAACAAAAAAGTGAAATTGTTACAGAACCTATTGATGTTCCCAAGACAAAAGAAGAAAAAGTCAAAAATGTGATTGAAAGTTTCATTTCAATGGAATCACAAAATGTGCAAGAAAAAGTTGATCCAACAATTGAATCGATGTCTGAACCAAATGAAAACATTTCTATTGAAATTATTCAAACTCCAGTGACGACAGAAACTATTGAAATTGTTTCTAAAGTGTCTCAAAATGAATTAGAACCAAAAACTGTTACAGAAATTGAATTGAAATCAGAACCAAGTGAACCTGTCGCACTTCAGGAGGTTGAAAAAGTTATTTTAGAAGAACCGTCACAGACATCCATTAATTTGACTTTAACATCAATTGAAACAAAAGTTATGGAACCTAAGAAAGATGAAAAGGTTGAAGAAATTTCACCCGAACCTGAAATTATTTCAAAAAAAATTGTTACTGAGAATATTATTCAACCTGAAGATAGTTTAGTGACTGTTAAAGATTTAAATGGACATGCATCAATAATTCATGATGATCATGATAAGGAAACCAAACTTGAAGATTTCCTCATGCATGAAGTGATTTCTTATGACATTTTGAGTTTAAATCGAGCTGAAGCTCTTTATCATGTTGAAAATCAAGAAAAGCAAAATGAAGAAAATGTTTCACCTACTGAACCTATCGAGTCAATAGCAAGCACAGAAGTTTACTCTGATGCATTGACATGTGATGTAAGCAATCAGAATAAGATTGAAGTAAATCTCTCAACACAACCAGAGTCAGTTAAAAAATCTGAATCTACATCTGATTTGAATTTCAATCTTTATGAAGATAATGTTTATTGGAAACTTCCATACGATTCAAATGCAATCAAAGACGCTGAAAAGATGTTTTATGAAACAAATTCTCTGAAAGTTATTGAATCAGAGCCTGAAGTCAATGAAAATATTGTCATCAAAACTGAACAACACATGCCATCTGATGTGGTTGAGATCGGGGTTGATGCTACAGATTTAATTGATGATGAAACGGATAAAAATGTTGAAGAAATAAAAAGTGAAATTATAGAAGATATTCAAGTTATTCCAGAACAAATAAAGTTTGACGAGTTAGTAGTTGAATCGTCAGAAAAGCCAACTGATAATAAATCTGGAATGTCAGATATTCAAACTTTCATTCTCATGGAATCACAACAAGTTGTCGATGATATTCCTGACAAAATTGAACCTGAAACCATTACGAAAATTGAACATCAAGAAAAAATTATTCCAGAACCAATTAAGGTTGCTGATGACGCTCAAACCGAAATAAGAATTGGAACAATCATAACCGAAGTCAAGTCAGAGATTCCTGAAAAAGAAGAAGAATTTATTATGGAAGCTTTACTTGATGATTATGAATTGCCCAAGCACGAACAACCTGTCGTTCCAATTGATGAGAATATTGCACAACCTGAAACTGTTACACAAGTTGAACATCAAGAAGAAATTATTCCTGAACCAGTTCAGGTTGCTGATGACGTTCAAACTGAAATAAGAATTGGAACAATCATAACCGAAGTCAAGTCAGAGATTCCTGAAAAAGAAGAAGAATTTATTATGGAAGCTTTACTTGACGATTATGAATTGTGTAAACATGAACTACCTGAGGTTACAATTGATGAAAATATTGAACAAGCTGAAGAAGCTGTTGAAGTTTTCCAAACACCTGAAGAACCATCAGAAAAGGAAAAACTTCCCAAGAAAAAACGTGAAAAAACTAAAAAGTCAAAATCGTCTGAAAAAGAAGAAACTTCGGTTGTTGATCCAATGAATGTTTTTACACACTTTGAAAGTGTTGATCAGCAAAATCCTCAATTTAATCAAACATATGCTGAAATTGTTGGACATGATGTTAGTGAACCTGAAGAAAAGAAGAGCAAAGATATAAAAAATATTATTGAGAGTTTCATTACTTTCGAATCACAACAAACAAATAAACCTGAAGCTACTTCAGTTATTCACGAACCAGCTGTGAATGTCGATGAAATTTTAGAAAAACCTCAAGAACCATTTGAAGTGAAATTGGAAGAAACAGTTATTGAAACTGAAAGCAAAGATCACATTGAAGTTCCCCAATCACAAGAAACTATTATTGAGAGTGTTACAATTGAACCAACAGAAGTTCAGTCAATAACTATTGATGATTCAATTAAACCAGAATTACCTTCTGAAACTGAAAGTGTCACAACGATTATTCAAACAATTATCACTGTTGAAACTAACGAAACGAATCAACCTAAGACTGATGATGTCATTCAAGAAATTTCTGAGATTCCAGAGATTCAAGATTCAAAAGAAATTGAAAATATCACAGAAAATATTCCAGAAGAAAAACCATTCGAAACTGTTGTTTCATACGAGCCAATAATTGAATCGAAGGTTCATGAAACGATTGAAAAGAAAGTTGAAATATTTGAGGAACCAAAGGAAATTGAAGCTGCTTTCAAACCAAGCACTCAAATAGAGAAACCAGAAGAAGTTTTAATAACTGAAAGATTAACAACATCTGAATCACCAGTTACTGCACCAGTGAAAGATGAGATAATTGAACAAATTGTAATCACAACAGAAACAGTTCATCAACAAGATCCAATCAGGAAAGAAAGAACGAAAAAGAAACGTGATAAAACAAAGAAATCTAAGTCAACAGATTCTGAAGATGGATCAATTAAAGATCCGATGAAAACTTTCAAAAGACTTGATACAGTTGATCAAATCTCTCCGCAGTTTGGTCAATCATTCGCTGATATCGTTGCACATGCTGATGAAGGTAAAGACATTAAAAATGTGTCACCAACTGAACAAACTTCAGTTGTTGCTTCAGTTATTACTACAACGACTACAGAAATCTTAAATCAAGCTGAGAAACCAGAAGATTTCATTCAAGAAATTATCATTCAAGATGAAAATGAAGTTAAAGCGCCGTTCGTCGAAATTATGTCGGAACTTACAAGAGATAAAGTTGACGATTCTAAACCTAGTCCTACTAATGACGTTAATACAACTTTCATTACAATGGAGTCAGTAAAGTCATCAGAACCAATAGCACCAAAACGTGAAAAATCTCAAAAGAAAAAGAAAGATAAAAGTCACAAAACGAAATCAATTGAAGATAATGATGAAGTTTTTGAACCAATTTCAATCCCTGAGAACATTAAAGTTAATGTTGAAAAATCGAAAGCTCCTGAAATTGAAATAATTAAAGATCTTGTCGAGATTGAGAAAATCGTTAAAGAATCTTCACCATCAATGTCAGAAGTTAACACAATTCCTGTTTTAAACATCCCAAGTGTTGATGATTCTGATGAAGTTGAGATTTCACTTGCTAGTCAAACAGAACAAGAAGCAATTGGTGCAATAATGACTGAATTGGATAAGATTCAAACGAAAACTCTTGAACCTATCAAACCTAAGAGGGAAAAAATTAAACGAGACAAATCTCCAAGGCCAAAACGAAAACCAAAACCAGAAAAAAGTGCAACACCTGAACAAGAAGAAATTTATCAGAGATCTTTGATGGATGTTTTCACTAAGAGTGATGGTCAGCCATCATCTGGTGTTTGGGGTCGTGATAAAACATATGCTGAGGTTGTTATTGGTGCTGATGGTAAACCAATTCATCGTCCAACCCCACAACAAAGACGACAATTTTCAACTTTAACTACTCAGCAATTTAATGTTCAAGTGCCGCTGCCTCCACCAGTACAAGAACCAATAGCTTATCAACCTCGCTTACCATCACCACCTCAGTTTGAATTCCTTCAAGAAGATTACGTTCTTGAAGAATTTCCCGATCCAAAAATTCCACATTTCGAAGAATATCATGTAAAAGAAGTTTCACCTCCGAAAGCTCAAGAAATTATTGTGCAACAGCAAGGTCAACCACAATCTATTCCGACTCCAATGCCACAATTCTCATGGGCAAATATGTTGAGAGAAAATCTCCCAGCACCTCCAACGCCTGTCATACCACAACAACAAACTCAAGCATATCCACAATCAACTTCGAGATCAGTGATTTCAAAGGATTCAAGAGAATCACAAACATTGCCTTCTCATGAGCCAAAGAGAGAACCTCGTAAAAAATCAAGAAAAGCTATTGTTGAAATCAATCAATATTTAGTCTCAGAAACTAGTCAAAGTAAACAGGATGACACATCCAACGAGCCTAAGCCAAATGTTGTTCAACCATCTGAAGATTTAAGTTCAGATACCAATGAAAGAGGTTCTAAAAGAAAACGAAATCGAAAGAAAAAAGGTGGAAAAGATGAAATTATAACGATTGAACAAGATGAGCCAAACAAGCATGATATTGATTTGCAGCATTCAGAAATCTCTGCAAAGACAGTCATAATTCAAGACATTCAACCTGAATTACCAGAAGAAGTTGAAATAACTCGAGATTCTCTTAAAAAGAAAAGAAAGAGAAACAAGAAAACCAGACAAACATCACACAAGTCATCTGATGGTGATAATGAATATCACGATGATTTCGATGATACAAAATTGAAACAAAAAATAGAAATTGAACAGTTTGAAGTCTCTGAAAACATTCCAATTAATTTAACATCATTACAAGATAATGACACTACCTCAGCCGTGCCAAATATAGCATTTACTACAAAGGAACAAGACAATAATGTTGAGCCTGTTAAATATGAAATTGCATTTATTGAAACTGAGAAATTTGAAGAATCTCAACAGCAACCGCAAATTCATTTTGAGGATACAAGCGTTGATGTAACAGACATCAAGAGTGTCAGTGAAATAGTTGAAGTGATAAATGAAACAAAACTAGATGTTGATGAAGTAAATAAGAGTTCTTCTGTTATCCTTGAGTATCCTTATGAGTTAAACCTTAAGTTTAAAACCACAGAGCTTGACTTTTCCCCTGAAAGTGAAAAAATTATTGAAAAACCTGTTGAATGTGTAGATTTCGTTGATGAAACCGTTGCGCAAATTCTCGATGATAATTTGAAAAACGTAGAACCAACACAAGAAAATATTTTTCCTAATGAGTTAGCGATATCTGAAAATGTTTTAAAAATGAATAAATCAATTGATCAGGCTTTAGAGCCGGATCAAGATACTGTTGATAATGTAGGTAACGATATATTGGGTACAATATACCCAACGAACGAAGTCATTTCTCAGGAAATCAATCAGAATGCGGACATTGAAACTGAAGTTAACGGAAAAAATATCATCGTTGAAAACTTAACAGTTATATCTGAAATAGTCTCTGATGTTATTTACAAAGATCAAGATATTACTATTCAGCCTTCCCATGAACTCGACGATACGGTAATCATTCCATTCAACTCAGATGAAAAGATAGAAACAGAAACTTTACCTAAACAAAGTATTATGCCATTAGAAACAGAAAAGGAACCAGAAAATATTTTTGACGCTCCATCAGAAATGAATACTGTAATTCACGAGTGTCAACCTGATTTTTCAAAAAATGTTGAAATATTTGCCACTGACGAGTTCAAAACTGTGGAAGATGTTGCGCACAAACCAATGCAAGATAAGGACGCAACTAAAGAACACTCAGTAAGTGAATTCATAATAACTGAGTCCAAATTCAATATTCCGATTGATAACGAAAAAGAATCCATTATAACCGAGGAGACTGTTTCCAAAACTCAGCCTAGAGATGAATCACAAGCAATCAGAACTGTCATTGAAAGTTTCATTACAATGGAGTCTTTTGCTCCCGTTGCTCCTGAAAACCAGGAAGTAATTGAAGCACCTACACATGAGATAAACGAAGAACAATTTATCCAAGAACCTATTGTTCAGCAACAAGAACCTGCTGTTGAAATGAAACCTGAAAATGACAACTTTGAAATGATTGTTGTGAAAGAAACAATAGTTCAACCTGTCGACATTCAGCAAACTGAAACAGAATCAATCGCACCTGAAGTTACTGAAGAATTACACAAGAAAGAAAAGCCTACGAAAAAGAAACGTGAAAAGGCGAAGAAAACTAAATCAACTGATTCTGATGAAACAGCTGTCAGAGATCCTATGAGTGTGTTCCACAGAACTGATACAATTGATCAACTTCATCCACAGTTCGGTCAATCTTTCGCTGAAGTTGTCGGTGTTTCCGAAACTCAGCCTGAAGATGAATCACAAGCAATCAGAACTGTCATTGAAAGTTTCATTACAATGGAGTCTGTGGCTCCCGTTGCTCCTGAAAACCAGGAAGTAATTGAAGGACCTACACATGAGATAAACGAAGAACAATTAATCCAAGAACCTACTGTTCAGCAACAAGAACCTGCTGTTATTGAAGAAATGAAACCTGAAAATGAAGTCAACTTCGAAATAATTATTGTGAAAGAAACAATAGTTCAACCTGTCGACATTCAGGAAACTGAAACAGAATCAATCGCACCTGAAGTTACTGAAGAATTACACAAGAAAGAAAAGCCTACGAAAAAGAAACGTGAAAAGGCGAAGAAAACTAAATCAACTGATTCTGATGAAACAGCTGTCAGAGATCCTATGAATGTGTTCCACAGAACTGATACAATTGATCAACTTCATCCACAGTTCGGTCAATCTTTCGCTGAAGTTGTCGGTGTTTCCGAAAATCAGCCTGAAGATGAATCACAAACAATCCGAACTGTCATTGAAAGTTTCATTACAATGGAATCTCATCCTGGAAGCAATGATGCTGAGGAAGCTTCTGATAGGGTTGTTCATCAAGATGATGTGGAAGTCAAGAGCTCTGAGACAACTTCTAAAATTGACAAGCCATCAAGAAAAAAGAAAAAGGCGAAGAAATCTAAATCAAATGATCCCGACGATAATCAAACGAATGTTTCCACCGATCAAGCCTTAAATGATCAGAAGCATTTGAAAGATTTTGAAAAGCCTGAAGGCTTGGACGAGGAAGACTTAAAAAGGCAGATTTCTCAAGAAATAGCTGATCTGTCTGATAAAATAATTTCACAGATTAAAAAAGAAATAGAAATTTCTAGCAATATTGACGATGGACAAATTTTGCCAGATAACGAGGAAAGAAAATCTGAGGATGTAGTAAAAGACGCGATTGAGAGCTTTGTTGAAAATATATCAAATGAATCTGTTGATGATTCAGAACCAACCGAGAAAATTGAAAAGCATGAAAGTACTTTCTCAGGACTCATCGGTTCGTTGGTTAAAAAAGTCTCAAAACCATTTTCAGGAAAAGATAAAATTGAAGCAGATAAAGTAGAGCAGATAACATCACTGGACACACCGGATAACGATATCGGGAATATTTTGGAACCAATTGAGAATTTAAAGAAAGTTGAAAACATTGAGAATTCACCTGAAATTCAGACACAAGTAGAATCAGAAATTGTCACAGGTTCAAACGAAATTTCTAAAACTCCAGAAAAGCTTTCAGATATTATATCATCATTTATAACAACTGAAACAGAATTTTGTAATTTAGAAGTCATTCAGGCTCCCGTCCGGAAGATAAAAGATGAGCAGGTTATTCAAGATCCACTTGTTCAGAAGGAAGACGAATCTGCATTAATAATTGAGAAGTCAAAAATAGTACCTGAAATTGAAGATCAATTTGAAATTGTGTTGCAAGAAAATGTTGTCTTCCCATCTGGCTTGAATGAACCTGAACAATCTGCAAAACAAATACTTAAAACCCAAAAATCTATTGATGGAGTCTTAGACATTAATGAAACTGTAGAAAATGATATTGTCCCTCAACCATCTCCACAAGAACGAAAACAAGGTGTTGCAAATTTAATTCGAACGTTTATCTCAATGGAGATGCAACAGATTGGAGAGGCTGACACGTCTGATGCTATCGGTCAAAAAACATTACCCTATGCAATGGAACCTGTTATTAGCGAGCACGTTGTACTAGAAGAAATGAAAGAATCACCAATTCAAGAAATAGAACTTAATGAAACTTCAAACACGCAAGGAAATAACGTTATAGAGTCAATTGTAAAAGAAGGCGATTCTAGAATTAAAGAACCAGTTATTATGGAACTTGTGAATGAATCAACACCTATTGAAATAGCATCTGAAATTATAAATGAAACATTAACACAGAAGAAAGAGAAACCTACGAAAAAGAAACGTGAGAAAGCAAAGAAAACTAAATCCACTGATTCTGATGAAACAACTGTTAACGATCCTATGAGTGTGTTCCACAGAACTGATACAATTGATCAACTTCATCCACAGTTCGGTCAATCTTTCGCTGAAGTTGTCGGTGTTTCCGAAAATCAGCCTGAAGATGAATCACAAGCAATCAGAACTGTCATTGAAAGTTTCATTACAATGGAGTCTTTTGCTCCCGTTGCTCCTGAAAACCAGGAAGTAATTGAAGCACCTACACATAAGATAAACGAAGAACAATTTATCCAAGAACCTATTGTTCAGCAACAAGAACCTGCTGTTGAAATGAAACCTGAAAATGAAGTCAACTTCGAAATGGTTGTGAAAGAAACAATAGTTCAACCTGTCGACATTCAGCAAACTGAAACAGAATCAATCACCCCTAAAGTTACGGAAGAAATACATAAGAAAGAAAAGCCTACGAAAAAGAAACGTGAAAAAGCGAAGAAAACTAAATCAACTGATTCTGATGAAACAGCTGTCAGAGATCCTATGAGTGTGTTCCACAGAACTGACACAATTGATCAACTTAATCCACAGTTCGGTCAATCTTTCGCTGAAGTTGTCGGTGTTTCCGAAAATCAGCCTGACGATGAATCACAAACAATCAGAACTGTCATTGAAACTGTCTCGACTTTAAAATCAGAGCCTCAAATGTTTAAAGATGAAAAAACCTCTGAACAACAACCATTAACAGATTCCAATATTCAATTCGAGGGAGTAGAAGTCGATAAGAAAGAAATTATTCCTGTAGATTCAGAAACACATGTTGAAGTTGAGCTGGTAGATTCTTCAAGTAAAACCGAAAAACCAAAAAAAGGAATCTCTTCTTTCATTGATAATTTTGTATCAATGGTTTCAAAACAATTTTCTGATAATGATGCTCCTGAAACTGAGAAAAAGGCAATGGAAACAGAAGTGAAATTTGAAAGTGAAGTTCCAAACGAAAATGTTATAGAACAATTCTCAGAAACATTGGAAGAAAATGCTTCTAAAATTCCAGAACAGCTTAAGCAAAGCGTTGAAGCATTTTTGTCTTCGGAGTCTAACCAGGATAATGTTTCAGATGAATTAAAAGAAACAAATTCAACAGTTCAAGAAGTCTCAGAACTTCTTACTGTAAGACCACCTATAGTAGAAATCGTTGCAAAAACTGCTGATGAAGTTATTAATAACGCTAATATTCGTGTCGAAGAGCCACGTCAATTAAGCGAAGAACGTGAAAAAATACATTATGAACCAATTTTACAAGACATATTCAAAACTATTAAAAATGAGATCATTGCGGATCCTGATCAGAAGCAAATTCAAGATATCGTTAAAGAATTTGCTGATGAAGTTACTAAAGAAGTTTTGCCCGCAACTTCTAGTACAATAACTGAAACAACAATAACATCAAATGATACGAAAACAATTCCTTTTACTCCTTTATCCGAACAATCCCTTCCTAAATTATCCAGCCCTCCTGAAACAGGTCACGATAGCCATGATTACGATGTTGAAAGTACTTTGAATGTGAAGGTGAAATATTTCAATATTTTTATATTTCGATTTTTCGTTGTTTTTCTTATCTAACTTTTCTTTTCTATAAATTGAATTGGGTGATATTTTTTTACGTTTTAACGCTTGAATTTATACACATTTGGCTGCAGTCACTACAACATAAACTCATACAGTTCTTGATAAATAATGTTTTCAAAGCAAAAACAGCTTTAATGCAAAATTAAAACTTAATTACAAAATATTTTTTATCAAAGCTAAATGTTGTGCATGATCTCACTGAGGATCGGTTAAAGAAATTTTTTGTGATGCTTTATAGTAAGGTTTGGCAATTCAATGTTTAATCAGATAACAAATGAAACACATTTTATGACATGTTTACTGATTGAATCTTTTATGTATGTGAAATAACTTAAAATTTCCAAAAAAATTAATAATCTTAAAGCGGAAAAAATCGCGTATTTAACGAACACATTACAGAAACAAAAATGTTGATACTAAATCATCGTCTTATGGCTTTATATATTTATTGTTTTCTTTTATTATTTGTTCGTAATGAGTATTTCCTCCTTCATTTTGTTTTATCATATTTTAATATGCTTCTTCTATTTATTAACAGATGACCCTCGAAGCAGAGGCTCAAAGATTATTAAATCTCATCTCAACAGTTTCATCGGATATTCACCGCATGCCTAGAGACAATCTAGATCATATGCTGGAAACCCTTAATGTAAGAAGCGTAATATTCAAGCTTGCAATTTTTTTAAATCTTTTTTAATTTCAGATCCTCCTTAAAAAGTTGGAATGCTATAAGATTGACCTTGACACGTTGATCGAAAGCAGCAAAGCTTATCCCAAAGAAGAAGAAATGAAAAATAATTTATCATCTCTCAACAAAAAACTTTCTTCTCTTCTCCTTCGCACCGAACATCAAATTGCTATTACCAAAGTAAGGAAACAAATTGAAAATGTTGTTTTTAAATATTAATTAAATTCTTTCTTTGATTATTCCAGGAAGCTAAAGATAATCACGAGAAACATCAAGCGGAAGTTGAAAAATACAAAATCATTCTCATGGGCATTGAAGAATGGCTGAAGCCAATTCTTTTGTCAGTGGAAAGTTTCAGTAGTCAACCAGTAGATGAAAAAGATGCCCAACAAAAGATTAATGAGCTTCAAAATATTTTGAATCAATTAGAAGAGAAAGAAAATCTTGTGAAGGAAATTCACGTCGATTGTGAACAATATGGATCTCAATATGGAGACGTACAAAAGTTCATTAAAGAACTGTTAATTGGATTAACATCAAACATTCATGTTATTCGTGAAAATCAAGCAATCATTCATGGATATTTGGATAATCTAAAAGAAGCTCCGAAAGATGTTCCAGTTCAAGAAGAATTTTATCAAACAAGAACTTCTGTTGATGACCTTAAACCGGAAACTCAAGCAATGTCTACGCAAACATTGGCTGAACAACCATCTACAGACAACATAATGGTTATTCAGTCAATGAATGCTGAAGGCGAGACAATTCAGATTTACAATAGACCTTATAGCTATGAAGAAGGTAAAGAAGATGAAAGGAATGTCATCGTGGAAGCAAAATACATTCGAGGTCATACTGGTGAACCTAAACGAGCATCAGAATTATCTTTGAAAAATGTTCCAAAACATTTTGAAACAACATTTGTTGAACCCGATGAAACAACAACTGAAATAATTGTCGATCCGGATGGTTCTAAGAGAATCATTGTTCGTAAACTTACGAAAACTACTCAACAAATTGTTGAACGTGGAGAATACGAAGATGACACCTTACCTGAACATATTCGTGCTCAACTTGGAATGAGTGGTACAACTCATGATGTCATAGTTGGATCTCAAGTTGATCCTTCCTTAGAACAACATCCAGGCATTACAGAGTCTTCTTTGCATGCTGTTATCGAACATGTATCACACCGTGTTATTAAAAAGACTCGTAGAATCGTTAAGAAGATTGTAATAATTGATGGAAAGGAACACATCACAGAAGAAGTTGTTGAAGAGCCAGACGAAATAGAAGAATTTAGTGAAGATCGACCTGCTATTGAATACGAAGTAATTCGAACAGAGCATTGTCCAATCCAACAAGAAATTATTGAATCCGCTCCTGAATCACCAAAAGTCATCACTGAAATCATTTCAGTCACTCAAGAAGTCACAAAAACCATTCCACCTACTGAAGAGAAACATGAAGAAATTTCATCGCCGATTGAAGAAAGGATAATTGAAGCAGTTGTAATTCAACCTGAGGAACCCGTTGGAACTGAAGGTGAAAAACAACCTGAGCAGGTATTTGAAACAATCACTGAAGCACCAGTAGAGTTGATCGCTTCCGAAGTAGATAAATTGGCACCAATTGAAGATATTTCAAGTATTTGGCCATATGAAACACCACATATTGCAACCCATACAACAGTTGATAAATCAGAAAGTTTTGAATTGCCTGCTCAAACACAGCAAGATGAAGAGTCAATTAAGATTTGGCCACAAAATTTGACCATTGGATCAAATATTGACTTCAATGATTATTCGTTTGATCGCACGTTAGAAAAATCTTCCGACAATTTAGATAACGACAGTTTTGTTAATGTTGATTCAGGTTTAGAAAACTTACCAATCGAAGAACCATTGCCAATTGTCAGTAGAAGTGCTGAACCTGTAGTGGAAGAACCATTGAAAACTGAAGAAATTAAATTACCCACTGAAATTGAAATAATCACCAATGTTATAACTGAAAAAGTTATTGAAGAACCGATTGTAAAAGAAACTGAACCTCAACAAACATCTGAAGAAATTCGTCCTGAAGGTCCACCACAAATAGCGACAATTACGATTGTTAAAACGATAACAAAAGAAATTGAACCTCAACGAATATCTGAAGTCGAACCTAAAGAAATCATTGAAAAAATCATTGAGAAGATACAAGAAACAGATGAAGTCAAACCTGAAGAAATTATAGAAACAGTCACTGAGATAATAACAGAAAGTGAACCACAACAAATATCTGAACCAACACCTGTAGAAATTATTGAACAAGTTTTCGAAAGAGCAAAGGAAACTGAACCAGAACAAGAAGAGATTCGCCCAACAAGTCCACCACAAAAAGCAACTATCACGATTGTCAAAACATTGACATTCTTGGAGGAAGAACAACGAGTCAACTCTCAAGCTATGATGTTTGTTTCAAAGGAACCTTTAACTGAAGTTAGTGGAGAAGTTTCTGATATTCCCCAAGTTGAAGAAGTTGCTGAAGATATTCAAAAAGTCATCGCACCTTCTGATGAAAATGTCGTATTTGAAGTTGTTGAAAATGTGTTAGAAACATCTCAAGCTGACCGATCATTACCTGAAGAAATTATCGAAAATGTTAAAGTTATGTCACCAACTAAAGATATTGACATTGCTGACGAAACTTTAGACATATCACAAGCTGATCGCTCACTTCCTGAAGAAGAAATTGTTCAGCAACTCATAGAACCTGATGACGTCTTTGAACCAGCAGAAAGATCTACTGTCACTGTTGAAATTGTTACAAAAACAATAACAATGGAACAAGATAAAGAAAAACCAGAAGAAATTCCTGTAGAAGTACAAAAGGTTGCGGCAGCTTTAGAAAAACACGAGTCTTTCGAAATGGAACCAACAGCACCACCCGCAGAGGAAGTTTTAACTTTAATAACTGCACCAAGTTCTCAACCAATTGTTGAAGAATTTGTGATGGAATATGAAGAAGTTAAACCTTCGAAAAATATTCTTTCACAAACTGAAATGTTTATTAATCTTGAGAAGGAAAATCTCACTGAAGAACTTCCTAAAGAACCGACAGAAATCAAACAAATTAACATCATTTCGGAAATTGAAAAAGTTTCTGAAAAGGTTCCGGAAGAGAAGGTAAGTTATGATGAATCTAAGCAATTGAGTTGATCATGTAAAATTGTTTTTATTTATTTTTAAGATCTCTGAAGAAAAACAACCAGAAAAAATAATTGAAATAAAGGAAGAAGTTAAACATGAACCACCCGTTGAATCCCCAACTCAAAAAGATGAAAAACCGGAAGAAGAACAATTCGAAACTTTCCATGTGACATTGAAAGTTGATCCAAGTGAAGTGACAAAAGTGAATGTAAATCTTCAAGAACAAATCCCAGCTTCAGAAAGTCCATCAGAAAATATAATGAGCGAAGTTGAACCGGAAGTTAAAATGCCACCACCGGAACCAACCACAAGTGATCTTCAAACAGGTGTTTCGGGTTATGAAGCTGAACGAACTGATCAAGACGATAGTAAATCATCAGATGACAAAAAGAAGAAAAAGAGAAACAAGAAGAAACAAAAAGTGAAGCCTGAAGAAGTTCCATCAGCTATTCCAAAGTCAACTGAAGCTTCTAACAAAGACCGAACTGAAATAGTTTCATCTGATAATGATGGAACAGCAATGCCTGAAGAAGAAATATTACCAGAAGGAAGAGAAGAAATTCTTTCACCTGACGAATCTTGTCGAACGATTTCCGATGTTGATGACACAACTGTACGAATTCTGGAAGAAGCTGTTATTGCAAGTCCACCTGAATCTCTGCAAGAACAACCTGTTTCTGGAATTGTATATCCTGGTGCTGTCATTGAAGTCACTTATGTTGGAGATAATGAACAACAAACTGAACCTGTCACTTTGGAAACATCTTCTGTTAAGGAACCGATTGAAATTGATACAAAAGAAGTTCAAGTTGTGACAGATACAATTGAAAATCAAACTCAAATGTCACCACGAGCTCCTCAAACAACTGAAATTTCTATTCAAACTATTGTCATGGATTTCATTGAATCTGAAAGTCAAACGATCGCTCCATTAATAAGTGACAAACCGGAGATTATTCAGCAAGAACAAGAAAGTCAAACTGAGGCTTCTCCACAGCAAGAAAGTTCTATGCAAACAGCACGTGTCGAGACAAGTGAAGGAAATGTTCAAACTGAAGATACACGAAAGTCAGATGAAGCTCAAAAGATTGGCGAATTGATTGTTACTGAAATAATCTTAAAAGCCGTCCAAGCTGCCGAACCATCACCGCCAGTTCAAGAAGAACCCAAGCAACTTGTTGAAACATCTCACATGGAAACTCAAACATCAAAAGAAAAGAAGAAGAAGAAAAAAGACAAATCAAAAGATGGAAAAATGGAAGTTGAGATTCAAACAACAATCATGAGTCAACCTGATCAAGTTGAACGTTCTCAAATCGCTGTTTCACTTGCTCCTGAAATTGGAAAGGCTGACAACATTGACGTTCAAGTTTTAATCGCAACTCCAGCAAAATCTGATCCTAACAGCGCAGTACTTCAAAGATTAAATGACATTATGCATATTGAGACGAATGAAGGTCCAAAGAAACCTCAAGAATTTGCACTTTCGCAAAATTTGAATAATCTCATCAATAATATTGATGAACAAGGCCTTGAGTTGGTTCCATGGGGTGAAGTTCAATACATGATTGATGCTAATGTCGAAAATCGTCGTATCAACAGCAATGCTGATCCGATAATGGATTATATTGTTGAAGAACCTGAAGATTTAGACGAGAAACTTAATGAATCTTTGGAGAAGGTTGAACATTATGTGAACATTTTACCAGAAATCGTCAACAGCGGTGAAGATCGCATTTCACAAAAGACAATCATCATCATTACAAAAGTCATTGTCACATGCTTAGAGCAAATCGAAAGAAGAATTTACTACATTAAACAGAAGAAGTCAAAAGATCATCAAGATCAGAAGGAACTTGAGAGACTTGAAAAAGTTCTTATTACTCTAAGACAAAATGTTGCACCTTTACAAAATCCACAAATGCGTGAAGATATCAATCATTGCATTGACACTTTGCAACAGCATGTCAAACTTGATAAAGAAAATCAAAACATTGTCATGAAAGAAGTTGAAAATTATTACGCTGAGCTTGGAAATGTTGACGATGCTATCAAAGAATTGGAACATGATACAATAATGCTTGAAGACAAACTTCGTTACCTTCTTCACAATGACGCACCAATTGATGATAAGCTTCGACAACTTGAAGATTTAGATCACCTTTCCAAAGAGAACAAAAAACTTGCCGCACGTTTAATTAAATTAAACAATCTCAATGACGACCATGCAAATGAGATTCGTTCGTGTTACGATCGCACAAGAGAAGCTGAAAATAACATTCGCTTAGAGAAACGTAAGCTTATCCAACTTGCCAATCTCTCTGAAGAATATGTTCAGACCATCAATGAATTCTCTCAAATAACTTTGATTGCAAATTCACTTGTCGACAGAAATGTTGTCACTAATAGTTTGGATCATCTTCATAATGAGATTCAACGACATCGGAAATTCTTCGTGAACTTAAATCATTGTCGAAATATTCTTGAATCTCTTGAGAAGAATCTTGACCCTGAAACACGTCAGAAACATTCGCAGTTGCACAATTCCTTACATCAAAAGGCAACAGTCATTCTTGAGAAAGCTGGTGATCGTTCACAAAAACTTTCACTAGCAGCTTCTCGATGGACTGTTCTTGATAAGCGAATGATGAATGAAGAACAGTGGCTTCAAGTTGCTGAACAACGAGTTCCAGATTTGTCGACAGTTACTTCAGCAGACTACGAACAATATGTGACACTTTATCAATCACTTAACACCGACATCACAACACATCAAGCGAAAATGCTTCAAAACTATGAAACAGCAGTAAAACTTCAAGATTTAATTTGTGCACCTAATCTCGAAACGAGATGCAATGATGCATTAACGAAACTTGTTAAGATCAAAGAAGATGTCAATATGTATCTTAAGAAGCTTTTACACTTCCGTAACATGTGGAACGATTACAACATAAATGCAGATAGATTAGAAAATTGGATGAATCATGTTGATGACGAATTGAATCGAATTGAAATTCCTGAAAATTTTATTGATTATCCTGTTGAAAATATGAGAAATTTCTGGGAGATCAAAGCTCAGTACGAGTTCAATAATCAAATTCATAAAAATGTTTGTGACAGTTTCGAGAAGTCACTCAAGATTATTAGCATTGCTGATGATCGACTTCAATTACAATTCTACGCTCAAATAGAAGATCGTTGGCAAAATATCTCAAAACGAATTGATGCAATTAAAAATCAAATCACCGAAAACATTTCGTCAACTTGTCCATCGTTTAACGATAAGCTTTCGTTCCTTGAACGTGAACTTGATGAGTTGAGATTTATAATTGATAACACCAAAGGTATCATTCGAAATCCAGAAGAACTTAATCTTTATATTGAAAGATTAATTGTGTTGAGAAGTAGAGTTGTTGTTGTTGAGAATGAACTTGTTACCATCGGTTTCATATCAACAAACGATACTGAGAGAGTCGGTGAACTTTGTGAGAAAGCACACAAAGTTTCCTTGAACATCACCGAAGAGCTTGAACTTGCTGATTTATGCAAAGGAAGATTAAATACTCTCAGACAAGAGATTGGAAACATTCGTGAAAATCAAGTTGATTTCTATGAAAATCTTTCACAATTTGAAAATGCATCAAAGCTTGAAAGCGCTGCAATTGACAAAGCTCTTGCAGATTGTCAAGTGATGCGTGAAAATCTTGTTTCACATTGGCAAGAAATCATGAGAGTTCGTCATCTTCTTCATACTCTTCCAACAGGATTAAGAATGTCAGTGTCACCAGTTGACGTTGAGAAAGAAATTTCTCAATTAGAAGATGAATATGTTGACATCGAAAAGCGATTGTGCGACATTGAAAATCTTTTGAAAACTCGCTACACATTGTGGAAGCGTTTTGAGAAACAACTTGAAGCTATTCAACAATCAATCCAAGAAACTGACTTCATGGTTGAACTTTTAACAGTTCATGGAAACATCGATTATGATCGATTACTAAAAGCAACAGAAAGATTAGAGGTGAGAAAATAAATTTTAACGGTTTTTGCAAATTTAAATTCAAATTCTTTTTTCGGTTTTTTTCTTATAAGAAAAAATATTAAAAACAAATTCTAAAAATTTATTATTAATTGTTATCTAGGGACTTTATGACGAGTTGGGTTCAAGAGAAAATAGTATAGAAGATTTGAAAATCTATGCGCAACCTCTTACCGAGTTCTGTGATGAGCACGTGGTGCAAGACATTGAGAATTCAATGCAACGTGCTATGGTGAAATGGAATGAAACAAATGACAATCTCAAACAAATTTGTGACAAATATAAGGGAGCAGTGAAGCTTTGGCGTAAATATTGTGAAGACAGCGATGCAATACGCAATGTTATTGATCAACATTACGGTAGCGCAGATGATCTCATGGAAGAAAAATCAGAGGAAGAAATTCAGGTGAGAGTCCTTGAAACAGTTAAAAAATAAAACTTTTCTTGCCCCAATTTAAAGTTTTTCAAATACATGGAAAACTTCTAATTGAGAAACAAATACGAGAAGTTAAAATTTGAATTAAAACTTTCTAACTTATGTACTTTTTTCAATCGATATTTAAATCGTTTCGCAGGTTTTAGAAAATGCGCTCGCAGTTCATCGCGAGAAGCTTCACGACTTACAAAAGGTTGCAGCACAAATCAGTGAATTTGTAGGATCTGACACATCAATTCAAATTGATTCTGACATTTTGGATTTGGATCGACAATTAAGTGAAATTGTGCAATCAATCGAAGCTTGTAAAAACTCTTCAAACAGCAACAATAAACTGCAAGCTGTCAGAAAAAGCACCGTGACAAAATCCCACAATTTAATTGACAACATAAGCGAAGATTTACGACAAAAGAAGCCAGCAAATGACGAAGACCAACTCGTGCTTCTGAGATCGCATCTGCTTAATCTTGCAGTGATTTCAAAAGATTTAGACAATCAAAAATCTTCGACGACAATGAACAGTGATGACAATAATTCGATAGTTGAGACATTGAACGCCCTTCAGAATTTGTTCAAAGAAACTATCACTGAATATAATAAATTATCGTCACAACTCGTTCATAGTTCCGACAATAAAGTTATATTTAAGATATGGTTGGACTACTTAAACCATGTTTGGTCATTCCTACAATCACCTTTACCCTCGGACTACAACGTTCTTAAGGAACAACTTCATTTGTGCAAAATTCATCAAAATCTCATCACAAATCAACGCAATGCTCTGATGCATAAAATCAGCGTTGAAAAGTCACCGACTGAGAGTCTCGACGAGTTTAAGAACAAACATGTCGATATACTTAATCACTTAAATGAACGACAAAGAGAAATTGAATCAAGACTTGATGCTTGGGAGAAATATCGAAAACGTCAATCAGCTTTGTTGGAATCGATCGATGATATTGAAAGAGAGAAATCTCTCCTACAATTGAAGCACATTTACTTGAAACTTGTGCCGAAAACTAAATCACAAATTGACGAAATTTTATCGAAAGTTTCTGATGCTGAAAATGGTGTCGTTGAGATGAAGAACAATCAAGGAAATCTTTTGAATTTCATTGACGATGTAACATCATCATCATTGAGATTAGAATTCAGTTCAACACAACAAAGATTAGCAAACATTCGCGCAAGTCTTGAGACATGGATGGGATTCTTGATGAGAATTAAAGAGTTGAACAAAACTCATGACTTCCAAGTGAAATCAATTCAAGATAATTATCAACGACAGTTGAACTTCCTTAACAGCATGAAGAACGAAGTTGCAACTAATGTCGGCAACTCAAAACAACAGCTGGAAGTATTAAAAGACAAACAAAAGTCGTTAATCGACATGAAAACAGAACTTGAAGCGTTAAATGCGTTGAAAGATGAAATGAAAGACTACGTCAGCACTTACGACATAAAAATGATACGACAATCTATTTGGATTCTTTGGCAACAGTACACTGACCTTAACTATGAATATTCGCTTTTGGTGAATCGAATTGAAGAAAGAATTTGCCTACAAACAGAATTTGTTATCCGATACGAAAATCTTATGTTTTGGTTGAATGAGACGGAAGGTCGATTGATGGAAGCGTCAACACAGAAATTCCAACAACATCAAAGCCCTGAAGATCCTTACATGAAGCATTATGCGAATAATATTCTTGAAGATTTCGCTTTGAAGGAATATGATCGCAAATGGATTAAATCAGTTGGCAATGAACTTTTGATGCTTTACTCATCTGATCAAAACTTTGACACACCTGAAAAAATTGACATTGAATGCAAGTTAGCAAACTTAAATACAAAATGGAATCATTTGAAATCACTTTACGACAGTCGATCAAGAAAAGTCAATGAAATCAAAGCGACTTATTACAATCTTGATGCACGCATAAGTGAAATTCGTTCGTGGTTGTTTGAGACAGAGAAGGAACTTTTGAAGCCTTTTGTGTTTGAACAACCTAACAAGGAATCATTCGAGAAACAGTTGTTTGAGTATGAAAAGGTGCAACGTTCAGTTGAGAACAACAGCGCAAATGTCGCTGAGATTTTGAATCTTAGTGAGATGGTTTTGAGTGAATTGCGTAACTTTGACATGGAGATGACAGTGAAGAATTTGGATTTGGCCATCAATAATATCGAGTTTAGATGGAAGAAACTTTGTGAGTCGTTGGTTCAAAGGAAGCGGTCATTGTTGATGCTTTGGAATACTTTGGATGAACTCACAACGACAACAAATCTCAATGCAAAATGGTTGACCGATTGTGATAAATTATGTACCAACATTGAATCACAATCGATGACTAAAATGTCCAAACCAATGGCACTTAACAACATAAAAGAACTTAATGGATATCTTGAGAAAATCGCAAGTGAAACTCAAACATTCTCCATTCTCGAGAAACTTTACAACACAGTTTTGACAGCAAATGTTGATGTTAATAACATTCGACAAATAACAGCGGAAACAAGAAGAATTTTAATAATCTGGAAGACAATCAGCATAAGAATAACAGCATTGAAAACAATGCTTGAGAATTATCTCGATGAGTTTGCATCATTCGAGAATCAATACGAAAATCTCATTTTGAGTTTAACACAAATCGACGCTGATATCACAAAGTTGAAGCATCTTAAGATGCATGAGACTGAAGGACCTGAATATGAACGTGGAAAATTATCTGAAATTAAAAGAAAATATGACGATGTGGAGAAAGCTATCGAAGTAGCTGAAAATGCAAGAAAATCTTTGATGGAAAATTCATCGGAAGAAGAACGAATGAGGTTGAAAGCAGTGTACGATGAATATTGGACACTCTTTATCAGTATTAAAGCAAATTATGGTGAAATGCAATTGGAATTCGACGATGTCATGTCAAGAATGGCTGTCGACGAGAGAGATGCTGCTGTTCAAGTGAACACATTGCAAACTCAAGCAGCAGCAGTTTCACCTAAAGATGCTTACAAATATGAAATTCAAACTGCAATCAACGAATTCAGTGACAACATTGATGAACTTGAGAAAGTTTTACATGAAACTGGAGACAATGACACTGGTGTGATATCAAAGACAGCTTCTCAGAAAGTCAGCAAAAATATTGCGGCTTGTGAATCATCACTTGAGTTACTTAAGTATTTGAATAGTTTACTTATCAACGATTTTGATTGTGATGATGACGAAGCACACACGAAAGAAATTGAAAACCTTTACGATAAATTCCGAGTTTATCTTGAACTTTGGACAACAAAAAGAGAAGCAAAGAAGAAAGTTGTATTCAAGCAACATTCTGAATCAGATTGGAAGTCTTGCCCCTTCTGTAGTCAAAGGAATTGGCAGCAAATCGACAATGACTTGTGGCGACTTGAACAATGGCTTCACGTCGCTGAGAATGAAAGAAGAACACAAACATCACCACCATCAAATATTGAAGAATTGGAAGATGTGATTCAAGATCATCGGGAATTCCTGTTGAATCTTGACAGTCACAAAAGCATCATTTCATCACTTAACACAGTTGGAGAGCATTTGGCTCTTCACACATCCGACACCGAAAAAGCCTCAAATCTTCGTAAACGTCTCCTCGACAATAACATTCGTTGGGAGAACATTTGCCAACATGCAACTGTTTGGCAACGTAAACTTCAAGATGCACTCATTGGAAACCGAGAGTTCCACAAAATTATTAACGAATTCAATTTATGGTTGGAAGAAACTGAACGGAAGATAAAGAAGTTTGAGCCGGTTGATCTCGCTTCAGAGCGATCGATCATGGAATCGAAGTTTACACGATTTAAAGAACTCAAATGCGAAATCGAACGATGCGAACCTAGAGTTATAAGCTTACAAGAAAATTCTGCGCAATTATTGAAGTCAACGAACGACGATGTTGTCGCTAATGAAACTTATATCAAGTAAGTTTCCTGATTTTGTTATTATTAAAATAAAATTAATTTTTCTTTTCATGAAAATTTAGATTAACTGATTTAAGTGTTAAATTAAAATCACTGAGACGCTTAACAGCCCTTTATGTCATCAAACTTGGAGCTGTTTTGGGATATGATGAAGCATTTATCAATGCTCCTTTGACTTCAAGTGTAAGTTTATTTGATTTAATTAATTTCACAGCGTTTTCCAGCACCCAAGTATCTTCTAAATTCCTTAAAATATTTTCCGATGCTTTTTTCTTGATATTTATAAATGAAAATTTCCTTTCGATCCACAAGTATCTTAACTAAAAAAAATATTTTCCTACCTTAATGTTGAAAGTTCTTATGATTTTATTTGATTATCTAATTTATGATTTATTTTTATTTCATGACAAACAACAGCAAGTTGGTGATATTGGAAGTACAAGCAGTAGTGTTAGAACTTTGGCACCAAATGAAAAGTAAATTTTGCAATTTAATTTATTTAATTAGATGTGTTGAAGTGTTGAAAATTTTATGAAAGAAAACTTTAATTAATATTTTTCATTTTTGAATGCTTTCCTTTATTAGTATGCAAGAGGGAGATGCCGAGGAAGAGGACGACATCAACTACACTGTTCTTACGAGAAGTTATCGATTCCTTGGACGAGTAATGCGTGCATCACTACCCGTTCAAGCTCTTATGCTTCTTCTCCTCGGTGCTGTCACTTTAATCCCTTTGCCTAACAATGACGATGGCGGCTATTCATGTCTCCTTGTCAACACATTTGGACGTCTCGGTGAACCAATGCTAAGATACAGAAATGGCAATCCCCCAATATAAATCGCGCGCACTTTCGTTTGTTTTTTAATTTTATTGATTTTAATTAATTTTCTTTTTTGTTGAATTAGCTTTTAAATTTAAAATTAAATATCATTTGTGAAATTTCCTTAGAACATCACATTGAAGAGTCAAATAAAGGTTTAAATACTTAAATAGAATTCTAAATAATAAATATTGAAGCTTTAATCATTCTCGTGTGAGTAAATCAAATTAAATTTCTTATTGTAGCTTGCAGATGATGACAATGTTAAAAGATTAAAGTTTCAGGTGTTCTCATACCGTGTAGAGACGAGCACTACACTGAAGTTATCAACACTAAGGCACGCGCCAATCACTTTCCTCTTGCACGAAAACAAATAAGCTATCACTCTTTATATTAAATTTCACTCTTCAAGTCGAGAAAAATTACAAATTTCCATCGGAAGCCTTTCTTATTTAAGTTATTTATTGTCGTCCCGACGTGGATTTTTCAAACAAGTGTCTTCAATTTGTCGCGGAGTTTTAATGCACTCAATAAAATTGCTAGCGCCAGCATTGTAATCTGATGTCTTTTCTGACTTATTCAACTCGACTACTCATAAATTCTTGTCAATTTTTGACACGAGTTTTAAAGGCAAACTCATTCAGTTCCTTACCAGTGTTTGAAGAAATCACAACATTTGAATGAGAAAGAATCAAAGTTCATAGTTAAAATGAAATAAAAATCTTGTAAAGATGAAGACGTTGAAATATATTTTTGCAATAATTGCTTGCACATTTGAATTGTGCTTAGCAAATCTTGACAATTATCAAAAGTGCAGAATAATAAGAAAAACATTGTCTCAGTGTTATCCCAGTGAAAATTCAATTTATTTCATGCAAGGTACAAAATATTCAGGAGACATTGTTACATTCTCAGTAAATAACACAAATTATATGAAAATTCAGTGTCATTCAAATATTGATATTGATATAAATAAATTACCCGACGTGATGTTTGACAATGTAAAGACGATTGAAATCATTCAGTGTTCGTTATCAAATGAATTGACGTTAACAAAGATTGTTAATTGCTTTAGCATGGATAAAGTTGAAAGTTTGAAAATTTATGCGACAAGATATCAAAAAAGTTTAGAGTTGACACAAACACATTTTGAAAGCTTTGGTGAATTATTAAGCTTGGAGCTTGTCACTGGTGATCAGATGAAATTCAACAGAAATGTCTTTAAACCTTTACATAATGTTGAAACGATTAAATTATTTGTGCATGATATCATCACTCTTCCGTATGACTTGTTCAAGCCTTTGGAAGTTCTACAAACACTTGTGATCATCAACAGCGGTCGAATGAAAAATGAAACTAAGACATTAAATTTCACATTGAAGTCGTGCATTAATTTGAAACATTTTCATTTGAGTCGAGTCAGATGGCCGATACGAATCAACTCTTTACTCACATACAATCGACCGTTAGAGACTGTTGAAATAATTAACAACCAAGTAGAAGTATTGAGTGAAGATGTCTTTAATGGATCGAATGAAATAATAAACATTTCGTTAATGAACAACAGCATAAAAGAACTGCCGAAAAAGATTTTCGTATCGCAGCATGACTTGGAAAGAATTGACTTAAGTTTCAATCAAATCTCGCGGTTGGATGACGACATTTTTCTAAAAAATGGGAATCTTGAGTTCATCAATTTATCACACAACAAGCTCATTCGAATCGGAAAGTAATTAAAAATTAAATTTATTTAAAAGTTATCTTTTTTTAATGAAATTTCTTTTATGAATTCTTCAGGATGATCTTTGAACATCTCGAATATTTGACATATTTAAATCTTGCACATAACAACATTATTTACATCAACTTTCTAACAAGTTTGGGTTCCTTAAAGTCACTGCAAACATTGTTGTTATCAAACAATTCGATCAGCATGCTTGATGGTTTTCTACAATGCACGAATTTATCACTTCTAGACCTGAGTCATAACAGTTTATCACGAGTGTTTATTGAGCAGTTTTTGGGAGCGTCAAACCATGATTTAACCGTCAACTTAAAGGAAAATCGACTTGAAAGTGTCGACTTTCGTAATTTGAACCATTCAAGAGAAAGTGAAGAAGACATTTCCGATTTGTCAATCTTTTTGGGTCATGAAATTACATGCAATTGCTATACGATCGGTCTTTATAATTTCTTTCATCGTCGTCTTGATTTAGATGAAAAAATTTATTCTGCTGTAAAAGTATCACCAGAAAATGTCAAATGCATCGAAACAGATTCAGAATCACCCGTGAATGTAAAGAACATCAATAAGGATGTGTTGACTTGTCCCCTAAACTTTCCACATCAAAAGTTTTGCCCCAAATCATGTCGTTGTGTTCGTAGACCTTTTGATAGCATTCTGGTCATAGTTTGTAACAACATTTCTGAAGTTCCGAAAATGCCGCAATACAAGAACCTCACGGACATTAAACTCAATAAGATTCAGCTGAGAATTCAAGGAAATGGAATTGATCGATTGCCAAGGAAATCCTACGATGTGATTTATAATGACGTCGTGGAAATTTATGCTTCACATAACAACATCAGAACCCTTAATGTTGACAATCTTCCAGATGTTTTAGAGATTTTGGATTTGAAATTTAATCGATTAAAATTGGTCGATGCTGATGTCATTGCAAGATTTGCTACTTTGAAGTTTCTCCATCTAAGTGACAATCCTTGGAACTGTTCGTTGGTATCTCCATTGATTTCTTTCATTAAAACACAACGAGAAATTGTTAAAGATTTCAACATCATTCGATGTTCAAACTCAAAATATTTCCTGGAAGTTGAAGTTGATTCATCATGTGCCCCAAGCGTTTTGATTGCAATTTTCGCCACCCTTGGACTTGTTTCTGTTGCTATTTCTATCTACGGCATTCGAAAGAACGCTGAAGTAATCTCTGAATGGACATTTCGAAATGATAAACTTCACTTGATTGAACGAATGAATGAAAGAATGAAGTTTTTTGACGCCATCATTATAGCGACAGAGTATGATAAAATTTTCGGCAAATATGTAACAGCAAAGCTAATGAACAAACCCAATCAGTTTAAAATTGGAATGGTAATTAAAGACTGGGCTGAAAATGAAGAAATTCCTGATCATGTTTTGAAGACTGTTAGAAGTTCACGTCGTGTTATTGTCATTTTATCAGAATATTTCGAAGAAAACAATTGGAAACGTTGGAACTTTTATCGAACAAAATCAAGAATAATTTTTGTTCTCAAAGGAAAATCGAACGTCAGCAACATAGAAATTTCTAACAAAATATCTGTAAATTTCAGCGATCCATGGTTTTGGGATAAATTAAAGCATGCAATGAATAATTGTAAAGAATTGGAAATCGACAATCAACAAAATAGCGTTGAATTACAATCTTTAGTATCAGTTTGAAATGAATTAAATTTACATTTTTTTCTATAAAATTAATTAAGGTTAAAATAAAGTTTTCAGGAAGAATTTTATTCCGAGATTTTTTATCACTTTGCTTAATATTTTGTAGTTACAAAGTTAAGGACTTTTAATTTTATTAAACATAACTCATTCAATTTGATTCTTAATAAACTGTCATTCACTTTCGTCTTTATTATTTATAATCGATAATTGGATTGTTTTACAATGTAAAGAAATTTAAATTGCTTAAAGCAAATACAATAAAAAAACAAATTTTCTTAAACATATTTAGCATTTCCTTAATTGATATTTTGGCTTTCACTAATCCTAAGCTTTCAATATTTTATTTGTGTGTGTTGTGAAGTGTCGATGAAGAAATTCTGTTATCATCGCTTTGATGGAGAAAGGAAAACTTTGACTTTAATATTTATCATATTCATGTTTTGCATAATGAATAAATGCAAGTACGGCATCAGCAAGGTAAAGTGCAGCCACCAATAACGTCAAGTATCCAAGGATAAGACCCATCTAAGAAAAAAGATTAAATTTGATTCAATGAACTTTCCCATGATATAAAATTATTTACCATTCTTTCAGATGCTGCTGCAATGAAGTCATGAGGTGGTTGATATCCATGCCAATAATGTAAAGCAGTTCCAGCAACGCCCAACCATAACAGAACACCAACAACGTTCATTATAGTGTCGGAAAGTTCACGCTTGTGTTTAGTAGTTCCAAAAAGATAAGTGAAAAGTTGTACAGATGTGTAAATCAGGAAACCGACGTAGACACCGGAAGCAATGATTTCAGCATCTGGAGACTTTTCCTCGTTTAAGTTCCACGTACCACCAATACCCAAGAAGTCACCGCCATAACCAAATCTGTAGATGATCAAACAAATCACGTTGAGCACCTTGATGAATAAAGAAGAAAAATGAATTAATCATCAGCGTTATCTTCAACAGCTACACATACATTCTTAGAAATTAATTTCGTCATATTTAGGCGTGGTTGAAGCCTAATATGATTTCAAAATATTTCATTAATTTTCTAGGACATTCATTTTCAATATTTCATAACAATTTTCGACTTTAAATAGAAATCGGAAGCAAAAGAAAATTTTTACTTTTACAAGAAGTGAGAATAAAACTTACCAATTTGAATACTTTGACGAATATCGTCGCTATTGTTTCAACTGAAGGCATCTTCAATGCTTCTTACAACTTTTCTTCGATCTCTAAAAGATTTTTTTTATTATTTTGATTATAAAAATTAATTTGAATGCTTTTTCTTGCACCTTTGTGTCTTTCTTTTTATAACTTTTATTCAAAGCGCAACAATCACTTCAGCTTTTCACTTCAACTTGTAAGTTATAAATGAAATTTGTTTCATCAAATTTAATCACAAATGCAAAATTATTGAACGAAGGAATGATAAGATAACAAATACAGTCAAACCATGCTTAAAATTTGTGTTGCTTCAACAATAGAATTTCTCATTCGTCTCAGAGTTCTGCCTGTACAATTTACAAGTGTTGCTAAAGAAACATATAAGATAACAGGTTTTATGATAAGATATCACAAGTTATCTGTGTGAATTCAATTTTTTTTACGCTTATTGCTTTTGTTAATGATTCCAAAAAGCTTCAAACAAGTAAAAATAAATCGTGACACCAACCGAAATTCTGATTAAAGCTTGATAAATTATAAAGAATAAAACATAAAACAAAATGAGTAACAAAATAGATATGAATAGAATAAGACTGAGAAAAAATGTTTCATTTTTAATCAAAAGCTATAATTGCAGAGTTAGATTAAAACAACTGAGTTAGATTAATAGAGTTGGAGTTAGATTAAAAGATTATTTTTAAAATTTCTTCAAATCAAACAAGTTCAACCAGCAGATGTGCGATAATTTTGAACAGTAGAGTTAGTAAAGATTTCTCACGCTTCATGCTCCTAATTAAAAAAACATGAATAAATTCTACATAAACAGCGTATTAATTTCTGGAATGTAAAAACTCAAATTTAAAAAAGTCAAAACATATCAACATGAATTTTTTGCATGTAAACATCTGTTTCAAAATTCACCATTTATTGCACAATACTGTGTATATCGTATATTTAAAAGAAGAAACAAACTACATACATTGACTGAATCAGGTCAGAGGTCTATTTAACTCTATAAAATAAAACTAGAAATGTGCGTGACTGGGTCGTAAAACGATTGAATGAAATGAGAAGAAAATACTTCGAAAGCATTGCAAGGCTTCCTTGAAATGGAAAAATATAAAAATAAAAATGTAGGCGAAATTTTCAAAAATATTTTCGTAAGATTTATGTTCGATAGCTGGAATTAGTTTTTATATCGTAACGCTACTTCTTCGATGTATTCCAAATCGCCACCAATTTGAAGACGATCAATCCTATGAATTTCATACTGATGTGCAAACTGATATTCACTGGATCCGCCTGACATAAAATGAATTTCTCTCTTGGTGAATTTTATTGCGACATCAATCTCATCAACTGAAATTGAAGCATTTGAAAAATATTATAATTTCATTTAATTTATTAAATTTGTCGCAAACTTACCACCTTCAACATAAAAGTGAGATTTTATTTTTCGGCGAAGGTAAAGTTTGCAGATATTTATGTTGTGACAAGGAAAATAAATAATAAAAATTAAAATGTGCGTGTTAGTTACATAAGCATTCCCTGTTTTGTTTCTAATCGTTAATCACTGAGCGTTGTTTTGTTAGAAAGCGTTCTTACCATCATCGTCTATCCATGTATTCTCAATTTCTTCGAAGTCATCCCAACCGTTTGGACCTCGTTTGCATGTTAATACTACCGATGAATTTCCATCCATATGATGTTTGAACTTTGTTTTAAAATGAAAAGCAATCATGGCTGGTTCATCTTCATCGTCAATTGCAGAGTCAACGCATAAGTTCAATATAAATCTGACAATTATAAAGAAATGATAAATTTTCCTTCAGTCTTTACTTCAAAAGAAAACTTTTTTCATTGAAAAATGAATCAAACATTCATACATTCCTTCTTTAATTAAATAATCAATAATTTGAGCCTATAGTAACATGGAGAAAAGTTGCTTGTGCAACCACAAAATAAATGAAATTTAGTGGAAAATTCTGACTAATCATTGCCTTCTTTAAGCTTTAAGCGCCACTTCGACATTTATTTATGTTTAATGCAAATACCTGGAAATTAATGAATGTAATAATTAACGCTTTTGTATTAAATTTCTATTCAACAATTTCTCAGAGTTTGAAAATGATTTTAAGAGATTTTTAGAAAAATCATGAGAGACGACAAGAAACTTGGCGACAGACGGAAAAGAGAAATAATGCGGCGGCTGTCATAAGACAACTTTTTTCTTCCTTATTTGCATGAAATTCAATTAACATCGTCATGCGTTGTATTTTTACGTGGGTGGTGGAATTTGGAGAAGCAATAAACGCTGGAGAAATTTTTAGTTGGAAAAAAGATTAAACATTTCATGGATATTTTGGACACGATTTTAACCAACGCTTCTTCTTATACGTGATTCACCGTAACATTAAATTCAATTCGTTAACCTTGTTCCGGCTTCACTTAATATATTTTCCCACAATTCTCAACGTGTTAAACATTCTAATTGATATTTTGTCTTGGCACTGCCAGCATTTGAATCATCATTTCAAAAATATACAAATATCTCAATCATGAATGAAACTTGAGAGAAGAGACACACGCGTGAAACTTTATCCATGACCTTCACCAATTATGTTTACGATGATAAAATTTACTATTTTTGATATGTTCTGGTCTGTTTATTTATTGAAACTTAGGAAGTGAGCACTTGTGTATGTTATGAAGTCAATTTTTAAATTAAGTGGCATTTATGTTGTCTAATTGGCAACATGTGGTCTTGTTTCCTGTTTAAAGATGTTAAATTTCTCATGAATATTGTAGCTTATATTTTTAAATTTCGATTCTTAAATTCGAACGTGCAATCCATGTTTAGTTACTTCTCTACTCTTCATTACAACTATAAGGTCAAGGTATGAAAGAACATGACATCACTACTTACTCTTTTGGACGCTCGTTCAACTTCGCTTTGATTCTGATCTGGTTTAAAATGAGAAATTTTTGAAAAGCTTTAATCATTAAGATTTTTGGTATTTCAACGTTTAATACCTCATCGTTGACTTTCGGTCTTGTCGGCAACAGAAGTGTGTAATATTTACTCATATTTAACAGTTTATATGATGAATCGGACCTTTCTTGCTTATTATTATTATTAGGGGACTCCTTTGGTTTGCATAAATTAAGAAATTCAAGACAATTATTGATTCGCTCGAGGCATTCGCCCATTTTTTTCAAAGGAAAATTCTAAGTGAAATAAAGACTACTTGCGGTGCATTTTAAAATAACTTTTCCTTTGAAAATGAGTTAAGAAATATCTTTACAGTTTGTTATCTTTTTTTATTTTTCTCTATGCTTGTTTATCTTATCAACGTCGATAGCGTGGAAAATCACTTTTTCTTAAGACACTTCGTTAAATTTATTATCGTTGGGAATGTCGATGGTTTTTTGGAGATTCTTATTAACATTCACTTTCAAATTCGATCTTTCTTTTCAACTTTATTTTTAGAATTTTTGTATTCCTCTTTCTGTTTGAAAATCATTAAATTGTCGAAGTTGCCACAAGAAACTTGCTACACACTTGCCGGTTAGTTTCAAACTGAGAAAATATTTATATGAACTGCGCTGCGAGAGTCAAGAAAAAAAAACGTGTGTAAACAATTTTTATTTCAGAAATGAGAGAATTTAAATAATCAAAGAGCATTGGTCTACGTAAGAAATTTTAAATATCTTTTATTAAAATCAATGTTTCTTGTTGGATGTGATAATTGAATGTTAGAAACCTGCACAGACAATAATATACGTCTGAAAGATCGAAACGTTTTTCCTATGTTTATTCATTAACAGTTAAATAATATAAATAAATTTCCTTTTTTTATTTATTCAAGTGCAACAAATAAGCATCATAAAAAATAAATGTTGCTTCGTTGATTTCGATCTTTAAACAGTTTTTAACGAACATTTGAATTTCGAAATTTAATTCTCTAGATCAAAAAAAAATCAGAGGGGTCATCTACTAAGTGAATGTTTACAAAAAAAATGGCTAAAAGAAGTTTAAACGAATTCGAAGAAGAAATCAATGACAGCAAACGCTTTCTTAGCGATATTCAAGGAGAAAAGAAGCACACCCTAGACTCCGATGAAAGCGACAATGAAGAAGATCCGTGAGTAATATTAAAAACAAATAAACTTTTGAATGAAATTTTAAAATGATTATAAACCTTTTAGACAAATGAATCCTGATGATATTGAAGGTGAAGAAGCAGGAGATGAACGTGTCGATGCAGACGAGGAAATTAAATTTACTCCATTCAACATGAAAGAAGAGTTGGAAGAAGGTCATTTTGATCAAATGGGTCATTATCATTTCAAGAAGGGTGACGAGCGGCATCTTGACAATTGGCTTGATGATGTCGATTGGGTGAAAGTAAAAAAAGATGAAAACTACAGGAAAAAATATTATACTGCTGATGGAGAATATAATTCGAGTTCCGATGAAGATGATGATCTTGCAGGACCTCAAAAGAAATTCAATTCACTAAATTCGTTCAAAGAAATTTTGACGTTCATGCAACCGAACGAGTCGATCAACAGAACTCTGCAAAGGTTAAATAAATCTAAGTTAAAAGTAAGCACAGCACAAATGTGGAAGATGAAGAAGCAAGGCATCGTTGACGAAGCATCGAATAAAATCACAAAAATCACTGGGCTTGTTAATGAGATTCTTACACAAACCGGCAACATGAATGTTTATGAGTTAACATATGAACAGATTGAGATAAAAGTTAAAGCAATGGATGATAAATCAGAAGCTGGTCCCAGTAAAGAAGTTGAGTTGGATATGTACGCTGATGATTTTGATGAGAAAGAAAAAGATACTTTAAAAGAACCAGCAGAAAAGTCAGTGACATTTGCCGAAGAGAACCGTGATGAAGATACAACTCCAAAGCTCATGTGGGAGTACAAAATAACTCAAAATGAGACAGATCCTATTTTTGGTCCATTCACTACCGAACAAATGTCTAAAAAAGCTGACAATGGCGAATTCAAAGAAAATGTTTATGTTCGAAAGGTTGGCGATGAACGATTCTATTCATCAGCTAGAATCGATTTTGATCTCTATTTGTAGACATTGTTAATGCGATAAATAAAGCTTATGCTTCTTTTTTTTTTTATAAAATACATCTTATATTTTTATTTCTCTACGCATACGTAACTACATTATTAAGTTTTTCCTTTTTTTTATAATTATTTAAATACAATTGATAACTTAAAAAACTAATTAGGCACATAAATGAAAAATAAACACTTTTAAGTAGTAAACAAAAGAACCACAAAATGAAGCATTTAAAGAAGACAAAGTTGAAAGAAAATAAGCAAAGGAGTGAATATAATTAAATTTTGATATCAGCGCAAGCAAAGCTACTTAAATTGACTCTTACTATCTTTTAAATGCTTTAAGTTTCGTTCTGTGTTGATTCAGTCCACATTATTTTGCACAAGAATTACATGAAGGACGCAAACTAATTACAAAGTTTAAGTAAAATATTTTCATTAAATTTTATGCATCTTCTTTTCACATCAAGATGAAGTTTCTCCACATAACAAGAAACATTCATTAGTTTTATTATTGAAAAGAATTTGCCTAATTGACGCTCATATTCAGTTTAGTTTTAAACATTAGAACTTTATCTAATTAGAGTTTCCAAAAAGTATTATTTTCTCTAAAAATCGAGGCAACTTTCTTATGTTTACCATCAAAAATAGTTTTTATTTCATTTTTTATAAACTGTAATGTTGATGTGAAATTGAATTCACATGGAATATCCATGATCAAAATCATCATTGTTCTTTTTAAATGTTTTCGTGTATAAAATGAATTTCAATTTTTTTATGTCTTGTTCAGGTATCATTGAGGCGGGCCTACGACAAATAATCTTAAGATTTATTTGAACAGTCAATTATTCATTTGTTTTATGCTAAAGAGATTCATTTAAAAAGTTTTCTTTATTTCAAACTATGTAAGTCTTCAACCATAAAATGTCTTTTAACTAGCAACAGTTCTGTGATTAATTTTCTTTCATTTCTTCATTATATATTCATTACATACTGAATTCATATTTTTAATAAACTTTTACATCCTTTAGATAATCTGCTAAGGTTCCAAATATCAACATTTTGAATGTGTAAACTTTCTTGTTTTATTTAAAGCACTGTAGAACCACAAAACATTTATTCAGTTGAGAAATGATAAGGCAAATGATTCAATAGAATTTTTTTCCCTTTCTTTAATTTATCCATTTATAGTTTTTATAAAGTTAAATTTTTCTATTCAAGTTGCATCGAAGGATTATCTCAGAAACAGAAACTTTTTTGTTAGTGGCAAGAGCAATGAATAAAAATAAAAATCATTTCTTCAGTTTTCTTTTATGGTTTAACATTGAAAAAGCATCAAACTTTTAATTTTGAAATCCTTTTCGTAGCAATGTGAATATTTCATTTTTCATCTGAATTGAGCAACAATTAGTAGATATGAGTAACATGTGAATGAACTTTTTAATGCACATTTTAAGCCTAAACATCTCCGTATGATAAATTTCAAGGATGATGAGAATTTACTGTGAAATCTTTCGTAATGAATTTTAAACATTTACAGAACATTACAGAGATAATTAAATATTAAAGTTTCACTTGAAGAACATTCTTATCATTTTTTTGAGAATCTTAAGTCTTACATCATTCTGATGTTCAATGAATTACTGCATTCGTTGGCCAAAGTCAGAGAGCTGTTTGTGTGTTACATAGCCTAATACAATAAAAAATTATATAATCGTCCACAATTTCTATTTGTAAATTAATCTCACCAGAAATGCCTTCTTGATCAGTCGTTGCTACAATCGGTGTTTTGATGCCCATTTTGTCATCAATTGGCGTATTTTGTTTTGAATTAAACTTTCCTAAGGCACTCAATGGAGTATAGCCACTTGACATCATAGGCTGTGAATTTAAAATATTCTTCTTAGTATAACTGAATTAATTTCAATTCATTAAAGCACTTACACTTAGTATGGAATTTGTAACATATCCGTTACTGTTTCCAATCGCTGGCAAAGGTGTGACAAAGCTTCTTGGCGGCGGTTGACACACATAACCACTAGATGGCATTGATGGGCTTACAACATTTGTTGGCTTTTGAAATTTCTCTGATATCGGCGTAGACACAATAATTGGTGAACTCTCTATTTCATCACTTGAACTCTGAAGAAATGTTAAATGAGTTAACTTTTAATGAAATTTGTATTCAAGTAAAATTTACCTTTGAATTATCTTTTTCCATTTGAACGCCATTACCAAATTCTCCATATTCAATGTCATCTTCATTATCGATATGATCAGAATCACTTCTCGTACTCTCACTTTGTATGCTACCACTACAATCTGCTCCATTGATACTTCCATTCAATGACTTTTTCAATAATTGACCATTTTCATCTTCACAAATAATTGATGTATTGTCAACGTTTCGCAATATGTCAGGAGTTTCCATTTTTCCTTCGTTTACACTCAACTCCTTCAGTTTCTTGTTTTTATCACCCGATAAATCCTCTAATCCAGGTGGCATTTGTACGAGAATATCTTTCATTTCAACGACTTTACGATAAGCATAAAACAACATAACTAGGATGAGAACAACAAGGAAAATCATCATGAACATCATAAGAGATTGTTTTGAATCGAATCCCCCATAATTGCATGAATGTCCAATAGCTGGTGACCAAGGTCCAGGTAAATGCCAACCATGAGGGTCAGCTACTCTTAAAGCTTCAAGTGAACTTATAAGAATTGGATCATCGTTGTCACAGCTTTGTTTCTCATCAGAACCTTCAATTCTAGCATGCGACTCTTTCGAATGTGGTGTAAGAACGAAATTAACAGCACGAACTGAGAATTCATAAAACATGACGTCACCAACACAGAGCTGGTCAATGTAGCACTCTCGTTTTCTTGTCTTCACAACATCTTCCTTGAATTTTCCATTATTAAGAGTTATTTTTGTTTTGAACTCGTAATAATCTAAAGTGCCACCTTTAAACATTGGCTCGTCCCATCCGATATTAGCACTTGTATAGTTCTTTAACAAATTATTACTGAAAACATCAATCGATGGTTGTTTACTGAAATTTCCAGGTGCACCTGTTGTAGTTTTAATTTTTGTTTTTGATGATGTTGAACATTCTTTCGTGCAAGCTTCAACAGCAATATCATATTCAGTATACGCCATTAAGTCCACTAAAGTATAATTCATTCGAGTGATGTGAGTGTTGTCAATTTCCACTGTATGACTATGGTCTTGTTTCGTTACTTTATGATCTTTTCCATTCGCCCAAACTTTATAAAACAATAAAACGCCGTTTGAAAACTCTGGTGGATCCCAGTAAAGTTCAACACTTGTGTTGCCAATATTTCTTGCTATCAAACCACGAACTTCAGATGGTGCTAATGAAAATGAAATTCACATGAAATCAAATTGAAAGTAAAATAGAAATTAATAAATCGCTTACCCGCTTCAAGGGTTGTATTGGCTAAGGGATCACTTGCCGGTCCCATTGTTGAATTTGAAAACATTCTGATGATGATTTTGTAAGTTGTGTAAGGCGTAAGATTTGAGAGTGTGTGTTTAGGATTCTCTAACTTTCCGGTAATGTTAAGTTTCTTAGAAGGTTCCATACATTCCAAAGTTTTTGGTTCTTTACTTGGACAATATTCAAGCTGATAACCAGCAACAATTCCTGAATCAGTGCATTCCAACTTCCATTCAACTTCAATCTCTGTCGATGCTAAACGTGGTATCCAAATTGTTTTAATCTTTCCAATTTCATTACTGTTTGCTGTTGTACAACGGGCCCATACCATTCCTGATGTTGAATGCTCAGAATTTGCTGACACAGCAAAGTTTATAGTTTGAATAGAATTTGATTTATGTTCGAAATGTGTTTGTGATGGTTGAAAACGTTTGAAGTCGATTGTACCTTCACAACTATTCGGTAGTTCTGATTTTGAGACACACCAAAAAACTGTATAAGAAGTGATTTCATCACGATAATATTGTGGCGGTGACCACGACAACTCATAACTTCCATTTCTTAATATTTTTCGAATTTTTGTTGGTCCTTCCAAGCGATGAAATCTTGCGGGAATGATAATTACACTTGTGTCGATTGATGATCCGATTTCATTGTAATTTTTTATTGAGATTTTTGTACCACGCGATGAATCGAAGCGATCTTTATTGTAAATTGCATATTGTGGATGAATTTCATTTGGAAATTCATATTTTGAAATGTTTGAAGAGACAGCGTAACTGTAGTTGGCCCCATTTTGATAACATTTATGCAAATGTTTCCAATAAATGTAAACATCACCACCAGGTCCAATGTTGAAGCTTCCAATATCAACTGCAGGTGGATGATCGGGACGTCGCATTAATGTTTTGATATTAATAATTGCCCACTCACTCCACATTTCTTCAACATCTGGTGCCAATGATATTTTCATTCGAATGCCAATCGTGTACCAAGTATGAGCAAAAGCCAATGATAATTCACGTGTAAAATTCTTTGGGAATTCTCCGACAGTTGCTGGAATGTCAGTGAATCGAATATGTTTCGGTTCAGGATCGCACTCTTGTGGTGATGTCACTTTAAACTCATAATCAAAATTCTTTGGAAACACCAGAAGCTTATTATTCACATTCCAACCCAACAGCACACCGTTCGACATTATTTTGATATCTTTAAAGTTTTCAGGTACCGCTGGAATTACGCTGGCAAAATTATCAATTGTTATCGTTTGTTCATTAATTCCAAAATAATTCTCGGCTTTCAGTGTGAACTCAAAAGTTGGATTTGTTCGACGATAGCCTTTGCTTTGTATGTGACACCAAAATATTTTCGAATCTTTCATTGGTGGTTGAATGCAAGGATATCTTTGTGATGAATTTGGGAGACGATAAGTGAGTGTATACTGAACAGCAACCGGATTGTAAGGTTTCTCAAACGAACAGTTCATATCTTGCCAATTATTCGATAGGCACTTGAAGCCTGAAATATTCTCGGGAAATCTTCCGATTTTGAGATCATTGTAGGAAATTCCATGTTGACCATCAAGCTTACATAGAATTACTGTATCTTGTTCGGATACATTCGGCAGCATAAGTTCGATGACTGATTGATTTATCTGTCGAATATACTTGGAATCTATTTCATCGGAATTGTTGTAAAATCCTAAACTGTTGTATGAATATTTATCTCCATTAACACCACATCTTATCCTAACATCTGTACCACTAAGTTGTATTATCTCTCCCGATGGATCTGTCCAACCATCAGGTGATGATTCTATGATATTTATACTACAGATTAATAAGAAAACAGCTAATGACATTTTCATTGGGCACATTATTGGACGAGTGTTTTTAATGTATCTGTGAATTTAAAGAAAGAAAAGGATTAATATTTTTATATTTATTTCAAATTATATTTAAAAGATGAATTAAACTGAAAAAAAAATTGATGCTGAATCTTTGAGGAAATAAAATTACTTCAAAACAAAATGAAATCAATGAGAACTCTGCTAATTTGAATGTTTTTATGAATTGAGAAAAAGGTTAATTACATATTTTAATTAAATTAATCCTTATTTTCCCATGAATCATTGAAGTTCAATAAATCTTCGGCTCTTTCTGTTTTTAAATATTTCTACATTTTATTTCATTAAATCGAAAAATACGTTTCTTTGTTCTTATTATTTATCAACGAATTTTCTTTCTTTCGTTTGTTTGTTCTCATAAATTTAGATATCTAATACGAAGGAAAGCTGCAAAATATAAGAACAAGACAAAAAAATATTAAATAACATTTATTGGTAATTAAATTATTCGAAGCAGATAATCGTTTAAGACTAGATAAAGTTCTTATTTCTTGTAGTTTTTCTTCCTTCTTCCGCTATGATCATATCAAATTTTTCTTGATGTAAAAATAAATTCTTTTGTTTTAATTTATTTTCTAAATCCAACATATCCATTGGAGTTAATGATGGGTGGATGTTTACGATTTGAATCGCTTAGGAACGATGATCTTTTTGCAATGTACCCGTTGTTATTAAGATCAGAGTCTTTGATGAAAGACTTTACTTCGTTTGTTATGTAATCCGAATGTTTTTTTGGCTCCTTCGAAAAGGGGTTTGTAACTTTTCCAGTCATGTCGAGATAACCTGCAACGGCAGTGACAGGCGATTTTGAAGGCGAATTCATTTTCATGTAGCCATTTGGATCGACTTGGGGATCCAGTGGCAAATTTGAATCACATATGTTGGCTTTTACAGGCGTTGGTGGATATGATTTGAGGCTTTTGTTGATCTGTGACATCTTTGGTATATAAACATTCATAGCATCGGTCTTAGGTGGTGGAGTGATAATGAACAATGGAATGTGCTCACGTTTTGTTACGTCGGGTAAATTTGGCGAAGACGGCGTTCGCGATATAAATTTTTCTTTCTCGTTCACATCATATTTTTCAATTTCATTTTCATCCACATTCGATGAAACGTGAAGTGAAGTTAATCTTTGACTTTCGTAGCTATCATTTATCACAGAAGATGTAATTTGATGATCAAATTCCTTTGGTAAAACAATATGAATATCTTTCATCTTCTGGTATTTCTGATAGAATTTTATAAATAAGAATATGAAAATCAAGATGAGTATAATCAGAATGAATATGAATGCTATCATTGCAGGCGAGTAACGGAGACGACAATAATGCATAATCGGTTGTGACCAGTCACCATAGAACTTCTCGATGTTATTATCGTCATCAATATTATTAGAAATACTCAAACATCCGACGGGATTTATTTCTTTAATTATATCGTTTTCAATAGGAGGATTCTTTAGATTGACTATACGCATAGATAGATCAATTCGCTCGTCGTGACATTGGAGATTATTGATTACGCAATGAGGAGAGTTTCTGTTAATTCTATAAACGTCTTCCTTTACAACTTCATCGTCTTTTAAGGTTGTAAGTTTAAGTTCAAAGTAGTCAAGGTTACCGCCAATTACTTTTGGCAATTCCCAACTTATAGCAATCAAGTTATCGCTTGTTGTTTGCAATTTTGGTTGGTACATCCTTTCAGGTACACCAACTTTTGTTTGAAGTGATAAGCTTTCACTCGGCACTGAACAATCACTTGTACACGCTATAACCGTAATAATATAACGTGTGAATGGCTTCAAGTTATCAAGTCGAAAGGCGAACGTTTCGTTTAATGTATTGTTATCGTTGATATTGATTATATGGTCGTTGTACCAAAGCTGATATGTCATTGCGTCGCCATTAACTTCGAGCGGTCGGTCCCATGTAAGATCAATTGACGTCTGTTCAACTCTCACAGCTTTCAAATTTCTTGGATCTGTTGGAGCTGACAAGAAAGTTTAATGGTCAAGAAATTATGTTTCGCTATAATTTAATTTCAAAATAAATTTACCACTTTCCAATGTTCGTATCATTATCGGAATTTTACGAAGGCCTAAACGGTTGTGACTCATTAAAGATACGGAAATGTTGTAAAGTGTATAGGATTTTAAGTTAACAATTTCGTAACGATTTAACTCGTCGGCATCATTTTCAGGTATCACTATTTCAATTTTAGATTCTTCAGAACATTCTGTAATCGAATGTTCTTTAAGTGGGCAATAACTGATGTTGTAACCCACAACAATTGGTTCATCAACACAGTTCAGCTTCCAATTAATGAGAATTGCATTTTTAGTTTGCACAAAGCCCCATAAGGAGTGAACTTGACCAATTTCTATATTAATTAAATACAACAATTAGAAGAGTTATCGAACAAAAGGAAAAATTTGTTTCATTTACCATTCGCTTTTGATGCTGTGCATTCAGTCCACTTAAATCCGTTGGTAATTGATTTATTGCGGACATTTGCTACGACACCAAACTGTATCAAAGATGAAGCATTTAATTCTAACTCAAAAGTATTTGCCGCCATTTCGAGAATGTTTATTGGACCATCACATTGATTTGGAAGTTCGTTTCTTTGGTAGCACCATAAAATATTAAAGCTTTCAATATCAATTTCTTCCATGACTTTCCATGACAATCGGTACGTTTGATCATGGAGTTCTTTACGAATTTTTAGAAAATTTCCGCATTGATTAGACCGTTGAATTGGAATGAGAATTTCACTAAAACTTTCAGACGTGCCTTTATTATTGACGCTGAAAATTTCAATTTTTAAATCGTTTGCTCTCAGCCCTTCCAACTCGAGCATCATTGAAGTATCGATATAAAATTTATCAAAAACTTGTTCATTATTCTCGTTCCTGCCGCGAACAAGATATCTAAAATTATCAGCATTTTGATAAAGCTTCGGCACTGCCATCCAATAGATGACAATGTTTCCATTATCCATAACATTATAACAATTTCTACATGTAATTGGAGTTTCTTCTGGAACTTTTGATGGTGTTTTAAATGACATTTCTTTATAAGGCGACCACATCTCATCAATATCTTCAGCATCTTTTGTTTTCATTCGAATTTTGAGATTGTAGACTGTATTGGCATAGTTAAGATTATCAATTATAAGATATCCATCTCTTCCTTCCACTTGAAGACGTGGATCTATTATTTTAATCCATTTTTCATCAGTCTCATCAACCAACTTCAATTGAACATCAAAAAGCATTTCACTTGAAATCTTTTCAACTTCTTTAGGCAATAAAAGCTTAATATGTGCACTGCTTTCGTTATGGATGGAAAGTTTCGTCATGATATCTATTTTCTCAATTGCACGTGGCTGAAATGTTTCCAAAAGCTTCAGATCGAATTTTTCATTAAAGTGATAAAATTTATTTTTCGCATTAATCATGAAAGTGACAAACGTTTCATTTGGTGATTTGTTGATGTCGTTTAATTTAATTTTGGTACTGTAACCACCTTGGTAATTTTGTTTTAGTTTCAATTGATGAGGCTGTAAACAACGAACGATTATTGTAGAGATATAATTGCAATTGTACAAGTTTCTCATTTAATTTTAACATTTCCTACCGTTTCGTGATTGATAGAAAATTGTGTTTGATATTTGATAGGAAGATTGTACGGAGGTTTTCGATAGGAACATGTTAATGTCAAGAGATCATTTGAACGACATTTAAAATTATCTACTGCTGCCATTCTTTTATCAATGAAAACTTCACTCAATCCGACGTTATTATCTTCTTGTTTGCATGTGAAGTTCTTCCTTACAGGACGGGAATAAAACTTCGTCAGTTCTATAAACGTATCGTTGATTCTCTAAAGAATTTATAGACATGAGTACATATATTAAATTTCGCTTCTTCGCGCTATTTATTTTACCTTGACATCTCCATTAGACACAATTTCGTCGTCATCGTAGAAATTCAACTCGCCATTGCCGTGATCCACGAAGCAGCTAATTTTAAAAGTATCATTTACTCGAGCAAAAAGCGTTCCAGGAGAAACACCTACAGAAAATTTTAGTAAAGTTAATTCTTGATGAAATTTTTAAACCTCAATAAATCTTAAAAGTGCTTAACTTTCATGTGTATGTAAGGATTTATTAAAATTATAAATGAAATGAAATGTAATGAAGATAAGCAGATTTAGAATTCATCTTTTCTTACCGAAGCCTTCAATGCCACAAACAATAAAGATGATTATAAAGATCGATATCAGAGTGTGAAACATTGTTCCTGATCTGAAAGAAGAAAATTGTGCATTTATACATCAGACAAATTCTCTGTCAGTGCGATCACAGCAATTGATACAGAAAAAAAACTAATAAAATTAAAGCATTTAAATCGTTGAAACATAAAAAAGGTTTATTGCTTTGTTAGATTAATTTTTGATTGTTAACAACATGCGTTAAATTTCCAATTAATGTTTACAAGTAATTAATGAAATTATAGGGAAAATAAACAAATATTTAGCGAGTCATTAGTATCAACAGCAGTGTATCAATCTTAAACACAACATTGTTTACACGTCAAGAATCTCGTCTCCGAGATTGTAGAAAAAAATTATGTGGGAGAAATTGAGGGGGCTACAAACATAAAATATTATAAAATGTTCTTTTATGAATTAATATTATTGTTTATTTGTGGTATTCCTTTAGTTTGTGTATTTATGTTTTGTGGTGAAATGTTTAGGATTTATTAAAGAAAATCAAATTGTTACAATCTATTTGAATCCCCATGACATTTTATAACGAAGCTAACATTCTTGCTACTTTGGTGACAAAAAGTCATGAAACTTAAGTCAGCATTAATTATTCGTAAATACTTATGTGTTTAAGTTCAATGTTTAACATTTACATTTAAAGCAAAAAACAAATACTTAGATTGAGCAGAAAACAAAAGGAAACCAAAATTATTTGCCTTTCTTTAAAGTTTTAAACACCGATATGAGTAAATCAACAATTCAACTTAAGCTGATCATAGAATTGAAGAGTTCTCTAGAATTCTTTTAGATTTGTTAAAAAATAAAATTAAAAGGAAATTTCTCGTAAACATTTTAAAAACAAAACAAAAACTGTTGTTTTTGGTCTTTTGAAATGTCACAATTTATATTTTTTTTATGATAGAAATTAGAATAAAAATCTTCAGAAATGTTTTTCTCGACAGTTGTCAAAGAAAGAAATGTAAATGGTACAGAGGACAAGTTGAAAAGTTCTAAATCTTCATGGAATTATCATCATGACTACTTTGACGTACGTATATTAATAATAATTTCAGTAAATAAAACATTTTTTTCTGTCATGATCAGTGAAGCAGGTAAACAAGAAAAAAGTAGAAATTTTCAATTTTCCTTTACTGATTGAATGGAAACTTCAGAAAATGAAGGAAACATATCATTAACTTAGATAATCGCGAAAATATTGCGTTCTTTTATTTTTTTCTTCAATTTCTTAGCGTGAATTGGAATTGTAAACATTGAAATTTAAAATAGATTGTAATGTGTTAATGAATTTGCTTAGATACTTATAAATGTATTTACATTTATTCAATTTCATGCAACATTAAGATTTCCTGTTCTAAACATTATTTAATTTGTTGCGCACTGTCTACTTGAATGTTAATGTTAGATTTGAAAAGTAAAAGAAAATGAAATTAGAAATAATTTGGTTAGTTGTGATTGTGATAATAATTGTAGAATTAAGACCTAATTAAGACATAAATTAATCTTTGTAGTTACTATAAGTTTCTAAAACTGCCGTGTAATTCCAAATACTGAAAGGTAGTGTGCAAATGCTTCGAGAAAACACATTGATTATGAATAATATTAAACAAAAAATTCAATAAAATTTGCTTACCTTTCATTCAATCATCGTTTTGTTAACTTTTTATTTTCTTCTTCTTTCAATTTAGTTTTCGCTTCTTCAATCAATTGACTTTGCGAGGTTTTTTGAAGAGATTTCACAAATTTTTATCAATTTTATTTTATAACACTTTAGATTGATGGATTGTAAATATTTCTTTAACTTAATTCATTGAAAATAAAATTCTCATACGCTACTTTTCTGTGTTCTTACTTAGAAAAATATTCAAACCAAATGTGTAACAGGTTGAGATTCACAAAAGAAATTGAGATTGTTTTGTTGAATAAGAAAGCAGCAAATGAATTTCAGATCATCACTCAGCAAACTGTGGCACGTGAGTGATTGAACAGTTCTAACATTAAGAATGGACGCGTGGAATGTTTTTTGTTGTTATCTTTTCGGCTCTCTATCTCTGTTTATTTCTCTCATTCTTTTGTATATCTTAATTCTCAATTTTTTCTTTTCCGTTCGGTTCACGAACGACGCAAACCTTCTTAGTTCAGTACCCAATGCTAGACTGATTTCGTATACCTTCGCTAATGGACTTTTCTTTTTTCTTTATTGCTTATGTACATGTTTTTGTGAAAATATTCACATCGTCGTCGTCTTCTACCTCTGCTAACTTAAACCAATACTTTGCCAGGTATCTTCTTATCGTCTGCTATTTGCTTTTAGCGCGTTTCCTTCAAAATATTATTCTTTGAAGGGACAATTCATGTGTAACACCTAAAGGTATTCTGTCATTCCATACTAAATATTGAATGCAATTGTAAATTTTCTTACTGAATTGCCCCTTGGTATTTGGAAAACGTAGCTATAAGAATCAACGAGAGAGACAAATTCTAGTAAATTGTATATAAAATATGAGAGAACGACGCCATACAAAGAATAAACAAAAAACCAAGTTGTAGGCAATCTTATCGAATGCAGTTTTGCTAACAAAAGACGTGAAGTGTCAAATTTTAAAGTTTAAATATTTTAGGAATCTGAGTCCGCTATGAAAACTGAGTACAAAAACATTTTAGTTTTTTGATGATCTTCTGAAATTTATTAAATTATTGCAGTTGGACTTGACGTCATCAAGATACTAATAATCTAATAATTTTTTTTATCGAATTCAATTACTCTTGTATGATTTAATTACTAATTGTATTCCCATTTCTAATTAATGTCATAAAATGAATTATGATGTTTAACATTTGTATGCTTGAATTTGGAAAAACGTGGTTAAAAGAAAATACGAGAGAGACAAATTCTCGTAAATTGTATAATATATTAAAGAAGAGAGAACGACGCCAATCTAGAAAGAATAAAAAAGCCAAGTTGTAGGCAATGTAGGCAATGTTATCGCATGCAGTTTTGTAACAAAAGACATGAAGTGTCAGATTTAAAGTTTAAAATATTTTAGGAATCTGAGAGTGCTACATATGAAAGCTTAGTACATAAACATTTTAGATTTTCTATGAACTTCTGAAATTTATTGAATTATTGCAGTTGGATTTGACCTCATCAAGATACTAACAAATATATTTTTCTTATCGAATTCAATCACATCTTTGTGTGATTTGGTTACAAATTGTATTTCCATTTCTAACTAATATCATAATATGAGTGTTAATGTATTAATATCATAATATTATGATTAAGACATTAGCACTCATATTATAACATTAATTAGAAAAAATATTATGGCATAAAGGCGTTAACGCTCATATTATGACATTATTTAGAAATGGGAATACAATTGGTAAACAAATCCCAAAGAATGATTGAATTCGATAAGAAAATACTTTTATTAGTATCTTGATGACGTCAAGTCCAACTGCAATAATTGAATAAACTTAAAAAGTTTATAAAAAACTAAATTGTTTTTGTATGATCGTTCTGTGTTTTCCTTCCGCGATATGTTTAGTCAATGATATCGTTTTTCCCAAAACATTCCTTGCATAAAATCATTGTATGCAGAATAATAAACAAATTGTAACGAGATGTTGCATTTAAAGTATTTGATTAATGATTGCAATGTTTGTCTTCGCAATCAGAGACGGTTTATTTACTTTTTCCTTCAACGAGCAGACTAAACAAATAGAACATTTTTTTCGTTACTTAACATTGTCATTGACAAAACAACTCTTTCATATTCATAAAAATATCTGAGAGAATATTTAAGAAAATTCAAAATCATTCACTAAATGAAAGAAATTTATTTGCTCTTCAAATAAAAAACGAAACTCATCTTCTTCTCATAAAGATATAATTCTTCGGTTATAGCTTTAAGCTTTACGATTTGCAAATAGGATGAGAATAAAAAGCAAAATTACGACTTGAAAAGGTAGAACAAAAAGTTATAAAAAGCTTTTCGTAGAAATTTAAAAGCTGGATAGCAGTTGGAATTCAGTAGAAAATAAACAAATAGCTTCCTGTTTGTGATATAAAAATATCACCTTTTATTTGCTGTGGTGGGTAGTAAATTTAAATTTTTATATGATAGCATGGAATATGCAAATACGAGCGATAAATTGGTGCATTTGAATAAGGTCAAAAAATATATTTAGAAGTGCGATAAGAAATTTCTTACTAACTACTTAAAATTTGATGAGTAATTTCGATTATTGGAACCGCGTTGTAGTAAAGTGAGCAGACATTTATGACTTTCCTTGAAACCTTGGCAAACTGGAATCTTATCTTTTCAATTTTCTGAATAATTTTAAAATTCTCATGTACAATAATATGAAATCGTTTCCCAAAAATTAAATACTTAAAAATTTATTTGAGTGCTTACATTGATAAAAGAAATTTTCCTTTGATTTTTTTAATCCTTTTCCAATAACTTCGCCAATTAAAAGAAAATGAAAATTATGAACAAACATAAAATTCAGAAACTTTTCTCGTTATGATTGCTACTAACTTGTTGTTTATTGAAAATTTTTAAAGGAATTTCAATAATCTATTTACATGGCCAAAGCTTTTGTTTTTGAAAATGAAATTATAAACTTAATATTAGAAATGTAATTTAAGAATTATTTGTTTATGAATCATTGTGTAAAATGAACTCTTTGGTAAGTTTCAAACATTAATAAATCAAAAGGAATTTTTAATATAAACTTGAAGCTTGCAATAATTGCAATTCCGTTAGAGATTCGCTATAAAATAAACTCAATTTATAAAGAGAATTGTGGTTAAATCCAACCAAATAATTTTTCTTCTCTCTCAAATCAATAGCATTTTTATAAAAGTTCTTAGAAACCAAACGTTAACTAAAAAAATATCATTTCTTATGAATTTTGAAAGTCTTGTTGGAAACTAAAACATCTGGAGCTTGTTATTGATATTCATGTTCAACATTTTATTATGATGTGTTTGGTGTGAAATGAATGACATGTTAAGATTAATTTAAAGACGAAGGTTGTTCTTGATAAAGTTCATGGAATATGTCGAGAGAACATCAAACGGGGATCAAAATTCATCGATTATATCGTCAGAGATTTAATTGTCGTTCTAGCAAAATCGTTTCTTTTTTTATGAACTCTTCATTACTGATTTGCTTTTTTGCTTCATCTCAACGGTCGTGTACACATGAATGGAACTTAATTATGTGGAAAAGAGAGAATAACCAAAATTTGTGGCGTGTAAAAAGTTGAATTCCAAGAAAATCTATACAATTGGAAATCGTTTATTGCAACAACTTCACATTCACATGGACACTATCTTGATCTTCCAAGAAGCTTACGCAGATAAGTTAGTTTTACGCAATTCCATAATCACGAAAGTCAAGAGTCAAATTAATGAACACACAGAAAGGCAGACAGGTTCGTTCGAAGAATTTGGGTTAACAAATGTTAATGAATTATTTTTGGGATCCATCAAAAACGTAAGCAATGATTTGAGCTTTGATTGTCATAATACTCATAACTTATAACTCTGACATTAAAAATCTGCAAAACATTAATTATTATTTTTTGATTGAAATTGTCGTCATCATTAAATAAGTCTCGAGAATAAGGTTTACATAATTAAAAAAATCAAAGAATTCAATGGAGCGTGCTGAAGATGATTCTTATTTGATTTCAAAGAAACTTCAGTTGAAGAAATGAATGAATTTGAAACAAATGGAAACGAGAAGCTCATATAAAGAACAATTGCTTTAAAGGGGTAAAAAATATAGTTTAGAAACAATATCTAAATTTTAAATAATAAAATGAAGCTTCTTGGCGACGTCATAAGAAACAATAAATTCAAATTTTTCGCGAATTGAAGTTAACATCTTTCTCAGCGTGAGCCAAAAATGGGGGCACGATTAAGATTAATTTATTTTATATTTATGGCATTGTTGAATCGTTGTTGTTGTCTTGATTTCTTCTCCTTTTAAATTCATCCGCATTTCATGGAACTGAAAAGCCTTTGCGTTTCAGAAAAAAAAGACATTTCCATGAATCGTATACAAGAATTAATGACAAGCAGAGTTGAAGGAATGAAACAGATTTTATTTTAGCACAGCTGGTATGTATTTGAGGTTTTTCATAAATTCTTTTTTAAAAGATCTAAAAGTAAAGCAACATTGTTGCTTCTAGAGCTATTAAGCTAATCGAAAGACTTCCTAAATTCGATACATGTAAAAAGTCTTCTAATTTGTTTCACCTTCTAGTCATATTTTGTTTCAACTTTATTTTTTGAAACTGGTATAATTACGGCAACCGAACCTTAGAAAAATATTCATGAAAATCTCGCAAACTCATTAGGGCAGACATAATACAAGTTTCTTCCATTTTAGGGAGAAATTTCAAGAAAAATCTACTCCCAATTCGAAAAATTTGTAGACACTACTATTTTAATATAACCGCAAATCTACTTTTAAGTTGTTCGTGTTTTGCATGAACATCTGACATCCATCCATTTTCAGATTAAACATTATATTCCGAAGTAAATATCAAAAGTATTGTGTAACATTTTACGTTGCAAAATACAAATAATTAACAATATCTTATTAATGTAACCATGATAAAACGTGATGATGAAAAAAACGTCAAGTGAATTTTCTTCTAAGAAAATCAATATCAAATCTATCGAGAACTTCATCAATTTATTGATCGAATTACAACTCTTCTATTTAATATCATTTTCACTAAATATAATACACATTTTAATCAACGTTTTTTTTGTAGTCGCTAACGTTAGTACATTAAAAAATATTAAATAACACTTTTCAAGAGATTCCTAATAAAAATTATCCTCCTCATGTCCCAAGCACAAATTAATTTCCTATCCTTACGAAATGAATATTAATTACATACTTACATATGTTACAATTACTTTTCTTTTTATAATATTATGTAAATAATTAAAAGCTAAATATATTGAATTAATTGTATAAGCTCATATTCTCTCATAGAAGTGTCTGGCGCATCAATGTTCATAAGAAAACTATTTTTAAATTGAAGAGTTTAGCTCTTATTTGTACATCATATTTAAGAATTGAATAAACTTGAACTTTAATAAAGATAAAAATCAACCCCTTTCACATATTTGAGTAGGAATCACAGAAAAATCAAAATTATCATAAATAAAGCAGACAAACAAAAACATAAATTATTAACGCTTAAAATAGTTTGCGATTTTGATATCAGAAATATAAGCGTTGAATTGTTTTCATTTGAAGAATAGCGAACAACAAATGTTAAACATTTCTGATGAATATATTATGAGCAGATCGGGATATTTTGTCTACATTATGAAGAGAAACGTGATAATTGTGAAGAACTTATTGAAAGCCTATTTGAATGAGAATTATTTTAATTTTCTTTCATGAATCTTTTTTAATGCTTTACCATTAATTTTGCCTTCTTATTGGCATGTTCAGTACTTTTTTTTCATCCATTTCGAGACGATATTTCGCTTTGAAATTTCTTCGAAGATATTTCATTCTACCTTCAATGGGTTCCGAGAAATCAGCGTTGTTCGCTATACATTACATATTTATAGCTTTAGTATTTTGGATGTTATAATGAACTGTTTTCAAATCTTTAAAATCATGTTGCATGATAAGAATGAGTCAAATTTTGATATTTCGCGATGTTATTTTTAATAATTTATGGACGCTTTTGCGTAATATTGTAATAATGCGATTTAATTTCCTTTTGAAGTCCTTTGAAAATATTTAATGTTCATTTTACGAATCTTCTTATTTTTCAAATTGGGTCCCAGCTGTAATCTTTCTTTATTTGAGAGAAAAGGTTATTCATTTCGTAGAATGATAAAAAATGTGCAACAGGTTTTCAAAACGTTTTAATGTTACAATAATAGAAGCCTTTTTTATCAATCCCAAGAAAAAACACGCCAAAATTATATTTCTAAGTAAATTTTTTTTCCATAGAAATTGTAAACTTAATAATGATAAAGTAGTTCAAGAAAATCATTTGTGAAACAGAAAACTCAACAACAAATCGTTAGTTAACAATCAGTTTATCAAAAGCGTGATTTGTAACACATCAACTCCAGATTGATTATTTCTTTTTCAGGATGAATTTAATTTAATGTGGATTTGTATATTTCATTCCAAAGTAGAAGAGTTGCGAGTTATGGATAATAACAAGAAAAGTTGCAATAGTAAAGATTTACGTTTGCGCTAGATTAGATTAAGTTATGCATTATTCAGAGACATATCTCATATATTATGCATAAATGCAATGCGAAAGTGTCAATCAGGGTGCCAGTTTAGTTTTAAATTATCTCGTTCATTGAGTTTAAGCAGATTCAGCGCCAATTAAAATCAGTTTTTTTATACGTAGATAAAGAACATAAGATAAAAATTTTAAACTTACCCATGAGCCTCACAACCATTTGGATTGCTTCCATGAGGTTTTTTCCGGCATGTACCCATGAGGATAGTTTAATGTTGATTTCACTTGTGGGCTGATAATATTCGTTGTTCAGGAAACAATTTTTTTTTCACTAATAAACTTTTTCTCAAAATATTCAATGAGATAGCAACCTCTTCTCACACATCAAGAACCACACACTAAATGATCACAAAATTTCTCTAAAAAGTTTTTACATTAATTGAGGCGTGATTTCGTTTCATATAATTATAGTCATGATAACACTTCGGAGAATCCTCATATCAACCTGCAAATAATGAACAACAAAAATAAATTCAATATCTCGATTTCACTAAATTGTAAAATATGTACAATGTGTGTGTATACATAATGTAAACTTATAATCATGCCACAAAATTTGATATCCTTTAATGTATTAATCAATAAATTCACAGAATTACTTTACTTGTGAATTCATTCGTTTAAAACTTCTCGATAATTTTGTATTCTGCTTTACAAACGGAGTTCAGTAGCAGACAATTTTATTTTGTTTTCTTTTCTCTTTCTAAGAAATATATAAATTTCTATGGAATTCATGACGTTTAATTTCACATTGTGGCATGTAATTAGATAAAGATTTAATGATATTGTTGGTCAAATGTGAAACACTCTATTACCTTTAGTTAGTTGAAATTAGCAAATCTCCGATTAGAACTTTTACAGAAAACGTTACTTCAGAAAAATATATTTTACTCCCACCACTAAAATTTCCAAGAAAAACAATAATCGTAGTCGAAATAATTTTTTCCGATTTTTCGTTATTCAACTCTTTATTGATCCTTTTAAGAACTTGTATTGGATTATTTTTCACTTTACAAAGCCTTTGGTATTTCGAAATAAGCTCTTAAGAGATGATTTCTCGAATAATCCAATAAATTTATCTTTGATTAAGAGCAACTTTTTTACATGAAGAATTGAATATACGACTGTTGTGCCAATTTTCGAGTAACATATTTCGAAAATTAGCCCATCTAATTCAAAATCGTATTATCCGTTAAAAGTTTATGAAAAGAGAAATATTGAAAGCTTTAAATTATAATTTTATGTTTTATTTCTTATTACATTAATTCATAATCATCTTTCATCTCATTATATTCTAAAACATGTTGTCGAATCTTTGAAGCATCAACCCAAGTCACGAAATCTTCCATCGTTCTTGTTATCAGAAAAGCTGGATCTTTCACTACTTCAGCTCCAACTCGTACATGTCCGTGTTCAACAAGTTTTGAAGCGTTTTTAGTATTTTCTGACATTTTGTTCCGAACCATAACAATAGGCAAACGTCTACGGCAAAATGAACTTGCAGATATTTTGCTGGCGGCTTCCAGATCCCATTTCGTGGGAATTAATCCCAACACATATAATTTTTCCAGCAAAAGTGCACTAACTTCTGTTCTGAAAGGGTGATTTTTCTCAATATTTGCTATTTCTTCGGCAATCGATCTAATTTGTCGTGATAATGCGTTATATCTAAAAAAAACAGTTTTTATTAAAAATTTGTTTTTCACATCTCATTTATTTACTCTTACGTCGTATAGTCTTCTCTTTTGTGAATGTGATATTTTCTCATAACTTTCACTTCATGCAAGTTGTTATCGACTTTCCAATTAAGGAAATCGACCTTTTTTAGCAATTTTTGCTCATGAAATTTTAATTTACGAACCATGATTAATACACGAGGTTGATTGTTTATTTTTATTTGTTGACAAAGTGAATGTCAGTCAGACAAAACAAAAACACTACGATGTTCGAAAGACGTTAAAAAGTTTTTCGAAATAATGCCCCGCAGCGGGAAAGACATCAGAATATTTCGAGAATAGCAAATTTTTGATTAGACTTTTTAATTTTTTTAATATTTTGTTAACTGTTTATAATAAAAGTAAAATTTCATTATCGAGCAATACTTTAAATATCAGTAAATGGCTCAACCTTCAATATCTTCATTTTTCATCACTCGAAAGCGTGGTTTAGAGGATGATGCATTACAAGCAAAAAATAAAGTAGTTTGTTTAGAAAAGGCTTCCAATTCTACAGAAGAAAGTGATGATTCTGAAGAATTGAAAACCAAAGTTGTATTTCCTAAGGCATTCGATAGCAGCTCAACCGATGATGAACCTAAGAAAACGGTTACAAAGCCTGCAACCCGACAAGGCATTACTCCACAAAGAAGAACTCGATCGAAAAAGCTTCAAATGCAGGAAGTTGATGGTATTGAAACGGCTAAAGTTGTTAATTTCTGGAAAGGTGGAAATCTATCGCCCCAGAAAAAAATGAAGCAGCCTGAAAAGTCTTCTTTAACATCAGAACTTAATGAGAAGCTAATTAGACGAAAAATTGATAAAGAAATTCCGTCAGCATCTTCCCAAAATGAGCCAGTCGAAAAAATTCCGCTTCTTTCCACCAACAACATGAATTCAGAGAAAATAAAACAGAAATTGAAAAGTAGCTCAAAATTAACAGAATTAAAAACAAAAATAAACAAACTTCGTGATGGTTTGGACAAAATCGATCGCATGGAAGAAAAGCGGCTTGAAAATGCATCTTTGAAAGAAAAGAAAGAAGTGGAATCAACTGCAAAGACATTAAAGCCTTTCAAGTCAATTGAATTAGAGATTTTAAGGTATAAAAATTAGTTTTAGTTTAAAACAACATTGAGAATAACAATGAAAATTTATTTATTTTTAGCCCTAAAAAGCGTCTTTGTTCGCCATTCAAGCTGAAAGATTCTCCAATGAAGAACACTGTGATGGGATCTCCCAAGATAATCACTCCGAAGAGACTCTTCAGTCCAACAAAATCTATGACGAGTCCCTTAAAATCAAGTCCTATTAAAGCGCCAGCTTATCAACGTTTCCAAAATCTTGCTGAAGCCGGAACTCCAACTCTTCAACTTCCCTTTAAATATCGTTACTTGTTGGAAATATTCAAAGCTGTTGATACCATCTGTGCAATGTTTTTCAACAGGAAAGAGAAAATAACTTTCAAGAAAATGAAGCCAGCAGTTCAGCGAATTGTTCGAAAGAACTTTTATGAATCGCATCTTGCTCAAATTCACAAGCTCATGCCAAATGCTTTCAAGTTTGCTCAAGAAAAGACAAGAAATTTTGGATCAACTTCAAAACAAGATTATTATCAATTGGTAATCACACCGATTATTGGATCTCCAAAGGATGAAGTCATGCAACTAACGTTAAGTCCACAAATTCTCATTGAAAGAACAAAGAAAATGACAGAAATGCTAACCGAACTCGTATTTGTTGAGCATGAAAAGTTTTTGCAAGCTTTGGAGAATCCAATTAGCGTCACACGAGGAGCATTGAAACATTGGCATCCGGAATTCGATCTTGAAAATTGTCCGGATGTTGAACATGGAAATTTACCAAAGCCTCCAAATGAGGAAAAGTTTTCATCAGCAAACGCGATTCTAAGCACTGCTCGTAATCTTTTCCATTGCAGCACACCAATGGAGCGCGCTTTAGAAAGACTTGAAGCGAAGAAGAAAGAAGAGAAACCGAAACAACAACAGAACGAAGAACTTCAAGTTGCTAAAATGAAAGCAATACCAGATCGGGGTTTGGAAGAAGCAAAAGATGAAAAAAAGAAAATTTCTTCGGAAGACATTACAAGCTCACTTCTTAAAGGGGTTTCGAAATCTCTTCTTGACAAAATCAGAGCAAAACAAGCTGCTAAAGCTCTCGACACTATGACACGACGGCCAAGTCAAGAACGTGAAGCAGCAAAGTTTGCTTCCTTACCAGAAATCGCTAGACATGCTCGGAATATTTTCGTCACAGAAAAGAAAGGAGTTTTGCCACTTGAAATGTTGTCAAAGAAAATGCAGAACAGCTACAAAGCAACATCGACGCTGAAAGAAATCGAAGAGTTAATGAGAATCATTTCAAATGTTCTTCCCTTGTGGTTATCGTTTCATGAAATTCGTAACACGATGTTTGTCAAGCTAAATCGTGATTTTGACTTAAATGCTGTTATCAAAAAATTAGAAAAGCAAGCTGAAGAAAAATCAAAGATTCAATGAAATTCAAATTTATGACAAGTTTTTATTAATTTTTTACTTCTAAATTTTTTCTTCTCTTTTTCTTTTATTTCTTAGAATTTTTTTCCTCATTTTTACTTTCACATTTACTATCAACTTTTTCCATGCTCTTGCTAAAATTGTTATAGAAAAGTTTTTTTTGGATGATTTAATAAAAATAAATTAGTTTGAAGATGCTTTTTTTTTAAATGTATGCTCCGAGAATGCGAAGATGGAGCAGCCCTGGCTTTGTTTATGGTAACGAAAATAAATTTCATTTCAACCCTCACATTTATTTTTAATAACGCATATGGTCGTGTAAAATGATACCACCTGACCTTTGTTTTAGATCTAAACTAAGTAGAAATGTTTCTTTGATCTTTCAAGTGGCTGAATGAACAAAAGATAATTAACCCTTCATATTAAGGATCGGCGAATACAAAAAGCGCTTTTAATTTAAATTATTAAAATCATTCTAAACTTGAAAATAAACAATTTTGTAACGATTTCAATAATAAAACTGTGTTGATATTAAGATTCAAACTAATTGTATTATTTTTGTTACGTTATGTGTTTATTTGAAAACTTCTTCATTCGATTGCAGTTGATTAATTTATTTGTCTGACTTTCAGTGATGGTGAGAAATTTACAAACATTAAAAATAATTTTAAATTTAACATTTTTTCATTTCATAACTAGAATTGCGATAATTACGTGAATTTCTACAACTTCTCCTGTGACTATGAGACGCCTGAGACAACAAGAAAGCTAAACTTATATTTTTATCCTCGTGATAATTCCTTAGAACTTTATGACGTTGGATCGAAACGATTATTTCTCAAACGAACTGTAATCAGCGATGTTGCTCTCAGTGATATTTACATTGGAGCGAGACTTACAATTTATGGGAAGAATATCATGATCAGAGATTATGGAAATAGTGAGACGCGAAGATTGATGAATTGCATGAAGCAAAGGTAAGAAATTTTAATCATAATTATGAGGTAAAGTAGCTTAATTGACATGAATATTACAAAGAGCATTTCTCATGGTGATGCCTGAAGCTAAAAGACATGTTGGCGCAATTATCAGTTCATTAGAACGTCAAAAGCTTTTCATCAAACAACTGAAAATGTTGAAACTTCAAGCTTTGTCAGCTGTTCAGTTTTGCGAGTCTAAAACTTCTGACGAGAATTTATCTTTACTGATGGACAACATAACTTCAGGATATGTTGTTGTGATTGAAGTGCTGGGTGAAAATGCCATTGAACAACTCAAGAAGATTTGCGGACCTGACGAAGTTGACGATGCTAAAGCGAATTTTCCTTCATCTTTTCGAGCTCAATACGGAATTGATAACATTAAGTGTGGCGTTTTATATCCAAAAGATTCAATTTCTAATCAAAAAGACTTGGAATTTTTCTTCCCAAAGATAAACGATCGGTGGAAAGTTCAAGCAAATTTCCATCGATCGACACTTTGTCTGATCAAACCTCACGCAGTTAAAGAAGGAAAAATTGGTGAAATCCTAAAAATGATTGTTGAAAACAACTTTACAATAACAGCAATGAAAATGGTCCATTTAGATCGAAAACAAAGCGAAGAATTTTATGAAATCTACAAAGGGGTTGTTGGGGAATATCTTCAAATGGTGACACAACTTCAAAGCGGATCTTGTCTAGCAATTGAAATTCAAAGTGAAGATGATGAAGTGCAAGCGAAATTTCGTGCATTTTGTGGTCCTGGTAAATTCTAATAAATTTTATTTTTTAATTAAATTTATGAAAATATTTTCATCTTTACAGCTGATCCACTTGTTGGGAAAATTCTTCGCCCGCAAACACTTCGAGCTGCATTCGGAACAGATAAAGCGATGAATGCAGTGCATTGCACTGATTTGAGAGAAGACACAATGCTTGAGTTGGAATATTTCTTCAAATCCATCGAATAATTTAGAATCTTGTTTAGGAAATTTGTCAATAAATTGATTTTAAAAATGATTTTCGTCACTTTTTTGTTTCAATAATTAATTATGTGAACAACACAAAAGACCAAACCAACCATTGCCCATCGACATCTTACCACACAATGACAATCAATTGTTCGGTTGGCACTTCTGTACTTCGTTATTCTGAAGAGATGACACATTTCGTCATTCTCTATGTGCAAAATACTTGTATAGGTAATGGAGAGGAGAAAAGAAAATCTTTCGGCCTCATTATCGAGAAAAAAGAAATAAAATGAAGGGAAATGTATGCATCAATTCTCCCCCACATCATAATAACTCTCATGATGAATAATACCATCAAAAGGTAGGAAAAAAGTATTTAAAGGAGACACAGCAGATGAAACTTTCCGAGTTTTTATTTAACCGTTGAACAGAAAAGTTAGGAAAAGAGAAATTTGAATCAAAATGTGTTTCAATGTGAAGCTTTGAAAGCATTTGTGGAAGATGATTTGAAGTGCAATTGAAGGATACTCGGATTATGTAACAAGAAACATTAATTAAATATTGAAAAATTATTTGAATGAAAAATGTGACAAATTAAAACTTTTGAAGTTTTATTGTTATTAAAAGCTTGCTTTAATATTAGTTTAATTAAATGTTTTAAAAATAAAATTGAAAGCGTTCAATCTTGTTTCAAGAATAAAAATTTTTCTTTGTGTTAAAGCAAGGATAAATTTAATTGCGACATTTAAAATAAAAAATAAGTTTTAAGAAAAAAAAGAAAGTCGTTGTTAAAATTGAAAAGAACATCTTGACGTTTCTGTATTTAAACAAAATCCTTTAATGAAGCCATCTTTTACCCACTTCCACTCTGTCAAATCGTCTGCTGAGTTATCTGCCATTCTATTCATGAAATTTTTTACAACATCAGCGATTATTTCGCAAGATAAAGTGTTTGATACTTTCCTTCATTCATCCTCTCGTTTAGATTTTTACTTTAAGAAGGTAATCAATAATGATGCAGCAGCATACTCTGTAGACTACAAAACATCTTGACTTGAAAGATTCTCATTGATGGAATTCCTTCCCACTTAAGACATTCTCAACTTTTCTTCTTCTTTTTTTAACGTTAATTAAAATTCCTTTTTCGAGATTTTTTAACAATAGATAAGTGAAACAAGATTGAGATTATGTGATCTATAATAAGTTATAAACCAGCTGAAGATTATGACGTCACATCATTTGAAAAGTGAATGAATTAAAAGTTGAAAAGGATTGCACAAGGATTGACATAAATATGATCAAGTGAAGTTTTTTAATTACAGAGACAAAGTGATAAAAACTGTAATGAATGATTGAAGATTATTGACATAAATGTATAGGAAAAGTCAGGATAAACGTGTGAAAATGATCGAAACCTTATTTGTGCTGTTAACATTTCTAAGTTACATTGTAACTGGGGAGTATCAGTGAGTGTCATAATAAAACTATAAAGTGAGAAATCAATTTCAATCGTTTATAAATTAAAGACTATTTCATTGCCACCTGATGTCATTCAACATCCCTGCCACTTGTACTTAAGCTTCACTTCCACTCTTCACAGGAATTGATTTCTCAATGACTTTCGACTTATTTTAGTTTCTTTCTCATCAGCAGAAACTCGAGAAGTGATGAGAAAACTTCAAGTTAATATTCTTTTTCTCTTTTATTTTAATCATCTTGTCGTAGAACGGGTCTGACTTTTAATGATCTCCTACCCGAAAATGCCAAATCGTATGATAAAATGCGACCGCCAAAAAAAGATGGTCAAGCTACGACTGTTTTCTTTCATGTGACTGTCATGGGATTGGATTCGATTGATGAAACATCGATGGTGAGACAAACTTCAATTTTAAAATTGATTAAAAATTAATTAATTTCCAGACTTATGCTGCCGACATTTTCTTCGCTCAAACATGGAAAGATCATCGATTGAGACTGCCTGAAAATATGACATCAGAATATCGTTTGCTTGAAGTTGAATGGTTGAAAAATATGTGGCGACCTGACTCGTTCTTCAAAAACGCCAAATCAGTGACATTTCAAACAATGACAATTCCCAATCACTACATGTGGTTGTATAAAGACAAAACAATTCTTTACATGGTGAAACTTACGTTGAGATTGTCATGTGCTATGAATTTTATGATTTATCCTCATGATACTCAAGAATGTAAACTTCAAATGGAAAGTTGTGAGTTGAGATTAGTTTCTGAATGAATTTTATAGAATTGAAATAATTTTACATCTTTCAGTATCACATACAACTGCCGACATGATTTTTCAATGGTAAATTAATGAAAGTTTGTAAACTTTTTATTAGAAAATCTCCTGTTTCAGGGATCCTGACGTTCCACTTGTAGTTGACGAGAATATTGAGCTACCACAATTAGCATTAATTAAAAATTATACCGCCGATTGCACACAAGTGAGATTTGTCGTCAATTTCAAAATGTTCAGCAAAATTCATTTAATTAACTTTCAGGTTTATTCGACGGGTAATTTCACGTGTTTGGAAGTTGTTTTTGTGCTTAAAAGACGTCTAGGATATTATTTATTTCACACTTATATTCCAACATGTTTAATCGTCATAATGTCGGTAAGAAATGAAAATAATTTTAAGTTAAAAGTTTCATCCAAATCACGTGTTGAATTTTAGTGGGTTTCATTTTGGATAAAACCAGAAGCAGCTCCAGCTAGAGTCACACTTGGTGTCACATCTCTTCTCACATTATCAACACAACATGCAAAGTCGCAAGCAAGTCTACCGCCTGTCTCTTATCTCAAAGCAGTCGATGCTTTCATGTCTGTTTGTACAGTTTTTGTGTTCATGGCATTGATGGAATATTGTTTGGTGAACATTGTGCTAGGTACGTCATTGTCTAATATTTTCTATCAAAATATGTTTGAAATTTAAGAAAATAAAAAATCTTTAGGCGATAATCCAACACCGAAAATGAACGGACCACCAAAACCTCCACCTCCACCCCCGTCGGAACCGAAACTGGATAAAATATTGGAATATGCTTCAAAGTTTTCAAGAAACCCTTCAAAAGTAAGTTGAATACATTGATCTTTCTTGTAAAATGTTTTTAAATTCTGTTAATTGTCATCAGAATGGCAGACGTGACACAAGATGCAGTCAACAAGGCGAACTTACAGATTCGCCACATCCATACTTGAATCAAAAGAGAAATTACACATCTGAAAACTTAATCACCTTATCTGACATCCCACCAGCTCCACCACGACCAGTTTCAAAGATTACGCCAGCTCAAATCAGACTTCGCCGTGCTATTCATGTTGATAAATTTTCACGCGTTGCTTTTCCTCTCACTTTTGCTTTATTAAACTGCACATATTGGTACATGTTCTACGAATATATTTAAGATGATCTTAGCTGTTGATGTTGATTGAAAGCAATATTAAAAGTAGAAAATGTTCGTGTTAAACATTGCCAAGTAGATATTAAATTAGTCAAGAATTCTCATCTCAACTAGACGTTTGAATTTCCTGAAAAATATAAAAATAAATAAAACCTTCACTGAACTTCTTTTTAATTTTTTTTATTCCTTTTGTTTATCAAAGTTATAATTCATCAAAGATGGATTTTGATGTCGCTGACATTTTTCTTATCTCCAGAAAGCTTTCAATGTTTAGAATCGCAAGCGATGTGGATATTGATGGGATCTCAAAGCGAAATATGACTTCAAGTATTTGCTAACGAGAAGTCCTTGATTTGTTTTCTTCAATGATGCTCTCACCAATTTATCGACCTCAACTTGATCCTTCTTACGCTGTTCTGATGGTTGATATTTCTCTTCTTGCTTAGCGAAGATGTCACCTTCGGTCTTACGTGCCTTCTTCTTGTCGGCGCGTTTGAAATAAGCATCGTTGATGTGCTCGGGAATGGTGACGCCTTTCAAGTTAACGCGTGTCTTTGTGGCGATGACATAACGTTGGGAAATGCGACGCATTGGACAACTATTCAAATAGAATGGTCCATTGACCAGAAGTAATCCTGATTGAAGAACTTTCAACAACACAACACGTTTACCCTTATGACGACCAGCAAGGAGAACAAGCACTTTACCGGGTACTAATGTACGGCGGGTGAAACGAACATGTTTCTTGAAGTAGTTCTTAGTTGGTCGCTTTGTTACCTTTGCCTTGGTAGCGTAAGAAGCACGATTTTTTTGCACACGAACGATACGAGTTTTTCCGTTCTTTGCTCCACCAATTTGTTTCTCAACAGTCACCTTAACTTTAGATGGGGCTTTCTTGGTTACTGGGTTCTTTTTCTGTTCAGCTTTCACTGACTTCAAGCGGAAGGAGTTCTTATGAAGAATCTTATAGCGAGACCAACGAGTGATTCCACTTCCCAAATCGCGATTTTTGACAGTTTTGGCAACTTTCTTGCCTTTGGCTGCCTTTTTTGGTGCAGTCGGAGCCATCTAAATTATTCCGATTTCACGAGTCTAAAAAGTAGAGAAATATAATTGGAAATTAGTAAAAAAATATGATTTGTTTTGTGTTCCATAACCTGAAACGATTGAGAATATTTTTCCACGAAAACAATTGCAAAATATTTAGTGAACTGATTTAAATCGAAACAAACCTTTATGTTGCTTCAAGTAATTAGGATCTTAACTTTAAGTTAACATATATTTTAATATTGTTTAAGTGGAGGATCTGTTTTAATTTATTAAATTTAGTAAAATACTCACATGTCGAAAAGAAATTCGGATGAAAAGGAGGAGCCCTACAAATGTTTCAATAATTTCGATAAATTTAAATTTTCGAGAAGCGTTAATTTTTCAAAACAAACTTATTGCTAATTTTTAATATTCAATGAAATTTATTCATTTGCTTTTATTCTAAATATAAATATTCATGACTTTTTACAAATTATAGATTTTTTGTTTTAATTCAGGTCTATTCAGTTTGTCCATCAATAATAATAAATTTACTTTAATGTGAGAGGTGCAAAATAAGTTTAAGAAAAATTTTTATCTGAAAATTTGTAATTCCTCAGAATTACAAAATAAAAAAATACTTTGATTCATTAAACATTCACTAATTGTTATGGTGATTTTGTTGATTAAAACCTTGGTTAAAAAAGAGCGTTGCTATTTCCATATTCGGTAAATTGGGCACAAGTGGCAACGTTCCATTGTACTGTGGAAGGTTCAGGTTCTGAATATTTGGTTTTATATCAATATTGTGTGGTATTGGTGTTGATACCGGCGTATGTGAAGCTGATGATTGATGAGGTGAGGGTGATCGTAAGCTCATCACATCAGAGGACGTATCTTGATTCATCGTTATCTGACTCATCATCGATGAAGTCGATGGAATCATTTGTTGCAAAGGCATCATTTGTGTAATTCCACTCGTCACAATATTATTAACTGTTCTTCTTCTTGGTATCACCGGTTTAATAGGCAATGGATTCGTTCCTTGTTGCTGTTGAGCTTGATCGACACAATATCTTCTATTAACAAGATTCGAATTTGTATAACGACTTGGATTGTTCACACTAATACTTGAATAAGGACTTGGTTGACTGCCTTCAAAATGTCCTTGCATTCGTTGATGCTGTTTAAGTGCTGTGCCTTGAATAAACCGATCACCACAAACGGCACAAACGTACTGTTCATAGAAAAAAAAACTTTTAAACTTTTCTAATAAATTTCAAAATATTTTCCTTACAGGTTTCTCTCCTGTATGTCTTCTAATATGTAAAGTCAAATCATTCGATTGAGTAAAAGCTCGATCGCAATCTGAAAACGAGAAATGAAATAAAATATTTAAAAACTTTTCACACAGTTCAACATTCAACACTTACAGGTACATTGATAAGGACGGACGCCAGTATGTATTCTCATATGTCGAACAAGTTTATTAGATCTTGAAAAACCTTTACCGCATATCGTACACAAACACTATGAAAAATATTCATTTAATTAACATTTTTTCTTTCTTTTCACACTTCTGTGAAGCTTACCGGTTTTTCTCCTGTATGAGTTCTACGATGGCATTGAAGATCAGAAGATCTTGGAAAACCTAAAGAATCATGTTTAAGAATTTAATTAAATTAAAGGATTAAATTTCTTTGTTTACCTTTTTCACATAAGTCACACTTATAAGGCTTTTCTCCAGTATGTCGACGCATATGAACGATTAAATTCGATGAATTACTGAAGGCTCTACCGCAATAAATACATAGATGTTTATCCTCATCATCTCTGTTATCTTTATGAATTTTCATATGAGATCTCAAATTATCCTTTCGATTAAATTTCTTCTGACAAACAGGACATTCAAATTTCTTCTCCGAAGGATTGTGAGTTTTTCTGTGACGTTCAAGATGTTCTGATCTTGAGAAGGCTTTGCCACATAACTCACACGTATACATTTTGATCTTTTCTGTGCCTGGATGTTCATGTTCCATATGCTTTGCCATGGAATCCAACCACATAAACTTTTTATTGCAATGATTGCAATTAAACTTCTTTGATTTGTTTTCACATTGAGATTTGAGATGTTTGTGAAGTGTGTAAGTGTTGGGAAAAGATTTATTACAAACAATGCACTTGTCAATGAAGTTATCGAGTTCGTGAATGTGATCAGTTATCATATGATGAAATGAATCTCTGCTTCGATTGAAGGTTTTTGTACATTGTGTACAATTATAAAATAGCTTTGGAATTGCATTTTGATCGAGTGAAAGTTCGATTCGATCATCAGGTGGACCTGCCTCATTTTCGTCTTCCGTTTCTGAATCACTGAGTAACATTTCGTGACCATCACGAGTTAGAATTTGATAAAATTTGTCATGATCATTCTCATTTAATTTATTTCTCAAATATTGATGCAAATCTTGATTACTTGTCTTCTCCAGATCGACTTCCAATGGATTAAACAAAAATATTTTGTTTTTAACATCAACATCATCAAAGGAATTTGACATCAAATGATGATTTAAATGTGTTCGAAGTGTTGAGATACGTTGAAACTTTTTATCGCAAATTTTACAAATTGCATGAATGTGACTTGGTCGCGGCTTTTGATTTTTTTGTGGTTTATCAATGTCTTGACTGGTAGTTTCTTCATCATGCTCTTCCTTAAGATGATTTTTATAATCTGTACGTGTCACAAATGTCTCATCACAATATTCGCAATTCACAGATCGCTCATGTATAAGTAAATGTCGTCGAAGATGATCACTTTTTATAAATCCTAAAAAACATATAAAAATAAAATATTCTATTGTTGACATTGGGAATGAATGACTCACCACGATTGCAAATGTTGCATCTTTTAAGATTCTCGCCTGTATGAAGACGAATATGAAGATTTAAGCCTTTTTTGTCGACAAGCTTCTTATTACATATTTGACAAACATATTTTCCTTCTTCATCCTTGGTGTAATCGATGTTTTCAACGAGTCTTGGTGATATAAGCTGATTAAGATTCTTTTTTGTTTTCTCTTTTGGTGGCTTCATATCAGGATTCTCTTCACTAACTTCGCCATCTGATTCAGGTGAAACCAAATCTTCCGCAACATTTTGTGGATAAGAATTATTGTTGTATGCATCATTTTGTTGATTTGATGTATTTGAGTTTTCAGCATAATCAATTGCATCATCAAAATCACCATCGTCATCAATGAAAGGATCGGCATCGACAAATGCTATTTCTGTTTTGATTCCCATAAGATAATTTCCACTTCCATCATCAAACATCGATTCTTTTTTATGATTTGAATTTTCTTTGAACAACACGCTACGAAGTGTCGCATCACTTTGTTCTATCGTAGCTTTAAAGTTATAAGATAAATACGCTTTCTCAGTGCAGTCTTTGCAGAGTTTATCAGGAAGTCCATCATTACGCTCGAGCTGCGAGAAAATGAAAAAAATAAAAATAAACATAAAGTAATTTGAGAAGTTTAAAAGCTCGTTGCTCTTTACTGAATGTAAGTGATATTTTATATCTACAGTGTTCTAATAATCTAAAATATTGTCTACCTGAATATTTCCTGCAAATTGCGTTAAAACTTGATTAAGTGTTAATGCATCTGGATCTTGTTGTGAATTTGCAAATATCTCATGCATTTCATCTTCTGTTTCTATTAAACATGTTCGACACATTCTGCTGATATTAAAATCGCGCTTTATGTCTGATATTTCATCCATCTCAACTATTAATTACTTATTATTATTATTTTTTTAATTTTTAAAACTTCCATGAATGGAAGGTTGTGTCAATGTATTGGAAATTGAACTACCGAGTAAATTTTTTTTAAACAGGTTGTTGCAGAGTTAACTAGGTGACAAAAGTTAACGCTGTAACACGGAATTTTGTAATATGTTGCATGAAAAACTGAATTCGGTCTGCTTAGAAAACAATAGAACGACTGCGTTCAGAAATATATGTTGCGCCCTTTCATACCCTTAAATTTTTTTTTCGAGTACGTTCAGCTTGGAAGTTTTTCATAAAAAAACTTTAGTATATGAGCTTATATTAATGAGCTCAGTTCTGAGTGATTTAGACGGGAAAAACTTCGTAAGAAGGGCTCAAAATGACTTGAATTGACGTGGTATCATTGCCGAGAATCATCGATAAAGGTAAGAAGCATAAAAATGTGAATATAATAGTGAAAATTACTAAAAGAAGTGTGGCTCCAAGCGTTGATGTGAAAATTTTCTGAAAACTTGAAAATGCTTGAAAAGAGTTTTCCCTGTTGTCGGAAAAGGTTTTAATTCTAGTAATAATCATAAATGATTATCATAATAGTTTAGAATTTCATAAAAATGTGAAGTAAGTGCAAAAATGAGAGAAAAAAATATTTTTTTGCTAATCATCAGATTGATATCAAAAATATTTTTTATCGAGTCCTGAAATATAAACAGATTATAGATAACTGTAACATTGTATTGTATATCATATTAGCACATCATTTGTGCTGCCAGCTTAAATTAATTAGTGCATTATTAAGACGTAAATAACGTTTGCTACCAGCAAAAGTTTATAAAATATTCCAGTAGAGGTCGTTCAAAGCTTTTTTGGAACTATCTGTAAAGCAAATGGCTGGGAAGGAAAATTGAAAATTATGTCACATGTTGACGATTATATGTTGGAACAATCTAGAAAATTACTTTTTTCTTGCATGTGTGTAAGTTAAATTTAAATTGCTTTTATTAATTATGGGTTTTCCCCTAATTGATATTAATGTTTTCACATGTATATACCCTTTCATGTGACACCACTGATCGATAGTCTTTGTCGAGCACACGAGCCGATTTTCCCTCAGTTCACATAATGTACATCTTGGAACAAGATGTGTTAAATTTTTCGTGATCTGAGTATCGGGCGAAAATAGGCAGTTGAAAAAATGTCGATAAAAAGTGAATTAGTCTGAAAAAGTTATCCCAAATAGGTTTTAATTACCAAAAGAAAGTAATTGTGCTGAAATTTTAAAGTTAAATGCATTTTAATCAAACAAAAAAAAATTAAATTTTGTGTTCGGGTAATTTGATACATAAAAGAAAAATTGGATACTGTGAGAGTGTATGTGTCCACATATATTTACATATATACACGAAAAGTTGATGAAGTAAAACAAAAAAAATAGCAATTCTTTGCTGCAATTGTGTGTTGTTGGATTCATGAAAAAATATAGGGTATATATCATATTGAAATATATTTTTTATCAACTATGTAATATTTATAAGTATCACGAATCAAAGCCATTTCGTTTATCGTTGATCAAGGTGAAACAGCATTAAAACACTTTTATTTTGCCTGACGCGTCATGATTGCGAGTGTAAGCAGAGAATGAGTGTTTTTGAAAGAAAATATAAAATAATAAGCGGGTGAAATGTTAGTAGTCAAGCCTGAGTCTAGAATGTCATCATCTCGGTCATTATAATGTCACCGCCAAAAAATATTGAGCGAAAAAAATAAAATTCCAATAAACACCTTCTGCTCTATATCAAATATATATAAAAAAGAAATTACATAACATTCACAAATCCGCGAGTGTGTAGAAATATTAAAGCGATATTCTGACTTTGCGAGTTTCTTTTCTTCTTTTTATTATACTCGCATCATTTTAAAGGCATAAATTGAAACGAAAAGAAAAATAACATCGTATAATAAATAAGCAACGATGGCTCTAAGCAAAAAGAGTCACTCAAAGTTAGTTGAAAATAAAAGATTTTTAACATGAAAATAAGCAGAAATGTTGTAAGGATAGTAAAGAAGAAAGATCAACAAAAAGTTGATTGATTTTCTTTTTCTTTCATCATATCTGTGTATCTACAATTTTCAACTATTTACATTTAAAAAGTACTTCTTATTACATTACATTATTTATTTTTTACAAAATGGGTGAACTCATACAGCCAACAAAAAAAAAGCAGAGAAAAAAACTATTCGAGGCAGTCAAGCCAACCTTTTCAGCGTACTCGCAAATTTTATTTCTCTTTACTTCTTATGCTTCTATTCGCTTTTATTGCTCACGAATAATGCGTTTAATGAGGGAATGTTCGCTTGAGATTTTATTTTTCTAAATTCGGTTTGTAATATTAATCAAAAATTCGAGATTCATCAATTCTAATGAAACTTAGAAGAATAAAAGTTTTGAATATTTATATTTTTCAAACAAATTAGGCATTCTAAACACATTTTTCTTCCTTCTCCTTTTTTTCATCTCACAAAGTCACTCCAATGATTCAATAAGAAAAGAAAAAATTTTATTTTTCGATCACATTTACATTAATTTATTTTTTATGCCGATTGAAGCCAAGAATGTATAAAATTCGCATTTAACTACGATGCTAGCTCAAAAAAAGAAGAAAACTTTAGAGATGAATGTTGAAATATCTTTGTCGATGTGTTTGTGTGTGCAAAATTGACAACCGAAAGAGAGAAATAAAGAACGTAAATGCGTCTTAAGTAACACAAATAAAAAAAATCTCTTGAATTGAATGAACAATATAACTAATAGACTGTACCTTAATTCATTTCTTCTTCTTCGATCGCAAAGAAGTTTGAAAGTTTTTGTCATTGTTATGTAGCAAACATTCAATTTTTCTATAGCTTAATGCCAAGAAGGGGAGAATTTTTTTTCTTCTCTCGTTGTTTTGAAACAGCTTGGTATATCCACCGGTTGTTTCATCATTGGCAGTTTTAAAAGTTACCACAGGGTGAGCGTTAATAATAATAATATAAGTATGCAAGAAATCCACTCATGAATGAATTAGCTAGATGATTTTAACATGTTCTACGAGCTGTAACCGAAATACGTTTGTGTTCTTTCTTTCATCTTTTCTTTACATTTTATTTCGTAGAAATATGATTAAATTAATTCTCTCACTTCGTCTCACACATTCACCCCAACTTCTACTTACATTTCTTTATTTTGATGCAGGGACTGGAATTCGAAATAAAATTAAAACTTGAAGTTGTAAGAAATTAAAGTTTCTTCTTCTGATAGCATTTCGAATTGATTGAAAATTTACTTTAAAAACTTAAATTAGATTTGCGTGGTTCAATTAGTTCCTGTCCCTGTGTTAAAGTAAAACAGCAGTCGAGCAAGAAATTTTATTGAATGGTTGATTTGAAAGAAGTTAAAGAATAAGAAGATATTAAAATGAAGAAAAATATGGCTGAGAATACAAAAAGTAAGATGAAGAATACAAAAGAAAGAGAAAAAAATAGAAGAAAAACCAGAATAATCGTGGCAAACTATTTTATAACAACACGTTTCTTCATGCGTTTGTTGCTTGCTTTCAAACCAGGTTAAAATTTGAAACAACACAGTGTCAAAAACAACTGCAGTTTAATGGGAAATGTCGAAGTTGCTTTTCTTTTTAAAAAGAATCGGAAAAAAAGAAAAAGAAGAATGAAACGACCTAAGCTTTTCTCGAACCGTAAAGTAACCGTAATCAGCTTCCCATTTTTTACAATTGGAATTTATTGACTTTTTTTCTCGTTTTCTTATCATTTTGAACGATACTCGGCTTTGGTTTTTTAATGCTTGCAAGCTAACGTCTCATGTTACACACCGCATCGTAAACCACAAATCATTTTATTTTAGTTCACAATTTCTTAAATTTGTACTTCTTTTATATAAAAATCATATCAAGTGATTGTCGTGTGAATATATAAGAAAAAATATAATCCTGTACTGAATCTTATTTTGCAACTGGTTTTCTGTCTTTGCTCCTTTACACAAAGTCAAAAAATACATTATTTTTAATCGAATCTCTTGTTGTAGCTGTCGAGACTGAATAAATTTCAAAGCTTGTGATCTTACAAATAGAAGCGAAAGAAAAGGAGATAAAAAATGGCAAGGAATACATAAATAATTTATGAATGTTGATCATGTTGAATTTCTTTCTTGTTTGCTTTGATTTCTGAGCGAAACTCGTAAAAAAATGGAAAACTTCAGAGGGATGGATGAAATATTAATTTAAGAATTCAAAAGTTGTACGGTAGAAGAATGAAATTTGTTTGCTGCAAATCAATTGAATTAAGATAATTTCTCGGATTCTCAATGAATTTTGATAGGAATATATGATGATATAACAAGCATCGTATCAAGCAGTCATTAGTGTTAAGTGATGATGTAGTGACACACCTTCCTTACTTTCCTGGAATAGAGTAGCTTAACTGAAACGTGAGATGCCACTCTTATGGTTGGTTAATAGAAAAAACGAAAGAAAAGATGGATGGATGGGTTAGCCATACTTAGATGAGCTTTCATTTCAATGAAAATGATAATCATTCCTCGTGTGCATATCTCATTCAGTTTTACCGTCACACTCAGCCACACGATCATAATTTTTAATTAAAGATATTGCGCTACACTCGTCAGTTGTTTGAACTCTCATTGCGGTATGTGATGATGAAAACGATTTTTAATTATCATTTAATACTCTTTAAGAGTCAATTAAATTAAAGAGGAGAGAAGAGAAAGAAATGTTTCAGAATTTTAAATTGCTTTAAACGCCGTTTTCGAATATATTTTTCTACTTTCATTCCATCTTGGAACTGTAACTGAATCAGTTATGAATGTTAAACAAGTAAAATTTACGATTGCACCATAACAGAATTTTTTTTTTCATTTTTCAAGTGAATGATGATATCTTGAAGTTAAATAGTGATTATCATTGTAAAATCTTACGCAACAACGCAAAAATTGTTTCAGTTTCTAATGTTTACCTCCTCATGTCAAGATATTAATTCTGATGTGTTGTCGTCATGCATGTAGCAACATTCGTCTCGGAACTTCTTTTATTTTTTTATCATCATTGTGTAACTATTAAATATTTCTCAACTGTAGCTTGTTCATTGCTTGCTTTCACAAGCATCAAAATATTTACATTTTGCTCTGATAAAGTTCAGACATGAAATTTCGAGCACATCCCAATGACGATGGTAGGCGGACGAATAAAATAAATACACCACGTACTCATCTCTGATGCAAACAAGTTGCAAAGACATATCTAAATCGGGTCTTTGTGTAGTTTAGTGAGCTGGTGTTAACTTCCAGAAATAGACGGCACATGAGACTGACACTATTACGTAAGCGATTTCAGTAAACATTCGCTTAATATGTGTTTTATTTTCTTTCTCATGACTGCCATTCATCACATTGCCTCTGGGTGATCGTTCGCATATTCATACGCGACATAAAAAGCATCATCATCACTCGAAAGAACTCTTTCGTTACGCTCAATATCATCTTAGACTTATTGCTGGGGATTTTGCTAAATTCAGTTCACAAAAAGTAAAAGAAATGTCATGTCAACGAGATTTTAATTAGAATGAGAAAATTGACAGAAAAGTTAAAGATTTTCCAAGGATTTCCATAAACAACGAGTATTTGCGAATAAAAATATCTGTTTGCGAGTGATTTAAAAATAAATGCTTAAGTCTTTATAAAAAAAAGTCATGTCATGTGCTAGTGAAGACGCCACCGAACATGAAACGAAGCTTCACAAAGAGAATTGATAAGGATTTTTATTTTATATTTCGAGTAACGAACTGTTGTTGTGTTATATGAAAATAAAAGTAAAGCTCGCGTGAATATGATAAGATTTGTTGATTCTTATACATTGGAAGTGCTGGTGAAATCGCATTCATTCAGGGATTTAAAACATCTTTTTTGTTTGCTTTATTCACATTCTCAGTTACACCTTAAATTATTGAAAGTAATTGATTGCGATGGCAAGTGGCTTCAATTTTGTTTGGCGAAAGAACATTTTTGTGATATAGCGTGGGACGTTTAAATTTCGTAGTATCTTTTTTTATTTGACAAATTTCTTTTATCAGACGAAAAAAAAAATGGCGGCCAGTTTCACCCATCAACACAATAACCATAATAAACAACGCTGAGTCCACAGGGGAAAATATGAATTAAAAATAAATATTTATAGTCAGTGGATGGGGCGTAGGCGGCCGCTCTTTATGAGTGATTGAAATTGCCTTCAGCGTTTATTAATCGGCAACACACCATGATGATAAGGAAAATAAAGTAAAAACATTTATTTTTGAAGCGTATTTATGCAACGTTGGTGAATGTCGCTAATTTTATGACTTCATAAACCACAACTCGCCAACTTGACTGTGCTGATAAGAAAGTTTTCTTTTTCCCTTGTTCTGCTATTTAAAAGCAAAGTGACAAAATCATGAGACCGAGCGACATTTCATGTAAATACTTACCAAGAACAGTCTCGCACAGTAAAACATTTTCTATTGATTTTTTTTCTCTTATTCTTATTTAATTTCTTGTTTTCTTTTTAATTCCTGCTGTCGTATTCATGTTCTGCATTTGCAACATAAAAAATAGAAGAAAAAAAATAATACAGCGAAAATTTTATAGAAAAATTAAATGTCAGAATGTCTGCAATAGTTTCGAATAGAAAATTGGAGTTTATCTTGCTATTTTTTTTTTTAATTCATTTCAATTCATTGTTAATGTACAAACAGAGATAAGCATTAAATTGGTTTAACATATCGTTTGCACTTGCTATTCTCTTTCTTAAAAGACATCGTGGATGTCGATGACACCTGTTGTGATTTGACAAAAAGTCATTCATAAAACCCAGAAAGGTGTTCAGTTTGCAACTGTCAGCATAAATAAATCTCGGATGTCGGTTGAAGATGAACACGAAACAGACCGTAAACTGTTTCATGAAATGACATTAAAAGAAGTTCATGAAATCATAATGAAGTTGAGTTTGGTTGAAAGAATGTCGGTGAATCTTCAATTTAGACTTCCTCGTGTTTGTTTCTCTTCTTGTTGTGTTATGTAGAACGTTCATTTCTTTCTATCTTTACTTCTTTCTTTTCTACTTATCGAGGAAAGGGAAAAATTTCACTTCAACGAACTGAAAAGCGTCAACGAAGAAGAAAAAAAATTTGTGTAATCAGAAAGAAAAATTCTCGAAGCAAATTCACGCTGCTTGTGTGGGTGTAATGAAACAAACATTTGTATGGTTGATGATGAAATCTCTTGTGATGATAATATTTGTATTTTAGACTCTGTTTTAAGTGTGTATGTGCGCGTGCTACAAATTGTAGCAACGAAATATCACATTTTGAAATTTCTTCATGTTTTCTTTTCTTTCTTTTTTTTATCATCATCTTGTTGCTATTTTAATGACAGAATTTTATCTTGTGAAGAAAATTTCTTTTGTTGGGATGATCTCAAATTAATGTCTCTGATATATTTTTATTACCTGGTTTTAAAGTGAAAATTCCTAGTGACAAATTTTTATAAAATCATCGTTAAATTGGCCGCTCACAACTTTTTTATAACACAATTTGTAAATATTCACGACATAATATTCATCAAGTTAATGGATTGATATCAAATTGAAACCTTTTCGACGACTTCTCCTTTCATTTCTTTTTATTCTTGTTTGTTGTCGAACACAAATAGAAAAAAGTTTTTCTTATTCTCAGCGAGTTTTCTTTTTCCTTGCATCTCGAGAAAGAAAATTATTTCTTCGCCCCCCTTATGTCGTTCGTTGGGTGAAATGTTTTGGCGGAATCAAAAAATAAGCTTCACACTGACAAAAAAAAGATATCTCGCTATAAAGACTAAAAATGTTGCTGATGATACTTTATACGAACATTTGACAAGAACTCTGATCACAAATGATGTCACATTGAATAAATAATGAAAAGCTTTATGACATGGCTACAAAAACTTTTCAATCGGAAAAATGCTTTTCAATTGCAAATTTATTATCATTTTACAACCTTTTTTCCTCGCCATCCCGTCGCTACATTTTTCCATACGAACGATAGAATGAAGAAAGAAAATGAAAATCGTTCAATTTGGACGATTGTTTATGCAAGTTGTTGCTGTAATCGAAATGGATAAAAAAAGGTTTTTTGTGTGCTTCATGGTTGTGTAAGAAATCGCTGAATGTTAAATCCTTTTCTTCTTCTTTGTTCTACTGCTGCTGCTGCTTCTCTGTTATGGTATCAAACGCGCATGATCATTGTAACAATTTCTCTCTCCCCATAAAAAATTGTTTTTCTTTCGTTAAATTCGTCTATGCTTGTATATTTTCTCTGCTCAACTATTTTTTTCGCCTCCTCGTTCCCGAGACTATGTGAAAAATAAAGCTAGAAAAGTTGTTCGCTCTCTCCATTCGCGTGTCGTGCATGAAAAAAGCCAGTTGAATACGGAACAAAGTTCTCGTCTACAGGAAAAAAATATAAAAAGTTCTTGTGAAAGCTTAATGTGAAGGACTTTTGAGCTATTTAGATAAAGCTTGTGAAAATATTATTGTAAAATTTTCAAAAAGCGATAATTTTGGCCTTAATTCATATATTAACCTGAACACAATCGAATTCGTGCAATATTTTTTCATTTTTCTTTTTTGTTCCTGTGGTGTGAAAGAGAGATAGAGTATGAGAAAAAGAGAAAAGCTGTAGATGGAAATAAGAAGAAGAAATCCTGGGGACTGTCTGCGAATGAAATGAAATTTATGAGATGTCACATGAGAATCTTGCAACAGCGACTTTTGCTGGTGACTAAAACCAAAACCTTTAAAACACGATGAAGTAAAAAAATATTGTTTGCTGTTTTTGATGCTATGAAGTGGAAATATCCTTCATTTTATTATCCTTGAACTTTTCGAGGACAAATATGAAATTTCACACACTCATTTAAACTATCAACATCAATAACTTATTGCACTCTACTAATCGCCATTTTTCTTCTATTTCAGAATTTTTCATTTGAAGCAGAAGAAGAAAAAAACAAAAATTGTTCATTTGAAGAAGTAAAAAAGTGTACAAAACAAAAAAAAAACAATTAAAGATTTTATACAGAAAAGTAAAAAAAAAAATTAAAAAAAACAATCGAGAGTGGAGACATAACAAAGTGATTGTGAGAAGTCCCATCTGACGAAGAAAGCCAACATCGCTCTCTGTGTTCCCTAGGATCATCACAAGAGAAGAGGAGTAAGAAGAATACAACACAGGATAATCTTAATATTGAACCAAAAGATTTTAAAAGAAAAAAAACTGTAAGGGTTTGGAAAACCGCCGATGAACATTTCATTTTTTTTTCTCTCCGCGTATCTCTACGACTAATAAGATTCGTTAGTGGTGGCTCAATGATATAGAAGAAAGAAAGAAGAAAAATATTGCCTTCGTACAAATTAAAAAGAAAAACTTATTAATATAAACATTGAAAGAGATTATCAAAATAGCAGAAGAAAAATAATCACAAAAGAATTTTTTTTTCAAAATTTGATTAAGCGACGAAGAAAACTTTGTTTTTATTTGTCGAGAGAGAAAGAAGCTTTAATTGAATTTTCCATTTTTCACGACATTAAAGAGAAAGAATCGCGCGCGACCCGCTGTAAACAGCACTGTGAAAGCCGATTTGAAAAATCTTTATATTTATACTAACTAACGACTTGAGAAAAGCATACCAAGTACAGATTAAACCATAATTATAATTAACGGTTAAGGGAAGACAACAGAAGTAAAAAAGATCATTTAATTTTTGATATAAAAAGAAAAACCAAGCCCTCGTAATTCCTAAGTTTAAATATCGAAACATTTCATAGTGAGAATCGAACTCTTTGTGAAAACAAAACGAAAGTAAAAGAAATTCTCTCGCATTCAATCAAGCTTAAGGATTAGAAGAATAGAAAAGGCAGAAAGATATTTTTGTAGTAAGACTAGTGAGCATTCATTCTGCGTGTGCCACATTTCTCCTTAATAAACAAAAAAAATTAAATTAGTAAACAAAGCGAAAAAGAACCACCAAGTAAACAACTGAAACCCCTCAAGACGACAAAAATCTTTATACATTTCCGTTGTGTAACAGAAGCCGCTTGGACATCTCTTTGGTTGTTTCTCTCGCTTAATCAAAATAGCGATCGAGACGAAGCCATTATAAATTAATTCCAAAAAAAATATTTAGAAAAAAGCTTATAGTAAACCTCACCGTTGAGCCGATAAAGTACACGACACTCATAACTCTCTTTCTCTCTCTCTATCTGTTATTCTCTCTTTCTCTCTTCCCACTACGAGTTGTGTAAGTGCGAATTGGGATTAAGCATAGATATCTCCAGAACGGGTGCATAATATTTTATAAGAAAGAATTACAAGCTAAACATAATCATTAAACAACAACAAGATTTAAGCTGAAAAAAAAAACAAAGAATCATTATTAAATGTTTAAAAGAAAAAGTAATTAACTGAATTATAATCAAAAAAGTGCATAAAAATTCCTATTAATTGTTAAATGAGATTTTTTTTGTCGTCATTAGTTGAAGACAAAAGAGGGAATAAGAACAGAAGTCAAACATTTTACGATTAAGGGAATATTTAAAGAAAGTTTAGACGTATTCTGCCTATTGCCTGTGAAGTTAAGAGAAAATAAATATTAACGAGTAGTTGAGAGTGATCTTTTGAAGCCACGAGACAATTAATGAGAATTCCTTATTATATTTGAAGAATAAAAAAGTGAATAAGTGTTTAGAAAGATTTAAAAAGAATTTTAGAAGCTAGCAAATAATTAACAACGGTACATTAACGAAACAAAGAGTTTAAAAAAGAGAAGAAGCAGGAAAATAATTAAATTTTCAAGTCATACATAAAATATTTTTAACAGGATTGTTTGTTCGCGTGAATCAAAATCATTGCAACAATTGTTTTGTGTTACAAACTAAACAAGGCAGCAACTTCCAGTCGCCGATTTTCACGACAAACAAATAATTCATCTCAAAGAAGATAAAAAATAAAATTTTCTTTACATTAAGAAAAATCTGTGAGCAGACGAAAAACAATAAGCGAACTTAAAGAAAACACATCCAAAACTACATTTATATTATCACATACACAATTTTTTGTCTCTTTCTGTTGTTGCCAAATGCAATTAGAAGAATAACAAAAATTTTCTTTCTCATCTCCAAAAACAAATATTAAGAAAAATTTAAATTCAACTTTTTCCCACTTTCATTCTCTGATGTTCTTTCATTGAAAGTATCGAGAAGATTAGTAAGAAAATTAAAATTAAAAAAAAGAAAACATTGTTCATACGAAACCAAATCCTTATATGTCCTTATGAGATAAAATGTTGATGTAATATGGTTGTGATCAGAAAATAATATTTTTAATTGAGGTAACGAGTAAAATAATAATTCTAATTAAAAAAGAAAAGGTATCGTAAACAATTTTTGAATATTAAGGTAATATAAAACATAAATTAAATTCTAAGGTATATAAGCTATAAAGTAGACTCTAAGAGGCAAAAAAAGGATATCGTTAGACATTACAATTTTTTAATCGCTTAAGTTTAACAAAGTGGATGATTCACTTTATTCTAAGTCTTCTGAAAAAAAATTCTGTGTCTAAGCAAAGGAAAAAAACCAATTTCTAAGTAAATATTACTTTTATCTCGCCTCAGAGCAAAAAGTTTTATTGACTAACAATTAAACCAGTTTAGTTACATTTGATTATTTGTCATTAATAAGTCGATTTAAGGGTTTCGAACCATTCAACATTTTTTTAAAAAACAAAGCCTGTGAAGCTTCTGAAGAGCTTCGAAAAAAATTTGTGTCTCTTTCGTGTGTTAGCCTAAAGTAAAAGTTTTTGACGAAACAAAAGTTTCATTTCTACTGAATATTTAGTTGAATTCCAAAAAGAAAAACTACAAAATAACATTTTAAGTCCAATTTTTAGCTTTTACAAAGTGCTATAAACTTGCGCTGCTTTTCCGTGTTTGAAGTCATTTGTTTTCTAGTAATTAAAATCTCGTTTTTAGCAAATAATTTAACTCCTTTCTTGTTTGTGTTTTTATCTCATTTATTTTAGAGATTGAACGTGTGCTCAATCTCATTAGAAATAATAAATAAAAGAAATATCCAGCCACCAAGCGCCCCCAAAAAAGAAGATAACTCATTAAATTTACTTTGATAATTCTTCTAAACTGTTATAACTTTTTTTATTTTTCGTATTTAGGGAATTAAAGAAAACCATTACGACTTTATAACGAGTTCCATTTGCCAATCAAAATCAATCAAAAAGTAAAAAGAAGTTTAGTAAACATTGCATAACATTTAAGTGAATTTTAATTGAGACTTGACTTACAAAAATATAACAAAAAAGAAAGCTAAATAAGAAGAAATTAAATTATATCAAAGAACTTTACCATTTTTCTAATCAAACACATTCGATATTGAAAAAAAAACAAAAAAAACTTTAAATTCAATTTTATATTAAAAAAAAGCGATTTTTCTTAATCATTCTTATCTTCTTGTTGTGCGTAAGTTTTAAGGTTTGAAAAAGGAAACCACAAAGCCAATTTCTATTTTTGGTGTGATTTGTTTGAAAAGCAAATAAAAAAGAATTTGGTGAAAAAATTTTGTCCTTGATTGTAAGTGAAAACAATTGAAAGTCTTTAGAAATTTTGAATAAATATAATTGTTTTCGTGGGAGTGAATTTAAAAGTTGTCTTGAAAAGAAAGCAAAAACATTTCTTAAACCCATAAAAACTTTTTTATTTAAGTCTTAAAAGAGCGCCCAATTTAGATTGATAAGCCCAAAAAAAATCTGTGATAAAGCTCGATTGAGACTCTGTCCCAAGAGTAAACTTAAGGCAAGAGAAATTAGACAATTTAAGACGGAACGTACACAGACACAAAGCTAATAAGAAGTAAAAGATTTAAAAATATATTTTAAGGTGTTTTTGACTAATTAAAACGACCCAGCCGATCGACATAACTGATAAGGAACCAACAAAAACGAGTAATTCATTATTAATCACTCCCACTCTCAATTTACAGTAATAAAAGAAAATCAAGAAAATAATCCAGTCCCTCAAATAACAAATTTTAAAACTGATTCTAATCATTTAGAATACTTTGACTAAAAAGCTGCATACAATAATTAATTAAGAAAAGTGAATCGTAGAAGTAATAATAATAAGAATAATATTAATAATAATAATATTGATAGTAATAGTTGAAGTGAAAGAAATAGTCACAAAACCTTTGAAGCACATCATAAACACATTTAAATCGCTCACCAATTCAAATTCGTTTTATCGTTTATGTGAAACGAAGGAAGAACACAAAAAAAGTCCATAAGAGTAGCAAATTAAGTGTGTTAAACATTCAACAACGCAAGTATATTCCCACTCGAAACATACAAATTATCTTCTAAATCATAAGTTAAATATAACCATTTATTGTATGCTTTTCTTCAGAGAAAAGCCATTGAAAGTTCTCAATTAAAAAACTTCCTCAAATCTTTATTTAGTGCATAATACAATCACAGGTTCAAAAAAAAAAGTTAAACTTACCACATCATTGTTCAGCTGATTTTCTGAATTCAGGAGAAGTTTTTTCTTTTCTAAATTTTTTTTCGAAATATCTCGATATAAAATCCTTGATATTTTTTGATAACAAATAATTAAAGTAATTAAAATAATTTCAAATTCGATAACAAGGAAAATAAAAAGAGAGAGAAAACTTCAATACAGAGATACTGTGATAATTTTTTTCGAATTAAGGTGAGAAGAAAATTTGTAGCTCTTAAGCTTCGAAAGAAGAAGATTAAAATATTTAATTGATAAGACATACAACAAAACCTCTCGCGTGTTGAGGCAAAAGAGAGTTGACGATAATTATCAAAGAAATACGTTTAAATAAAATTATTGTGCATTCTCTCTGTGTGACACCTAATTAAGACTTACTTTCAGATCATTATCGTGTTTATTAAATAGATTCCTTTAAAGCTCTCATCAATAAAGAGACGAATCAATTTTTTATCTATGAAAAATAGAAATATTAAGTTAGAAAAAAGAAAATAAAACGAGTCAAATCAAGTGAAGATTTTTAATAAGAAGGAAGGAAGAAAAATAATAAATCTGTGAATATATGCCTATATTGAGAACATACAACCATTTAATGCAAAAAACACAACTAAAATATTGAAAAAAATCGTAACCTTTTAAGTGAAGAAAAATTTAAAACTTTTTAATGTGTATTGAAGATTTTTAGTGTCGTAAGAGTTACAAAAAGAAAGTAGCAACACGCAGCCCAAGAAATTCGTCAAGTTTCCCCAAAATCTCCTCTTGTTCTTTTTCAAAAGGAATAAAAAGGAGAAATCATTAAGCTTAAAGACGAAAAGTAAATTAGAAATTAAAACAAGAAAAAGAAAAAAAAATACGTCGTTAGTCTGCTTATATCTGTGGTTTTTGATAAACATAATTGATGCTAAACTATTATTAACTAATTATACTTCAAATATATTCTTACAAGGGTGTCAGAAGAAAGTTCTATATATTTTAGAAATTTAAGGGTGAAAAAACAAAAGAAAAATCTAAATTTTTAGCGTCTTAAAATAAAATATTAAAAAATCGTAGGTCATTAGGGTGCAAAAGAAAGGAGAAGCAAAAGTAAACAGATTGTACTAAAAAACTTTGTATATTAAACAAACTATGTGTTCCACAAAAACGACTTATTGTTAAAGAAATCTTTTTGAATATTACAAAAAAAAAAACATTAAAAGTGTATAAGAATATTCTAATACACAAAGAACTTTTTGTCTCGTAAGTTAAAAAACTTAAATTAATTTTCTTCGAAATAAGCAAATCTATCCATTGCCAGTTGTCAAAGGTGCGAAATTAAATCGATCTAAAATTAAAAAAAAGAGTTATTGACAAACTTGTACTGAAGATATTTTTTGTTTGTTTGATTAAACAAGAAAATTAAGCGATAAAAAAGCGTTGAGTTTGCCTAATCATTGCTGGTATTTTTGCTCTACCTTATTATTGTAATAACAATTAATATTTGCATACATTGCATAAATCACGGTCTCTTATCAACAAATTACGTTTGACTTTATAGTTTTAAAGAAAAGTCTTTTTTATTAATCTTTCATAGGATATATAAAAACGACAAATATTTAATTTAATTATAACAATTTCCAAAACTTTGTTTCCTCAAATTAAAAGAAAGTCTCGTTTTAATTTAATTTAATTTAATTCTATTTAACTATTGTTTTTAATATAAATTAATTTCATCAACTCGTAAGAAAGGTGAAAGAAAAAATCTGCAAAGATTAGAATTTAATAAGCAAAGATAAACAAAACGGCCACATAAAGTAGTTTTAATTAACGAAAAAAAATCACAAAGTTGATGAATAAGTTGATGAAAAATTCTATTGGTGCTTTTCCAAATATGTCGATGATGATGACGACGATGTTTAATCAGTTAAGTGACTTAGATATAAGCCAACAATTTGGATTCATAAATCAGGAAAATAATAATCAAACACAAATATTGATGAACATCATGATGATGAATAATTTTTCTAAATATTTTGATGTCTTTTTGATGATGCAAAACAATGCACATAATGATGATGATGATGATGATGCTAATCCAATAAATTTCAATGTGTTGATGTTTGTTGATGAAAAAGTTTTACTGATCGATATTAAAGATAATGATTTGCTTAAAACTATTGAAGACATTGTAGCAGTTGCCATTATTAAGACGGCTAAAGATTTCTCGAAAGGGACGGTTTTGTTAACGATGATCAATGTGAACATTCCATTGCTCAAAACTGGCCACATATTGATGATCGTTGACCATCCGGTTATGATTAACGATGATGGTGCTCTCAGTGTCACAAGCGATAATAATTTCATAATGATTAAACAAACACTGATGGCAATATTAAATATAGATTTTCATAAGAATTATTCAAAAATGATGATCATGATAAAGAAAATAATTCAAAATATAAACAGCAACAATAAAAAGCTTACCAATAATTGTAAAATTGAAATTAACACTGAAAACATCAATTTTTCTTATTATTGTGATGATGGATATTATGAAATAATATTTAATGTGAATGTATTTTTATCCCAAAAACTTGACATTATTGCGCAAAATATTGGTAGCGTCATGTTAATGATGACGATTTACCAGCTGCAATCTCATTTAATTCAAAGCTTTATAGTTAATGAAAATGATGATGATGATGATGATGATGATTATGATGATGATGAAAAGAATGACGATATAAAAATCGTCACATTTATTGAACCTACTTCTACTACTTCTCAATCCAACACGAACAAGTCTGAATACGCTTTTGAGAGAACACTTAATAATTTTAATGATGATGCTAATGTATCTAATGTTAAGATTAAAATAATTAGTTTTAAGTTAATGATGATGGAATCTACATCTAAGCTCTTCTCCTTCATGCAGTGTTGGTGTCCTTTGTTCGATGAAATGATAACGACAATGTTGACGACGATCAATGAATGCAGACAACAAAATCAACAACAAAAGCAGCAGCAGCAACAAATAAAACAACAACAACCGAAACAAAAGCAGCAGTCAGATAATGATTACATTAGCAGCAATGACGATGATGACACAGGCTATATGATGATATCAAATGAAATGCAATTAAAATGTCAAAAATCATTGTTACAATCGTTTAAAGAGTCTGATCAACAATCAGGGATTGTATCCAATAATAGCTGTAATACTATTACTAAAGTAATTATTTCTAATTATAAAACTGGTGATCGTAATACGGTCGTGATGAATGATGATGAAAAAGATATCAAGACGGAAATGATTGATGATTTGACGACAATTGAACACAGCAAAAACATTAACATCAACAACAAAAGCATGCAACCAGAAGTTGACGGTGATCAACCGAAGAATATCAGTGAATTAATATTCAGCCATATAATTGATAAGAATGAAACATTAATTGTTATTAATGCTGATAATACTGTGAATATTACATGTGATTTCAATTACCTGAATTATAAAATTAAACATAAGATTAATGACCAAATTCATAAGGATAAAGATAGCGTTAAGGACAAAAATTGCTACAGTAACTCATTAACAAAAAAATATGAAAATGAATCAAACATCAACAATGAGAGCATTGTTGAATCCACTACCACAATCAACAATAGCAACAAAAACATAAATACATCATCATTAGTTGATAAGAAGAAGTCGTCATGCCACCAACACATCGTTCCATCCACTGTTAAGCAATTTACTTCAATTGATGAGATGATTGAGTGCCAAGATCGTGAAAGAGAAATTATCCGACAATTTGAAGTGAGTGGAAGACGTTTGCGTTTATGTGGAGGTGTTGAAGGTTCTTTGAGTGGTGCAAGTGGATGGGGATCGCCACCATCTAATGCATCATCAAATAACAATGCCAATAACAACCCGAATGCTGGCCAGTGGGGTGCAACTGCTCAACAAACACCTCAACAGAACTGGAATCAAGCTGCCCAACAAGCTGGTGCAAGTTCAGCTTCATCGCAATCTCAACAAGGTCAACAACCGAATCCTGGCGCTCAAGGACAATCACAACAACAACCAGGACAAGCACAAAACCCAAAACCCTTAACACCAGGCGGTCCTTCTGGTGGATGGAATCAACCACCACAAGCTCAAATTCCAAATCCTGTACAACAGCAGCAGCAAATCCAAGCACAACAAGTTCCTGGCAATGGTGGACAAGGAATAATTGGTGGTGGAACATCAGCTGTAGCTGCCAAAAACCAATTGGAACAATTGAACTCAATGCGTGAAGCTTTGTTCGCTCAAGATGGTTGGGGATGTCAGAATGTCAATCAAGACACAAACTGGGATGTTCCAGGTTCACCTGAACCTGGCCCAAGAACTGGCGATCCAGCTGCAGCAACGCAATGGAAAAGTCATACAATCAACAATGGTACTGAATTATGGGAGGCTAATTTGCGTAATGGTGGACAACCACCACCACAACCTGTTCAAAAGACCCCATGGAATCATACACCAACATCTAATATTGGTGGAACCTGGGGTGAAGATGATGATGGCAATGGTGATAATAGTGTTTGGGCTGGCAATCAAAATCAGCAAGCTCCAGGATGGAATCAAGGTAGCGGTGCTAGTGCAAATGCGGGAGCAGCAAGTGCTACTGCAATGTGGCCAGCAACACCAGGTAAGATTCGCTCATAATAAATATTTCAAAAATGTTTTTAAAATCCTTAAATGGTTATAATTTAAGGTTGATTTTCGAAAGAAAAAGATATTTTCGAAATGAAAAATATCGAAAGAATTCTTTAAATTAATCAGTTTTATTTATGAATTTCAGGTGTTGGTGGTGTAAATGCCAATATTCCGAAAAAAGAAAATGAATGGGGTGGAGCTGGTGGTCCAGGAGCTTCTTCCAACTGGGGTGATCCACGTGAAGCAATGCGTGCAAACGCTGATACTGGTGCGGGACCAATTGATATTCGTAACATTGATCCACGTGATCCTAGAGCACCAGGAAGCGTTGACATGAGAATGATGGAACAAAGAGAAATGCAGGGAAATGTCCGTGGTGTGACAGGAAGATTGAATGGATCGACTGATATGTGGCAGCATGGTGGAATGGGCGGTCATGGGGGTCAAGTGCCTGGAATGAATAAGACTGTGGGGCCAGGAGCGGCTGCAGTTAATAATCCTCATTGGCCCGGATCTCTAGTCGGTAGACCAAAAGACATTGACATGAACAAACCAGGTTGGGGTGATGCATCACCTCCAGCTGCTCGTCGTCCTATGGGCGCTGATGACGGAACATCACTATGGGGATCTCAAAGCCGTGGTCCAGGAGGCGGCGTAGAATCAAATTGGAAAGGTGTTCAAGATCCAAGAAACAGCTTTGTTGGTCGCAATCCAATAGGTGGTGGTGGTGGTGCTGGCAATGCAGGTCCAGGATTCCCACCAAATCGTTTACCAGGTGGAGGTGGTGGTATGAAACCTGATGGTATGTATTCTGAAGTTATTAAAACATTAAGAAATTAAAATTTTTAATTTATTCTTTAGGAAATACTTGGGGAGGCTTGCATCCAGGTGGCGCTCGCAACACTTGGGATGATCCGCATACACCAAATTGGGAAGACAAATCACATTTGGGTGGTAGTGGAATAACACCATGGAATGAAGCACCGAATGCAAATCCAATGTGGAATAAGAACAAGCCATCATGGCCTGATAACAGTGACATTACTAATGATTGGTCTCAAACAAATAAATTGGGCAATGTATCGAGTGAAATCATTCGAAGCTCCAAGCAATTCCGTATTCTTGTTGAAAGTGGATTTAAAAAAGACGACGCTGAAATAGCATTGCGCACAACAAACATGAACATTGATGAAGCTATGGAATTGTTACAACAGCAAAGGAATAATTCAGCCATTGAGCCATGGCATCATGGAGCTGGTGGCGGTGCTTTTGATCATTCACCATTCCCTGGCAATCGTTATCCGGGACCACAAACGATGCCATTCCCACCGAACAATCAAAAATTGCCAAATTCAAGTGGCGCCGGTCCAGGTGCAAATCTTGGCGGTGGTCTCAATAATTTACCAATGCAATTGAATAAGCATTTACCACATCAAGCTGGAACACCAGCATTTACTCAACAGGCAGCAGCAGCAGCAGCTAGTCAAAGTGGAGCTGGCGGGCAACCGTCATCACATCACTTGCGCAACTTAGTACTACAAATCCAAAAGGCTGTACAAGCTGGCTATTTAAATCATCAGATATTAAATCAACCGCTCGCTCCACAAACACTCCAATTACTCAATTCATTATTGAATACAATCCAACAATTGCAATATACACAACAAAGCATTCAACGTAATGGTGGCGTTAACAGTATTCAAGCTCAGATGACGATGCAGAAGCAAAAGCAGCAGATTTCACAATTGCAATCTCAAATCGCACAACAGCAATCGCTTTATATAAAGACACAAGCAGCAGGTGGCGGAAGTGGTGGTGGTGGAGGCGGCGCTGGTGGACTTGGCGGTGGAAATGATTTCCTGCGTCAAAACAGCGCCAGTAACATGGGAATGGGAGTTGGTAATCATAATGATACAATTGTATCACTTGGTGATAATTTAGCTGGATTGGGATTGAAACAAGAACCAACACCTTATACATCCAATACAACTAGTCAACAGTCACGCTTGAATCAATGGAAATTGCCATCATCTGCTTTAGATAATAAAGCTGGTGAGCCAGATTTCTCGCGTGCACCTGGAACAACATCAAAGCAATCTCTGCCACCGACAACGCCAACATCGATCAGCTCAATTGGTATTCACAATGACGCAAGTACATGGTCATCTGGTCGTAATGATGCTGGTGGTTGGCCTGACTCAACTATCGAAACAGAGAATAAAGATTGGCCATCAAGCAACCAATCACCAGCTTTCACTGATTTGGTGCCTGAATTTCAACCAGGAAAGCCATGGAAGGTAAAATAGATTAATAATTTTTTATTAATAATTTTGTGAATAATATCTAAACGAAAATCTTGAAATCATTTTTAGGGTACACAAAAGAATATCGAAGATGATCCATCAATAACACCTGGTAGTGTCGCACGTAATCCATTGTCAATAAGTGCCGCAAAAGAGCCCGACATATTCGGTTCCAACACCGCAAAAACGTCCCCAAATGAGATACTTTCGTCTTCCACATGGAGCTTCAATCCATCCACAACAACGCAACAAAATTTTAGTAGCACAATGCCAAAGTTGGGTGCGGAATCATCGAAGACTAACAGTTGGTCGGACTCGACATCAGATTTGTGGGCACCGTCATCGATTCAAAAGACTACAGCCGGACCACCGCCAGGTTTAGGTTCATCAAAAAATGGCAATACACCAGCAGTTACAAGTGAACCAAATGACTGGATTGGATGGAATTCATCATCTAACACAACAAACAGCTCTGGTGGTAATGGTACATGGTTCTCGACATGGTTGTTGTTAAAGAATTTAACAGCACAAATTGATGGATCAACTTTGAGAACGTTATGCGTTCAACATGGTCCGCTTCAACATTTCCATTTGTATTTGAATCATGGTCTCGCTTTGTGCAAATATAATTCACGTGAAGAGGCTAGCAAAGCTCAGCAAGCACTCAATAATTGTGTCCTTAGCAACACAACAATTTGTGCCGAATCACCAAGTGAAACAGAAGTCCAAAATATTCTCAATCACTTGGGCGTTCCATCAGGATCTCAAGGTAATGGTGGCAATGGAAATGGAGCGACAGGTACAGCTGGTGCTAATGCAACTACATGGCGACCACCAAGTCAACAAAGTGGACCAGCACGTACTGGATCTGATTCGACATGGGGTTCATCTGATTGGCCAAATACGAATTCAGGTTTGAACTTCTTAAATTTATTGTTCTCTGATTATTTATTAATTTATTCCATCTTTTTATTTTGCAGCTATCAACTGGTAAATGAAAATTTGGCCGACATAGAAATGAAACAAATCCAACATGACGAATAAAACAAACAAACAAAACTCATCCAGATAAATAAGGATGAAAAAAAAACATTTTAATTAAAACAAAACAAAAAATAATAATTGCAATATCAATGTAACTTTTAACATCATCAACTCTATAATTCATTACATAAGATAGAAATCAGAGGATTAAGATAAATGATTTCTTTTTCCTTGTTTTTCTCAAGACGTTGGTAGAAAGAAAAAAAACTTAATTTTAAGCAAAGAAAAAGAAAACTTGAAGATTGGATTGCAAAGATTTTTTTCCTCCTTTTAATTGTTTTATTAAGTAACTATAATTGATAATAATTGTTAAACAACACAAATGAGACGCCCCTTACTATTATTATGTCTTATTAATTAAGTGACGAGAGTCAAAAGTGATTTCTCTGATTTTTAATATTTTTTTGTCTTCTTTCTTTTTATGTTTTGTTTCTGTCCTTCCAAACATACAACATTTTAATTAATTAAACTATTCTTTTTATTTTATGTTAAAGACGAAAGAAAATTTAAAGCAAAGCATGAAAAGGAAAAAGAAATTTTAATTTAATAAAGAATTGACTCAAATTGTATGAAATTTGCTTTCATGTGACAACAACTAGTTCAATAATGGACCCAGTTCTCATAAACAAATCATATCCGCTACATAACCCCGCCCCAGATCGAAACACATAAATGCAAACAATTTTTTTTTCTTGTGATTTAATTAAAAAGATTTCTTGGTTCTCTCATGGATTAAAAGAAAAACGAACACTCACAAACTTGCGTAAAAGGAAATTACTTTATTTGCTTTTTTTTTTGAAAGACGATAGTGAAAAAGTATTTTTTATGTTTATCAAAAGCATAAATAATAATGATATAAATTAAATGCGAAGAAATTGTTTAAGACAAAGAAGAAAAATCATCATCATGCAATGCATTCAAAACAAAATAATAAAGGAGGGTAGAAAAAGAAAAAGAAACATTTGTGAGCAAATTTTGTATTCTTTAAGTGACATAAAACATAAAAAACATGATTCAAATATAATAAGATTGATGAATGAAATACTACAGACTAATGAAGACAGAAGAAAATTGTTCTTTTGTGAATTTATTAAGCGAATCGATGAACGAGTCACATTTGGACGCAAGCTTTAGTTTTTAAATGTGAAATGAAAGTTTTTAACTTTTGGATTCGTGACAAATTGTGAGCTTCTTGTTTTTTCGTTGGTCGTTAGTGAAAAATTTGCAAAAAAAAATTATTAAAAAAAATGGAAAACACATTTATCGATGGCAAAAGTGAAAAAGAAAATGTGTTAAAGATAATTCATTAAAGAACATTAAGAAAATACCTATTGTAAAAGTCAATGTATCACATATAACAATAATAAAAATATTTTGAATTTTGAAATTACTTTTCTTTAAGTTCATTCATAAATTTTTCAGTTTAGCCAGAAAGGAAATAAGTTACAATTATAAATCGTTTAACTTTCTATGTTATCATTGTGTGAAAAGAGCTGCATTATGGTCAGCTTGAAGTTTAGAACTTTGAATTTATAGCATGAGAAGTTCTTCGAGACAAATTAAACGGAATCATATAAAAAAAGCTTCTTCAGTGTGAAAAGGAACAGCTTATGGTCATAATAATTCTGATTATGTTGAAACTGCATTTAATCAAAAAGTAATTAAAAACTTGTCTTTCATTAAATTGCATCTGCAAGGTTGGTAGAATGAAGCATAATCATTAACAGCTAAAGTAAGCTTCTTAGTAGTTAACCTGAACGTAAAGTTGTTAACAAAAGTTAAAGTTGTTCTTGTTACTCTTTCTCTTTCAATTTAATGTGAAATTTATTTTTAATAATTACTTAACTACAACACAAAGTCAGAATTTCATTCCAATTAACTCTCATCGTACCAATCTATCGTCTTTAAATAATCTGTTGAATTTTCTCAACCTTCGTCTCATTCACTGACCTTTCTCAAAACTCAAAATTATTCATAAATCAAGTCAAACTTAGTTTCACACTTAACTTTAAGTGATAAGCTAATGATTTTCAAATTACCTCTTTAATGTCACTTCCCCCCTTATTCTCGTATTTAATGACTTTCCATTATGAGTAATCCCGTAAGGTTCATTGAAATTTGTGTGCTGGTTTTATTCCCCTATTTAACCTTTTTCAAAAGAATGAAGAAAAACCCTTTCACAATGTTCCTTCGTGATATTCCTTTTTAAAACTTCTATTGTTGTTTGTTTTGTTTACAGGAAAGCATCGGGATAAAAAATTATTCATGGATAAAATCCTTGGTGATTCATTTCTTTTATTCGAACAGGAAGTTTCTTATTCTTCTTTTTTTACGAGATGATAAAATGTAAAGTTCATTGATGAGATGTTTATTGGGGGTGGACATTTAAAGTTTATCTCATCCGAGGTTTTCTTTTTTAAAACCTTTTAAAATTGCTTTGTGGTTATATACAAACGTGACATCATTAAGGAGAAATTTTAGGACTGAAGAGGATGATAGAAAGAAAGTCTCTTAAAAATTTTGATTTAACGAAAGCTTTGTCAGAAGCTCTGACATGTATCGAACTTTGAACCCAAATCAAAACATAAAGAGAACAGGAAAAATGTCATTACACCGCCAATCGTTCGATAGCATCATGAAATCCGGGAAAACAACTTCCCACCTTTTCTGACTCACAAATCAAATAAAATTTAAAATAAGCTCTATAAAATCATAAGCTGGTTTGTCTGCTGTTATTCTGATAAACCACATGAAATTTAATTCAATTTTCTAAAATTTGTTCATTGTTGAGCGGAAATTTTGTGTTTTTCCGATCTGTGTTTTTCATTCGGTTGCATGATGACTCGTTACGGATGTATGTAGCTCATCTGGTTACTTTCCATCATCCTACCTCAAAAACCAAAAGCTTTTGAACTTTTTTTTGGGTTTGTGATTTATTTTTCGTCGGAAGAAGGTTGATGTAGGTCTTCGTTATTGCACAAGACAATACGATGATGTAATAAAGTTGAGTTATGAGTTTTAATGGTTCTGGCAGATCGTTCCTGCATGAAATATCTCCACATTAGGACGATAATCTTTTGCAATTTGAAGTCACCGTGGTTAAGATTTAAACTTTTTATTTTCCTTCATTTGCATTTCTGAATAAAAAAAAGGTTTCATTTGAAATGCTTTCAAAAAAAAAGATGAAAAAAAAGTTTCTGTAGGTGGGAGTACATTCAATTTACATTAATTTGAATCTGAAGATATTTTTCCTTCCGCCTTTTTGAGTATCATTTGACTTTTGACTCTTAAATTTATTCACTCTCTTCTTTTTTGCTTTGGTAGATTTCTTTTACTTTAATTTCTTATTCGTTATTTCCGAAATACTCAGCCAAATAAAATATTTATTAAGCTTTTTAAGTGAATATGTAAACGAATGACGCGAATGAGAAAGTTCTAAAATATCTTAAACCTTGTTTTATTTCAAGGTTTTTGGCATTTTAATCTCTTTTCAAAGTCAATGTTCTAGAAGGTTTTTCATCAATTAAATGCATTTGAATACTTACGAATATCAAGTTAGTCAAATTCGGTTATCGTTCTTCAAAATCTTTTAATCTACTTCAATGTTCTTCACCATATATTTGTAGCTTCAAGGAAAGTTTAAATTTCTACATGAAAGCTTAGCATATCCACATATGAGGTTGAAGGTTTAAGTTTCCACACTTTGATTTGCATGAATTGAAATTTCTTGTCTGTTGTGAATTGTGTAAGATAATATGCAGAAGGGAATGTTTCAAATTTGTTGGCTCTTGAGATCTGTGGTGAGAAATGACCGAGGAAAAATAAATCCTCAAGAAAGCTTTTGTTTATTTCTCTAAATTTCCTTAAATCTCAATTGTTTTCATTTCAATTCAAAGTATAGGAAAACTTAGGTGAAAATAGAACAACTTCTTAAAAAAAGTTTCTTCCCCTCAATCTGCATGATAAACAAAGTTCTCATAATCTTTTAATTGTTTCCTCGCTCTGTCTTCAAATTTCTTTCATTAAGATGCTTTGATAATAATCTCCGAAAACCTCTGAAATGTTTTCTCATGAACGCTTAAAATCCTCTTCAAAAGATTTTATCAATTTGCGTTCATTAACATTAATTAGTTCGAATGAAAATCAGATATTCCCCCCGTCTTTCTGCAAAACCCGGAAAACAACAAAGCTTAACGCTTCAAAGAAGCGACAGCAACGAAAATTCTCACTGCCATTTCACCGTTTCCCAAATAATCTTCTGTATCATGCTGACTATATTAGATTTGCATAATTTTGAATTTATTTCCCTTATTTATTAGGTGTGTGGATTTATGAAGATGAAAAGCTCTGAAAAGTTTTGCTCAGGTAAAAATTTCTCTTTAACTTTTTCACGATATTTTAATCTTCATCCCTGAGATAGGCTTTCTCTTTACATCGTTTCAATTTGAAACCAATATCATTAAATCAATAATTAATTTGTTATTTATTTAGTTATGTAGTATCTTAGGATATTTGTTTGCGATCTAAATTATGTTTTATAATTTAAATAAGTTGTTTTTGCTTTCTATCTGACAAGGGTTTTCTTTCTGTCACTTTAAACAAACCTTTTTAAAAATTATTATGGTGAGACTCTTTAGACTTCATTATTTTTTAATTACTAGCTGTAGTTACCAATAAATATCTAAAATCTTTCATAATAACTTCAAGTAAACCTTGAAAAGCTCAATCGAAGTTTACTCCATTAAGTTTAAATTGCTTTTGCAAAGAATTGATATGAACAAATACTAAAATTGGCAATAAATTACTAAACTATAAATATGAACAACATTCAGCTTTTAATTCTTGCAAATTGCTGACCATTGAGAAATAATTTTTGTCAATACTGAAAGTGTATTTGGAAGTAGAGAGAGAAGTTGCTACTCGCTTAAAATGAATCTTCTGTTCATTTCATTTCTCTGGACACTTGTTCAATTTTGTTTCCAATTGACTTTCAATTCTCAGCTTGGTGGAAAATAAAATAATCGAAATATTTTTGCTTAAAGTTGGCATATGGATGAGTTATAGGCGATAGAGTCACATGTATGAATTCAATATGAGTTTTGCATTTGAAATTCAGCATTATTTGCATATTATATGATGATATCGATTAAAACTCAAGTCTGATTCTGATTGCATTCCTCAATGTTATATCATTCCATGTTAGGATGACAATTGAGAAGAATATTTTATCAGCTGCATGCAATTTCATTCAACATTGATCACTAATGTGATTCTTTAAGTTGAACACAAATGAAAATTTTTAGTTTTTGTCATAAAACATATTCCAAGGTTCTTAAAAATAGTTGACACTTATGGTCAATTTGTCATTGCAACCATTTTTAAAGCTTTTTAAATCGTTTATGTTCAACATGATTTGCTTTCTCAACTCATTTTCCCCACCCATGCTCAGTGCTTGAATTTCTGTTGCTTTGAATAATGAAACTTTTCTTTCTAAATCAGGAAATGTTGAAACATCTGAAATGAATTTTTAACATCGATACACATATATCAAGTTTAGAGTTTAAATTCGATTTTCATTCATTTCCAATTTTCTGACTGTTCAAGTCATGTCGAATGTAACAGTTTTGGGGCTTTTGAAAATTTATTTTGCAAGTTTTTTTGTCGTGATTTTAACAATTCGAATTGCAATCATGTTCACTTTTAATAAATGTTGCTTTTATGTGCTGACGACTACTTTAAAATTAAATCGAAAGAAAATCCGATTTGGAAACTTTGCTTGAATTTCAACGATGGAAAATCTTCAATTTGCATAAATTTGTTGTTCATTTCACTTTGGTTCACTTTCTATTTCTTTACGCGAGTAAAAACAATTTTCATGTCTTCAATCTCCTTTCATGTCAAAAAGACGACGAAGAGAGAAAAAGACGAAAAAGAAAAAATATTTATTGAAACACGTAAATGTGGCTCATCATCATTAACTTCGCCTTGTTATCAAATTGTTCTTTCTTCTTGATGGCATCATCAAATGAGATGAAAATTTCGAGCTTTTCTTAAAGAGATTCTTCAAGCTTTAAAGCTCAATTCATATCAACGCAGACATCGTTTGAGAGAATTGAGATTTTATTCCGATATTCGTTTGCCTCGTGTCAATTCTCGACGGTGCTTTTTCCGCCTTCTTGCTATCTTTTCCTTTTTCCTGATAATGTTCCATTTCCGCTGCCATTCAACATTCTTTTAATGCTCAATTTATTCAGGGATTGCCGAGATATAACACAACATTGCTACGTCGTAAAATTTCATTTTTTATTTCTTCTCGCCAACTAACTGCTTTTGTATCGTAATTTAAAATCTAGCAGTTTTGATTGTTCGTGTGTGAATTGGAATTGATGATTACATAGATAAAAATGCTTACTTCGGAGTTTGCATTCGCAAGCTTAAAAGTATTCTTTGTTTTCGGAAAGTCATCAAAACAAAATGAAATGTTGTTTGGAATCTTTCTAAAAAATGTTTTATGCTTTCTGATTGATTTATGTTTTCATAGCATATCACCTGCCATATTAATGCAAGAAATCAGCGATGTTTAAAATTAAAAAAACAAAATGCCAGGTATGTGGGCAGTAACAGTAACATTCAACAATGTTTTTAAAGGAAATTGGAATGAGATGAAATAAAAAAAATCGATCTGCACGAAAATTCTGCCATTTTACCGACATATACACGGAACAATTGTGTTCGAGAATCATAAATTATTTTCTCGAAGTATTTCAGATGAATTTTTTATTTTAACAACATTTTGCCTTCCACCATTCCCACCATACGGTTTTTCGGATTTTTCCACTTTTAATTTATATTCACAGGGCTTTTTATGAGCTTCTCGGAAAGAAATTCTTGGTATTAATTTTACATTCAGCGATTCGTTTTTATATAGCCATTTGTTGCATTGAAGCGTGAAATGAATCGCTCGTTTTTTATTCCTACTTTAATGATCTCATAAAATATTCGATTGTAAATTTGCCTTTTTCTAGAGGGATAGCGATTGAAGCTTTTTTGAAATCGAATTCGATTTACATTACATTTCACATTTCTCTCCTTCTCGTTGAACTGTTGAAGTAACATTGAGTCATTTGAGATCGTTATTAAGCGATGCTCGTTAAAGGATATTTCATGAGATAAATTTGTAGGGCCCGTTCATCAATGCCATCACAACAAGATGTGCTTTGCTTCAATATTAAGGCACAATTTCATACCGAAGTATCAAAACTTTCCCAGGTGATAAAAGTTTAACTCATGAAACAACGACAAACATTGACGTCCTTTTAATTCCCTTCAATTGAAACTTTTATTCTCTCTTTAATTACTTTTTTAAATCACTGATGTTGAAAAAGAATCAATTAACTTTGAAGTCGTACAATGTGTTGTGTTTGTTTGTTGTTGTTCGTTACAAAGTTCACTAAACGAGGAATGCCTTTCTTTATTGTGAAAGTGCTTAATGAGTTGGCAACATGTGAGATTTTAATCGAAAATTTTTCATACTTAATTAAATTTCTGTATTGAGGTGTTCAATATTTGTGCAATCAACTTTTATAGAAAATCAAACATGAAAAAGCTTTGTGAAATTTCAAAATATTTAATTGAATGTTTCCAGTTCACTGTGCAATTTCATTAATAATTTCATGTCCTTTAATTCGCATAGAAATGTCGAAATGTGTGTGCTTAGTAAATACTGCTGTCCAATCTAAAGGCTAAAGCTCATAAGACTGAATAATTAAACAAACCAAATAAATGACAAATAGAATTGTGATTAGATTCAAATGCAAACGATAGATTCAATTTCAATTTTAATTTTGCCTTGGAGGTTCGCCGACATTTTAGTACATTTCATGAAATATGCTCAAACGGGATATTTTATTAATAATTTTCTATTCTAGCGGATGCTAAATCATCTGATAATCTGATTAGCTTTTCCGTCGAGAATACGCTTAAATTTATCGCCATTCAATGTTTGATTCAATGTGCAAAATAATGAAAAAGCTTCGCCGATGTGAAACAATGAAAGTCAAGATTATTTACGCATTTCATTTGAGGGCCATTTTTAGTATTTATGGCGTTTTCCACAGCTTTTCATCGTATTTATTTTTACGTTATAGAAAAAGAAGCGAGTTTCTAAGTTCCCTTCAGCAAACAGCGCTTAGGGATTTAAACTTTCAATGTTTTTATTTCACTATTTGGCAAACTTAATAAAAACTTTGAAAGCAAAACAGTAAATCAAGAGAAACTTTAATGCACTTCACCAAAGACTTTTGCTTACTCACTGAAAAACTTAAAAAGTCTTTTGAGAAAGTTTAAATGCAATCTTCCATCTTATTGAAAATGCAAACATTGTAAATAGAAAGAAGCAGGCAAGGCAGAAACTTCTTTCCAATCGTTTGCTTTTCTACGAAAACTTTAAAAAGAAGCTTTCATGATTTTTATTTATAAAGCAAAGTTTTTTTATTTGAATTCATCTGAAGGCATCTGAAGGCAGCATCTCTCATATCTCACATCAAGTTGAAAAATTCATTTCACGTTGTTTCACTCGATGAATTATGATCCCAATAAAAATTCCTTCTCTAACTTTTTTTTTATGTTATTCATGTGTATTTCCGTTGGTGGTTATAGCGCGAAAGTTTTCTTTTTTATATTTATCGTTTGCGACACAAAAAAAAACGAATTGAAAATATTATAAAATATCGTTCATGAAAAACTCTAAAAAGGAAAACTTTACGACTGTAAGTAAGAATGAAGAAAGGCTGGAAGTGAATTTATGTATGGTAACACAAATAAATATTTCACAGCTAATATATTTTGAGCGAGAATTTATGATCGGCAGTTATGTAATAATTCGATGAGGCTTGAAGGAAAATGTGCATTAAACTTTGTTTAAAATTTCTCAAAGCTTTCAAAAGATTTTTAAAAGCTTTTCGTATTTTATGTGTTTCCTCTTTTCCAAGTAGAAGTTTCAAACTAGATTTGCATGTTTAATTTGAAATTTAAAGAAATCGAGTAATGTTGTTAATGTTAATGTACATTTTGTAAACCGAATATACATTTTTAATGTAAACAGTTTGTAAATGATAATGGTTGAGAGGGAAATTATTAAGTCAACCGTTGTTGTTTTTCCATCCGCATTGAATGTAAGTAATTGAGTTGGTTAGGGTTTTGAAATCTTTTTTTTTTCGTATTCACAGTTTTAGTCGTAACTTTCTCATACCCCAATAAATTGAAGCAAACAAGGAAGATCCTTATTGCTATATGTACGAGAAAGCAAACTCATAACTCAGTAAAACTACAGAAAAAAACTTCTTTCATTTTTCTAAGATGAAAGTGTGGCGTAAAACATTTATTCAAAAGCAAACATAAGGGAGAGAGAGAAACTAAAAGGAAATATGCATAAATCTTTCATGTCTGGAAACAATTTTATGTTAAGAAGAAAAATATTTTTTAGTTGCATTAAAAAGGCTTTGAGACAGATACGGAAACTTTTGCTTTGAAATGTTAGCACATTTTTATTTGTTTCCCACCCGGAGCTTTATGACAAAGCAAGCTTAATCCGTAGATAAATTGTTGCTTAAAGCGTGAATTAGATTGAAGCCTCAAACGATGTATCTATTACAGCATCTAGATGAAGTTTATGAATGGAATTTGTTCCCATTATTATCATTTCATTCGTGACTTTATGAGATATAAAAGAAAAAAAGGAAAAGAGTTTGAATTATTGCGAAACTTTTTTCTTGTCATGGGCTCATGAAGAAAATTTCTCTACAGAAAAATTTAAAGTTTTATGATAGAAGAAGACTTTATCGCAAGTCTCTCATGTTTTAATTGCTTGAACTTACGAAATTCTTTTCTCTTCTCTCGGTTGATGTAATCAGAAAAGCAATAAATTTTATTGAACTCATTAAAGCTTTTTTCTTTTCTTTCGCTTTCCCCAAATTTTCGCTCGGTTGAACATTCTTCATGTTTACTCTCCAACGATTGCCCAACGAGAAGTTTTATTATATTTGAATAATATTATTGCGGAAGCTTAAGGAGGGGACATTTTCTACTATGGGACTAACTCCAAAGCAATAAAATTGAATGATGACTGGAACAATAAAAAATAATGTGCATAATAGCTGAAAGCATAGAATAAAAACGAAGAAGAAATGACAACAAAGCAGTTTCTCTAAATGACGAAATAGAACAAGACATGACAGTCTTTAACAGACAATAAGACTTTTATCATGAAACGAGATGCATGTCACATCAAATTACTTATTCATGTCTTGCAATGAAATGAATTTTTCTCTTGGGATGCGACAAATAGAATAAGAAAGGGAAGGAAAAAAAGAAACTTCGACACTCACTGTCTTAAGCTTTAGACGATTTTTATTTGCGTTGCTTAGATAAATATGTTAGATGTCGGGGATAAAAATCAATAGAACTTGTGTATCTGAACATCAAACAATTTGAATTGATTTAATGTCTGCCATAAAGGCAATCTGAAACGGTTTTTATTGAAATTTCACACGTGCTTTCCGACATGAAAGAATAAAGTACTCAATAAAACTCAAGCGAAATGCTCAAATATTTGATCGGCAGGTGTTATTTATCTCAATAGGGAAATTTCAATAAATATGTTAATAATACATTTACCGATTGATATTATGCCGCCCACAAAACTCCATTTGACAGTTAGGAAGAAGACCTTTCAATTTTATGGCATGGTATTTGGAGACACATTCAAAGCTTCTCATCGTTTTGATAAGCAATGCAAATTTGATTGCTTTAAAATCCAAAAAATATAAATTCGTTGAGTGATTCTTCGCAGATAAAGGATTAAATACTTCTCTTGAATCTTGTAACTGATCGTCAACAAAATTCTTGTCTTTAATTCCAAGAAACTCTCAATGGAATGTTGTGAATCTCAAGGCGACAACTTCTATTCATTTTCAAAGTTTCAGGTTGCACAATAAACTTTTTTTCTCTGATGATAATTTGATTCGAAGAAATTGAATCAAGCAAGACATTCCATAATGTCCTCGAGAGCGGTAGCATAAAAATTGAAGTAGAAATAAGCCAATTCATCAGAAAAGTTTGCAAGCGAAGCGTCTGCCAATATTTCAAAGTTTGTCTTTTGATTCAAATTTTCACTTTCGTCTTAAGCGAGAGGAAAGTTTTAATGAAACTGTCAGCATTTTGTTAAGGAAGTTCATCGTCTTATACTAAGCTTTTCTTTCTTATAATTTCTTTTTTCTATTTATAATTTACTGTGCAAGTAATCATAACTTTTGCAGCGAACAGGATTTTCTCAGATGATTAGAGGATTTTTATTAATTCGTTGAAAATAAGCTTCAGTTTACTTGCAATACATTTATTTAAAAAATATTTATAATTGCTGTAACAAAAGACCAACAAGCAGCTTTTATATAATATTAAATGCCATTTGTATTTGAATGAAAGATAGAAATGTATTAATTATACAATCAATATTTAATTAGCTTGTTGTCTTCCTTACTAATTAATAATTCTTAATTTTTATTATAATAAAAAAGAACAACAAATCCATAAAATTACTTTAAATAAATTTATTGTGAACTTTTGTCACGTTTTTCATAATATCCATTTTTTAAAAAAATTAACATTCAAACTTTCAACATAAGTGCAATAAATCCATTAAGCAGTTTTATTTGATCGTGAGCTTTTGTCATGTCCTTCATGATTTCCAATTTTTTGATATTTAATATTCACACTTTAAATTTAAGCACCGTTAAAGTGAAATAGAAGAAAGAGTTCATTAAAATACCTTAATTAAACAGTTTTTTGAAATATTATATTGAAACTTTAATTAGGTATAAACTTTTCCGTGATTTCTGATTTTTCACAAATATTTATTATCTTGTTTCTGAATATAAGCACAGTTTGAAAGTTTAAAAAATCATTTCTAGTTTTGCTTTTATCATTTGCAAGTAAAATGAAAATTATTTTCCAAAGTTTCTTCTTTCTTTTGTTCTTAGTGCTATTAGTACAAGAGGCAAATGGTGGAGGAGACGGTTAGAAAATTTTTGAATTCATTCATTCATAAAAAAATTTAAAAAGCGTAAATTGATAAGTTGATAAAAAATTAAGTTGAATTTCGTTATAAAATTTTCTTACTCCAACTTTGTAATATATAATAAAGTATTATTTATTATTTTTGAAACACCCGTCTCGTCATCAGGATGCGTTCGAGTTGTTAAACTATACGCAAAAAAAACTTGGAAGAGTTGAATGGCGGACATGCTACCAATTTAGGAAAATGTTCTGGAGAATTGGGTGATAACTATTTGTCGGCAGAAACAGTAGGGCCCTATGAGTGCACTGCATATTCGGCTAAAAATTGCGATGGTCAATCTGTTGTTATACCTAGCACTGGTGTTAATTTTGATTTCAATATACAATCAGTAAAATGTGAATGTAAATAAATCGAGAAAAGAATTTAATTTAATAAAAAGTAATGCAAAATAGCTTAAAACCTTCCGATTTATTGTGCGTTGGTTTATTCAGTAAACATCAGGCATTCTTTACACAAGTATTTCCAGTCATAGTTTCACTTCTTCTCATGATAAGAATGTAAGTCATGTCTTTTGTTTCTACATATTTATTGATTTTAATCGAATTCTCTTTGCTTTTAATAACTCATTGAATCCTAGAAAATTCTAAAGCTTAAATTATTGAATCAAGAAACATTTCCTTGTTTATATAAAATTTATTACGACTTGATAACATTTTATGTTCAGCTAAATATGTAAACTTTGAAGAGTATCAGGAAATTCAATTAATTTGAATTAGTTATCTATGCTGGTTTTTAAACATGAGTAGGTGAAAGATATTATAAGCATCACCTACAAACATCAAGACGTAATTTGCCTAATTATGATAACGTTTGGGTGTTCACTTCAAAGCAAACTTTATTGTCAATACATTCATGGAAAAAAATCTTTTGATTCTTTGTTGAATCAAACATCCAATCCATCAACGTTGCCATTACCGTCTTTTCAAGCAAAGCAATTTTCCAAATGAAATTTCTTGACTCTTTTCACAAAATGTTCTTCTTTCGTTTGAGTTTAATGCAAGCACAAAAAATGATTTCAAGGAGGGTTTTGTCGATGGAAGATGACACGAAATTCCTCCTGTCATCGTTGACATTTCCCTGCATCAGTTACCTAATGGATGATTAGTGGAACATATGAAAGGAAGGAAAAAGAAGAATAAGCGAGAAGTTAATTCAATTACAAAAAATTACCTTTTCCCTTGCTCGACTCAACTCTGCTCCATTATTATCTTCATGTTCACCATCATTTGCGACGTTATTTATATCAGCTATAAATATTCACCAACGCACGAGATGGAAATGAAACCTCGAATTTAATTTACTTTGATTAATCTCACACCCATTTCAGTGGTGGTGGTGACGATGTTTTTTCATGATGTTTCCATGTTATCACAGTTCGGAGGGGCAACCAAAAGTGTTTGTTGTTATAGAGTATGTGTCAAAGTGAAATCAATTCAGGTAGAAAATCTATCGGATCACGTCAAACATTAAAATCAAATTTCCGCATCAATCACGTGTTCTTTTTCAAACATCTCAGAATAATTCAAGATATCTAAAAGCGTTAATTGATCTTAATCTTCATTAAAATTCTAACAAATCCGCTTAGTTGATAGTTAATGATGTCTTCCAATCTTAACTAAAGATTTCTTAATCGAGAAGAGCTGGAAAACGTGTAAATGATTGGATTCCGGAAAGTTATTCAAGGTTTTTATATAAAAAAGTCCAAACTTTATTCTTACTTAAAAGTCATGAAAACTTCGTATTGCGTTCTTATCGAACTTTCCCAACAACTCATAATTGGATATTTCAAAAATGCTCGTGTTAGAATCCAATCACGTTGCGTCGTTCTGAAATAAGCTGAAGAAATGCAAATTTATGGAAATTGTTCTGCGTTTTTTAAGTCGCTCCCTCTCGTTTTCACCTTGCGATGAGAATAAAATGAACGTGACGACCATCAAGGCTAATGGATTTCGATCAAATGAAAAATTTTCGGGAAGCAACAAAGGACAGGTGCGCAGTTGAAATGGGAGAATAATCTCTTTCGATTTGATGGAGATTTCTCATACATTTGGATTCATTCACGTAAATCATAAAAAAATGTTTTACATTTTAAGCAGACAATCAAAATAAAATAATGCAACATTCCTTGGACTTACCCTCGATTCATTGATAAGAATATTTACACATTGTGTCTACAAAGTTAATTCTTATCAGGAAGAAGTTTACTCAGTCATATCAGCTGACAAGGTCATTGTTACGATTTTTTTTTGGCGCATTTAATTAAGTTAATGACATTTCATTGGCCGCATAAAATTAAGTTCATAATTCATTTAAAATTAATAAATTTCTTGTTAATTGGAGTAAACAATGATATTATGAGATGTTCACTCATTTAAATGTTGCTTCGTAATTCCAGCATCTTGAAAAGCTTTCAGAGAAGTAAGGAAGAAATTTTTCTCTCAATCTTGAATGGAATTTTATTTTAAAGCTAAAGCAGAGGTTTAACCTTGTCAGGAAAATCTCATTATTCACAATAAAACTGGTAAAATGTGATACTTTCGTAGCGAAGCGACAATAAAACGAAAATTTTCAAACTGAATCCTCTCTGAATCTTATTGCTGCCTTGGGGTTACTTTTGCTGTTACTACTGATAAAAAAAGACTCGTGTAATGTCGAAAACGAGTGAAATAAATTCAGTTCTTTTTTTTGTTATCTTTAACGCTATTATTTCAGACTTAAGAACATAAAACCGTTAATCTGACTATCTGACTTCTCCCAAACAATGGATAAGATGAAAAGAATAAAATTGGAGACTGTAACACTCTATTTGCATGAAAATACATCATTTGCAATAAAAAGCAATTTCATTTGAAAACTTTATGTAGAAGTAGAGGAAGTAATCGAGCTTCTGTCCTTCCTCTTATTGAAGGAAACTTTTCTCAACTACAGTAGAACAACGAAGGAAGTGAAAATTTCACACTCAAACCAATTTGAAAATCGTTCACTGAAAAATAATGATGAAGAATCTGCTGATAACACAACTTACCCTTACTTCTTTTACCTGAACACCTGAACCTGAATATCTTCGTTTTTACTTATACTACAATTAAATAAAAGTTTATGAATTTTCAATCAAGATTTCAGAGAAAACGAAATTTAATTATGATGTGAATATCTTCATGCTTGCATAGAGATGCAAATTCAGTTTGAGAACCGCAATGGCAAGAAAATCTTGTCGCTTGAAATTCATTTAGAAAGCAATCTAATAATAATTTCAAATGTCTTAGTTATGTTTGCAGCATCTGATGACTTTAACTGAAAGACTAAGACAAGTTTTAATTCAACTTTCTCAAACGTGTTGACTTGAATTGTAAACTGAATTTCATATAACATCAATATTATCCCCAAGCTTGCATTAATAGCAAAAAAAAGTTTTAAAATATCAAAAAACTTTTGGTAATAACATTAAAAGTTAACTTTTCAATTTGCTTGCTCCTTAATATTTTATTAATGCATAATTAAGTTTTTTCTTTATAGAAAATTCAACTTTTATGGGAGAAAATCTTCTCCATTTACTTGTCACGCCAAGTTAAAAGTTAATTGAGAAAGTTTGTCAAAGAAGTTGATTTTGTGTTCCTGATACCTTGTGTAGCTTGGCCACCTCAAACTTTTTGCATATTTATAAGCGTTAAAGTTTGTTAAGGAACAATTTTTGAATAAAAAATGCATTCGACGGTGTCAATGTAAACCTGGCTATAAAATTTTAAATATTTAAATGTTTTGAAAAAGTTAATTAAATTAGTTTATCCTGTAAATAAATTCTCAGCATTTTTCAGTTAAAAATATTTTAGGAAATGTTCAACATTCACAACAATAACAGAAATAATTATGGTGACACACGTCACATCGTCCATAACAGCAAAAACATAAATATTTATGAAATTTTCAAGTCATCATCTCAAAGCAAATTGAAAACTTGATGAAATTATTAATATTGGGAAAGTTAATCTCGTCAAATGTTGAAATTTATTATTTTTAATTACATACCACGAACATTAATTATAAATTCAATTTTAAATCAAATCAATCAACTAGAAGGTTATAATTTAATTATACCAAACTAGGTAAGTGCACTCAATGCATAACATTTGGTTTTTCAATTTCACTACTCTTGCAGCTTCAGACTCAACTTAATTTTATTTTAATAATTAAATTATGTAGCTTCGGCAAATAATTGATGGCGACAAAGTTTAATTACAATTTGAAATTTAATTAGAAAGAAGAAAAAAGTAATCAAAATATTTGTAGTAACGCTCGATTCGAGGTTTCCACATTGAGGACAAGCGACTTTAGGTAATCTAGAAAATATTCTCATCAAAATCTTGTAACCTTACAAGATATCTCCCGACACAAATATTTTTCTGCATAATTTAGCCAACTGTAAAGTAGCATTGTCGTACATGAAATTCTCTTATTTCACCAAATGTTTTTGTCATTTTTCAACCCCCACGTATTCACCAAAATGATGAGACAATTACGATAAGCTGAGACATTTGGATAATAAGTAACAACAGATCCATGACGAACTCAACCCATAATTAATGTAACTGTAAAAAATTGTGTTTTTATCAGCACCTGTGACACTTCACGACATCGAAGACATTTTATGGAGACGAGATGGTACAAGCTGTGCTGCGATAAGAAAACATTTTACCATGGCATGGTTGAAAGACGATTTTCTTTTTCTTTGTCTGCGTAGCTGACATTAAAACTAATTTTACAGAAAAACTTTTTCTCCTATCTTTGTCTTCGGGATCGCTGAAAGTGCAGGGATAAATGAAAAACTTTTCTCCTTCCCGACACATGTTGAACAAGCATCTTAATTTAATTAAAATTATGTCTTCGATCATTACAAGTATCATGCTCTGAGCAGATTAATGCTCAGCTTTGCCAGATACACAAAAAAACTTCATCTTTCAACTCGAGATAAATATTAAAATATTTTTATATAATCAACGTCTGTCTTCGTAAGTGCTTTGCGCAAAATAAATGAAAAACTTTTTTCAATTAACTTTCTCTATCTTATCTGTTATTAAATATTTACAATGCATGATTATAATTCTTTCTCTTTTAATCTTTTTAAAACGAGAACATAAATCTTAAGTAAGTAAGACCTAATTTACTACCTATTTAGATGACTTAATAAGCTTCTGGTATTCAACTTCATTGAAAAACGCTAACCTTTCTTGATAAAGACAACAAAACACTTTTCAAGCTTCATAAGTTCAAAACAAAAATCTCTATTCACCTCATCCGAATGAAGGCGCAAGCACAATACTTCATTTCCTCAATTTAACATTCTCGAAAAAAAAAATCTCATGTTGAACCTTCATCGCTCGTATTCGACGCACAAAGCGAGACAAATACGTGCTTTAAATATTCCCAACCTTCAAAAAAGGCTCTTCCATCTTCCATTCTTGTGTTCTATTATGGCCTTACATCATCGTAACTGAACAGAAGAAGAAGAAAAGGTGAAGAGCAAGGTAAGCGGGAAAGCAAACGAAAATTATAATTGTGGCATTCGAGTCGAGTGAATTAATGTTAATGAAACAAAGGTAGTGAAGAAAAGGGGAAATTGCTCTCTTCGCACTTTTTCTGCCTGTGTGCTTTGAAATGAAAGGGAATCAGGTACAAAGCTTAATAATTCATGATGTAAAAGTTTTTCTTTTGAATTAAAAACTTCACTGCTGCGTGTTTATTTTAATTATGACACGTACCGCAAAAGCATGAACTCATACATGTGCGGTTAAGTGTATTTATGTTGATGAATTTCTGTAAGTATCTGCTGTTTGCTGTATGAATGATGAATACAAACAGTTCATTTCAAAGATATCTGCTTTAAGTTCTGTTTTAACAGAATTAATTTCATGTTTTTCTTTCTATCTTTTTTTATTTAGTAAATAAAAGAAATTTTCTTCTCCATCAATTAATTATATTTAAGGGAAGAATGCTTGCATTTTTCATATCGTTGAATTATGTACGTGATGATATGGCAAATAAATCTTACTCAAAGGAAAACGGCTTTTAGGTCCCGTTCTGTCCATATATTTTGTATTTATATATAAAATATGAGTAAGCTTCTTTTGTTTTAGCAAGTACATTATATTTATGTACCCAAAACAACACTCTGACGTCATTTCATTTAGAAAAACCTTTCAGGAAATTTATTTATTCAACAACATCAACAACAACAGTATCCGCTCCTCAAATTTTCATGTAAATTAAATTTCCTTTCTGTTATCATTTTCAATTTTTAATCTCCTTTTATGATGAAGTTCTTGAAAGAATGAGATTGAACATGATTTTTTATGATACTCAGATTTTGTTGAAATGTAAAAATGTTTATCCTATTCAAATAATGTTGGAAGGTGAGCTTTTATACCCGTTTTTGTAGAACTCAAACGGATTTGAATATGGGAAGCAATAAATAATTTAATGATTTAGGATGAAAAAAGCTCAATTGCTGGTAAGTAAAAGCTACATTCACTTGGAACTTTACTGAAAGTCTCAACTTCATTATTTATGTTGGTTTTTAAAAGTGAAACCTTTTCCGTTGAGTTAAGTGATTTCATTTTATTCTTTTTTAAATCAGAAAACGATTTGAAAGCCTTCGAGACACCTACACGTCCAGTAAAGTGAATGTTTTATAAAACACCAAATGTGTAGGCTTTGAATTTGACGCCACATGACATGAAATTTCATTACACCTTTTATTTGTCTGAAAAATTAAATTGAAGCCTTCAAGGCGTACAAAAAGCCAATAAGAAGTATCGAGAAGAAATGAAATGTAAACAATGTTTATGTTAAACAAATATAACATTACTTTTATTATTATTTTTTGAAAATTAATGATTCAGTCTTTCAATATGTACAATTATAGAAATTAATTTAAATCAATATTCATGCTGTGCTGCTGTTGTCGTGCATCTCCTCACCACGCTTTATCTCAATTGATGTTGTGCTTTACGAGAAGCGAATCATTTCAGGTAGATTTCCATGATTTTTCATATTTCTTATTCTTCTTCTTGTCTGCTTTTCAAGCGATCAACAGCAGCCATACAGACGCGTTCGTTTCGGAATTTGAAGCATCTCTGATTCATTTATCAATGTTGGGTGGTTGGAGGAAGAGTAAAAGAGAATAGATAGGAACAAGGAGGGATGAGAGGGACGAATCATAAAATATTTACAATAATTTTTCTTCTATATCAAAAAAAGAACGAAAGAAATTCATATTTTGTTTGTTAGGATGAAAATTTTTGTTGAATCTGTCCCATTGGCCTGGCGGATGCGTAAGTTGGGGGAAGTTGCAAATCAAAGAGAAAAATGTAAAGAAGAAAAAGAAAGATAAAATGGAATAAATGAATAAGTTATTTATATTTCAAGATATTAGAATTCTTTAGATAATACTTACAACAACTCGATTGATTGCTTTTTATTTTGTTGATCTTTCGTCGCCAATGAAGTTTTCTTTTTCACCAAAAAATATTTTCTGTAGAATTTTCTTCGAGATTTTCTCGCCGTCGTTTTTCATATTTTATTTTTAAAATTCTTAATATCTAAGGAAATGAAAATTTTTATCCTGATCGACTACGTGTTGATTCTCATTTCTTTTTAATTAGACTAAATGAAAAAAGTTTTTTTTTCTTATGTTTTTTAATGATGAAAGATGAAGGACGATGTTTCTGTTTTGTGGTTTTATGTTGGCGATGTTGTCATTTTCTCTTTCTTTGTTAAACTCTATAATGGAATCCCTTTTTTTGTCTTACTAATTAGCACTAAATTTATATAGGACAATCTTGCGCTAGTGCTCGCAACTCTTCACCTACGGTGCTTGGATAAATTATCGGCGAAAGCGTCTTCTTTAAACGTACTTGATCCTCGGTCGTTTTACGATACACGGGATTATCGAAATTTATGGACGTGAGATTTTTGTGAACGTAATGTCGGTAGACGAAGACAGCAAGCTGGGAAATGAAAGAAAATTATGAGAAATTATAATGAAAATTAATGTGAAAAAATGTTTTGATTCCAAGCAATATTTTTTGTTTTTGTTTGCACGCTGTTTAAGAAAATTTTCGTGAGGAAACATTTTTGTTCAACAGGAAAACGGCAGAAACGGATTTAAAGTGTTTTGATCTCGACGAAAATCTCTCAAGCGTGCTTTTGAAAACAAAATTAAAACTTTCTAGACGAAACCAAATGACTTACAACTGTTAGCACGAGAACCAATAAAGTTGCTACGAGAATAGTCACAATGGCTATATAGCCTGAGTCTGGTGCATCGTCTGGGGGTTTCTCGACATCGCCAGGGGGTGCAGGATATAATTTAGCTGTTGATAAAAAGCAATATTAAACATTCTCACTTAATTTCATAATCACTGTTGCCAGTAATTTGCGGTTAGTTAATTTTATAGGATGCGAAAATTTTAATATTTATTTCCAATAAAAATTTTCTGATAACTACTCGTTTTTATGTGTGTGTGTTAGTGGTTTTTAATTAGCCTAATGAGTGGTTAATGATATAATTTATGAAAGAATTCAAATTAAAAAATTGGATAAGCTAAGAAACATAAAATTAATCAACTAATTTTAACTATCTATGTTAAATCCCAACAAATAAATTTATCTGAACGTGAATTTCGTTGGTCTCAATTTAAAGCATCGATGTTGATTCATTTTATGGTCATCCAATGGTTCTTTAATCATTCTCCACCGAAATTAATCAAACTGGAAAATGCTCTGCAGGGTTGGCTCAGAGAAGAAAAATGAAAATTAATGTTTATTTTTCCGCCTCCATTAGACTGGGTTAATATGAAGCGTTGTAACGATTTGTGAGCGATGTTTCTGTTTTTTCAATGTTAGTACGATGTTGCTTTGGTTTGCCTTCGCTTCTACGCTTCACTTCCGTTTCCTTTTCTCGAACATTTCTACGATGTCATGTTTGTATCAGCGGAAATTTGATGCTGTTCTCGATGACTTAGAAGTGATACTTCAATTATTGTTTTTTTTCTTCCTCTTTTCGCCAAAAGAAATCTTTTTGATTTATGTGAACGTCAAAAGATCAAAACATAATTGAAACGAAAAATTATAATTTGATTTAAATTGATCGATTTGATTTTTGTTATATTTGAAGAATTGCGGAAGGGAAATTTTCTTATTAAAAAGATTTGCCATCAGAAGCAGATGAATTAATTATTGACATTGTAATCAATCAGCTTTTTATGGAGATTAATTAAACAAAGGCCAAACCAACATTGTTTGAATTCACATTAATTAGAAGTTATTAATTGCTAACATCTTGAAATGACAAAAGAATTATTAATTGTAAATAAAGTAACTTTAAACTTTTTCTTTAATATTCATCGAAAAGTTTTTCAAACACTCGAAAAGGCGCACAAAAAAAGGGGAGCAGCGAAAAAAATATAGAAATAATTTTCAATTTCTATTTGCGCCTTCATTTTCATGATTCGATGAGCTTTTGTCGTTAATTTAAGAGTCACAACATTTTCCTTGTTTTTCCGCCATGAAAATGAAAGTCTTTCGTTCTTTTCGCGATACGCATTGATGAGACACGGCGTGGGGAAGATAATTCCATCGTTAACTTTGAATTACTTTCGTGCTGGTTAAATTGAACGTGAAATAAAGACGGAAGATTGAGAGGAAGATGTTATTGCTTAACATAGTCAGAAGCAGGTGATTTTGGAATTTAATTTATCAGGTTTCCAAGCGTGGGTTGGTTCGTTGGCTGTTGTTAAGATAAGCTAGAACCTTAGAATCTTTCCATCATTTTATCTTTACTTTGCCGCAAGTTCTACATTTACGTTGATGGGAATCCATTAGTCTTGATGGTCGTCACGTTTTCTCCAGAAGGCGATGGAAAGAAAATGAAGAGATTAGAAAACACGTCCATCAATTTCCATAAATTTGTATTGATTAACTGTGAGTCCTTGAGATTACTTCACTTCAACATAACATTTCAAAGTACTTTTCTCAAACTTTTCTTTTCCATAATTATTCCTTTCTTCAACTCAATACAAGTTTTCAATCAATAAATGACTTGATAACAGTTTCAAGCTTTTTCTACAAACTTGGATAAATAAATATTAACTTTTTACTTCTCAATCACGCAAGCAATTTTCTCGCCCATTCCTTTTCGAACCTTTCATCATCACAATTCACAACAGAAATCAACAGGTGATTGATGTTAGTAAAAGGAAAATTGAATTTTCCCGAAAATTTTCTTTCTATACGAAATTTGAAAAAATGAAAAAGGTTTAGTAAGCAATTTCTTAGATAAGACGACCACTTAGTTCTTAATAAATCAAAACGTCTTGTAAAAAGGTTGAAGTTCATCACCTTTTGGTTTTCTTTTTCCTTCTTTTTTATGTTACAACATTTATGAACATGTTTATGCGTTTGTTGTCCTCAAAGAGTTTAAAGTTAATGTTAGTAAAATAAACAGAATTATTGCCCAATCAAAAGCTTCATTTTTATTACGATACAACATTTAAAGCCTCAAAGGCTGAGATCGTTTAATCTCTACTTCCGTTATTGCTCAATCCGAACGGGGTTTTATGGAGCTTTTTGTTGTCATTTATTGTTTTCCCACAACGATTACAAAGAGCTTGTTGTCAAATCTACTGAATTTCCCTCTCGTCTTATCGACGTCACACATAACTCAATTTTTCTTTTCCTTTTACCTTTGATGCACAAAGCTTTCATGACTTTGATATTTGAATGAACTTTACGATTTGCAAGAGCTTCTCGTTTTGTTGTGTTTACATTTCTTTCGTGTTGTAAAAATTGTTCTTTGTGTGTAAAAGCAACTAGCTCTGCAATTGTCTTCGCACGATCCCAGTATGAAAGATTTGATGAAATTATTGGAGATGATGACAATGATGATGATGATGATGATGATGAGAAGGTAACCGACGGTGTGATTGTCTCTTCATCCCTTTCAAGATTCTCACAAATTTCCTCTTCAATCAAATATTCCCGAAATGCTACTTCATCCATTGCTTCAAATGTGCCATCAAGAACTGTGATAATATGGAAATATCGTGAAAAACATCACCACTGAGATGGGTGTGAGATTAATCAAAGTAAATTAAATTCGAGGTTTCATTTCCATCTCGTGCGTTGGTGAATATTTATAGCTGATATAAATAACGTCGCAAATGATGGTGAACATGAAGATAATAATGGAGCAGAGTTGAGTCGAGCAAGGGAAAAGGTAATTTTTTGTAATTGAATTAACTTCTCGCTTATTCTTCTTTTTCCTTCCTTTCATATGTTCCACTAATCATCCATTAGGTAACTGATGCAGGGAAATGTCAACGATGACAGGAGGAATTTCGTGTCATCTTCCATCGACAAAACCCTTCTTGAAATCATATTTTGTGCTTGCATTAAACTCAAACGAAAGAAGAAGATTTTGTGAAAAGAGTCAAGAAATTTCATTTGAAAAATTGCTTTGCTTGAAAAGACGGTAATGACAACGTTGATGGATTGGATGTTTGATTCAACAAAGAATGTTTTTGTTGTGTGTCAATGAAAATGAAATTTGTTTGAAATTAGTCGATAATTTAATTAAATTTCACCTCCACCTTTAAAAATTAAACCTGAAACTTGTTTGCGATTAAATTGGTGCAAAAGTAGGACAAGGAGGAATTCAAATCAAGAACTTTCATGCATTGTTAAGCTCAGCATATTACTTGTAAGATATCTTGGTATGAAAATGAATTGCACAAAGGATTGTGAAATTTGAGAATCCATTTGTAAAATGAAAGAAATTTCCAATCGAAATCTTTTCACTTTGCGAATTTATTCATCTCATCTCACAATCGTCTACGTGCATTTGTGCATTCTAAAAGCTTTTACTCACAGGAAGTTTTAACTATATCTTTATCACTATCATAAATATTAGCTGATGCATGTGTGATTGATTTCATACTTGGAGTTGTGCTGCTTTGTTTACGTGTTGTCCTTGTCGTTGACGTTACAATTGTCTCTGTCGATTTTAATGTTTCAATTATCCCAATTCCCGTTGCCAAAAATAAGTTCGATAATGAAAAATCATAACAATTAAAGTTGAACAGTTTGCCAAGCGAGCGACGTAAAAAAATGAAAAGACAAAAAAAAGGAAGAAAATAAAATGAAATTAGATTAATTCTCGTTTTTTTTAATTTAAAATCGATTGAACGATGAAAAAGAATGCGAGCGATGGAAAGGATTTCGGATTTCTGACCATCCCGAAAACTCTTCGCATTCTATTTCGACTCAACATTGCTTCAACATAAAAAAGCAAAAAAAATGAAATAAAATTAATTGAAAAAGTTTTGTGGCCATGTGAGTGAATTTATGTGTGTGTGTATGTGTATGGGGCAATAAAAGAACTTTAACGTGAATCTGATAAAATTGGATCAATAAACGATTTTCGCTTTTACCCATCATTCGATTTAGCCAATTTTTGCTTCAACATGAGAAAGGCAATAAAAGATTCGAATTACTCACCATCCTCAACACACATCAGCCCATCATCCATAAGTTTCAATCCTGTCGGACAAGCACACGATATTCGTGGACTTCTATCGGTTATCTTTGGTGCGGGTAAACAGAGATGAGAACAATGTCCATTCACAGCTTGGCAAAAGTTTTCGCCATCAGGCTGTCGATATGGATGATACACGTGAATGGTCATTGGATGTTGAAGCTGGCAAAAAGGAAGAGTGAAAGTGAGAGAATTACAATCAATTAACTTTCATCATTAAACTTTAACTTTTTGTTACCATGTGAAGAGCAGTGACGGGTTCAATGTCTGCTCCATTAAATTTATTGGCACGGAAAACTGCTTCCTTGTCCCAGTCGGTCCAATAAACCCAATCTTCAAATGTTGTTATCGAGAACGGATGTCGAAGGGTGTCGGTGGAATGAAGTACAACATTTCGTCCCGAACCATCGTAATTACATGATGAAATCACATTTAATTTGGCATCGACCTAAAGAGAACATAAAAAATGTTGAACAAAGAAGGAAAAGTTTTCAATTTTTGACTTTATTTACCCAGTAGACGCGTTTACGAACAAGATCGAGTGTCAGTCCATTAGGCCATTTAACGTCGTAACTGACGATTGTCTCTCGATGTGTGCCATCCATTCCTGCACGTTCAATTCTCGGACTTGAGCCCCAATCTGTCCAATACATCCAACCATCAAGTGGATCCAATGCAATCGCCCGAGGAATCTCCAAATCGTCTTTGATCAAAACTTTTCCCATATTTCCGTCAAAGTTCATAATTTCAATGGTGTAGCGACGTGTATCGGTGAAATAAATGTGATTATAAATCCAATCAACTGCTAAACCATCGGATGTTACTGTTTTGTCTTGTAACACTACAATCTGTTCAGTTCCCTCATCAATTGGCGCTCTGAATTGTTGCAAGAAAATAATTGAAATTGTATGTTGTAGACAAGTAAATAATTAAATATTGTTGCCTCTCTCCATTCAACTTACTTATAAATTCTCTGTTCGGTTACATCACTCCAGAAAATCATTCCAGTTCGAAAGACGTAATCGAGTGCGGTTGCTGATTTTGTGTCGTTAACAATTGACGTCATTTCACGATGATCGAGAGAAATTTTTCTGATGTCATGACGACGTGCAAATAATAACGATGCATGACCTTCCATGGCTTTACATTTTGTATGATCTCTGGGATCTCTCAAGTAACCTTTCTTACATTCACACTGTTTACAATCAAAAAAGATTCATTAGTTCAAGAAAACTACTTAGTTAAAACTAATTTCTATTAAAATTCTACCTTAAACGAGCCACGTTCATTTGTGCAAAGTTGTGAACATGAACCAGGAATTTCGCATTCATTTATGTCTTCACAAGTTTTGTTGTCTATGAGTTTATAACCAGAACGACATTCACAATAAAATCCAGCTTGGGTATCGACACACAATTGTGAACATCCACCATTGTTCACTTGACATTCATCACGTCCACATTTACCGACAGGTTCATCTTCAGAATCAGGACAATCTTGTTTCTTATCACAAACCTTTGAAAGTGGAATGCACATTCCACCCCCACAATCAAACTCTGTTTTCCGGTCGCATGTTCGCTTCGGTGCAGCTGTGAAATTTATCGATAAATTATAAATTCATAGATGAAAGTATAAAAAATGCTTACGGCAATTTAATTCATCACTTCCATCACGACATTCACTTTTTCCCGAACAAACGAAATGTCCAGCAATGCAAGATTTATCAGCACATTGGAATTGATCTGCACGACATGTTATATTTTGACAATTTGGCATCATTTCATCATCACCACCGGGACAATCTTGTTCGCCATCACAAATCCAACTACGATGAATGCATGTGATTCCATCCTTACAAAGATATTCCGCTTGAACGCATGACATTGGCTTCTTACGTTCGGTGTCATCTATTTTTGTACAATTCTAGAATGGAATTATTAGAGCATGAAAAGAAAATCTTCCGAAAGTTTGATGTTTTCAACAGAGAGAAGTGAAGTGAAGTGAAGTGAGTGAAAAACAAGTTGAAAGCTCTTCCCAGCTTTTTGTTTTCTGGTTTCTTGCTTCTGGCAGTTTTAATCCACTTTGAAATTAATAATTTATTATTACTTATTTAAGGTAGCAAACACGCCCCCGGACGATGAATGATAATTGAATTTCGGGTGCTTTTGGATATGAAAACTTTTCATGTTTTCATTCTTTTCATTAAACATTAAAATTCTCAAATCATGATTTCGGATTCTTTTTCTGTCTTGCTCAAAGCACATTTTGCCATCAGCATTTTCAAATTGAACGACCATCCGACCGTATGTTTCATGTATCTAAACTTTCCGATCTCTGATGGGAAAATGGAAAACAATAAAAGCAAATTTTCCGAAATCTTTTGTTTAAAAGGACAAAAAGAAAATGCATGAAGTTGATAAGAAGAAACAAAAGACATGATTTATGTTATTGTGATAAGAATAACTGAAGTTGGGACTGAAATTGGATACTGTAAGGAATATTCAACTCTGCTGTGTTTACTGAATAAACAAACGCAGATTATTCAGCTAAGAAGTATCATCTAAATATATTTTCAATAATACATAAACTTACTCGTTCATCTGACCCATCAGGGCAATCCAATTCTCCGTCACAACGCCATTTTGCTGTCACACAATACTTCTCTGAACATTGAAATTGTTTGATTGGATCACATTTTGTTGGTGTACATTTAGCCTCGTCAGAACCATCACCACAATCATCATCTCGATCACACACCCACCGACTTTGAATGCATCTTCCATTGCTACAGGTGAATTCGTCTGATCGACAAGTATCGTCTGTTTGGTAGAAATTGAAATTGAAATTGAATAAAATAAAATCAATATGTGTCACTTATAAAAATTCAATTTAATTTCTGTCTTGAAATCGGTTCTTGTCATGTCTGTTTAGTTTAGTTCTTTAACGTTGTGTCAGTGTCAGACAAGTTGAAATTATTTACTCAAACTGTTCGTTGTTGTTATTATTTTTGCTCTTTTTTGATCAATCAATTTCATTGTTGGTGTCATTATTGATTGAATGAGAAAACATTAAATTATACAAACATAAAAAAGCTCTCTTCAACAACGAGCTTTTCTGCTTTTTTCTTTCTTCCGTTTTTTGTTGCTACCGCCGATTGATTGCAAAGCAAAAATAGCAACAAAGTTTTATCATAATTTGCATAATTTCCGAATAAATTTACATCTAAAACAGCATTATGAGGGCTTTAGGGCACGATTTCTAATCAATGTTATAATATTCGTGTTTCGTTAACGATTCATTTGCTTCAAGAAGCATGTTCTTGATTAGTACTTTAGAATTATATCCGAATCACGTTCGTGCTTTATTTTTGAATTAAGGATAATAATTCACTGAACAAATCCTGACAATGTCCGCTTTAACGACTTCCCCAATGCATATCTTATGAGATGAAATTGATTTTCCATTTAATGTTGAAGACATTGTCATTATCTTTCAAGTTATATCCTAAGGTTGCTTCTTCCCTCAGCTGAGACGATTTAGATAAGAAGAAAACTGAATAGATTTACTTTAAGTCATAGATAAAGTTTAACTTATATTGCTTGCAATTCATTCAAACTTTATTATTCTCAATTGTTTCAGCCTCATCATCCAAAGCTACGAATAAGAAGAGAAAAATCGTAAAATTGTTAAACGTCTTCGTTTTGTCTTACAAAACTTTTTCTTTTGCCTTCTTTCTGCCATAAAAATTCAAGAAAAGTGAGTTGAGAATGGAAATAAATAAGAAAAGTTCAATAAGATTACAGAACATGCAGTTACAATAGAAAATTTATACTTATGGGAGCTTCTCGAAAGCTTCATTTTACTACGAATATGTATACGTATGTAGGTATCAAGGGAAAATGAGCTGGAAGGTGAAAAAGGGAAAGAAAACTTTACTTCATCTTAGCCATCTTAATACGAAACTGATTCAAAACGTTGAGAAAGTTTAGCTTCTCATTCTCTTACAACCTGCTTTGTCGTTGTCGCTTTACTTGCTTTAGAAAATTCAATAAAATTTTATCGTCAAAAATTTTCCTTTCCATGCATGAACTGCGATGTAAAATCTTTATCTTAGCATTTAATTTTGGGGTAGATTCGTAAATTCAGTAGATTCAAATGATTATCATTCCCTTGAAGATTGTGAAGTTCAGGAAATGACATCATTTTAAGATGAAATTCCGTCATTTTGATATGACGTAATCAGCGATTAATACCCTGAAGCTTCCTGGATGAAAGTCTCACTTCTATCATGTTATGAATGTCTTCATTGCTGTTCAACATAATGCTAAATACGAAGCACAAAGGAAGGATATGTAAGCGGCTTAAAATTGCTTCAGCATTGCCACAATGGAGCAGGATATTACCAAGGAGGAAAAACGTAAAAAAGAAGGAAAGAGTAAGAATAAACATGTCGCGCTACTTCATCACAAATAATTTCTGAGGTTGAAAGCACACAAATAGAGCTCTACGCTCGAATAAAAGCGTCTTGAAATGAGAGAACGTCTATAAGATGAGAAAACAGTGTTAAAGTTGCCTGCCCTTAAGGAATTCATAATAAACTTGAAACGTGATTCTCTAGTGTTCATTTCCACCGCTTTTCTCTTCCATCATTTTCCTTGTTCTTTTGTTTCTAGCAGAGGAGACATACTTACATATACAAAAAAGCAGAAAAAAGTGAAAAAGAAACGACAAAAGTACTTTTTTCTTTATAAAGTCTCATTACAATTAGAGACGCCTTATGAAAGGGCATGATGAAAGATGAAGGAAAAGCATTTTCTTTTTCCTTTCTCCACTTGCCTCGTGTTGGCCTTTTTCCTTTTAATTTTTTATGCCTCGAATTGAAAAGAACAAACGCGAAAGAAAAACGAAAATATTTAAGAAGATTACAAAATAAAATCCGATGCTTCATTAAAATTTACATTAAGCACATACACGACGACAACATTGGCAACTGAAACATAAAAAGGTTTCGTTGAAAATTAATTAATTTTTTTTCTCTAAACGTTTTCTTTCTTTAGGAAGAGAAGAAAAGCTTTCCGCTATTTATTACCATCACGTCACTCGATTAAGTCTTATGGGGTTACGACTAAAGACGGAACAGTGTGGAAAGAAAAAAATGAAATGAAAATAAAACGCTTTCTCTTTCCATTACAAATGAGCTTATAATTTGTTATGTGATATTAGATGTAATGAAAATGGAAAAGTGAAAAATCGTTTAGGATCACAGGATGGAATTCGTCTTTTACCAAAAAATATTTTAAGTGAAAACATTGAAGTCGACGCTTGCTGTGTATAAAACGAATACACATTGAGCGTGTGAGTAGTAAAAAGAATGTTTTGTTGCCATTTCAACTTTTTTTTCGTCTCTCAACTGTCAGACATTTTTTCTTTCGGAAGAAATGTCATCAAATTTAGCATTTTATGGAGATTAATGGTGAATCATTGCAGAACTGCTTTCGTTATTACTTACTTGCTGTGCTTACCCACAACGTTGAAATTGAATTAAATGAGACGGCATTTCAGTAACATTACGAAGATATTTTATTTTTTTTCCTTGTTTCTTGTTTCTATTTCCCCGCAAATATCAAGATTGTTTGCGTGGAAGCTTTAAAACAAAACAAAAGTTGCAATGAGAAACGAGAAAAGTTTGGAAAGAAACAAATGAATTCAACAATGAACAACGAGCTCTTAAGAAGAAAAAATAAAGAAATATAAAATATTTCAAACTAAATACAGAAAAAGAAGCTTTTCAGATGAAAGAAAGTTTACTCAAAGCTTCCCATTTGTCTGTTTGCTTACCGAGGAGTGGAAACAAAAAAAAGAAGTAAGAAAGAAAGATAACTTTTCATTATGCTGGATGCTTTTAAAAAATATCCAAATCTGAACGCAAATATTGTTTGATGCCATCATCAAAATAAATAAAAGTGAAAGAGGAAAGAAAACTTTTGTTTTCTTCTGCCTATGCAAAAATGTTTCTAACGAAACAAGAAAGAAAGTGAGAGGGGAGAGGAGGGAAACAAGAAAGAAACGAGTTTTTTCATCCATTTAAAGTTTCCATGGATTTAATTAAAACTTAATGGGTAAGGGACGGAAGAAAAGTAGATCTTTCCGGTTGTTTTATGTTTGCTTTTATGTTTATGTCAGCTCGTTTTCTGACCGAAAATTCTGGTCTGCCTTCTGTTTTGAAAATTTAAGTGTTTTAGTTGTTCCTTAATGCGTATAGGTGGACGAAATGGGAAAAGGTTACCAGCAAATTAAGTCGCTGAAGTTACTAAACACCCATTGCGAGCTTCACTTACATATATTACTCTTGTTAATGATTAAACAAATATTAAATTGTGACTTAAATTGTTCATAAACCTTCATGAACAACAAATGAATGCCTTAAAAACCCTTTTTTTATTGAGATAATTCTTGTTCTGGTTCACTAAATAACATTCAATAACATGTGCTTTTGGGTTACATGAAGTTGTTTTTCTTTCTCTCAAATAATCCCCAATCATGAATTACTGCGCGCCATTTCTAAAAAGGGTTAACAGACCAAATGTGTTTGTTTTTGTTTTCAATTTTGTTTTAGTTTTCTTTAAATAATTCAACAAGAGAAATTTCTTTATTTCTTTGTACTTGAATTTCTCTCTAAAGTGAATTGAATTACATGCATTCAAGTCCCATTTGTCATATAAAAGTTCACATTACATAAAGCTATTCAAGATAACTTACTGCATGAAGCTTCATCTGATCCATCGGTACAATCCTTGTTGCCATCACACATCCATGCTAATGGAATGCATTCACCATTGTTACTCCGACATGTGAAATCTTCCGACGAGCAGATTTTCGTCTCTAGATATTTGAATGAAAATGAAAGAAAAAATGTTTTTTTATGTTAAAAGTTGTTAGTCGATTTATGAAATTTCTCTTTGCGTTATTTCGTCTCCATGCATTAAAATTTCCAGAGCATAAATTACTCCTAAAACTAGTATTTTTATTTTCAATGAAATGAATAACGAATGATATGACAATGAGATGAAAATAAAATAAAATTTATTAAAAATGAACAAATGAAAACTGCGAAAATCTAAAAAATGAATTATTATTTCAAAATGTTAAAATACATATTTTCCTCAAAAATGTAATATCACAAGCAAATAAATAAATAAATAAACATTGCACATGAAAAGCTGTTGAATAAATATTTGTTGTCGCTTGTCGTTGTCACAATGAACCGGAGAAAAAAAAGTTCATGTGCATAAATCGAGAAGCAGAACAATTTATAACAAGGATTTTAATGTGCGACTAACAATTGCGATGAAAATTTATTTTCAAACATATTTCATCATCCATTACTGAAAATGCGAGTTGCGATGTTCAAAAAGAGAAAGGAGAAAAGGAAGCCAGCAGTTGTGTTGAATCTAAAGCCATTAAGTTGAATTTAAATATTTTCCGCAACGATAAAAGTAAAGTTACTGATATAGTCGACATGAATAAGTATTTAAGTATTTATATTTATATATACAGCGTCACAGGAACAAAGTTTGCATTGCATAATTTTTAATTACCCCTTTATTATCTAGTAGAGAATTTATGTATGGAGTACGGTTAATTATCATATAAATTGGAACTCGCGACAGCTATAAGCATGTCTCGCTTTTATAATTTGCACGAGTGCTATAATTTGAATAAATTTGATGTTTATGGACAAATTCAGAGTGAAATAATAATAATATTATGAAGTGATTAAATTCGAAACTGTGTTAAAACATTTTCAACGAAATGTATTTAAATTAGTACTGAATTGAATTCTTATCTACTTGAGATCTAAAGCTTTTATTTATAAAAGCTCAAGAGAGCTTCAAAAGCTTTCATATCTTTTAACTTGTCTCTTGGTAATTATTTCTTACAGCAACAGCAGCGAATGTAAATGTAACAAAGTAACGTTACCCTAACGATAAGCTTTCGAGACTCCGCAACCAAAGGTGATAAATTATGTTGAGTAAATGCAGTAAGCTGTGTCGAAACCTTTTCTTTCTTTTGTTATACAAAATGAAAATGAAGAAAATGAAAATTTTCATGAAATCAATGAATTTAAATTTGAAAACAGAAGCTCGAAAAATTCTTCTTTTCTCGAAAAAAAAAAGTTTTTTTCTTCTTTTTCATGTAGAAAACCATTCACTAAGCGAAAAGTAAATTTTTGGCTTGAAGAGTCAGTTTTCAACTCAACAATCGCCATGAATAATTTATGGGGAAGTAAGGCAGAAAGGGTGTTAATGACAACAAAGACTCTTTCGCTTATTTTTCCCGCCTGTAATTGCTTATTTCAACAAAGAATGAAAAAGGAGACCAAGTGAGAAAATGCAAAGTGTTTTAGGGAAATTGATTAAATACTTGTTGAATTTTCTTTCTCTCGTATTTTCGCTTTGCCGCTAAATTGCGTGCCAATCCCATTGACTTACGAGCGAATAAATACTTTGTGAAAGTTGAGAAATTAATTGAATTCTATCCTTAATTAATCCGACCACATATCAATCGAAAACTTTTATTACGTTTCAATTGTTCAAAGTTCAAATGTGAATAATTGTCGATAAAGTTGTTTGTAGTTGTTTGTTCATAGTCGTCGAATCTTTCAACATTTTAAGCTCTCTTACCACCACATGACTCTTCATCTGAGCCATCAGAGCAATCTTTTGAGCGATCACAAATCCAACCACTTGGAATGCATTGTTCGCCATTGCTACATAAAAACTCATTGTGAGGACAAAAAGTTTTCTTCACTACACAAAAATTAAAAAAGTTTTCATGATTAAAAAGTTTCTTTTTGATGATTGATGATTTGATAAGATTAAGTTTGAATTCATTAGCATGGAGATGATAAAAGCTTTTGAAACAATGACATTTGACTTACGACAATGACTCGTGTCTTCATCTGATCCATCACTGCAATCTTTTTCTTGATCACATTGCCAACGTTTTGGTATACATCGTCCATTGTTGCACCGAAACTGATCTGTTGTGCAAGTGTTTTCTGTAATGAAAATAAAATAAACATTTATGATTAGATAATTGCATTTGAAAGTATGTCAGAAAATAAATTCAAGGTGACTGCTAATCGATTTAAACTCTATTCAAATAGTTCACAATATGAACATATTTTCATTCATTTCTGTCATTAATTGTTCATGCGAATGATTTTCATGATGCGCAATTCATCAAAATCAAAATGTGTCGAGTCGTTTTTGAAGTAGACAGTCAACGCTAAAATGTGAACAACTTTATCTGTTGTTGCCACAGGCCGTTCGTAATTCTGCGTTTCATTTTACTAGATCGCTTTACATGGCAATTGCAAGTCGTATCAATCATAAACAAGTTTCGAATATTCTCTGCAATGTTATATAAGCATCCATCGTTGATTTTAAGCTGTTGCAAGTAATTGATCCATGATGTGCTAGCAGTCTCATTCTTGCTCTCGCTGCCTACATCACCGTCAAGAGTAGTCAAACATCTCAACTTTCCTTTACAGTCTGTTTGAAGATGATACCATTGATTTTCCATAATTCTTCGTCAAAATGTTATTTTCTTCTCAATTTGCAACCTTGAATGTGTTGCTGATGTTACTTTGACTTTGCAAGCATAAATATTTTATTGTCATTATCACAATAAAGCTTTTATATGTTGTTGACAATCTCGAAAATCTTCAGCTTTAAATTGCTTTCTTGCTAATGATTTTGTTCATCTATGAATTCTAATTGTGACATTGTCTTTATACTTCATTGTCAATTCAATAACAAACGTGAATAAATTACATTATAATGTTATCATTACATCCCTTATGAATTTAAATGCATTCATGATATTGAAAATTAAATTTGAAACTAGGAGAAACTTTACCAAACACGAGTTACAAGAGAATAATTAAACGATGTGATGAGAAGCAATAAATTTAAGTTAATTGTCAACAAGGTTTAGCGAGAAACTCTTCCCGGTTTAATAAATATTTAAAATGAAAATTTTCCCTCCTTTTTATCAACCATGCTTTGTACTAAATAATCTTACAAAGTTTAACATTCCGCATCTTCCTTAAGAATTATTGCCATATCGTTCTGTATTTAATTAACAAAACTAACAACTGCAATAATTATTTCTTCAAGGTTTTTATGAGAAAAATTTTACTAATTAAAAAATAATAAAAAGTCTAACATATCTTTAGTCATCTTGTAAAAGAGAGAAAGTAATAAAAATTTCTTTTCGTGTTCTTTTCGAGTCCTTTAGGAGCCATTAAGAATGTTCTTTCTTCTTTCTCTCATTTCATGACATATTTGATAATGACTATCACGTTTCATCAGACGTTCACGATATGTTCCATAGCTATGGATGAATTTGGGTCACCGAATGATTCATTTTGTTCCATATCTTTATCTGTATCTGACTAAATTAATTGTCAATGCAAAACGCAAATCATTTCCACAGACTTTTTATTCTCATTCTAGCTCACAATCTCAGGGTGCAAAAAAAAATAGCAAAATCGAGCATTTCGTTTTTTCTTATCTCGTTCTCGATTCTTCTTCGATCTATTTTCATCTCCTTCACATCGTGGAAACCTAAAAACCCACATTAGAAAGGCGAATTAGATTCACAGAGTTGTGAAATTCTTCCAATAAATGTACGAGTTTGGTTTTTGTTTGAATGAATACAGCGCGGGGGTGGAGATGAAAAGAAAGATATGAGAAGAAGAAAAAACCGGTGAGGAAAACTATTAATATTAAAAGTTGGTAGAGAGATGAGAATACAAAAAAGAAGTTTCACTCCGAAAATCCTTGACGAAACTTTTCTTTTTTCTTCATTCTGTTCTTCCGAAACGGAAAGTTCTTCAATGCTTCGTGTCGTTCTTCTTATATCTTGTAGCAATTCTTTTTTTTTCTCATCTTCCTAAAGCAGAAAAGAACTTTTCTACCGGTCGGTGAGTGCAGAAAAAAAACAGAAGCAAAAAGAAAGAAAAGTTTTCAAGTTTGTAGATGAATATCGCTGGGAATGAGATAACTGAATACTTAATGTACTTTGCTTGCCTGCGCTTCTTGTCGACGATTTCTGCTTCAGTATTCTCTCCTTCTGCCTCGTTATTTTTCTTTAATTTTTCTTTTAGAAAATACATTATATTATTATATAGGAAGAAGAAGATCTCTTTGGCTCATTAAAAGTAGAAGGAAAGTTTATAAAAACATATCATTAAGCAGAGCAAGTTTCATGCTTTACACTGTTTGGCTTTCTTCTCCGTCGCCGTTGATGAAGGAAAGAATTATATAACTCAATAGAGATAAGTAAATGTTTCATATCATAAAAGAATGAATGATAAAAATCTGATAAGTCTTCTTAAGAAATTAACTACATTAAGAGCAAACAAAAATTCTTTTAAATACTTTACGCAAATATCAAATTTATAAATAACGAAAACTTCTCCTCCCTACGATTGAATTAATATCCAAAGAAAAGTTAGAAATTCTCGCACATTAATTTTCACCTCAAAAACTTCTTTTTAGTTATTTTTCTTTTTGAATTAAGTATTGCTTACAATTTCCCAAGAGTTCTTCATTCTTACCAACCAGCAAGGACTCGTTTGAAACAAACAAGAATGATTGACATGAAAACTTTTACGTTTCTCTCTTATCAACGAAATTTATTAAAATATTTTTATTTTTTTGTAAACATTTCAATTAAAAAAATATTTTGAGAGTCAATGACTTGAAGTTTTATTTTGTTTGCTTCTCTTTACATTGAAAGGATGATTGCCTTTATTGAAAGTTTGTTTCTTTCCTTCCGATATTCAACCCGAACCATTGGCATCCTTTCAGCTTTTCAAGAATTTTCATTAATTTTTCATGCCACCAAACAAAAAAAAAGAGTAAAGAAAGCATTCGACTCTTAAAACAAGAGTGAAACTTGGGACGAGGGTTCATGTTTTAACCTCGCAAAGCAAGGCTGAAAAAAAAGGTTGATGTTTCCATTCCAAACAGTTACGAAAAAAAAGGAAGCAAAAAGTTTTATGTTTACTCTTGATTCAGAATATAAAATTAGAAATCGAACATGTTGAGAAAAACTATTTTTGTGTTTTCCAGCTAAACTCAAAGTCAAAAAAAGAGAAAAAACAGCGAAGCTTTCCCTCATATTGATTTATTGCGGTTCGTTTGAGAATGAAATAATTTTAAAGTCTGTTTTTGAAACGGGATGAAACACATAACAGAACATGTCGTGGGGTTGGCAGAATTGTAACTCTTCGCACTCGACGATGAAATATTTTACGTTCCTATTTTCATCATCTTCAAATATTATTTCCCATTTTCATTATTCTTCTACCTTTGTTGTTCTTCCTTTCCAAGTTTTGTTGCGGTATCGCACCATCGATAGCAGCAATTGTTGACAAAGCCACGAATAACAATAATAAACTTTTATTATTCATTGTCAAAAATTATTTTCCTCTTTTCATGCACAAAAAAAAAGTTTCACTCAATTGCACAGGAAAACTTAATTCGATAATTTATTTCTATTTAATCTTGTCGTCACTTATTTAACTTATTCTTGATTCTTGTCATTCACAATACTTAATATTATTAAATTTAATGCAATTTGTAATCTTTCAGTTTTATTTTCTCACTATGAAAAGATTTTTTGTTGTTTTCTTTCTTTCTTGTTTCAAATTGATCTACGAACTTTCACTCGAGGGAATCTTGTTCTGGCCAGTTATGGGCTTTTGAAATCCACTTTACGCTCTTTCTTTATCTTTTGTTTAAACGTAAGTTTTCAAGCATGAAACATTATCAGTAACTAATTATTATTCCTTTTCTTTTTGTGCCTTTCATTCGCCACTCTTCACTTTTCTGAACTTATGATTTGAAGACAAAAAAGTATCCGCGCGTTCGCGAGTTTGATCTCCGTTTAAGCATCCACACAGAGCAAAGATCTGGAATAGACTGATGCGAATATTTTTCTTTCCATCATCGCATATGACAGTAAGATAAGGTTTACAGTCGAGCTTTTTTCTGTTTGGAAAATCACGTAAAACTCTCTAAATTGTGTTGGTGAAAAGACATTGGAAGTTGCGCAGCATCCAACGAATGTTATGGTGTTGGTAAGTCTGGAAAATGTTCATTCATCATCGAGATTGAGTTTCTTGGAACATTGGAACACGCGAAGGAAAATTTTGAATGAGTTTTCTTCTTTTATTCTGGGGGAAATTTTCTGAGGACAGCAGGTCGGGCAATGTTGCCAGTTCGCACATTTTTCTGTATCAGCGACTTAAGTTTCAATGCCTGAAACAATATTTTCATCTTTTAATCAATAGAATAAGATGAAATCTCTTAAATTATTTTTTCAGCTTCGAAAACGTGCGGAAGCATTTTTCTTCTTATTTTCTCGTCCATGGATTGCTTCCGTAACTTGGCAATTTTATTCCACAGACCGAAACTAATAAATCTACTCGCAAACATTTTCAATGAATTGCTAACCCGTCGCGTCATATTTTGTCGGGAGTCAAAGATGCGACGCTGACAACAAAAAAGAAATCTAATCATAAAAATGTAACAAAGAAAAATTGACATAAATTGCAATGAAAAAAATGATTAAATCACCGACACCACAATGACACTTGCGGGGTTATCGCTGATAAATTATTCCTCTCAGTGTCATTATTCATTTACAATAATATTTATCCTTTCTATCCCATCTCGTTCTATTCAACCCCCTTCTACTCAACGAATAATTAATTTAGATTGAAACAATTTCATTATGGATAGATATTTGTGAGGCGACACACATTATTGTGTGCAAAACATGACGCAAATAAATAGCCAAGCAACGAGTAGAGAATTGACATAGGATTCGACCTTCATATCGACATTAGAAACGAAATTTTACTGAATTTTCTTCGCATTTGATTAATTGTTTTGGAATGATGGGAACGTATTTCATTTCTTATCAGTAACGGCCTCACAGACGCGTGTGCATCGCTTTAAGAAAACGCAAAATACGAGACGAGAATCTTTGTCATGCTACGACGTAGTTTTGACGCCACAATTCAGATCTCGGAAGTGCTCTGAATGTCAGAGTCTTTTTTTCCATCTATTTAAGTATGAGGTTATCATGGGGAATTGCGCAAGGCTTCAGTACATAGCAGAATCACCATAAGAACAACATACAGAATTTTTTGCGATAGTAGAAGGTCGAATGAAACGACCATTAGAACGATAGTCGTTCTTGATTTTTTGGGCTATAAATCTACTTTCATTTTCTATTGAAGCTGTTCAAGCTTGATGAGTAAACGCAATAAAAAATGAAAAGTTTTGCGTGACAGAAATTTAATGTTCGTTCGGATTTCTTCCAATTGACTTTGTTCGATGAATTATTTATAGATTTAAGCAGAATATTTAATTTCTCTTTTACGCATTTACTCTGAAAAATTCAGAGCAAACAAAGTGTTTTAAAAGATTTAATGCGATGAAATTCTCTTTATTAATTTTGTTTAATATTTCATCAAAATAATTTTCATTACAATTCTGTGAAGATTTAAGCATTGAAGGTGTAAGAATAATTTTCGAAGTGAAACGTAATGTGCTTCGTAAATGGTTCGATTTAACCAGACTTACATATTTTGTATGTATCGACATTAAATTATTCAATTTTCAGCATCAAATGAGTCGTAAAATTCGTTCAATTGCAACATGAAATTTATTCACTAGACGATAAAAACAGAAAGAAAAAGAACGAGACACGAACTCGAGACGGTAAGACTTCAAACCGGTCTTAAAATTGCTACTAATTGCTACTTTAAGTTACAGTCTTGTTAAGTTTATGATGAAAAACGGCTGATTCAATAAAATAGACGCATTGCACCGGCCTATTGGCTTTCGCTTTTTGACTTTCAAGCACATTTTACAGGTTTAGATAATCGACGTGCTTCGAGTTTAAAAGTGTTATAACAATAATTTATGTTTCGCGGTTAGATATGTTGTTGTAGGTAAAGGTTGGAATCGCAAAAAGTCATTTCGTCGTTGAGTGAATTGTAAGAAGATAAATTATTGCGTCAGTCAATTTCACACCGTTCTTGGTGTATCTAAAGCAAAGAAAGGAAGAAATAAAGAGAGAGCAATGGAAACGAAAGAAAAAAATCCCCAAAAGTTTACTCAACGAACGCGCTCGATTTTCTGCTTCAAAACCTTTTAGCATTAGTAGAATTGTGACGAGAATTTATCATCACATTAGCATAAAGGAGCGATCATAAGTCATGCCACACTTTGATGTTAAAAAATGAGCTTTTGATGGAACGATTACGATATTCTTGAACGATTTCATCGAAATATGTTTCTGCACAATGAAACAAGTACATATTCTGTTTTATATTATATTGGAATTAATAATGCAACTCAACAACTCAAAGCTTATAATTAGATAAATAACAAAGTTTTTGCACTATCAAGGTGAAAATATTTTTATAATCCAATATCACAATAAAGCTTTCAGCATATGAAAAAGCTTACGATTTCATGCTGCGCATTTATTATTTTTATTTCTCAAAGAACAAAGCACTTCTCACTTCATTGTGTTTAATTTATTCTTGCAACTGCAACTTTTAAAGCTTGTTTTGTTTTTGTTTGTAAACAAATAAGCTTTATTCTTTTTAATAATAGTTCAGGACAATTTTCATAATTGAAATTAAGTAAATAGTAGATTTTGATCATTACAGAATTTAATTTCCCTTGCGGTTCAAAGTTTGAAAGCCACACAAAAAAAGCGAAACTAATAATTGTAAAATTTTAATGTTAAGCTCAATTTTGAAATTAGGTCAAATTGATAACAAGCGGTAGACTGACGGGATATTCATTTAATCGCCAAACTTCTAGTATTTTACTCACAAGAAGAGGTTATCAATTCCATTTATGAAAAGTGTGTCATTTCAGAAATTGGAAATTCAGCTAAAAAGGTTTGAAATCATTGCTGTTACATTTCTGTCTTTCACCTAAATAAATATTTTATTTTTAAATTTTCTTAATTAACTGGTTAATTATTATGGAACTTCAAGACGTAATTTCGATACTTCAGAATTTATGTAACATCTGCGAAGGCTTTACATCGGGCGTTGAATGCTTTGACGATTATTATGGCGATATTACTTAAACATTTGTTGGAAGAATCATTTAATTTCTGTTTCATTAACAAAGTGTTGTTATCTTTCTTAGTTGAATTTTCTGTTATTTAGATACGAATCAATATTTCGTTTCATTATCAAAGTCTGAAAAGTTTGGAAAGTGCAATTTAAAATTAACGGTTTTAATCAATTTAAAATTAATTGTTTAGCTTGTTGCAGAACTTGAAGGGGTAAATTGAAACAATTGAAAAATAAAGTTTTTCTTGTGTTTCTGTCGAAAATTGAATTTTCCTGTTGAAGAAAAACATTTTTTGAGAGGTAAATGACATCAAGTCTTTACTTACCAGTCTTTTTTCATAAGGTTATGTCATATTTTTATCACTCATGAGATGTTTTTTGACAGAATTGATAAGAATAGATTCGATGGTAAAAGATTTTATGACAGATTTTTTTTTATCTCCGGTTATAACCAATTTTTCAGTAAAGTAAACCTTTTACGCCTTTATTCTGTATGTAATCGATCTTGAAACATTACATAGTCATTTTTTTATAAAATATCATGTTTTAAAAGCGAAAATTTCATGGACTTTCATTAATCTATTTTGACGTAAAAATCTCGTTTCACTTACCTTTATTAAAGCATTGTTTCGGATCTTCATCGCTATTATCGGAACAATCAAATTCACCATCGCAAGTGTATCTTATGTGAATACATTCACCAGATTTACATTGGTACTGACGTTCAGTACATTTCCGTTGACGCACTGAAATGAAACGAAATTGAAATTTAATTAAAGAATTCTAAAAAATCTTCTTGTTCAATGAATTGTGTCATTTATCCACTAAGAAAAAAGATTTTGAGTCAATGACATTTAAGGTGAAAACAAAAATTGTAAGCCTGTGAGAAACTTTAATAAAATTTAATCAAGCCAACGTAAAGTGTGCGAAGATTTAATTGAATTAAGATGATTGTTTAACAATTGATTTTAGAGCCTGAGGTCAAATGATAATCATTTAAATAAACTTTTTCGTCTTTTCCCGTGTCGAAAAATATGACGACTTAATGTATAGTAAATTTACCTAAATATTAACAGGAAACTCAAATATTGAGCTTAGAATTCTAAATGCACATACTTTGAGTGACTAGGAAAAATTCCGGACGATTGAAGAATTTTTTTTATAAATAGAATACAAATCAACACTTGCTGGCCTTTTCATAAGCACTTGAAATAAATCAATACCATGACGAAAGCCAAATCAAAACATACAAGTCATTCAATAATCGTTTTTGACGTATGAGACTTCAAAAAATTGATTAAGTCTCTTGAGACCATCATTGCCGTTAATTTGTTTATTCTCATGTTGCCCCACGTCATATGTCTCAAGTTGACAGTCAAACATTGTCGAACCTTTTCGGGCTTAAGAAAGAAAAAAATCATTCTACGACTACGGTAAATGTTTTGTAAATAAAATCTCGAGATTTAAGCACATAAATGGTTTAAATGATTAGACATAAATATTTCTGTCTTTTGAAGTTTATTAAATCGGAAATAAATCAAACTTGGATCAAGGTAGCATTATGAAGATAAGAAAATTACATTTATTTTTATTGTAATCTTCGTTGGATTCACTCTCATTATTTTGGATGAAAACATTTTTTTTTTGCGAGAAGTCGTTACGACCTTCTTCTTTGTAACCTGCTCAAATGTCATGATGAACAAAATTGCGTCGCAAAAAAAGGAAGAAAAGCTTTGATGGCAAGATCAAGATCAAGATATGATAACAAAAAATAATCCATTCACGTGTCGTTGTTTCATTACAAAATGAAAGAAGAAAAACATGAAATCGATCAGTATTTATCGCCACCATAATTGTTTTTGCAATTTTACGTCGTAAAACTCTCACAATGAATTTTTGTTTTTATCTCTATTAACATTTAAACGATTCCAATTGTTTGCTGATTTCAAGCTTTTCTCCATTTACAAATATCGCATAAATTAAAATCAACTGCCAGATTTTTTTTTATCACAAAATTACGCTTGAGAAAATTTATTTTATCAGTGAAACTCCTGCCGCCTTTTCTCAGTCCCTTTTAAATGGTTTCCACAAAGAATAGAAAAATCCTTAATTGCCTTTCAATTTTAGATTTCAAAGAGCTTTTACAACGCGTAAGTGTATTTAAGTCCTGAGACATAAAACATTCTTCAGCCCGATAAAATATAGAAACCTGGGAGTTTCTCGATCTGATTACAGTTGCGGTAGAAGCAGAATAAATTGGATAAATTGTTCATGACGCAAATACTAGAGACGAATAAATTTAATTTCAACTTCAAGTGGCAAGAAAAAGGTTAAACTGAAATCCCATTATGCTTAAATACTCAAGGTTAATGAACTTCCACGTGAATCTTTTGAAGTCTTTCATTTAGGTATTTATAGACGTGCAAAAGAAGAACTTAACTCCATGTGTGACAATGAAATAAATAAATTTCCATTCTCAACCAGTTGTTGTTCTAAGTATCATCCTAACCAATTACATTAAGTAGAAAACTGAATTAAAAGATAAAACGAAGACGTGACAAGGTGATGAGTTACGAAGAAACAAGATGAAGATGAAGAAAGTTTTCAAAGTAATTGAAATGGAATGAAATTCAAAATGTGATATTGAATTGGAAATGCTGTGGATTGTCAGTTTGACAAATATTCTCTTTTTCTTCTGAACATTCTGGGATTCAATTTGCGAAATGATATTGAAAATTTCTAAAGTAGAAGTCGAGTCTCAAAATAAAGGCTCCGGTAACCTTTGAACTTTGCATCGTAAAATCACCGATCAATGCGACGCTAATTGAATGTTTATTTGCGCTCAATAAATTACTCAATTGACTGCGTCGCCGACAATTTTTATAAAAACAACTTACTTATTTTTCTTCCAGTTTTCATGGAAAAAACAAATCACCAGACGTTGATTCAATTGAGTCAATTAAGTGTAACCTAAGTGCTATTAAACTCTTCAAATTTATTACATTTTGAACTGACAGTTTTTCAGATTAGGAAATGGGTGCAAAGTGAAAACTTTCAATTGAAATAGTTTCTTAAAAGAAAAATAAATCTTCGTCCATTGTCTTTCAAAAGGATTTGATTTCTTCCTTTCAAGGATCATTAATTTATCCAACTTGTGTGGGGATGGACGTCATGAAGATGAAGTTTATAGAAAATTGTTTGTCTTATCTTGCCATCGCATGATACTTTTTAACAATGAAACAAAGATTACAATAAGTGACCTTACATTAATCTTCATCTTCGTTCGTATTTCATAGTCAAAGTTTCAACCTTCGATAGATTTTTGTTAGTACCAAAGTGGACATCATGAATTATTGTACGTGTCCAACAAGAATCATGAAAGACATGAAAGACGAAATAAAGAACTTTTTCTGAAAACGATGAAAGATTTGATGAAGTTACTTAATTCTATTGTTCATTGTCGAAAGAAGATTCCATTGGAATTTCATTAAATGAATGAAAGCAAATGTTTTCTCAATATCTTGCCATTATAAGGAGATTTCATCAAGTCGGTGAAACTCAATTGTTTCATTTTATTAGCAAATATGTTGAAAATTCAAACAGAGAACGATTTATCTTATCGATGATTATCAAAAACCAAAAAAGGTTCATGAATTGGAAAATTTAGGAATCTAATAAATTTATTTAGACCATTTTATGATTGTTTAAAGCTCTTCGAATTCATCGAAAATTTAAATCAAAATACGAAACGCGAATCAATAAGTTTAAGTTAAATAAACAAATGCAAAACAATGTTGAATTTTATTGAAATTGAGATAACTTTTATGATAAATTCAAGTCTGAAGTTCATTGATTTTCATATCAAATTCGCATTCACCTCAACCAACTGGCATATCGTAATAAAAGAAATTTCATTTCGCTCTTTTCGTTTTAAGAGTTTTTTCCCGAACGTAGCAGATCCTTTACAAGATTTCACTTTTTTTTTTCTCAATCAATTGGCTTTCGAAAAGTAATGTGTTAGGAAAATTTTTATTACGCAGGATTCGGATGCGTGAGTTCACCATAAATATACAGCTTCAAGTAAAGATCTGTAAGTTAAATAGAAGCAAAGAAAAAAAGTTTTTCAATCGTAAACGATTTTTCTTATCTTTAATCTCATTTGAAAATTTATGTTTTCAACTTTTCTTTTCGCAATGTCTCTGTCGCTGCTTAAATATGTAAGGAAACTTTTTAACATAACGCTGATATTTATTTCTGGAAGCAAATCGACGATGAAAAATATTTATTTCAAATCAACCATAAGGTACATTCACGCCAAATAAATTTAGCACGAGACGAGAAAAATCAGGAATGGAGAAAACTTTGATATGAATCATAATAGAAATGGTCTTGTTGATCGAAAAGAAAAATAAATTTATGAATAAAAAGAAGAAATATTAAATTACGATAAAATCAAATACGCCTCAACAATTTCTTTTCTTTCTGCTGCTTTCATGTTTTTAAAGAAGTTTTCATTTTACGGTAAAATTTGAAATATTTTGGTTGCTGAGTCAGCTTTGTAGGTTTTTTTCCAGTGAAATTCAGCAATACTTTGTAAATTAATTTAAATAAACAATTTGACAAAGCTTTAAAAGTTTCAAAAGCATCTTAAATATTTATTTCTATAAATAGATAATGAGTTTCAATGTCAATCTCAACAAGAATTGCGTCAATACACATCCAGATTTATCGAATTCTGCGTCTGGTTTTAAGCTTATCTTAAATTGCTATCTCAAAATATCTTCAGTGGAAAACTGTAAATATTTTCCAAAGATTTTCTCTAAATATTCTCACATGAAACAAATGGAAAACTCTGATGAAATAAATATATTCTCCCCAATTTCCGGCAAAAAGTGAAAAAAAGAAAGTGATTTGCATAAAAATTTGATATCATCTGCTTCTTTCCTTTTTTCTTCCAACTTTAGACTTGAAGAAGTTCTATTATTGATTGCATACATTTATGAAAATTTTGTTCCAAATTCAATCTTTGCTTTAGTACTTGAATGCTTATTTTCATTTCACCTTCATGGTGCCATGTCGTAAAGAAAGTTATTTGAAGTCGAAGCAAAAGAAGATGAAATTGGGCAACGAAACTAGATTGACATATGCTGATGAAATATTCACAGTTTATGAAAACATAAAAAGGTAACACATTTGCAAGATATTTTCTTTTGCCTTCATCTTACTTTCATTTCCATCAAATCCACTTATGGCTTCTTTCCTTTTCCTTCTTTTTTTTTGTTCATTTTCTCTTTGAGCTAATTTAATATTTATCCATCGCATGTTGCGTAAAGCTTTTGATACTCGACTTTCGTAATAAATGTTGCGTAAAAATATGATTTTCCCTTTCCGAATTATGGACTCCATGGTTCTTTATCATGAAAATAAATTCAACAAACAGGCGAATTTTATTAGACGATTTCCAGGCATCATGGTCAGGTCTTGAACTTGTGAGAGTTGCGGTTTTATTTTCTGGTCTGATGTTTTATGTATTTATTGGAAAATCCTCTTTTCTTCATGTTAATGTCGAGTTGTGGAACTAACGAAAGTAATTCCACTTACGAAATTCTTTCTCATCCACATCGACAGAGGGTCGAAGGCAATAATAAAAGAGGAAATGAAATCCTCGATGGACAAAAAGGTAAAGAACGAGAAAATATTTTATTTCTGCCACTTCTTACAACTCTTTGAATGTAACACACAAATAAATAAAGGCAGAAGAACAAGCAGGGAAGAGAAGCGTCTTAAACAGAACAGGTAACATAGATAAGACGTTCATATGGGATTCGAGCAACGTAAATAAAAATCCTTTTATTCAAACCATTCTTTAGATCACAATAGAAGAAATTCCTTTTCGCATCGGCTGCTCTCTTTCTTTATTACGTATGAAAAGAAGTTGAAGAGATGTGCCAGTAAAGAGGCAAACGTACTTGAGGGTACTTAAGTGGAAAAGTAATTCGGGGAATGTCTTGTAGGCTAAAAGTAATGCGTGTCAATGCTCTAACACGATTCAGTCAATAACAAATGATTTTACTCTGTTAGGGGTACCGACCGGTCGATACGATAATTATAAAATGAATTTACTTTTATATTTATAATCTAGAATGACATCAAGTCATCTTTAACCCCGAAAGTGATTGCCTTAAGAAAAAGATTCACATTTAAAGCCAATCAAATTTACAAAACATTTGACTCAAGTGATTCAATTATCGCTTCTTGTTTTCTTTTTTTTTGACACGAAAATTTTCGCTCTCTTCGACAAATCCAATTCACTTACACATCTCAAGTTGTTTTCTCGTTATTTCTACTCAAATTCTTCTATTTATGTTGGTACTTAAACATATCAAAAGAGTGAGTTTGTTTCTTTTCAAATTGAGAAGTTGACAATATATTTCTTGCATAATGTTTGTAAGAATACTTACAAATGGAAATCAATTAAATTTTATTGAAATTGATTTCATATTTGCTTAAACTTTTAATATTTTAAAGAAAATTACAACAAAAAGAAATGAATGAAAATTTTCTTAACGATTTTGAAACAAATACAGAAAAATCGTCTTTTCTACTTTCTTAAACATAACCATTACACAATATCAACAACCCAGGATGTTTTGATAGGTTTGAGGAGTTGAAAAGGGAAAGGAAACCTTTTGAGAAAATTGTTAAAATCAATGTTAGGCACGTGGCGTTCGTGATTGAGATGCAAAGCGTTTACATCTGATTCATTTTGATCGATTAATATTTCAAAGATGTTATCACAATTTCTTTTTTAATACATCAAACTAGAATTGCTTGCAATGAATGACGAGAAAGTCTTTCTCTTTTTGTATAATATAAATATACAGAAACATTATTAACAATGTTGAGTGATTCTGACACGTCATTTCAGTGGGAATAGAAATACATTCCTAATATGTACGTACGTACGTATTTATCATCTAGGGAAAGTGAAACCTGAAATCCAATTTATCAAATCCTTTCTCAATGTGATCGTCACACGCTTATCATCACAAAAATAGTTCAACATCATCTTAGAAATATTAAATGACTCCATCAAGTGACGCCAAGCAAACAACATAAGCCAATTATTTTCATGCAAGTCAAACCTTTTATATTTATCAACAATCGATAAAGTCGCAATGAAGTGAAGGAAATTGTCTTGACTTTAAAGCAATCAGATATAAATTTAAGTTGTAAGAAAGCAAGGAGTTGAGTTTATATTTTAAAATTTTCTTTTAATAGTTTCAAGATCGTATTACTTATGTTGTGTGGGTGGAAAGGGGAAGTTTAAACTTTATTCGATTGAATCAACTTTCACCATCCGAAACGAACACTTTACGTGTTCAATTTTGTTTAAGAAACGCTTTGTTAGAAAATAAATTAAATTCCAATAGCAAGTCGAGTGTAAATGCTTCCGATTCACTTAATTCAATTGTTGAAGAGAAGGGGACGAAAGTGCATTTACCAAAAGATTTTCTAGGGTTCTATTAATGTGGTTTATTTGTTATTAAGCGATTTACTTCATTGCATTATTCAATAGAAAATAATTGTGAGATTGTGAATGGGAAAGAATAAATCACACGTTGACGGTGGGTGGGTGGAATAATGAGTAACGGGTGCTGTTGGAATATCTCGTGAATCATCAATTTGTCGGCATCAGCAGATGTCGTCGATTACTTGAAACCCAAGTAGACCTGCTAACAATAGCATAGACAGATCAATTAAAGTCACATTGAAGCTTTGTTAAATTACATGAACTGCTCGAAGGCAACCGAGCAAATTAGTCAAATTGCCTTTTTCGAACATTGATCACAGATGTTTCACAAAATGTTCTAATGAGATAATTTGTTCAATGCTGTCAAGCGTCAAAACCAGAAGGATGCGCATGGAAACTATTTTTAAAATGATTTTACTTGAAGAAGAAGTCATCAAAACTTTCTACATGAGTAGCATGAGTGGATCACGTTTCATATTAATAGCATAATTCAATAAGAGCTTCACATGTGAATGTTCATTGCAGTATTTTCGCTAGCACTTATGATAAATTTATTGTCATTAAAATTGTCTTGTTTAATATTAAGTATAGAAAATCCACTGATTTCTTGATCTTGTGATTAACTTCAATATTGATAAAAGAAGGCAATGATGAATCGAAGCAGGAAAATCCGAATGTCTTCCGGACTGAAGATCTCTGTTCAATGTTAATTATAAAAAAAATCTATCAATCTTCTCAAGTCTGCATTGGGAGCTTGTTGTAGACGACGAGAGATTTAGGATGAACGAATGACTTTAAAAAACGGAAAAGGAAATTTTTCTGCTCAATGATCTGAAATAAATGCTTTTTCACACAGAGTGAGATTCACTTATTGCCTTCGATGAGTTGCAAGAAAAAAAGCCAACCAGAAAGACAGTTCAGTAAAGCGCTACATTAGATGAAAGATGTGATGATGTCTGCACAGGAAATATTCACAAAACTGTCGATACTTATATCAATACAAGATGGTGAACCGAAACAAGGAAGTTTCAACTTTCTATGCTTGTCGTTTAGCTGACAAAATCTGAACAAGTTGTCAGCAGCTGTTGAAAATGTAAGGAAATTCCTTTAAGGGCTCTATTTATGTAATGGGATTTATTTCAAAATAAAGTCACATGATCATCTAATATGCTTGTAATGCCTTCGGGAACAGAAACATCACAAAGTGAGAGAGATGAAGGGAAGGAAAAACAAATTTATGAAGCCTAGAAATATTGCTGACATCACGTTTCAAACATTGACTCTTCAAATATTTTTTTCATTATAATTTATTGAGGTTCCAATTGACCTTGACTTAACACACATATTCACCCCTTTCCTAACATCCAACAACGAACCCTTTCAATTCCAAACATGATTTCTTATATTTTACTTTCTTTCTGCTTGCGTTTACAATTTCAGCATGAAAACATTTCTCATGCTCTTTGTTTGAGATTCGCTGTAATGTTATGAAGAAGTTCATTCTGTAAAAAGCTTCCACACATATTTATCTTTCCTTCCTCGTTTACTTTAAAGCTTTTCCTTTCTCTTCAACCTTTCCATGTAAGATTTATTCGATAACTATGCTAACAAATTATAAAACTTTTCCATTTTGTTGAGATTCTCGTTGGATTTTCTTTTCTTTTTGTCTCTGCTTTTTTTGAATCATTTTTTCGGTGTAAAAGCTCGCAAGTGATGCGCGAAAAAGCAACGAACGAAAACATGAATGGAATTTAATTTCAGTATAAACACATATCACCAGCGGAATTTACCATAAGGAATGTCAGAACACATCGTATGTTAAATTCACGACTGTTGTCGGTGGCATTTAACATGGGTTTTCGTTTGCTCTATCAACGAAAAAGAAATTCATAAGACTCGCATGTGCTGCGATAAGTATCAGCTTGAGATGAAGATGAAGCAAGTAGATTATATTCGATTTGGTTGACTCGATTCTTTCAGTATTTACAGAAGCTGGAATAAACGACCATAAGAATTATTAAAATTTATATTTTGTGGATGGTAAACGAAGAGACGAGAAAATTTGAGTTTCAGATAATAAACCGCACATCGAGAATTTATGCTCGTAAAAAGCTTCAGAAAATTTTAATAATTTCAAGATGCAAGTGTTACGTTTAAAACAGGAGAGGAGAATGAATGAAGTAACAATGCACACTTTACTGCAACAACCTTAGTAATGACCCGACTATTGTTAATATGCAAACAATGATTTTCTAACTTGATGGAAATTACCTTCAGAGTTATTAAAATTATTTTGAAATAACAGGAACTTCGTCGTTGCAACAAAGGAAGCTTCAAGTGTGGTTGAAGCAAACAAACAATCAGTTTAAGCTTAACACATTTAGAACTCATTGAACCTTCACTTTACCATTAAACACAACTCAAGATTTTTCACCTGACATTTGCATTATTCTTTCATTAGAATCTGCAATGAAAATTCCATTAGCACTTCGACTGCATGTTGGTTCTCTCCAACACAGAATGAACATTAAATTTCGTCGTCGCAGAGTTCTCTCGAGTATCTACCTAAGTGTTCGTTTTTAAATTGTCATAATATATTGCGTGCACTGAGTGCATCATTTTATTGTATTTTTCCCTCACATAAAGTTGAAGCTAGAACTTCCAACGACAGCTACATTTAATCATCATTACAGGTAAGTACTCTAAGTACCTCATATCCACGACAATATTTCGTCTCTATGCATATTCACATTGCCAAATTGCATGCAAAAGAGATTATTACGTTCAAACTCGACATATATCAAGTTCATTGTACCACTATGCTCAGCACGGCGCATTTTTAGTTCGCAAAAAAGAATCCGAAACGAAAATCTCGACAGCTGAGAGAGACAAAATAAAATTCTTCAACTTTTGTACTTAATTTTTGAGAAACGACTCGGGAGGTTTATTTAGGCACGAAGGTATTTCATTGGAAATCCCGGAACGCAATCGAACAACAGATGCAGTAAGATCGATTGGATAACATAGATTAAGAATTCTTATAGAATGTAAAATGATTTTCTTCTTTTATTATTCAATTTAAAAAACGTTTTTTTAATATTTTCTTATAATCTTTAAAGATTATTCAAAGAGAAACAAAGAAAAGATAAAAGGGAAGAAGAAATTAACAACTCTTTTTTCAATTTATCTTTGAAGACCTTCGAAAAACCTCAGGTAAATGTTTTCAAGTGTCACCCAATTTGTTATCATTTTTGGGTCTTTTGTCAATGGATTTGTATGGTTGACTTTACCAACGCCAATTTATATTTATTTGTTCAGAAAGCTAAAAAACAAAACAAGAACTAGAAACCCTTGTCCAGGTGCTTACAGAAGAGTCATAAATTAGAAGGGATACGATGAGATGAGAATCTTTACACGGAAATATGTTGACGAGTGAGAGAAACGCGACACGTTCGACGACGATGAACAAAAATTAACAAGATAAGCAATTTGATGATCATTCTTATGCCCTTAACAACATTTCAATAAAATAAAATGTTCAATGAAATGACAGTTTGAAATTCTTTGTTGAGAGCTTGTTACAGTTTAGTCATCGCTTCTCCGATGCGACTAATTTATTTCAAATTCTCATCCCATTGAGTTCCTTCTCGCATTTCGATTATGTTATAAATGCCCTTTTCAAACTTTTCTTACATTTTCATTTTCCCATCTCATTCTCTTTCTTCCATCTAACTGAAATCGAATTAAATTGTTACTGATGCTGCCGCGTATCTGAAACATTTAATTGGAACCGAATTGGTGGAAATAAAATATGATACCGTAATTTTTCATTCGCCGAGTTTGTGTTTGCTTCTTCACGAAGGTTTCGTTGCTTTTATAATTTTTTTTTCTGTTTTGCTTTTTTGGATAAAATAAATTGAGACAAGACTGAGAAATTTATGTTGTAAATTGAAATTTATTTAATGTAATTTTTCCTCTGCTAAATTTTCGCACAGTTCTGTTTGAAAAGTAATTTTAATTTAGCATGTGGAATGGTGGAGAGAAATTCTCAAATAACGTAACATGTTGAAATGAATGAAAATTGTCAACAAAGGTAAATTTTTAATGTTACTTGAATTTCGAATGTAAACACAAAAATGTCTTCTCATATTTTAAATTCAAGTCATAAGTGAAATGAGAAATTCCTCATATTCATTTCATTTCAATTTTCATTATTTTCTTTGAATGTTTAAACATAAAAATTAATCTTGAAGCAAATTTATGTGAATGAATTTCTCTTTTATTTAATGCAATTATTTTACGATTAAAGCTGGCCTATTTTATTTAAAGTCCTTGGGACTTAATTACTGGAATAGTCAATTATTTGACTAATTGCTCCTTCATCCTAATTACCCTGAGTTTTCACTCTCTTTCTCTTTTTCTCGTTGTTTCATCTATTTCTACTGTTCCGACACTTTACGCTTTAAAGGATGCCAAAATTCCTCATGCCGCAGTGGCTTTGTTTGTTTAATTATTAAATTAACTGTAATTTGTTTTTGTTGGTGCTGTGATGGTAGAAAGAAGAAAAATGGAAAAGGGTGCTTGTTTGCTTATCAGAATTTGTTTATTCGTACTTTATCTCAGCCTCGACATTTGACTCCGCTACTAACTCAGCTCGCCATGGAGCGAAAGGAGATAAAACAACCTCGACTCTTCTATTTCATTTTCAGCCAAGAAGCATAATGGAATGCAATGAAGAAGCAGCGCAAAAAAAGTTGCGGAACAAAAGTTAATTTATCTGACACGTGGTCATGCTGGGACGTGATCTCTCAAGAGATTGCGTCCCAAGTCAAGCTAATAAATTTCAAGCTTGCTACTTCGCATTTTGAAAACAAAAATTAATTTCAATTTGTTGACGGTCGAATGTGGTTGGTTTGACAGTTTCGTTTTGCATTTCAAACTTTCAGCTTATATTTCTTTGTAATTGACGTAAATGCAATTTGATGTGAAAGGATAGAATCAACTGAATCAATGATTTTCATTGTGTTTCGTATGCCATGGCGTGATCGTCTTTCGCTAGACTTTCATTTCTTAATTGGCTATCGAGTTATTAACAAATTTTGCAATTTATAAAATAAAAGTTTGTTGACATATAATTTAGAAACCCAAAAGTAATTGATATCATGTTTATAATTTGATAATTGCAATTAAGTATTCAACATAAAACTTCAATCAGCGAAAATATTTTATTTAAATGAATTAATAACTTTGCTTTCAATTTATTCAATATTTTTCATTTAGATCATGAACGTGAATTAAAATGGTAATTAAAACATCGTCAGAAAAGTTTATGACGTTCTCTTGTAGATATTTGTATTGTCTTACTTCTTCTTTTTCCTTTATTTATGTCAAAAACTTTGTTAATAACTCAAAGAAATGAACGAAAAAAATAAAAATAAAATGCAAATTAGATAAAGTCGCACGTTCAATCGAAAAAAAGTTGTCGAAGGTTATTGAAGATTTCTTAAATCCAGACTTTGAAAAGTATTACGACTTCATTAATATCGATAAACACATTCACAAATTATTTTTTTAAGTAATTTTCCATATAAACAAATACTTCGTTATTCACTCAATTTCAATGTCTGGCGTTACGTTGTTTGCTTGATATGAGTTTAATCAACTAAAGCAGCCAACAGACGGGATAAAAATTATGCCATATTTTCCCTTTCACTCAATAGACGAGCCCTTTCATGGGTTTGACTTGCAAGCAAGTATTTTTTAATTTAATGCATCTGCTTGTACATTCAATTCATCTGAGCTCGTCAACAATTCAAATCAAAAACAATTGACTTTAATTGATGCCAATTTAAATGCGAGCCTTGCCAGAATTTTTTTTGTTATGCTTTATTTTACTTACTTTTCTTCGATCCGATGTATAATCCAACGCTCGGACCCGACGTCTCCGCAGACTGCGTCACATATTTGTTATTCAAACTCGTGTATTGTTTACTTAAAGCTACTCTATCGTTATCACCTGCCTGCTCGATGCTATCACTTGACACAATCTTATTCACTCTAATTGAGTTTACTTTGTTTTCTTGACCATTCTTTCTGGTGGCAATTTCGTCCACCAACTGGCCATTGACAGATGAAAGAACGATAAATAAAAGAGGTAAGAAACACAAAAATCCGCTTTTACACCGCGAACTGATCAACATGATACAAGCAAAAAAATTTTAAATTATTTATTATTATGTATTATTCAATCTTTAAAATAATTAAATATTATGAAAGTTTCTTTTATTTCTTCAAATACGATGCTTCCGTTGTAGGTCGGCAAATGTTATATTAAACTTCTTATTACACATTGCTTTGCAAAAAACTATTTTTCTTCAACATACGATTAATTGTTACACTCACACACTTTATTTATGACAACACATGTAATGTAAGCGAAATACTTTGAAATGAAACTTTACTTTTGTGTCTTATTTTCACCACGTTGATCGTTAAACGTTCAATGATAAAAAAAAGGTTCTCAATTTTTTTTTACTTATTCCAGCTCAAATACTTTTTTTTACCTTATCGAAATCGATCGAAGTTTCGATAAGATGGTAGTGGGGGTGGATAGGAAGAAGAGAATTAATTAACCGTATCGATTTTGTTATTTTTATTTTTTACTTTTTTTTTGAGAGTATTATCCGTGAGATTAAATTTGTGTCGTTAATTAATTTGATGAATTAATTTCTTCGTTTTCTTCCTTTTGGTTTCTTTTCATGCATCACTTTAGTGTAGACGTAGGATTTTTACTTTTTATGTTCACTCTCTTTCTCGTCTCATTACGAATACACTTAGATGATATTTTCCAAAAGTAATGTGTTGCAAGAAATAGAAACAAAACACTCGTGAGCTTTCTTTTAAGAAGATTTCACAAGAAAAATTTCCTTTTTGTATGTGCGAAGGAATTTTTTTTTGTTCGGTGTCGAGCCTTGAGATGAAATTTTTAGTCACACACCTCTTTTCAGGCCTCTTATTTCCTACGAGTCTTTTTTAAAAGATTTTTACGTAATTGCGGAGATGATGTCTTGAATCACGTCTGCACTCATCAATTCGTCAATGTCAATTTGAAGGTTTTTCGCGAAACTTTTGATTATAAACGTCAAAATTTCTGATGAAACTTTCAATATTAAAATAATTTTTTTTCTTTGCGCGCAAGAACACTTGCACCCTAAACACTTCGGTTTCAGAGGAAATCTGTCCGATGAATAACACCAGCGCCCGATATTGTGATAAACATTGCTGAGAAAAATATTTTTTATTTCTAATACTCAGATGCTGTGCGCTCGAGAAATGTACCACGAAAGCACTCATACACCCACAATAACAACTTCGTCTGATTCGGCGCGTTTATATTATTACTTCGAAGTCGAAGTCATTTCTGGTGTTTTCCTCTCTCTGTATTTTCTTGGCTCACCACATTACATTCGATCGTTTATTGACGCACGTAATTTTAATTAAATTCATTGTAATTTTAAAGAACTTAAGTTACCTCAATCTTCACACTTATCTTTGTTATTAGTTTTGAGTTACCAAATTCACTGTCATGAGAGGTTGATGGTTTTTTTCTGCGTTGTGCCGGAGAAGGTGAGCTGGCGGAGACTCTCTTTTCAGTTACGTTAGAAAGAGACAACTCTACTCGATTTATCGTACGATATGTGGGAAATATTTTGAAGTTATGTCATTTAATTTATTTGAAATTACTTCTTACCGATCAATTTCTTTTAAGAAATAACAAATATTATAATTTTTTAGTTTTCGAAATTTCTCAAACATCATTGACTGATATCTCCCAAGTAGTCTCTGATTTCGCGAGTTTTCTTTGACTGTAAGCTCACGCTTTCAATAGAAAAAAATCGTATGACTCAAATAAAAAAGAAATAATAATAAATATACAATCAGCAACGTCAGCGATCGCTCATCATTGTTAAATGTATTAGTTTGTTGAGTAATTTTTTTTGCAAACGATTCAATTATATCGTCATGAAACACCACGGCCAGACAACTCGTGATGATATTTTCAAACCACTCACAAATAATTCTGCCTTCAAAAGAGAGCCAAGAGATTCAAGGGGTAATCCATCGAAGTGCTTTTGCCTGCTGCCTCTAAATGACCCTTGGAAAAATATTAGACAAATTCCGCATAAAAAATACAATTTTCCAAGAGTTTTGATAGTTTTTCTTGGAATTTCACTACTGATTTCCGAAGCATCATTAAGAGGCAGTTGGCAACTGCCAAAATCATCACGATGAATTCCCCCTGCAAAAGACCTTCAGGGAAGAGAGAGAATGACGTTCGTTTCCTTTCTCTTTCTCCGAAGTTTCTTCCACTTTTTACTGCTGCTACATAACATGTGCTCAGCGAGAAAGCATAAAAATTGTACTAGAGTCGCTTATTCATGTTGCAAATGATGTTAAACAAACGATATCAATGAATCATCGTTTAAAAATCATTAATCAGCAAGTATTTTTATATGACAAAAGATAAATTAATACGCAGATGCTTTGATAATATTTCGATATTTGTGATTAGAAATTAATGCTTGAATTGGATATTTATATGCTTGACATTTATGTAACTCTGCAAAAACTAATTATTTTAATGGAAATTCTTTAGAAATCAATCATATACATTATGGATATTAATCTAAATATAACATGAAAATTAATTTTATTGGCAAGGACATTAATGAAGAGTTATTGTGACAATATTTATTTAAAGCATTTATATTTGTAATGATTTCTGATGTGAATTTATCATTTCAGATATTCATTTATGTATTACCTGGATGTAAACCAATCAAAATCAATCTTTTTTTATGTAAAAATTAAACTTCTTAATTAATTAATCATGGAAATGTAAATTGAAAAAAATTGAAAGATTTAATTAGATACAAGAAAAAAGTTTTCCATTGAACATTGAACAACTCAAAAGTTCTTTCATTCTTGAGCTTAACAGGAATACTCTTGATTCAAGTAATCGCATTTCAGTATCACTGAAAATGTGCTCAAGTAGCAAAAAAATTTTGTTTTAATTAATTCATTAATAAAAAGAAATCAAGAAAAAAGTTAATCTAATGGAAATTATATTTCTGTCCAAATTAATTGAAAACTGAAGTTTATAAAATTTATTACGATAGAATTCAATAGCAATAAAAACTTGATTGATAACCTACATTCAATAAAAATTCCGATAGCCGAAAAAAAGCCGAATATCGAATGGTAAATTAATTTCAATTCATCATAAAATTCGGGTAATTGAAGCAGAGGCATTCGTCAGCTTTAAGTATGTCCTTAAAGAGTCTCTACTGTTGTTTGTATGTCGTGTTATGCAAGAGCACTAAAATAGCATAAACAGCATATATACACACATAACTTGGAACAGAACCCAACCAAAGCTGGAAACAAATTTTGAATTTTCCGGGTTTATGAACAAACTGAAAAAATAAGAAAATTCGAAACGAGCCAGGAAATTTATTTTTTTTTCTGTTTTCCTTACGTCTGTGAAAGAAAAGTGCTCTTTCATGACTTGTTTTGTATCTTCGAAATATCCTAGAAGCTATGAAAAAAGAAAAAGCTGGGAAAAATTTCGTATAAAGCTTTTGAAGATAAAATTGACGACTATCTGAGACGAGTACTCATCAAAAATAACTCATTTAGTTTCGAAGTTTTAAAAGGTTTTTATTTAAGTTTCAAGCAAGTATGTCAGAGACAAGGGAACGAAGCAAACAACTTTTAAATGCTTTTACTTAACTAAAGCAATTTATCTATGATACTAAGAAACTGCTGAATGACATTAAAATAAGGTTGCCAATTAAATTACAATTAATATTTTGTTGTATCAAACTTTCTTCTTCATTTTTTTATTAAAACCAGGACAATGAACAGCAAAATGAAAATCTTATAACATTTAACTTTTAATGCGACTTTTGTGTCTTGAATTCGATGACACCTTTTACGTTTGAATTGGATTGATGCCAACTTAGAAGACGAAGAAAAGGGAAAAACCTTCTTCTTTAAAACTTATTCAAAGTTACTGATTTATTTCCAACAATATTATCACCCACGCCAGAGTAACTCTCTGTTCTAAATCTAAAAGCAAAGCTTTTGTTAGAGAAGAGAACTTTTGAAGATAAATAGTTGGGATAACATTGCAAGGCATTAATATAATGGCAGTATAATGTTATTCAAATATACACAGAACTTTCCTTTCTTTCTTTTCATGAGAATCAAAACAGTTTTTCTTTCGACTCTCAAGTTAAATCTCGATTTTATGGCAGGCAATAATTTAAATATTTTGTCTGTCAACGAATGTTTTTTATTGGTCAAACCTTGAGACTTTGGGAGGCTTTCAGTTGTGTTTTATAGTCTAGGTCAAGAGATGCCAATTTATTTCGATATATCTGAGCTAAAGAGCTGTTGAAAATTCGATAAGTCAATGTAAACACATTTGTCTCCATATTCGACAGCATATTTCTCTTTAATGGCTTCTTTAGAGACACCAACAGAAGGAGAAAGTCGTTCGCTACATGATACAATATTTCATGCAAATGATTATCAAAAGTGCTTCCCCGTCGCTTGTGTGCAACTTAAGTTTACCTCATCCCCAAACATTTCACAAACCTTTGCGTCGTTTAAACGATGCATCCATCTGATTCTATACGAACAACCATGAAAACGAGACAGATTTAATTTATTATTTATTCCAGCCACAATTTTTCAATTTAAGGATAACATTTTTATTTAACTGAGTGAAAAGAAATGAGTGAAATATCTGGAAGGAAGTTTTTTTTTCTTTTCCTCTTCAACAAGCACCAAACTGAGTTTCGGAGGGGTAAAGAGGATGATATAAAGAAACAGAAGAAGAAAAACACATTTCATAAATCACAAACGTTATAACGGAAAGAAGGAAAGAAATTTTGTAAATACAAAATGTATTTAAGAAAAAAAATTTATGTTGTCGACGTCTAAGAAGTATAGAAAAAAGTTTCGGATTAAAATTTGTCTTCAAGATGGATTCTTTAAATATTATTTCGAAAGGATTCTTCTAAAATGTTTCAACTCTTAAAAAAGTAGAATGTTAACGACACTTGAAAGTCAAGTGTTTAAGTTGAAAAACAAGATAAATATTTTTGGCGAGTAAAAAAAAATTTCTTTATTTTTTTTTTCACTTCATAAAGTCGTGATAAATTCATTTGAGTTCACTTGATGTATACTTAAACTCGAATGTTTGAAAAGAACTGCAGTAGAATTACGCCAATGAACTCTTCCATCCCTGTCGTCCTTAAGTACCATTTGAGAGAATTTTTATAACTCAGTGATAACTTTGTCTCGATGTTGTTGCCAAATTTTTACCCGTGATTTCTCATGAATGTTCATTTCTTTCTTTTTTCTCAAGAGTACAGAAAACAAATGGGAAGAGAAAAAGTCGCAAAGAAACATCACCCACATTCTCTTTAAAAGATCCTTTGGAATTAAATTAGATTTGAAGTAAAGTGATTTTGTAAGCATTATACGGAAAGTGATGCGAGGGTGGAAATACGAATTTTTGCGATACATGGAAGTTTATCTGATGTTGTAAAATTAATTCAACTGCTTCATATGGCATAGCATTGTAACAACTTAATCGCTCAAAAAGAATCAGTTGTTAGAAACAATAGTAAATTTTAGATCACAGCGATGAAAATGCGCATCTCTGTGACACTTTATAACATGGAGAGCAATAGCAAACAGCATTAAAAATAATTAAAATTTATGTCTCGAAATGATGGAACAATTTGTGTTGAAATGTGCGCGTTTCATTTTATCTCTTTGCATTATGGCATTTGCGTTGGCTTTAATCATTGATACGTTCCTCCCTCTTTTTTTTTTTGCTGTTATTGATGTTGTTGTACTTATAGTGCGCTCATAAAACTAAAACTGATTTTTGATGTGAAGTTTTTCTTATTATTTTTTGTTCTTTGTTTAGAGGTTGTTCGATTCCATTGTTTGATTCCACACGGGACAAATGATAAGCAAGTAAATAAAGCAATAAAACGTCTGGTGTGACGGAAGGCAAAAACGACCTGCCCCCTCAAACATAGCTCGACAATGTCCTTGTTACATCTGTTTAGTAATAAACACATTCAACATTTACTTATCCCATCCCCGTTAGCATACGATGTGCTGATTCTGCTGACGAACATAATTCTTGCCTCGTTATTTTATTGAATCATATTTCACCATCAGCTTTGTTTGCCTTCAACAACTTTGTGTTGTGTTCAGGAGGAGAAAGAAGAACGAAGTAAGGAAAGCAATGAGTGGAAATTGAGAATTATTTATTAACCAAAACCATATAAACATATCTACAAATACAAACACATAAAAAAGAAAGATTTTATCATTTTGCTAGTTGCACATTTTTCTCCCTTCCTTCATTTCTTTTTTATCAGATTATCGTTTTCACTTGAGTGAATTTCTTGTTTCACTTCAATGACGATTTTCGACGAAAATTATTATCGCATTATGCACTTTGATGAAGTTGCTTCCTTGAACTCAAGATAAACTTCCCTTTGAGGGTTCGTGTTGAGACCAACCACAAAGTGTAACGAAGCAAGCTGTTAAATTAACAAGTGTTAAAAATATATGAGATGAAATTTCTTCCCTTTTATTATAAATTAATTAGTGTTATTGGAAAAAAGTGATTTCAATTCTTTATTGGAGCTTTTAAAATGATGTTGTTGTTTGGATAATGCTTTTTGTATCGCATAACAACTGTTCACTGAATTAATAAGCATCCATGGCCTAGCATGTCACATGAAATATTCAATGTTTATCCCAGAAACAAATCTCAGATTATACGTAACCCAAAGACGTAAAAAATCCCAGTAAAAGCGCAGACAAGAAACCAAATCTACACCCACACGCAAGAAAGAAAATCTCCATTTCATGCAACCATTTATGTAGTGATTGTCATGTCGCTCACAAGAGGTTCTTCCACTTGTAAAAAAAGAGAAACTTCGTCAAGGACCTTTTTCAGTTGAATACGTTGTCTGATTGTGAGCGACATCAAACAAGGAAACGAAACGATATTCATTCAAAGTAATAGAAGGAAATATTGAAATGTTTAGAGCTCATGTTCCTATCAATGACAAAGCTTAAAAAACTGATAGCTAAGCTACTCAACATCCACTTTCATACAAAGCAATTTTACAAGATGAAATCTTTAGAATTTTTTTACATATGAAATGAGGTTGTAAATATTTAGAATTGTGCATGAGATTGTAGAATAAATTAATGACATTTGAATGCAGAGGATTTGTGGATTTTTTATTCACGTGGCTTCTCTGGTTGGTCGTTATGAAGAGAAAAATATTTAAAAACGAAAGCACTTAGTAAAAAAAAATAAGTTATTTCTTGATTTACTGCACTATGATGATACATTTAGGAGTTAAAATGCTTCTCGTCGTAATAAGTTTCATGAATAAAAATGTTCAGAAAAACGAGTTGTTCTTGGCTCTTGAATAGCATGCTTAGAGATAGTAGCTTTTAAAAGTCAGTAGATAAAGTGCGGAAATGAATATATGAAGCAACACAAAACAGAAGCAACATCTCCACTAGTTATCACCACAGCAACATATCAAGTGAGACCTTGGTTAGTTGTAATATTCGTCGAAGGGAACAAAGAATTCAAGTTTATGTGAAGCGTTGATGCCTACGCAAGCTTCAGCTAAATCTCATGCAATAAATTTCAGGATTTCATGCTCCAGTTTGCCAGCATGACACTAATTGATGTATAATTAAATGAGAAATCTATGAGGTTGTTAAGCTGAATTCATTTTCCGTCGTAAAACTTTATCGTCATGGCGTGTGTTTGCTTTCATTTATCACATAATGACTGAAATTAGTATTATTTGGAAAAAGAAAGCTTTTAACTCTCAATCTGATTTAATCTTGCTTCTCATTCGAGCAGGAAACTTTATTAAAAAAGGATCATTCGGAAGTTTTCTTCTGCTGTTCTTTCTCATTCACGCAATGTAAAGCGCCTTTCTTGAAAATGAAATGATGAAGAGGCAAAAAAGTGTTCAAGTAATGTTACAGATAAGCTTCTTAAAATTTGCCAACTTGTATCTTAAGATGATGAAAAGCACTATCAAGAATGATTCCTGTAAGATCAGCTGGTGGTGAATAATGAATATAAAAAGGTATCGTTATAATATTAATCATACATTATACAAAATTTTATCGATTTTCGTCCCCTGTTGAGAGGCTGCCGCTATCTTGAAACTCCACAAGATGACGTAATAAGAATAAGAAGAGATGAAAAGTTTAATATTTTTTTCATTCATTCACTTGTCAAACGTTTTCAGCTTTATGTCATTATATCCTATCCATTCGTGTCCCTTAAGCTTGCTGTTGATTCAAGGTTAAATGCTATAGTGGATGTTTCAGAAAATCTTTTCTGTGTCTTTTTATTTTCCTCTCACGTTTTTTTAATAAGCACCGAGATAAAATTTGATATGACTTTGCCGAGACATAAGTGTAAGAAGTGTGAGAAGAGATTTCTCGGTGGAAAAAGGAGGGAAGAAAACTTCTGTCATGGCTTAAAACATGGCATAAGAGCAAAGTTTTCTTACTTTGAAATAAAAGAAATCAAACATTCAAAGATGTTGCGAACAAACATGATAAAAAGAAAAGTTGAACTTATGCCTTCTTATTAAAGCTTAAAGTAAAAGTTTTCCAGTAATGCTTCGTGCTTAATCTCTCATAATGTTTCAAAGTCATGACTCCACATTAGACTATATTGACATTTTCTACACAATTAACCTTTAATGCACCTTAAAAGGTGTTGCTATTAACACACAGCTAAATTTTGACCTTTTACAGCATCTGTATCAAAAGTTTTTAATTTTGTTCGCCTTTCAATGTACGTGTGAGCATGGAAAGTTTGTTTTGCAAGTGTTGTAGATGTTTTGGAAATATTCCAAAGGAAATTTTGGAAATTTGATGGAAAATCTTTGAAATTTGTTGCGTTGCCAAATTTTATTTTGCTGTTGCGATGGAGATTACATCTAATAGAAAATATCTTCAGGATTTAACCAATTACATTAAATCACTTCAAAATTTAAGCTTGAAGATAAATTTGGGTTTGTAAATCTTTGAAGTAATATTTTTAGAAAGACGTTTTAAGAGATGAACTTTCACGTTGTTGGGTTATTGCATTGATAAAAATACCGAAAGGTCGTTTCCACTACCCACCACAAAAATTTTATGCTTTATATTAATATTAATAAAAAAATACTTTGACTTTATTGAAAATAAATTTAAAAGATTTTTTTTTGATCAAATTAGTGACGATAAAGTTTTTTTTCCATTTAATGAAAATGTTTCGAAGTGGTACAAGACAAACATTATTTTGAATGGCATCGTTTAACAAAGTAATTTCATGTTCATTGTTTTAATCACCTCACAATTGATTTTAATAAGAGTCATTAACCTGTTGATTGACCTTTCAAAAATCCTTTCTCGTCGCATGTGTCGGTTACTTGGAATTTTGTCTTGAGGATATTTTTGTTGATGAGTTTTGTGTTATTTTTTTAAATGAAGCAGCTCTTGACTTACTTGCCGTTAGCACATCTTTTCATTAACGTCTTATCAAATTTCATGAAAACATTTTCTTCCTTTTTATTGCCTCTGTTCGACCTTTTTGAAAACATAAAATGGAATCTCGATTGAATTTATAACTTCATGGGGATTTGAAATTTCCAAAGCAATGGTAAGGTCCCTTCCAACTTTTTTTTTATTCCTCTTCTTCTTCTTCGTCAATTAACTTTTCAAAATCGGAATGCAAATTTATGGAAATATCGATAAAGAACAATATCGGAAGCAGTAAAACCTAAGGTACGTGACAAGCATTTCAAGTGGTCTTACACATTAATATTTATTTGAATATCTAAGGCAATGAAAGAGAGGGAAATTGAAGTAAATTTAGGATTTCAATGGTTTCCAATTTCAGATAATCAGCATCAACTTAAGCTCACCTGCCTCTATCTAAAGCCTTGTTTTCTTCTTTCCACTTTTTCTTGTCTTGTTACGCGATCCCATTTAACTATTCCCACAAGGAAAATTAGATTTTCCTTTATCATCCTTAAGAAACATGAAACTGCACGAAACCAAATTAGAGGAAAATACGTTAGTGCTCATGAAACGCCTTTGAATAAAGAAAATTGTCATCACAGCACATTCAGTGAACGTTGTCTCAAATGGGATTTTCGCGCAATTGACAATAAATTATAAGCACAAATACCGTGCTGTCATTTCACAGGTATTTCCTCTTGCCTTTCGGATTTTATTTGAAAGAAAGGCAAAATTTTCATCCACAATGCTTCTGAAAATATCTTTTGTTTACACAAACGAAGCGTCTTTCATGCTACATAAGACTTTCACTTAATCGAGAGATGTGTGAAGCAAAAAATATCTCCTTGTTCTTCTGTGTGACATTATCTTATCCGTTAATGCCGTTTTTGTTCGCTTTATATATTTTATGTGAACATCATGAAAAGGCGAGCGCGGGTGGATGGAATGTGGGAGGAAAATGAATGAAGAAAGATTCTGATTCACAATTCACATTGTTTAAAGCATAAACAATCGTTAGTGAAAGCGATATTTATGTTTTCTCTTTAGTTATCTACTTAATTAATCTTAAAATAGAGCTACATGAGAATTCTTGTGGATGTTTAGCTACTGTCGTATTAGATTTATTAATAATTAGTTCATACAGTTCATCAAAAAGCCTCCTTAATGATGTTATCAACTAATTTAAGAAGTTCGGCTCCATCTCTTTTCTAGTTTAAGTACATCATGGCTTCTGGGGATAATTTAAGTTACTCCAACGATTTCCGGATACAAAATAAATGATAGGAAGTGAGAACAAAATTTCTCATAAAAATAAAGTCCCACAAAATCTCCAAGGGAAAAGTTTAATAAAATTTCCACAAAAATCCATTAAGATTTCCTTTTTATCAGTTCTAAGCAGATATTTACATGTTTTTTAATCTAAAACAAAAAACACTTGTCCCGATCTACATAATACATTTTTTGTGTTGAGAAGAATGTTTTGGGGTTTTGTAAGCTATCGAAACCGAAGCCATAATTGGAATAAGGCAATATTGACTTTTTCAGAAAAGTTATTATCCTTATTATTGAAATCATGAATATATGAATGAAGACTTGATGAAAAGATGAAGGTTCGGAGAAAATACCGAAAATTGAGAAATAATTTGATTTCGAAAAATCAACATTTGTAAATATTTTAACATATCCAAGAATGAAAACAAAAATTCTCCGCCAATTATTTGAAGCTTAAATTATAAATCCTCATAAAAAATGCAAATAAGTGGAAAGTTAATATTCCGAGGAAACTGTTGGAGCTGTTACTAGGGCGTGGAAACAAATGTTACCTTAAAATTTTGAGAATCTAAAAATATTCTCAACAGTAGACCCTCAAATTATTTAGAAGCCTTAAAGGATCAATTAAAAAAGGTTTTTTGCTCTAAACTTGCGTTTTCCTAGACATAAAAAAGTTGGAAAAGTCGAGACTAAAAAAAATTAATTTGTTTGACAAGCGGAAGTGAAAACTCATAAAAAATTTCCTTGATAAAAAAAGTTAAAGCTGAAATAAATGAGATGAGAATTTCCACACCCTGAGACACTTTCCTTGAATTCTAATTTAAACATCAAAAGAAAAAGTCAATAACATCAATCGGAATTTTTCAAATGGTAACGAATTTGATTCATGATTGCTTTAATATTCTTTTAGTTGCCTAAATCACGATATGAACAGTCTGTTCGTCTTAATCCCCTTAACAATGCTTTGAGCTATAAAAAGAACATGTCAAAAAACATGCGAGTCTCTTAAATATTTAATTTAGCACACTTTAATTATTAATCGTAAACAAGCATGTTTGGCGCATAAATTTTTAATTTCTTTCCAGAGAATCGCTTAAAGTTATTTCCTGAACATTCAATAACAAAATGTTGTTATTTAGTGTTCGTTAGTTAAAGAAATTCATGAAATATTCAGATATTAATTACACCCTTGCTTTGAAATTATCAGATATTTAAATTAATTCTTAAGTACTTAACAGTTCAAGTTCTGAGAAGCGAAGGCGCTTCAATAAATATTAAATTTTTATTTACTCATTTGCTGTTTATTTAAATTGATAATTCACAAGTTATTGTGAAGATTAAACCTCTGAAATTTATTTACACGATTTAATTATAAAGATAACAATGAATCTTTAAAGTTTGTCTCGCCTGTTCAAATATTAATGATGAAGTTTCGTTAAAGCTGTGCGCATGTAAGAGACAGCTTGAAGACGTGATGTGAACAGTAATCCCATTAGACCACCCACAATAACTATTAATTTCACTACAGACTCATCAATCATCTTCTTGAGACTCGTAATAAAGATCTTCCACGCCATTTATTCATTCATTCAAACGATGCTACTACTTACATACACTTCTCAATCATAATTTAAAAAAAGTTGCCAGGAAAACTAATTTTTATAACATGATTGATGATCGCTTGAGCTTTTAAGCTCAAACTCGTTTCATCTTGAACTTGATGCTCTGTAGAAAACATTTTGAGTGCATTTTATTTTTTTCTGAGTTTATGATGCTTCAGGGAAAAACAAACATTTCTATTCGCAAGCACTTGAAACTTCATGCATTGAAATTAGATTTCCATGAAACTCGGATATAAATAAAAAGAGAAGTAAAATTTGTTCAAATATTTTTACTTCATTCTATCATGGAAATGTTGGAAAATTGCCAAATATTTTTCCTCTAAAAATGGCAAATTTTTTCTTTATTTTTGTCTCATGTTGATCAAGAATAAGTAAATATTTTATTGAGTAAAACAACCGAGAGGAGTGACTACTTCTTATTGTGTAACAAGACATTTTATTATTGCAAAGTGATTAACATGATTCCACTGCAAAGAATAAGATGAAAATTCTTCGTGCTTAATTGCAGGTGTTCTAACAATTATTTCCAGTTTATTCCCTCAAAGCCCTTAAAAGTTTATCATCAACTTCAAATGATATTTCAGTTGAAATGAATGTTGAGTTCATGCAGGTTTGGGTTCATCCTTGACACATCTCATCATCCTCAACAAGACATGGAAGAGATTCGGAAAAGATTTGGCCATGAACAAGATCGTATAACAAATTCATAAATTCATGCAATAAATCAGCAAAATTACAATTACGATACCATAAATCATCGCGAAAGCTTTAAAATTTTTAACAATCTCGTGTTTCACTCTCCGCCTCTACCTGCAAATCTCGTTCTTTATGCTCACAAGAACGTGAAAATGTTAAAACAAATAAATTGGATGCACGGAAGATGCTTTTAAGAGTTTTATTTTCCGGAAAGAAAAGTTTTCCTTCAATTGAAAACTTTCATAGATGAAGTTGTGGATAGATTGACTTAGTCACATTTTCATTGAAACGTTTTTCATAATTCATGAGATTAATATTCAAAAGCAAAAAATGTATTCCTGTAATCTTTTTAAATACATTTTGAAGCCTTCATAAATCATTTAAGAGCTTTTTCACATCTCATTTCGTGCTTTCAAGCTCTTGAAGTTTACCTCCCCACACAGACATGCAGGTGATTGTTCCTGTTACAAGAATCATACTTGAACAGCAGGCTTTTTATGATGTGAAATAATAAAAATATGCTGGCAGTAGCACGAGATACATTTTACCTTCATTATATCAACATTTTTCATGTCGAGGATGTTCACGCTTCTCTTTGCACTCGTCACAATTTTTATATCCATGTTTTTTTTTCTTCCCTTTTTCATCGCATGCCTGCTTTAGATTCCGCGCCGTTTAGTTCCACAAAAAAGCGAGCTGTGTTAAAATATCAAAAATTCTAAGTAGCACTTAAACGCCAACAAACAAAAAAGGGAAAAAGCGCAAAAATAATCTCACCGCTCCCTTTCTTTCTTTTTATTTCGCTTCCATTCTTCATCAGAAGATGATGTGCAGATGCCACACACGATGATGGAATGTCGGCAAACATAAAAGGAAGAAATTGAAAAATTGTTCGGCACACATCAAACCATTAAAGCGTTTATGACGATGAGTCTTACAAATTCGCCATGTTTTCTGTTTATTATCAGAAGCTTTTCTTGCGTTTTTTTTCCTTTTTTCATCATCGTTCCATTAAGCTCATCTTCTGTTGGTATCTGGCTATGGCGTAAAATGAAATAATTACGAAAATATGTCAAAAAATGTTGAATAAGAAAGCTTAGCCTCGTTAAGCTTCTTCTTCGTGATGCTAATGCCGCTGTTCTGTTTATTAGAGAGAACTGCAAAAAAAATGTTTTTTATTCTCGAAAAGTTCACAACCTCAACGACCTCCACTTCTTTCAAGTTAACTAATGGCTCATCATTCAAATGATTATATAGCACAACACTCTCAGCATTGTTAAACGAGACAGCTTCAATTTTACTGGAACCCTTTTCAGTCTACTGCTCGTGCTATTCGTCACCTTCATCTTAAATAAAACCTTAAGCCTCCCTCTTCACATTCCATCCAACAAAAGCACGCACAATGAATGGATGAAGACCAATTAAGGATTATCTCGCTATAATGACAACTTTGTGATTTTATGATGCGGTTGACATCGAGAAAGAAAACGATGTTTTAATGCCTTTAACTACATTGGGGGTATTCGCCGCCTTATTCGGTTAAGTATTCATCAGCAGTGCTGCAGAGCCCTGAATAAGAAGGATTATCGCCCAATAAAAACATTGCAAAAAAGGTCGAGCTCGTTTTAACTATTATGGGATAATTTCTCGGCGGGATTGTTTACGTCGCTCAGCAACGAATTTATTCAAAATTAGAAATGAAAAAAAGAAGAAAGTTATTTATCATTGAATGAGTTATGGATCTTACACATTTTTATGAAATTTTTATTTTATGTTATGGTTTAGAAATTTTAAAACAGCGTATAACATAAAACAATAAATTATGTTATGGGATGATGCTGATGCAAGACTTTTTGCCACTTTTTTTTGACTAGAAAGTCGAGACTTGTTCGTTCGTTTCCACTCTTCTTTGCTCGTATATTGAGAGGATCTCGAGGCAATATATTCAAATAGCAATATTTTATTCCTCCACAAGGATGCTGAAATCCTTTTCTTTCTTTTTTTTGGGCTTCGGATTTACATTTTATGGTCTGAGAAGCTTCCATGTATAAATTATTGCTCCAGTGATCTTTCGCCTTTAAAGCAGTAGAAAGTTTTTCACGCTCGACAGCTTTTTCGGTAGTCGAAAAATTTCCTATGTTCATGAAGGCTGTTCAGTTTTATGAGTAAATCTGTTTTCATATTTTCTCGAGCCTCAAAAATGCTGTTCATTCACTCGATTTGATAATTAAATGAAGCTTTTCGACCACACATTATCAATTTTTTTGCCACCACCACGACAAGCGAAACTGATGCGGAGTCGAGTGGTTGCGTTAAGGAAAAGGGAAACCTAGGGCTATAAATTTTATATTGGATGCCTTTTATTGGCTCATTCAGAACGATAATAAATTATTTTAGTATTTTACTTTGATTCACAACATGTTTCATCACAGATAGAAAATGATAATTTTTATTCGTTTCGTATGGTGAGTGGAGGAAATGTAGCGTTTCATTGTACTTCAACAACCATTTCATGCGATAAAAATTTGTGAATGATGGTAGAGTGAGATGACGTACATTTACGGGAAAATTGCGGGCTCTTTAACACGCATAATATTTTTTTTTGTTTCTGTTGGCAACATTTCATCTGCTTCAGTCAGGAAGCTAAATTTGAAGTGGATTTTTTTTTTTGCTTTTGATGATTTACAGCATTTTTAGCACGCTTGTAACTTACAACATTCAATCAACCATCAAATCGAATCTTCTTTAGAATGTCTTTCAATCTTCATCATAACTAAATACGAGATCATTGAATGCTCTCATGATGTTTATTCATTGACTTATAGACAAGAATCTGTTTTCAGTATGACCAGATATCATCGACAAGATTCGCAATCAGAAGAAAGAGAACAGAAAAAATCTCGCTTTCTTTCATTTCTCCTAATCTCTTAAGATGAATGTAGATGGATGAATAGAACAGATTGAACACAGAAAGCAATGCTAAATCGCCATGAAAATTCCTATCCCTTTTTTATTAAATTCATTCAATGATTTATAAGTCGCCTTAAGGGTACGATAATTTGTTAAGCACTTGATTCTTGATTTTTCTTTAGCGAAGAACAAATTTACTATAAAGGATGATGAAAAATTCATGGGGTTTTACTCATGGAAAACTTTTTCCATCTTTCTTTGGTGATTTTTTTCTTCTAGATTTCTTCAAACATTTTCCATTTTCCCATCTCTTTCTATGTCGCCGAACGAAATAAATTTTAATTTAGAACCAAGCTATCATATTTTGTGCCTCTGACAGTTAATTTTCCGATGACTAAATTAACGTTTGCACGATTTTTTTCCCTCAAACCTCATCATATCATAATTATCTATTGAGTTTACAAACTTCTCCGACATTTTCATTATGATAAAATGTTTCCTTTATAAAATTATAAAAAAGTTTCGCTTTCTTCCTTCGTTCTTCAAAAGTAAGAATCAAAAGTGATCTAGATACATATTTAATTTAAAATTTCCTTTTTCGTTCTTCATGAGATTCCTAAAAGAAAATGTTTGGAAATTTTCTAACATTTTCGGGCAATTTTCCTTCGGTTCGTATTTCAACAAAAACAAAGCATGAAATAAATCGTTGAAATATCTGATAAGTTTATTATTATAACATGAGTAGAAGTTTTCTGCCCCAAATAATTCTTCTCATATCCCTTGCCACAAGTTTATATTATCTAGTTTAAATTATTTAATAAATATGCCACAAATATTTGCAATTCAAATATTAATTTGAGATATTCAGGCTTTCCATGCTTACGGGAATTATTTATTTCTAAGGTCAAACATATGCTGAGTTGGAATTCATATTTTAATAGCATTTTCACCAACTTCATGCTCAGATTTTCTTGAAATCTTGTAAATAAATTTTCTTCAAAATAATCAAATTTCAACTCTTTTAAAGTCCCATGATTGAAACAACTTTTCCAGTTACTCTTTCAGATATAAATAAATTCAATTTCCTTGATAAAAATTCTCGCAATTTTTCTTTTTAAAATTCAATTTTATTCTTTTATCGTGTCTCAGTCAAAACTAAAATATGAAACTTTTAACGTAAATGTTTGTGACGTAAAAATTAAAAGAAAAAAAAATCAATTCGAAGTTTTCCTTCCGTATATAAAAGTTTTCCCCACAGAATAAGTCTTTTATTTTCGTCTTGTCGCTGGTGCTTGTCTAAACTTTCGACGGGATTTAGCATCCAAAATGAGATTGGCTTGTCGTTTAAGAAAAGATCTGCTGGGAACATCTGCTTCCTCTTCCGATCCCACGCCTATTTTTTCCAAAACAGAAAAACTTAAAATATTAAATGGTAATTAAGAAATTTCCTAAGACAGCAAACGTCACCTCCTCCTGCTCCAGGCGATGCTGAGACTAATCCCGTGCTTCTCCCAGTAATGAGACTGGAATAAACTTGAGGATATGGAGTTGGCTTTTCATCAATAGCGAAATTTCTTATTGACGGTGATTTGACTCTTTCCTTCCCTTCAATGCTTTCTTTCTTTACCGACACAATTGATTTAGTTTCAGCTTCTTCTTCGTCATCTGATAATCCACTGTCAATTCCCTCCAATTGACCTGAGGCAATCATTCCAACCTTTACCTTTTCTTCCAACATCTTTACAATTTTTTCTGTTGAAATATTTCCAGATACCAAATCAGGTAATGGAACATTTGTGGCTTTTTCTCCTCCCACTCTTCTTGCTTGTATATCAGCCGTCATTTCATCCACCTCTTGAAGCTTTAAAACCATCTCAACAAGAGCATCCTTAATGGATTGTAAAACAATATTCGTTCGATGAGCTTCCTCTTCTAAAATTGTTTTTCGTTTCTTCTCTTCGTCAATATCTTTCTTAACTTTTTCAAGCTCTTCTTGATTTCTAAAAAGTAAAAAAAATAAATAAAAAATAAAATGATTCAAGGTAATTGAAAAGAAATTCAATAGAATTGTCGATGGATGTCATAAACATACACTTCATTCTCACGATTATCACTAAATTTAAAGACGTCAAGTTGCTGCGTCATTTGTTCACGTTGCGACTCTAATCTCTTTTTCTCGTGTTCTGTAACATTACGTAGGTATGTAAGGCGTGCGCTTGCCTCCCTCTGTGCCAAAAAACGGTCTACTAATTCGTTTGAAGCCGTTATGCCTGTAGCTGTCATTAGTTTCTTAAAATTGCCTTCCATCGTCGTCTTATTGTCGCGTATCGATGTGTCTTCATCATCAATCTTACCACTGCTTGCGGCACTCTCTTGATGAATGATTTTCGTGCCAGTGGCAAAAATTTTCCTCTCGAGACGTTCAAGCTCTGCCTTGCGATTCTCAACTTGTCGACGAAATTCAGCAGCTTGACGCTCTCTCGCTCTATTTGATGAATTTGTAGCTTGTTCTTGTTTAGAAAGAATTCCTTTTGTTGCATCTCTCATTTGTAAAGCTTCTTGATATACAGCTTGAAGTTTATTAATCTCTTGCTGTTGTTCCTTAATTGCTGCTTCCATTTTAAGTAAAGTACTTTCAAATCTCTCCGAATCACTCATCAGCGAATTTTTGATACAGCTTAAAAATGTTTTACGAAGCTTAACGTCATGAAATCTTTTATATTTTGTTTATTAAAATTCTTCTTACTGATATTTCTTTCGAATGTGTTCCGCCTCATTCCATTGAACTTCCATTTTATGAATTTCATTTTCAAGACGGGTTATAAGCTAAAATTGATAACAAAACGAAAATGGATGATTGACGCATCAATATGTTTCAAGCTTTAGATAAATATACGAAGCTGTGAAAATTTCAATTCAACACGCGCTTTTTCGGGAACGTTGAAAAATTATTCTTTGAATAATAGCTAGAATCAAGTATAATAGCTCAATGTCATTATTTCACTTCTTACCTTTCGATTTCGATCTTCCTCCATTGTTTCTGGTGGTCTGTAAGACGTTGCTGTCGCATTTTTCTCATTCTTATAATTAATCAATTTATGGAATTCCAACTTCAATTTTTCACAATACTGTTGCTTCTTAAGAATTTTCGCATGGAATAAATCATTTTGCTTTTTTAAATCAATGATTTGTAGATCGATAATATGAACTCCTTCATCGTAATTTTTCGCTCCTTTTGGGAGTGGGATTTTCTTTTGTTGCTGCAATGTCGAATCTTGTTGTACTTGCTTCTGGTTCTGTTTTGTTGGATTGTGAAGAAATTTAAGTTTCGAAGTAAGAATTTTTATTTCTTTTTTGAAGTCGTTAATTTTTTCTGTAAAATGTTTCTTGTCGACATCCTGAAAGTATATAAAATTAAACTTTGGTTGCTAATGGAATTTAGTCGCATTCTTACCCATTCCTCGACGTTTGCTTTCTTCTGACCCTCTAAGTGATATTTTGGTAGCAATTGCAGAATGAAAACTTTCAACAACAGCAGTTATTTAACAAATAAATAATTGATAGCTTACCTTTAAGAACAATTTTTCTTTTAATCTCAACAATTTTCTTGTTTAATTCTTCTAAATTAGCTTCATTAGTCTTTATTGCTGGTGCATTTTCCATTTTTTTCGACCACTCTTGTTACTGTTTTATGCTTCACTCACTTATGAAAATAAATTTGATGTCAGGGAGAAATTCATTGATCAAGCACACGTTTCCATGCCAGACTGTTTCTCCATATTAATTAGCATAATTTAACGTTTTACGCTGTCGATGTTTTGACTCGTGCTGTATTTTGTGGATAAAAAACTTCGTTGCCAGTTGATGGGAATTTTTTCTGTTATGCTTCACAACACGCCGCTGCAAAATAAATTCAAATTTTAGACAATTTATGTTACTAATTAAATTGAATCTGTAATTATAACAGCTTTGCAAAAGCTCTCTTGCAACTTCGATATTAAAATGTAGTAGAACCAATCTACACGTATAAAATCCACCCACGTTTTACATTCATTTCTTTTAATATCCAATTAAACGCATAAATTATTGGAATTCAATTTTTTCCCTATGAAAATTATCGAAATAGCAAACGGTAAGTTCACAGGTAGATTGAAAAAAAATCTGATTGCAATTAATGATGTGGCATCGTCGTGGGAAGTAAGATAAATTTTCCAAGTGCAATCCAAAACAGCAGTCGTGAAACTTTTGAAGGAATGAAAAATAAAACGAATTCTAAATGTTATTTTTAAAAATGATTCTGAAACTTCCGCATTATATATGTCAACTCCAAAAGAAAATTTGATGGAAATATTCTATCCTTACAAGAATTTAATTACGGAAAATGAGAGTCTCTAAAAGTTATTCTCGGACTTTATTAGTAACTGAGGACATTAAAATGGAATATAAAAATGAAATGAAAATTGAATGAATGTTGACTCAGCTGAAAATTTCCTAAAGCTCTTTTCGAATGATTTTTCAAAGAACCTTTTTCTTAACCATGATTTTAAATTTCAAGCACATGGAAAATTATTATCCGTTAATGGCTTTTTTCTTTTAATTTAATCTCATGATTATTTTATTTTAATGTTTTATCTCTTGATTATTTTTCCCACTGCGCACGTAGCAAGAATTTCAAGTAGTGTTGATGCATAATTTAGAACTTTTTCCATGCTGAGCTTTTGCAATTAAATTACCTAGGAAACATGATCTTTTATGGTAATGTTTTTACGGGAATATTTTCAAAAGAAAATCCATTCATCCCCATACACTTTCTTATGCAGTTTTATGTATAAACAGATTTAAATTCTTGTAAAAAATAAGTATGAGTCTTGAAAAAGTGAAAAAATTATGAAGGCTACACCCCTTAAGTGAATTTCTGTTTTGAATTTGTTCTTGAATGATTCACAATTATCATGACACATTGGATTGAGTTGACTGTTTAATGCAAATAAATTTCCAGTTCAACATTTTCTCATATAAAAGTCAAAAAAGTTATCCAAACAAAAATTGTATTGATTCTCACTAATGAACAAGTGTTTTAAGAATCAATATTCACAAAATTAAGTTAAAAGAAAATTAAGTTTATTGATCGCAATAATTATATCATATGAGAAATTATGGGACTGAAAATTTATTTGTATGTATTAAATTTTGATATCGATTCATTATCGATGCAGTTTATGATATCATCCAAAAAATACTTAGTAGAGGGGGGAGTTTTCATATCTTTCTTTTGGCAGAAATTGTATAAATTGCAGTTTTTTAAAGCTAAAATTATCAGTAATTCATAGAGCATTGAAGAGTATTCTTAACTTCTCTTTGCCATAATGAAGACCTTTTTGAATATAATTCTAATCACTGCTTTTATCGCAAGTAAGTCATTATAAATGTTAAAAAATCAAAATATTTAACACATTTGAAAATAGTTTGCAGTGCATACCATAATGAGAAATGTGTGACGATTCCACCTGGTAAGAAAAGATTAAGGAAATATTATTCCTTTTTAAAAGTTTAGCTTTCACGGTTTTTATCACAAGATAGAAAAATATTAAGAATTCCATTTATAGCACTCTCCGTACAACATTTTTAACACTTTTGTAAGATGCCAAATTTTTGTATCTAAGTTTACATCATTATATTAGAAGTTCATTGTGTTTCCAATGAAAATAAAAACATACATTTATTTTTTTCCTATTTATGAAAAGCAGACGAATCGCCTGAAACACCAGATTCATCTTCCGGACCACCAATATGCTCTGATCAGTGCCCGATTCGAGATCAAAGAATAAGTGTACTCACGCAAGAATTATCTGTTGAAAGGGAAAAGATGATAAGCAGTCTGGAAGAATTACTGAAACCTGATGAAAGGGAAAGCTTTCAAAACTGGCTAACGAATCCGAATGAAGTAGGTGAATACTTGTTACCTATTGGCGTAGGTGAACGACGTATGGATGAAGGTTTAGCTCCATTGGCAATGCCTGTTTGGCCAGCAATAATTATTGCGGGCGTTAGTATAGTGGTTGCTAAAATAGTAGACGTTGTAGTCGATGACTGGGAAGATTCAGGATGCAACCGTTGCCCACCGGTTCCTCCTGAACCTTACGAAACAATAGAAACGTTTGATGAGAATGGAGTACTCAGAAGAAAGGTTACTAGGCAATCCACACCTTCAAAATGAATTTGAAATACTTTTAAATGTTTGGTGCATTTGATCAGTAACATATTTTCTCAATTCATATATGATTCTGATACGTGTGAAAATTTGGATTCAATAAATTTTTTTGAAAACATCTGACTGATTATTTAATCGGGATTTTTGATCCTATTTTTTCATTTGCAAAGTATTTTATACATAATCCGTAAGTTTATAGATACTTGATGCATTTTTTAAAACAATGGAATGCTACTGTGCTGTTCGGGACACCCTTTTTGGAAAAANCTCAGAAGAAAGGTTACTAGGCAATCCACACCTTCAAAATGAATTTGAAATACTTTTAAATGTTTGGTGCATTTGATTAGTAACATATTTACTCAATTTATATATGATTCTGATATGTATAAAAAATTTGAATTCAATAAATTTTTTGCAAACATCTGACTGATTTTTTATCGGGCTTTATGATCCTATTTTTTCATTTGCAAAGTATTTTATACATAATCCGTAAGTTTATAGATACTTGATGCATTTTTTAAAACAATGGAATACTACTGTGCTGTTCGGGACATCTTTTTTGGCAAAATTCCAATCTATATTCATCGTATAGTTAAAATAAAACAAAAGCAAAGAATTCATTACAATCACTACTTTGCCTCATATGATTCTTCTTTCTTTTCTTGTTATTACTAATTTAGTATAAAAGGCAAATTGTTGAGGTAGTGAGAAAAGTTTTGAAATCTTTCATTCGTAGTTAAAAAATCTTGAACAGCGTAAATTGATAAATGTGCATTTGGCGGAAAATTACCAGTTCTTTGCGCAGATCTTATCTGGGAAGCTACTTTAATTTTGGTACGCTTTGAGGGTAATATATGTTGCTGCATTAGAAATGATATTGGCGTAGCTTGATGATTTTTTTATCTGAACTTATAGTTGATAAACATTTTATTTTTGTTGACACGTGTAAATTCTTGGAGAATCACAGAAATCTTCAAAAAAACATTCAAGAAGAAAGTCACACTAAATTCAATTTTAGTAATGACAAATATTCTTAACATTAATACAAGTTAACATAATTTTTACTTCAGATGTCAGCAAGATCT